TCCTATTCTCCACGGATGATAAGTCCATTAAGCACCGATTTGGTCCAAATTATTTTCGGATGACATTTTTGTAATTTTTTGGGCGACGAAAGGCAATTTTCTTTGGATATTGAAGGCTATAGATCTCGTATTCGGCCTGAGGTTATTCTCCAATGATGATTGAGTCCATTAACCACCGATTTGGGCGGATTTATTCAGGGTCAATTTTTGGCAGATTCCAAAGGGGTCCCATCACAGATATATGGCGATTTATCCGAAATGTCATTTTCTCTCGATTCTGGAGGCTACAGATCACAGAATCAGGTCGAGGCTATTCTCCACCGATAATTAAGTCTATTGATCCTATTCTCCACGGATGATAAGTCTATTAAGCACCGATTTCGGCCAATTTATTTTTGGATGGCATTTTCTTAATTTATTAGCGACGAAAGACCATTTTTTTTGGATATTGAAGGTTACAGATCATGGATTCGGCCTGATGCTATTCTCCAAATATGATTGAGGTCACTAAGCACTGATTTGGGTGGATTTATTCCTCGTCAATTTTTGTCATATTTCAAAGGGGTACCAACACAGATTTCGAGCGATTTATCGGAAATGTCATTTTCTTTTTATTCTAGAGGCTACGGATCATGGAATCTGGTCGAGGCTATTCTCTACTGATAATGAAGTCTATTGATCCAATTCTCCACGGATGATAAGTCCATTAAGCACCAATTTGGGCCAATTTATTTTCGGATGACATTTTCATAATTTTTGGGGCGACGAAAGGCCATTTTCTTTGGATATTGAAGGCTATAGATCACGGATTCCGCCTCGGGTTATTCTCCAATGATAATTGAGTCCATTAAGCACATATTTGGGAGTATTTATTCAGGGTCAATTTTTGGCAGATTCCAAAGGGGTACCATCACAGATATCGGGCGATTTTTCCGAAATGTCATTTTCTCTCAATTCTGGAGGCTACAGATCACGGAATCAGGTCGAGGCTATTCTCCACCGATAATGAAGTCTATTGATCCTATTCTCCACGGATGATAAGTCCATTAAGCACATATTTTGGCCAATTTATTTTCGGTTGGCATTTTCGTAATTTTTGGGGCACGAAAGGCCATTTTCTTTGGGTATTGAAGGCTACAGATCACGAATTCGGCCTGAGGCTATAATCCAACGATGATTGAGTCCATTAAGTTACGATTTGATCGAATTTATTCCGGATCAATTTTTGGCAAATTCCAAAGGGGTACCATCACAGATTTCGGGAGATTTATCTGAAATGCCATTTTCTTTCGATTCTGTTGGATACAGATCACGGAATCAGACCGAGACTATTCTCCACCGATAGTGAAGTCTATTAATCCTATTCTCCACAGATGATAAGTCCATTAAGCACCGATTTGGGCCAATTATTTTCGGATGGCATTTTGGTAATTTTTTGGGCGACGAAATGCCATTTTCTTTGGATATTGAAGGCTACAGATCACCGATTCGGCCTGAGGCTATTCTCCAACGATGATTGAGTGCATTAAGCACCAATTTGGGCGGATTTATTCCGGGTCAATTTATGGCATATTACAAAGGGGTACCATCACATATTTTGGGCGATTTATCCGAAATGCCATTTCCTTTCGATTCTGTAGGCTACAGATCACGAAATCAGGCCGAGGCATTCTCCACAGATAATGAAATCTATTGATCCTATTCTCCACCGATGATAAGTCCATTAAGCACCGATTTGGACCAATTTATTTTCGGATGGCATTTTCGTAATTATTTGGGCTACGAAAGTCCATTTTCTTTGGATATTGAAGGCTACAGATCACGCATTCCGCCTGAGGCTATTCTCCAACGATGATTGAGTGCATTAAGCACCAATTTAGGCGGATTTATTCCGGGTCAATTTATGGCAGATTCCAAAGGGGTACCATCACAGATTTCGGGCGATTTATCCGAAATGTCATTTTCTCTCGATTCTGGAGGCTACAGATCACAGAATCAGGTCGAGGCTATTCTCCACAGATAATGAAGTCTATTGATCCTATTCTCCACGGATGATAATCCCATTAAGCACCGATTTCGGCCAATTTATTTGGATGACATTTTCTTAATTTTATTAGCGACGAAAGACCATTTTCTTTGGATATTGAAGGTTACAGATCACAGATTCGGCCTGAGGCTATTCTCCAAAGATGATTGAGTCCATTAAGCACTGATTTGGGTGGATTTGTTCCTGGCCAATTTTTGTTAGATTCCAAAGGGGTACCATCACAGATTTTGGGGTATTTATCTGAAATGTCATTTTCTTTTTATTCTAGAGGCTACAGATCATGGAATCAGGCCGAGGCTATTCTCCACCGATAATGAAGTCTATTGATCTAATTCTCCACGGATGATAAGTCCGTTAAGCACCGATTTTGGCCAATTTATTTTCGGATGACATTTTCTTAATTTTTTTGGCGACGAAAGGCCATTTTATTTTGATATTGAAGGCTACATATCACGGATTCGGCTTCTGGCTATTCTCCAACAATGATTGAGTGCATTAAGCACCAATTTGTGCGAATTTATTCCGTATCAATTTTTGGCAGATTCCAAAGGGGTACCATCACATATATCAGGCGATTTATTCGAAATGCCATTTTCTTTCGATTCTGGAGGCTACAGATCAGGAAATATGGTCGAGGCTATTCTGCACCGATAATGAAGTCTATTGATCCAATTCTCTATGGATGATAAGTCCATTAAGCACCGATTTGGGCCAGTTTATTTTCTGATGGCATTTTCTTAATTTTTTGGGCGACGAAAGGCCATTTTCTTTGGATATTGAAGGCTACAGATCACTGATCGGCCTGAGGCTACTCTCCAATGATGATGAGTCCATTAAGCACTGATTTGGGTGGATTTATTCCGGGTAAATTTTTGGCAGCTTCCAAAGGGGTATAATCACAGATTTCGGGCGATTTATCTGAAACGCCATTTTCTTTCGATTCTGGAGGCTACAGATCAGGAAATATGGTCGAGGCTATTCTGCACCGATAATGAAGTCTATTGATCCAATTCTCTATGGATGATAAGTCCATTAAGCACCGATTTGGGCCAGTTTATTTTCCGATCGCATTTTCTTAATTTTTTGGGCGACGAAAGGCCATTTTCTTTGGATATTGAAGGCTACAGATCACTGATCGGCCTGAGGCTACTCTCCAATGATGATGAGTCCATTAAGCACTGATTTGGGTGGATTTATTCCGGGTAAATTTTTGGCAGCTTCCAAAGGGGTACCATCACAGATTTCGGGCAATTTATCCGAAATGCCATTTTCATTCAATTCTGGAGGCTACAAATCACGGAATAAGGCGGAGGCTATTCTCCATCGATAATGAAGTCTATTGATCCTATTCTCCACGGATGATAGGTCCATTAAGCACCAATTTGGACCAATTTATTTTCGGATGACATTTTCGTAATTTTTTGGGCGATGAAAGGCCATTTTCTTTGGATATTGAATGCTACAGATCACGAATTCGGCTTGAGGCAATTCTCCACCGATGATTGAATCCATTAAGCAGCGATTTGGGAGGATTTATTTCCAGTCAATTTTTGGCAAATTCCAATGGGGTATCATAACAGATTTCGGGCTATTTATCCGAAATGCCATTTTCTTTCGATTCTGGAGGCTACAAATCACGGAATCAGGCCGTTGCTATTCTCCACCGATAATGAAGTCTATTGATCCTATTCTCCACGGATGATAAGTCAATTAAGCAACAATTTGTGCCAATTTATTTTCGGATGGAATTTTCGTAATAAGTTGGGCGACGAAAGGCCATTTTCTTTGGATATTGAAGAATACAGATCACAGATTCGGCCTAAGGCTATTCTCCAACAATGATTGAGTCCATTAAGCACCGATTTGTGCGGATGTATTCTGGGTCAATTTTTGGCAGATTCCAAAGTGGTGCAATCATTGATTTCGGGCGATTTTTCCGAAATGCCATTTTCTTTCGATTTTGTAGGCTACAGATCACGCAATAAGCCCGAGGCTATTATCCACAAATAATGAAGTCTATTGATCCTATTCCCACGGATGATAAGTCCATCAAGCACCAATTTGGGCCAATTTATTTTCGGATGGCATTTTCGTAATTTTTTGGGCGACGAAAGGCCTTTTTCTTTGGATATTGAAGGGTAAAGATCACGGATTCGGCTTGAGGCTATTCTCTAAAGATGATTTAGTGCACTAAGCACCAATTTGGCCGGATTTATTCCAGGTAAATTTGTGGAAGATTCCAAAGGGGTCCATCACCGATATCGGGCGATTTATCCGAAATGCCATTTTCTTTCGATTCTGGAGGATACAAATCACTAAATCGGGCTGAGGCTATTCTCCACCGATAAATAATGAAGTCTATTGATCCTATTCTCCACGGATGATAAGTCCATTAAGCACCGATTTGGGCCAATTTATTTTTGGATGGTATTTTCGTAATTTTTTTGGGAGACAAACGACCATTTTCTTTGGATATTGAAGGCTACAGATCATGGAGGCCTGAGGCTATTCTCCAACGATGATTGAGTCCATTAAGCACCGATTTGGGCGGATTTATTCAGGGTCAATTTTTGGCAATTCCATAGGGGTACCATCAGAGATTTCAGGCGATTTATCTGAAATGCCATTTTGTTTCGATTCTGGAGGCTACAGATCACGGAATAAGGTGGAGGATATTCTCCACCGATAATGAATTCTATTGATCCTATTCTCCACGGATGATAAGTCCATTAAGCACCGATTAGGGCCAATTTATTTTCGGATGGTATTTTCGTAATTTTTTGGGCGACGAAATGCCAATTTCTTTGGATATTGAAGGCTACAGATCACGGATTCCGCCTGAGGCTATTCTCCAACGACGATTGAGTGCATTAAGCACCGATTTGGGCGGATTTATTCAAGGTCAATTTTTGGCAGATTCCATAGGGGTACCATCAGAGATTTTGGGCGATTTATCCGAAATGCCATTTTCTTTCGATTCTGGAGGCTACAGATCACAGAATCTGACCAAGACTATTCTCCACAGATAATGAAGTCTATTGATCATATTCTCCACGGATGATAAGGCCATTAAGCACCGATTCTGGCCAATTTATTTTCGGATGGCATTTTCTTAATTTTTGGGCTACGAAAGGCCATTTTCTTTGGATATTGAAGGCTACAGATCACGGATTCGGCCTGAAGCTATTCTCCAACGATGATTGAGTCCATTAAACACCGATTTGGGTGGATTTGTTCAGGGTCAATTTTTTGCAAATTCCATAGGGATACCATTAGAGATTTCGTGCGATTTATCCGAAATGTCATTTTCTTTCTATTCTGGAGGCTACAGATCACAGAATCAGGCCGAGGCTATTCTGCACCGATAATGAAGTCTATTGATCCTATTCTCCACGGATGATAAGTCCATTAAGCACCGTTTTGGGCAATTTATTTTTGGATGGCATTTTCGTAATTTTTTGGGCCACGAAAGGCCATTTTCTTTATATATTGAAGGATACATATCACTGATTAGGCCTGAGGCTATTCTCCAACGATGATTGAGTCCATTAAGCACCGATTTGGCTGGATTTATTCCGGGTCAATTTTTACAGATTCCAAAGGGGTACCATCACAGATTTCGGGCGATTTTTCTAAAATGTCATTTTCTTTCTATTCTGGAGGCTACAGATCACGGAATCAGGCCGAGGCTATTCTCCACCGATAGTGAAGTCTATTGATCCTATTCTCCACAGATGATAAGTCCATTAAGCACCGATTTGGGCCAATTTATTTTCGGATGGCATTTTGGTAATTTTTTGGGCGACGAAAGGCCATTTTCTTTGGATATTGAAGGCTACAGATCACGGATTCGGCCTGAGGCTATTCTCCAACGATGATTGAGTCCATTAAGCACTGGTTTGGGCGTATTTATTCCGGGTCAATTTTTGCCAGATTTCAAAGGGGTACCATCACAAATTTTGGGCGATTTATCTGAAATGTCATTTTCTTTCGATTCTTAAAGCTACAGATCACGGAATCAGGTCGAGGCTATTCTCCACCGATAATGGAGTCTATTGATCCTATTCTCCACGGAAGATAAGTCCATTAAGCACCGATTTGGGTCAATTTATTTTCGGATGACATTTTCGTAATTTTTTGGGCGACGGAAGGTCATTTTCTTTAGATATTGAAGGCTACAAATCACAGATTCGGCCTCAGTCTATTCTCCAAAGATGATTGAGTCCATTAAGCACCGATTTGGGCGGATTTATTCCGGGTCAATTTTTGGCAGATTCCAAAGTTTTTGCTAATATTCTTGTTAACCAATTTTGAAGGTTATTTTATATATCACAAAATATAGCTTTTGTAATAATAGTCTAAAATTGTGATGAATATCATTCGAAACAGGCCACATAACCCTTAATAGCCAATGTTTTCATCGATTTTTGAATGCTATTATAAATTTATCTTGAGAGGGATTCCCACCATAATGAATATTCAGAGAATCGTGTTTTGGATTCGGAGAAAATGCGTGATACTTATCATGGCCTGTTGCGTTCTAGCGTCCTACTAAGGTAAATAAGTTCATTCATCTTGAGAATGAAGAAGCCAAGTAACTGTGCGGTATGAAAGGATGATTGATTACGACCAGTATGAAAAATTGAAACACTAACTGTGTACTTAAACTGATTGATCAAGCTATTAATTTTGCCTCTTTCGGTAATCAGGCCACCCTGAAAAGAATCAGTTGCAGAATACAAGGGTTTGGGAGTAATCATTGTCTGTCAAATGGTAAGTAATCAGTAATTACTGAGAACCATATAATCAGCTTTTCTCCTAATCATTCATCAAAGAAGCTACAAACTATGCCACTAACTAATCTCACTGTTTAGTGAAATCACTGGAGCAGGCTATGTCAGCAGCTACCTGCATTGGCTTTGTTAAGGGAACGTTAGGACCTAACAGTTCCTTCACGACATCTCTCATTGTGGGTCTCTTGTTGGGCTCTTTCTCTGTGCATCTCAAGGCGACCATGATCACTCTCTCAATTCGTTCCATTGCGCTTGAATCGAGGAACAGTTCTTGATCTGCATCAGCAAGCCTGGGATCAGCTATGGACTTCACGTCTTGATCAGGGTCGGCATCCCAAGTGGATCGAACCCACGTCACTATGTCGATTCCTTCTGGAAATGACCGGTCGACTGCCTTCTTCCCTGTGATCAGCTCGAGCAGCACGACCCCGTAGCTGTAAACATCTGATGCCTTGCTCTTGCTTGTTGCAAATGCCATCTCTGTACATGAATAGTAACACACAAATAAAGTAAAGGGGTCAGATGGAGATGTTGATTCTGGTTCGAGCTGGGTCATTCGATTGTGGGTGGAAGGATTGCCGAGTCATTGATCAACATGCATTGTATGGTATATAGCAGGAGAGTCGAGTGGGAGAAAAGTTTATTTTACCTGGAGCTATGTATCCAACGGTTCCATCAACCATCATCGACTGAGTTGAGCTGCCAGAAGACTGATCGAGGAGCTTCGCGATGCCGAAATCAGAGATGTGAGGCTCCATGTCAGAATCCAGCAGAATATTCTGTGGCTTGATATCACAGTGTACTATCGGAGGGTTGCAGTCATAGTGCAGATACTCCAAAGCATGAGCAGTTCCAAGAGCTATCCTAAACCTCACATCCCATTCTATAGTTTCTTCAAAGTTGCCATGAAGAACATCATAGAGGCTTCCATTCTCCATATAACAGTAGAGAAGCAGCCCATATTCCTTCCTCAACCAGAAATCTTCTAGCTTGATGAGATTCCTATGCCGAATCTTCCCAATCGTCTTGATCTCTCTCATCATGCTCCTGCTCCCGCCTCTTTGGCCTGCAAAGTTCACTTTCTTCACAGCAAAGATCTCGCCATCTTCCATTGGAACTTTGTACACAGTTCCATGACCTCCCCTTCCTATAACGTGCTTCTCATTCAGATCCTCAGTAGCTTCCATCACCTTGTTGAGAAGCGACGGTGGGCCCTCCAGCCCGGCAGCAACAATCTCATGGCACCTCTTGGGTCTCCACACAATGAACAAACAGCACAGTCCTAGAAGCGAAAGAACAACAATTATTGTGGCAAGTGATATGGCTGCAACTTCCAATATGCTATGCCCTCTCTTCTTGCTTTGACATGGCTTGATACCAGTGTTCGAAGTGCAAACACCGTCAGTCTGGTTTCGATGGCAATCGATGCATAGACTCGGGTTGCCCAAGAATGCAGATGGAGATGAGATGAGGAAACGAGATAAAGTCTCGGGTATTGGACCTGTGAGTAGATTGTATGAGACATTGATGAGGAGGAGAGTTCGGATGTTTTCCAAAGGTTCTAAAGAACCTGTTAGCTTGTTGTTTGCTATGTCCAGCTGTTCCAGCATGTTCAGCTTTCCTAATGACAAAGGAATCAAACCAGTTAACCCGTTGCTGCTGAGATTCAGTCCATACCGAAGACTCTGCAGAGATCCAAGGGAGGAAGGAATCTCTCCTCCTAAGGAATTTCCACCAAGGTCCAACTCTTCAAGCTCCCCAAGGCTTGATAAGAATGATGGAATCCCTCCGGTGAAACGGTTCTCACTCAGTACCAATGTTGCTAGTTTTGTCCAGTTTCTGAAACCAGTTGGAATAGAACCAGTTAGTGAGTTGAAGCCTACATCAAGCTTCTCCAACTGGTAACAATTTGATAGCTCAGATGGTAATGAACCTTCCAACTGGTTGTGTGAAAGATCCAGAGTGTCAAGCTTAACGAGATCTCCAATCTCCCTGGGGATGGATCCTGTGAGCTTGTTCATGGAAAGATTGAGAAATGTTAGGTTGCCACAGTGCCTTAGACTCCAAGGAAGAGACCCATTGATGTCATTTCTGCTGATATCCACATGTGAAAGGCTCGAGTTTTCTGCAAATTCCGGAAGAGGACCCGAGAGATGGTTCTCACTAAGGATCATTCTCCACAAAGTTGAGCACTGCCCAACATCTGAAGGGACACTGCCCTTGAGCTGATTCTTACCCATGTTGAGAGCTCTGAGCTGCTTTCCAAAGCAAAGATTCGGCGGAATTTCACCAGTGAACTGATTACTTGTAAAGTCCAGCTGCAACAAGCTACTGTTGATCCCCAAACTCTGTGGTATCACACCAGAGAACTGATTCTCATACAAAGACAAGTTCTTCAGTTGCTTGAGCTCAGTCATCTCAACAGGTAGTTCACCATAAAGACGGTTCTGATACACTAGAAGGAACTCAAGGCTCGGATTTTTCCAAATGGTGATGGGAATCTCACCACTCAGATTGTTGTTGAACAGTTCAAGGTCACTCAACTGAGGAAGCAAGCCAATCTCACCCGGTATCCCTCCCTCAAGCTTGTTTGAGTAAAGCTTCAAGCTTGTCAATGACTTGCAGTTCCCCAGCTCACGAGGAATCTTTCCATACAGCTGATTTTCAGAAAGATCAAGAGAGGAGAGATTCTGCAGAAGACCCAGTGAAGAAGGAATGTTGCCTGTCAAATTACTATGAACAATAGCCAGGGTGTTCAAGCTGCTACAGTTACCTAAATCCTCTGGGATCCCACCACTAAACGGATTGTAAGATAAGTCCAAAAAGCTCAGACTCTTCAAATTTCCAAACCCTGAAGGAATTCTACCCTCTAAACTATTATGAGAAACATAAAAGTTGACAAGTTCTCTAAGACTACCTAAGCTCCCAGGCAAGGAACCAGTTAACTGGTTATCTTGCAAGTAAAGAGTCTGCAATTTTCTGCAATTCCCAATAGAATCAGGAATCGAACCAGTAAACGAATTGCCATACAACCAAAGCTCAACAATCTCATTCAACTCACCAACACTCCCCGGAACCGAACCATTGAACGCATTCTCGTGCAGATACCCATATTGCAGCAGAGGCGTATTCTGGAACAAGGACTCGGGAATTTCACCACTCAGCGAGTTGGTGAACAAGCTCAAGGTTTTCACCCTCCTCAAGTTACGAAAGCTTCCAGGGATTCTGCCGGTAAACCCATTGTTCGACAAATCGAGGTACTCGAGGCCGGCACAGTTTCCCAGGAGCCAGGGGATTTCGCCGGAGAAGTTGTTGTAGCTCAAATCAAGAGTGGCCAGCCGAGAAAGCCCTCCAATTTCCGGGCCCAACTCGCCGGAAATCGAGTAGCCGGTGAGGTTGAGGTAGACCACACGGCGAGTGAAATTGTGGCATTCGACGCCGACCCACGAACATGGAGTTTGGTCCGAAGCGTTCCATGTGGAAACAACGGGTCGAGGAACGGAAGAGGCTTCCCACCTGTTAAACAGCGATAAAAGAGCCAACCCATCGTAGCTCAAACAGGAAACGAGACTTCCAGTGAAAACCCAGAAGCAGAGCAGCATCAACAAGCAAGAAGAGGCGGGAGAATTCAACTCAAGCGCCATAATTGAGATGAAAATTTTGTGGGTAACTTAATTTTACGTTTTTACCCAGTTGGGTTGGCCATGGAATGCAGTGGAGAAGAGGAGTGAAAGAGAGAGAGAGAAAGGGAGTGGGGAAGAAGAAGAAGAAGAAGAAGAAGATGTGGTGGTTGTGAGAATGTGGGGAGGCATAAATGCATGGGGACGGGAGATTTGCAGGGAAAAAGAGAAGGTGGTGCGGTCGTCTCACTGGGAGACTGGATTATCCGGTAGGTGGGAACCAATTAGCAAAGCAACTGAGTGGGTTTCTTTCCGTGTGAAACGTTGAACAGTTTCCTCCCAGCCCCCATTTTTGGTTTCACATTCAAACTTTCCGGCCAGTTTCCTGCCAAATTGCCACGTTGTCCCTCTCCCTCCTTACACAAAAGAAAACTGAAGTTTACCGTGTAAATTCGATCAGAAACGTTTTTCTGAACACCTGAAAGTTCACTCTCACTCTCAGTAACAGGGATCAACACCTCGCAGCGAGTAATCGATAATTGATAATAAAAAAAATTAATGATTTGTATTGTAGATGTCAAGAAAACAATTATACCAATGATTCAGTTTTGGGAAGAGTTACGGTGCTAATTGTACAATAGTTAGCACCGTTCTAACCAAGGAAAAAACTACTACTAGTTTGAATTAGTAGTAATTTAGCTTAGATGTTGTAGTGATTTCGTTATTTTTAGTAGCATTTTTTGCTAGTTATCACGGTGCTAACCCCTATAGGGGCGGAGCCAGGATTTCAGGTTCGGGGGGGCCGGAATTTATGTTACTCTATTAATCGTAAACAGACAAAAAAAAACATAATTACATAAAATAATATCATATTAATTATGAAACTTCACAAATTTCATAGAGACCTAGTTACCCGGGGGATTGTACAAAACATTTTTTGAAAGAATTAGATTAGGTGGGAAGGGTTAAAAGAATAAAAGTGAACATTAATAGGATCAATTAATGAAAGTAATTAGAGTAAGTGGGCATCAATTGTTAAGGGAAATGGGTTAAAAGAATAAAAGTGGACATTAATGGGATCAATTAATGAAAGTAGGCATCAATTGTTTTGGAGAGAAAAAATGAAAAATTAACATTGATGGGGATCGAACACTAGTCACCCAGCTAACAAGATAATCAATGCTCCACTGGAGCAACTTAGATTTTGTTTATCATATTAGAACACGCTTTCATTAATTAACTACAGTCCAGTTAATTCATAAACTTCAGAATTCCCGAGTGTTCATACGTGATTTTTGAAATTCTCGGGGGGACCGGAGCCCCCCCAAGGGACTGTGTAGCTCCGCCCCTGGTTAGCACCTAATCCCATCCCTTCAGTTTTCGATATACATGTATCAACATTTTTTCGGTTAAGCTATTCGCGTAAAGGTACGAACTTTGGTCCGGTGTTAGATAGGGTTATATTAAACTTAAATTAGAACATAAAGTGGTGAGATTATGGTGGGTGGTGGGGGTTGGCTAATGGTCATTATCATGGGGGATTAACAAACTAACTACCTATTTTGCTTAAAATGGTTATGGATGGAGATTGGAAGGGACAAATTAAATTTGTCATTTTCCCCAAAGTCAATTTTCTCATTCATGAAAGTGTTAATGCATTCATCAGTACCTAATTTTGCGAGTTATTGTATAAAAGGGAAAAGGGTTAAATAAGCAAACTTTCTACAATTAATTTCTTTTGAGATTTCCTGATTAATGGAGACATGCAAGGCAACTATGGGTGGTCATTGTCTCACCAATTATATTTTCAGTTCAATTTTAGCAAGGAGGAAGTGGGAAATGGGAAGTTAAAAAGGTGATTGGCATCCACTAATTACCGTCATTTTTACAGTTGCGGATTACAGCTAATTCATCCACTGAATTTTTTTTAACCAAACGACCTCTTAAAAAGAGGATGCAGAACCGATTCAAAATTACAATTGAAACTATCTACTATTGTACCACGCTACATAATTCATCCACTAATTGATGTGCATAGATATTAATTTTATAGTAAAATGATGGGCTGGGCTCTGTTAATATGTACTGTCAACCTTGTTTATGGGGCTAATAATCTTTATGGGCTGAATGGGCCTTGTTTGGACATGGAACCTTACGAAATTCGTGGAACTCTATGCTGGGCTGCTGACTCTGGGCCTACAACTGATTATAAGGATATAAAATGACAAAATTATTATAAAGTAATTTATTGGTAGACATAATTCATAAATGATACATTATTATCCAGTGACAAACCTTCAAATCAACCAAATAAAAACAATTACAATAAAGCATAAACAAAATAAAAGAACACACATAACTGAATTTGATCCTTTTTAGTTTTCACCCTTGTCGTCAAGGGTTTGAGTTGGACTTAATTCCAATTTGATTCTCATAATTATCATCGGTCATTCCGTCTCTTGATTTTCATAAATATTAATCCGACCATCAGGCATAAGGAAGTAAGTGTAACCCGACGTCATCAAATTTGACGTAACGGTATGAACGATTGAGATGAATAGTAGATATGATCCAACAAACATCAATCGATCAAATCTCTTGTCAGAACATAATGAACACAATCACCATATGTCATCATCATTGTATTCGTTGCTCGCCACCAAATACCCTGAAATCTCCGTAGCCGATGACAACCCATCAGAATCAGACACGTGTTGGCGATCCGCGAGCCTCCACATGAGGTGACCGGTCGCAACGTCGTGGGACCCGGCCCGAGACTTGTGGGTCCCCTTGGCCTTGTCCTTGGACTTGCCACAAGGGTGGATGTGGCACTCGTTGCACCGTGGCACCCTACATTTGCCGGTGAACTTGGAGTGGTTGGTGGGCTTGCGGGAGACCTTGGTGAAGACCCCGGCGGTGGGCGGCGGCGGTGAGTCGTCGACGGCGGCGGAGGCGCTGTTGGGCCCGGGATTCATCGGAGATGGCATGATCGGATAAGTTCGCACCATCCCATGTTGCCGGCCTTCTCTCTTCATCTTGTTTTCACCACTTTTTGAGCTGAAGAAGATTTGATTTGGTGATTGATCAGTTGGAGAGATCCTATGTATAAGGGAAATGAGATCAATGCCGAAACTTGGGAAGCAAGGTGGGGTTTCTTATTTTACTTAATTTTGTTAAGGCTTGGCTCCCACGGTCAAATTAATATCATTATTGGCTTTAATTTTTTATCAATATTATTGCCCACTCATAATACCAATAATAGCGTATAATTTCTAATTTCCCCCGCCAGAGTCAACATATGAACTCGTAATTAAAAGCAAATTAGATTCCATAAAAGGGAAACTACTAATTAATTTCCTAGTTGTGATTTGTGACTGATTCTTAACACGGTTTAGTGTAGTAGGATAGGCACACAGAAACGGGCTTGGTGGGCCTGTCTTGGTTGGACTATAGATGGGTTGTGGCCTTGTGGGCTTTTACCATCCATTTTCGGATTTGAGCCCATCGTTGCCTTTTTTTTCTTGACGACAGTTTTGACTTGACTTCCCTATGTTATGTAGCTCAGAATTATACCCGATTTACCATGAAGTTGCATATAGCCATATAGGAAGCAAGAAATAGGGGTGTGCAATGGTCCCGTCCGTATCGGACCACATCAGACCAAACCGTTGTTAAGACCGGGCTAGACCAGACTGAGTAAAATACGGTCCGGTCCTTGGTCCTCACAAATTTTATAATTACTGAATAAATGGTGGATCGAGCTCATATTTGGATTGGACCGGACCGAACCGGACTAAATGGACCAAATACAAGAATGGTCCGATCCTTGGTCCTAACATGTCTTCACTAATGAATCATGGTTCTCATGAGTTTGGTCCGATCTAGACCGAACCGTTGCACACCCCTAACAAGAAAAGCTACTCTCGTGAAGATAGACATTAAAGCATTGAGCAAACCAATACAAGCATGCACCGGCCGGCGACAGAAACCAAATTCAACGGCCTTCATTAAAATCCCACCATAAAAAGACTTTCCCTATTTAAAAACCCTACTTCCAAGTCTTCTACCCAATTACTTCAGAGATTTCCCTATTGCGTTTCCAACGATGAACACAACGGGGGCCGCGCAGCGGCGGCGGGTGATGACGATTGCGGTGGCGTTTATCATCATGATGCAGCTGGTGACTCCCACATCTCCGACCTGCCACCCCTCGCCGCCGTCCCACCGCCGGCCGAGCCCCAGCCGCCACCGCGGCGGCGGCAGCGGGTGCAAGCAGTGCGTGGTGGAGCAGCTTCAGTACGGGTGCCCGAAGTGCACTCCGGTCCTCCGCTGCATGGCGCGGTGCTTGTGGGGCGGCGCCGCCAAGTCGAGGTGCGCCGAGAAATGTGACTGCGGCGGCGGGAAGCCGACCCTGGCGGACTGCAGAGGTTGCATGTCTAGGTGCAAATGCAGCTGTTTGTGATTTTTGTTATCGTCATCATTAGCTTGTCTGGCTGGTTTATGATTAGTGTTGTTGATTATCGTTACTAATTAGTAAATTAATGAGTTTGCTATGATGTTCTTATTAGTTATTTGTTCTTTTATATGGCTAATGTTTGAATTTTGGTTAATGAAAAGTTGTTGATCGCTGTCTCAATTTCATTTTTCCTCTTTGCTTTACTTTACTTTATATGGGGATAAATGCATTATAATCACTGAATTTTGTATTGTACAATGAATGACCACTAAATTAAAACTTGTCACAAAATGCTGGTCAGGCTAGGAAATTTTTAACATAACAAACTAACCTTCACATTATTATTCATGTAAAGTTGTAAACATAACTTATCTAACAAACAGTAATTAGCTATGGCGCCGAGCTCAAATCACTCCCGCAAAAACCGCTGGAAGCATCTGAAGCCGAGGTACTCAGCGCAGAACTTCTCCATCTCCTCGCCGCCTCTCTCCCTACACACTCGCTCCTCCATCTCCGCCACCGTTCTGTCCCACCCGAACTCTCCTCCGCCGCCGTCCCAGTCCCAATCCTCGACTCTCGACTCGTAGATCCCGTCGAGCACCTCCTGAATCCCGACGATCCGCCTGCTCGCCTTCCTCCTCGCCTCCCTCACCGCCGGATCGAACCCGGGGACGGCGTCCAGCCTCAGCAGCAGCCGCATCAGCTCCTCGTTCACCCTCGCCTTCTCCCTCTCCTCCCTCCTCACCGCGTCCACCGTCTCCTGCCGCTGGATCCGCCGCTGGATCTCCCCTGCCTCAGCGTCCACGGCCGAGATCGTGCGGTAGAGCAGGCGGATTGCGCGGGCGCGGTACGCCGCCTGGATTTTGGTCGCAGCGGCGGAGGCGGATCTGGTGTCGGTGGATGGTGGTTTGGTGGAGTGGATGGGAATTTGCTTGGTCAACGGCGGCGGCGGCGGCTGGGTGGCTTCATCGTGGAAGGCGTAGGTGACGGTGGATGTTGTTGAAGAGGAGAAGTGGTAGAATTCTGGGAATCCTCTCATGGCGAGAGAGGAAAGCTTGAAGATAGGGACAGAGGAGGGGAAATGGACATTTGTGATGGAAAATTGAGGGAATGGTCACTATTGATTATGATTTATTTATGAGTATCTTTTGGAAAGATCATCGCCGGGGCCTACGTTATTACTACATTCAATTGCTTTTGCCTTTTGGTCCTTTATTAGTTGACGATAATGGAGTTAAGTTAATGGATCAATCTATCAATCACCTAAAAGTTCAATGACCATTCCTGTAATTATTCTCTCACGTTGTTTTGTTCTCCGACTCTGACCGATTTCACCCGTTACAGGATGCTGACCTGACATACCACTGAGAAAATTATACCGTTTCCCCCGACAAGCACCGTTATTTACTTTAGACCTTTATCCATGACGAGTTATCATGTGGACAAAGCGTGAAACGGCACAGTTTTGGTCCGATCCTTAACAACACAATAATAACATGGTTGATTCTGACACTAAACAACATAACAAAGCTCTTATTTGGCGATAGAGAGCATATGCAGAAGCTCTCTCTCACTCGCACTGGAGATGAAGTTCACCAGCCCTTTAGGATGAGTTCGACGGGAGAATTTTCCCAGTACAAGTCCCGAAACCGACAGTGTAACCATCTCCCTGCACAGAACTAGCTAGTTAACGTTTGCAGACCAAAGAGAGACGAGAACAGAGAAGATGTACATAAGGGGAAAGAGCTGCAGTGGAGACCTTGCAGCAGCCGGTTATCGTCACTTCATCGCCATCTTCGAGGAACTTTCGTGTTGTGTTGCTGTTTAGTGGCAATGGTTTCTGTCCGTTCCATGTCAGTTCTAGTAAGCATCCGTAGGAATCCGGATCCTGTTATTGGTGGTTATAGATCAGAACAGAATCGACTTGCCTACGGTTTTTTCTGGAGTTGAAAAGAGCAAAATGAATGAGAAGAAAATCGTTACCGGCCCACTGATTGTTCCTGTTCCGAGTAGGTCACCTGGTCGTAAGTTGCAGCCGTTTATTGTATGGTGAGCTAGCTGCTGAGTTATGGTCCAGTATCTGTCACAGAACAGTTTCATCAGTCATCAAATCAAAATATGACAATAAGAGTATGGTGCTCGTGCACTTGATATAATTGATGAAGATAGAAACTTTATACACAAGCTTATGAAAGTCATTCGAGAGCAGTGAAAAGCCATACAAGTGATTGAAGTTGGTTCTGGTGACCACAGCTGACTCCTCAACTCCAGCCGGTTTAATTTGCACCTTGAAGATATGAATAGATAAACAATCATTAATATACGAATGGATCGGAAAGTTCAAAAAGAAGAAAACTATCTACAGACTACAGGAGACCAGAAGAGCTTAGTTATTGCATTAAAATGCCCAATATGTTCCACCTCTAAGGAAATGTTGTAGTTTTTGGATGTCTTTTCAGCCAGATACGGAAGAGGAGCAGGGTCCTGCAATTTTTTTTATCATAAGAACACAATGAGAATAAGCAAAAATATGGGAGGACTTGGAAACTTAATATACTACTTCTTGGAATTGTCATTGGGGCTACCTGTTTAGGGGCATCACAAGTAAAAGGCTCTAGGGCATCAAGTGTTACAATCCAGGGGGATAGTGTGGTAACTATGGATCAAAGACAAGGGGATAAGACCGAAAAGAGAAGTTAGCCTCTCTCTATGTACTTCCAGGTGAGTCTCGGAATGCAAGAAATATAAAGTTAGTTTCTTACTGAAGCTCTTCCCAAGGAAAGGTCCAAGAGGCACATACTCCCATGCTTGAATGTCTCTAGCTGATCAAGATAAACATTTGTTATGGGTTTATTGCATTAACACAAGGCACAAACATTGGATAAAGGGATAGTCTATAATAAGAATATACCACTCCAATCATTCATCAATACGAGCCCGAATATATGGTCTCCTGCTTCATTGACATCCACTGGTTTCCCTAGTTCATTTCCAGTACCAACGACAGCAGCCTGAAAGGAACACGAGGAAGACGTGAACAACTGAATGATTAGTTACAGAATGATCATTCTTAAAATGCTAACCATTTCTAGCTCAAAATCGAGCTTCCGTGAAGGTCCAAAATATGGTGGGGGGGCTCCTGTTGGTGGTCCCTGGCCTCTGAGGAAAAAAGAAGAAACAGTTCATGATCTAGAAGTGCTCAAGAATGCACAATGAGAACAGCTCAAGTGTTCTGGGAGATGCATAATGGCTTCTGATGAGTTCAAACAAATACGATTGTGAAGCTAAATTAAAGACACATGAAGCAACCAAGTTAGCTTACCTAGGCCGAATGACATCTGTTCCAGAGATAACAATAGACGAAGCCCTACCATGGTATGCAATCGGAAGATGGAACCTAGAAGAGAAATGTCATTACTATGTAGAACTGAATTCACGAGCCACGCAAGGAACCCAGTAGGATCTTAAACAACTCTAAAGTGGACATACCAGTTCAGATTGATCGGATTCTCAGGTCCACGAAAGATGGTTCCGCAATTCTTTGCATGATGCATCGAGGAAAAAAAGTCCGAGTAGTCCCCTATCACAATCGGTAGAAGCATCTCTACCTCACTCTACAAGTTGAGAATCCACAAATTCATGTTACATGAATCATCCATGTCAATTGTATCAAACTAGTATCTTATCCACAGTAGCTCTAGTTATATCACCATTGGCAGGAGTGACTTCTCCCTCAAACTGGCATTATCTCTCAACTTCGGTTCAGTAGCTGCAATGCAAGAAAACAACCGAATGTCTTCATGAGAACAGCTCAGAAAAACAGAATCAATGAAGTTTTTTGGATGCCAAAAATTCAATTAAGTTGCCCACTGTACACGATAATAGCTTCTGAAGCGTAGCTCGAGCTTCCTTCCACGCAGGCCTTCCCAAGGATAAGAACTTGTTCAAGTTAGGCTGCCAAACAAACAATCCGGAAGATAATTAGCGCGCGCTACTTTCTAGTTCGACTAATTTTCTTTTCCCAGCAACCAAGCACCCTGCCACACAGCTCAATCTATTCACGCAGAAGAGATTCTTCATTCTTCCACCGCAGCAATCAACTAAGAAACCAGAGACTGAAGCAGAGCGAGAGGGCGATAGAATCATAGGAACCTGAAGGAAGCAATCGGAGGAACTGAGGAGAGGACCGTCGAAGAGGCCGGCGAGAGCGATCTCCGAGAGGTCCAACACGTAGTCTCCGATGGCGACCGCCGGTCGAGGCAGTGAACTCGGCCGGTGCTTGAAGACGCCGAAGGGGAGGTTCTGGATGGGGAAATGAGAGTCCGGACGAACTTCGATGAACGATTTCAGCGCCGCCATGGTTTCGCAGTAACTTGTGTCGGGAACTGAGAGCAGCGAGAAATGCCGGACGACGGCGACGGAGAGAAGTTAATAGGCGGAGGAAGGTGAGGAAAATAATTGAAATGGAGTTTGTTGGAATTGACGGTTAGATAGATGTCCACGGGAGGCCCGTCTACGGATTACGGACACCGTGGTAGACCCGACCCGCCAGTGAGCAAAACGGTCACGCTTCTTTCTCCTTCCTCCGTTTTCTTTCGCTTTCCCGATAAAGTATTTGCTCCATATTCTTTTCGCCCCGGCCCGAATCCGAATATTGAAATGGAGCACGATGCTCATGCTAACACAAAATTATTTGTTCAACTTTAGAAAGAGTGTAAGGTGAAATTAAGATCATAGTTAAAATTTGATTCGAGTTGGGAGTATATGATATAAACTCGGTAATGAAAAACATTAACAAAGAAGTAAACAAGTAGCAATAAGATCAGGCAAAAACAAAAAAATAAAAAAAGGAGCTAATCAAATGACATTTCATTTCGTTAATTATAACTGACGTCCGATTATCTAAATATTTTCACCGGCTTAGATCAATTGTAACTATTTACCAGTTAGTCAGTTCCACCAACATTGCCACTAAAATAGCACAGACAATTTCTCAAATAAATATACACATTTTTTAATGAAAACTAGTCCAACAAAAAATTTGGTAAGGGCGAAATCGATTCATTAATTAGAAAATGTGACATAGTTCCAAGCCATAACTTCATAGAATGATCTGTATATGGTTGCTTGTGAATACTTGAGACCTTTCTTTCAAAACCGTTCCCGTGCCATAGGGGAATAGAGAGTTAAGTTGCATGAAAAGGATTGAGAAATGACCGACAAATAAAGAAACCTAACCCCGCTTATGAAATGAAATCAAGGCTTTAATATTTGACTATAGATTATAAAATATGAATCACATAATGATGGTACAATGAAAAATAATATGACGATAGAATATCAGCCCTTTCATAGAAAACCCTAACATCAATAAGCTATTGGATGAAGATCGACGCAAATAAAGCCAAACGGTTTGCATTGTAGAGACAGAGTTTTGCTTATCCGGGTCGGGTTTGATAATCTTCCTCTTTGTCGTACATTGATGTCGAATGCCCCGCCTTGGCAAAGAAACACTAAAACGTTCGTTATTATCAGTTGGCTGTCTCTTCTTCAAAACTCTCACAACTTTGGATCCCCTTTTGTCTGTAACTAAAACTGTCTTCACATGCACGATTCGTCTCTCGACCAGAAATGACCAATGGCATTGCTCCGGCCGGCGACTCCTCCACAACACACCCATGCATTCACCAATTACAGCTGACATGTCTCGGTTTGTTAGTCATGTTGGTCAAGGCTCCGGCCGGCGACTCCACAACGAGCACCATTCATCAATTACAGTTGACATTTCTGGCAATTTAACCGTAAGGAGAGATCGGGACGATCAATATGTTGGCTTGAAGTTTGCTTAGGACGAGACTCGTCTCGTGATCGAAAATGTTACATGAATTAATTAAGTTGGGATACAGCAGTCTAAGAGTGGATCTCGATTAAACCATTGCTTCGTATTGGAATGAAGATACACAAAGTTATTGTATACATTACAAAAATAGAATTCAGGTACCCGTCACACCTTTATAACTATGTGCGCGCATCACTAACAGTAACAAGTACGGGTACAAAATACTCGAACCAGCTAACATTTGGTGACTCCTGACCACATCGAACAAAATGTTTTTATTACAGAATGTGTAGTTGTTGTTCTTATGATTTTCACTAATTGACCACAATTTACTTGTATGGAACCATACACCCAAGCTTAAGAAGATTATTACTACTCCACGCATCCAAAGCTTAATCGCAATTAATTTAATCTTTCCCGCCTTGCCATCTCCGCCACTCCGCTTATATATCACCCGCTTCCTTCCCCGTCTCAGAAAAATTCTTCTCTCTTTCTTTCCCTTTACACGTGATCGGAAAAAAACCAACCCCATCGCCGCCGCAACCGTCATCCGCCGGCGGAGAAAAATGGGCCCCGCCTCATCCTTAATAGAATGGCTCAAACCCGACTGCTTGTTCCCAAACAAGAACCACCGCAAGAAGAAGAAGCGGAGCACCCCGCCATCACCACCAACCTCTACAACCGCCGCCCGACGAAAACCACTGACGCTGGAGGAGCACCTCTCGTCGGCGTCCTCTGCCCCAACGGGCCGTGGGGTTCGGAAGCCATTCCCCAAACGGGTCCACCCATCTTCTTCCTCATCGTCGTTGTCTACCGCCGGCGGAAGGAAGGGAAAGGGGAAGAGCAACGGGTTCACGCTGGAGACGCTGGTGAAGCTGGACAGGGAATCGAGGGACGATTACTTCAGTGAGAACAGCAGCCGGAGCAATTTGGTGGTGTCGGGTGATGGTTCTGGCGTCGGGTCGGTTAGCGGGTTAGCGGCTGGGAGCCGGCGGGAAGGGAAGAAGAGTGGGAAGAGAGTGCGGTTTACGTTGCCCGGAGACGGCGACGTTTACGTTTTCTATTCCCCGAGGGCGCCGATTAATAGGCCTTTCACTCTCTTTGAAACTTCTTAAAACTATAATTTGGTGTATAATCATTTGATTGTATATTTTGGCAAGCCAATTAGTCAAACAAAAGCTTTATTATTTTGGTGTGTGGAAACTAATTAGGAAGATTTTTTAATTGCTTGCTTATGATAAAATCTGGGGAAAAAAGAGAAAAAAATAATGATTAAGTGATGAAATTTTGATATACTGTTGTATGTTCACGTTCAAAAATAAGACTTATATTAGCAAGATATAGGCAAATATCGTCTATTGAAATATATTATAACTATACTAACCCCATAGTTCCCTCTAATTACAACTTCTTCATAATCTCTAATCATTATTCCAGAGGACGTGGAAGCGAAGGTAAGTAATCCATCCATAGAACAAACTAGATCACAAAATAGTAACCTCCAGTTGATCGATGAAAGACTTTCTACTCCATTTAACTATACTAACTATCAGTCCCACTAATTATAAAATTTTCCATATTTTCGAACCATCATATCAAAGGGCCTAAAACCGAAGGGATGTAAGATTAGAAAATCAGTAACCTTCCTATTTTTCCTGCACGAATCTTCGACTGATGCAACCATATAAGATTTGACAATGTCAATATCAAAGATCACCTCCTCCATTACATCCTTCTCAAGGCCAGTTGAATGTAACAATTGATGATATTGTCCTTTAATTGGTCAATATTCTACTATATGACTATTTTGTACGATGCCATTTGTGAAGTAATTAAATTCCATGGAATTCTCCAAACTATGAATCATACGTTTTGAAGTAATTAAAGGATGGAATATTTTTGACCACCGTTGCTTCCAATACTTTCTTGTGAAGTAGAGACAACAAAAACACATATGAGAATTTAGTAATAATCGGCCCCTAAATGTTGTATTTAGATCACTAATCCAATGATTAACTAAATGAAAGTTAGGGGAATGGTCTCCTTGGTTCTTTCTACTTATTATAAAATCTCACTTAGCAACAAAGAGACTTAACTCCTAGCTAATCTCTTACTTTGCATACTCCATCATTTTTTGTGGTCCATATACCTCATCTAACCATAAAAAAATTTAATTACGAAAACTTAAATAGATCAACTTGCTATTCACACTTTACAAATATTTCATATAGATAAACGATGAGTGATTAAATAGTAGTACTTTGTATGGTTACATTTCGTAGCGATTTAAGGGTTGTCGAATTCTTCTTAAGGGAGCAATGCTACATTTTGATATATGACTTCAAAAAGGATAGGCTTAAAATTGATAGCCTACAACAAAAGAATGTACCCCAATTAGTTTGCAAATTGCAACCTCTACTTCATGCAAAAATTGACTATTGGACCGTCCAAACTGCCAGTAAGTGTCACGAGCCCAATCGCTTAATCACAACTCCAGGCCCAATTCTTATTTCATCGTCAGCCCAGTAAGACAGAAACGAAATTATTGAAGAAAAAAAGGAACACAAATTCCGTGTTGCCCCACAAATTTATTGAATCCGTGAATTCATCATCGTCAGCCATTACAAACTACAATTTGATCAGTAGGAAATCAAACTACTACAATTCAGTGCCTAAAGGAAAAACCACTTGCCAAATGCCTACACTGTCTGTTTGGCAAATCAAAAGCAATCAATCCAAGAAATTGATCAAAATCCCTAACCCCCAAATTTCCCATCCGCAATTCGGTTCAAAGTCACGGCAGCGAGTTGGCCGCCGGCGACGGTACTGGGATCAGAGCGACAGATCCCTTCGACGAGCTGGAATACTTGTGAGCCACCGCTTTCAACTTTCCATCCTTAACCTTCCCGATCAATTCCACCAATACCCTGCCGCAATCCCTGACCTCCTTCTCCGAGTACCCTGTGTGAAACTCCAGCACATCGGTCCAGCCGGGAGCCCGGTTCATCACCGTCCTCGCGACGTAGACCGCCGCCGCTGCCGCCATTGAGGGGGGAAACATCACCGAGCACTCATAGTCCATCAGGCCGAGCTCCGACAGGTAGTTCGCCATGTGCTCCACCTTCACATCAAGCACCGGAGTTGTGGCGGCGGCGAAGACCGCCGCACCTGCTTTGGCGAATCGGGTGAGAAAGACGAACTGGGTGGGGACTGTGAGGGTCCATTCGAGGTGGGCAAGGATGGTTTTCTCCATGGCTAGAATCTGCTGACCACAGTAGGCTCTGTCGGAGATGTTGACCAGTTCGTTGACCTCCGGCGGCCAGATCTCTTCGTACTTGGATGCCATCAGAGTGGCGCTGATTCCGACTAGCTGTAGCTCCTTCCTCTGGACGGTTTGCACGGAGAGAAAACGGTCGATGATGTTGATTGTGAGGTACAGGGTTTCTCTAGAGAGATCGAATTTCTGGTGGACGTCGATGAGCCAGTCGACGAGGATGGATCGCATCCGAGTGTTGATCTCCGGCTGTGAATTCATGTAGCAAATCGGCCGGCTCTCATTCTGCATCAAGAACATAAGAATTTGTTTGAGTAAGTTGCGCTGTATTGAGATTTTGTGAAATCAGAAGGGGGGGAAATGATTTTGTCTTTTACCTCGACAAGCTTGTAGAATTTGTAGATGTCCTCGACGTATTCGACGGCGGCGAGATGGTTACCAGCGTCTGGTGCATCGATGTTGAAGACTTCCTTCTCTTTTGGCTTGCAAGCTAACTGAAAATAAGCAAACCGAGAGGCGAATGAGAAACAAGACAGCAATTTGCGAGAACGGAGAGAAAGAAAGAATGGGGGAGAAATTAGGGACCTTGCTGGAGGTTGTGAGGATGGAAGTGAGGGTCTGAAGCTTCTTGTTCTTCTTCTTCGACTTTTCTTGACACTTCTTCTTGTTACTCTTGGCCTCCGAATCAGAGCTAAGGACGATTACTTCTTCGTTGGTGACTGGCGGCTTCGGCTTCTGTTTGGGTACGGCAGCAGCGGCGGCGGCTGTTGGTCTCTTCGTCGCTACAAGCGCCTTCTTCTTGTGATCGACATTGACGCAGATTTTCTTCTGGTAAATTGAAAATCGAAGCAGCACCCAAGATTCAGATTGAGTGCGATTCAAAACTAGAAATCGAAAACCAGAAACCAAAGAAATCGTTGGATGAATTGGGAGAGGAGAAAGATCGGTACCTTGTTGTTATCCGCTGCGGCGGCGGCTTGAGCGTTGGCGAGAAGTTGAGCGCGGAAGCTCCTGGTGACTGGGCGAGCGATCTGCTTCCCGGGGATTTCAGGGACGATGCCTGCTGCCAGATTCCCGATGTCGCCTAGAGCTCGCCGGCTCTTGTTCTCCCCTCCGGCGGCCATTGTTTTCTTCTGCGGTTCTGGATGCTTGTTCAAACCCCCTGCCGGGCGGAAAAAGGCAGAGAATCTCGTCAGAAACAGTAAGGAATAGTTTTGATTGCAAATCGAACTGATTTGAAATCAATCAAGAACAGAAAACCCAGATAACAGAGGGCGGCGACTTGAGGGGAAAAAAGGGGAGCAATTGGAAAGAGGGAAGAAATTGTTACCTCTAACTTGCTGAGGAACGATGGGTCTCGAAGCCATTCCTTCTCTCTTCTATCTTCTTCTTCGCTCAAGAACTCCGTCTTCTCTCTCTTTCTCACTGATTTCTCTCTGCAAATCTCAGAGCAAGAGATGAAAGAGACATACGGAGATTTGGGGGAAAGGTCGCTTGCTTGCCTTATGAACAGACTTGGTTCCAACGGTCGAATTCGTTTTTCACTTATGGCCGTTGGATGACATTCTCTATCCGACGACGTAGATGATAGAGCTGTTGGACTGTGAAACCCGAAATGGGAAAAAATAATTTTAAAGAGGTAAAACGGAGCGGGGGAGCGGTAGCTTTTGGAAAATGAATGGACCGTATGGGATTGGGCCTCGATGGGCTTTGTTTCGTTAGTCGGGTTGTCGGCCCAAATAAGTGGCATCGTGAAGTAGGATCTGCCTGGTGAACTGAATGGTGATGGATTAGATCAGGGCTCAGAATGTTGTATTGGCCTAGGCCCATGCATTTTCTTTTGTTTTCGTTACAATACATCTACTTTTAGCATGTTAGAACAAGAACCATATGTTGTTTGTCACGTGAGTGTTTGGTTGAGTCATTTAGTTAGATTCGTCGTCGTTTGGGGGTTAGCATAGATAAGTTACAGCAAGCAATCGTGTAAGCTTGCTGAGTCAAATTCTGTTAGGAGTTAAGTTAGTAAGTGGCGTTTCTTTAGGGGTAGTGGGCGGTAGATATGGGACTCTGTTTTCCAGCAAGTAGTCGATTAGGGTCTGATGTATTTAAAACCTTTTTTCTACATTCAATAAAATTGGTCAGTTTGTCTTCAACGAGAGCCTTCATAGCAATCACAACTTCCAAACTAATTACAACGATGTGTAATTTTACTTCTAACAAAAATCCATTTTATTACAACAAAGCACCAAAAAGCATTTTAGATCAAATACAATAACGAGTCGCATCATCATTGGAGATTTCGTTATTTGACGAGTCACTTCAAGCCTCTTTCTCGTTTTTTAAATAATGTGGCAATCTATGTGAAATAGATCTCGTTAACACATCACGTAAGAACTCTAAAGAATTGAGCTAGTTATAATGTAGGATGGTAACATCTCCCACGCTTTGGATTCAAACATGATAACTGAAAATTATCTTACAAATATGTACTATATAGTGATCGAGGGAATACTTCTTAATTATCTTATATATATCTAACTTATCTCTTTAATACAGTCCAAATCACAACATTGCTAGATACTAGATGCCTTTGGACTTTGGAGCTTCCTTCCATTCGATGACCACTAGCTGGATACAAAATGACAGCCGCTATAACCTGCAGCCAAATACTCGAATTTGTAAATGATAAAAAAAAGAAGATCATTTTGGGTAATTAAGAACAATATTAGTGACTAATTACTTTACTTACTTGGATCAATGGAGACGAGCATGGCAGTGCCACCAAAATCACAAGTCCCACCAGCAGCCTTAGCCTTCTGCCAGTAACTGTTGAAAGCGAAGGAAGAGTGGGCCGAGACAGTATTGGGCTGGAAGCAAGGCGCACTGGGCTGGATCATCTTGCAATCCGCTCCCATCCCACAAGCATAGTCCAAACCCCGTTGGAGCGTCGAGTCCGATACCGAGGGCTTCGCCACGCACCATACGTTGGACCCGGGCTTCGTTTGGGACGGCGGCGACGGTGGACTGGGAGCGACGATCGGGACGGAAGGGTTATGTGTCGGTGGGCTGGTCGGGGTTTGTGTGGGTGGGCCGAGCTGAGAGTTGGGTGGGCTTGGGATTTGTGTTGGTGTTGGTGGGCTGAGTTGAGAGTTAGGTGGGCTTGGGATTTGTATTGGCGGGCCGAGTTGAGAGCTAGGTGGGTTTGGGATTTGAGTTGGTGGGCCTAGCGGAGAGATAGGCGGGATTGGAATTTGTGTTGGTGGGCCGAGCGGAGAGTCGGGTGGGTTTGGAATTTGTGTTATCGGTCCAGGTTGGGAGATAGGTGGGCTGGGAATAGGTGGTGGATCGCTAGCCGGAATACCAGATAATGTTGGCGGTGAAAGTTGTTGGCTTGGTGAAGAAGGTAGGGCAAATGGTGGCTCTGCACAAGGAGAAGGAGCAGAAGGAGGTTGTTGTTGCCACTGCAACGGAAGTTGTGAGAATGATCCCATTGAAGTTTCCTCGTCTGCTAATTCAGTGTCCTCGTATAATATTTCATCAGTTGGTACATTGTTGTTGGCTACTCCTGGAGAACTTAGAGCTCGCGCATCTAAATGACAACAAAATAACAATCTATGATCACAACCTCTAATCATATAATTAAGAATCAATAAACTCAACCGATAGAAAAGAGTACCGATGAGACTGGAGAGCGAAAGGTGTAGAAGCAATGCAACGAGGAACGAACATGATGGCCTCCTCATCTTTTATGGCAATGAGAGGATGGCTCTTGAGATTGTGAGCTCATAGATAGCTATTTATTGGTATTTGGGGAACCCCTTTTAAGGAGCTTAAGAGGAACATTGGGATTGTGAGAAGAGACAAAAAGGGCAAAGTCCCCATGGAATCATGGTTGCTTTTAGGGTTTAAGGAATATGTACTTACTTAAGGGAAGAGGAAGATGGAGACAAACTTTTGAAGTTAGATTTTGATTCTCTTCTGTCATGCAACTTTTGTTAACGTTGCTTTGCTTGGTTGGTACTCAAGGATTTTATAATACACTGTTCCAGGATTTTGGTGCTCATTTTTTTTGAGTAAATATAAACTAGCACTCATATCAGGCTAGGGATAAACCAATTTCCAAAATTGAGCAGAGAAAACCATGACCTTATGACAATAGCATCCACACCACCATCTAATGAATTGCTTTATAGTATAATCAAAATGTGCTGAGTTTGAGTTCTGAGAATGTCTTCAAAGAAAATCTGGTAAGAACTACAACAGGTACACCTCAGGTATTAACTCGAAGCAATGCCCTATTAACCGTGCACTAACTTCGTGCGAGTTAATACGTCTTTCTGACTTTTCATCCGTGAGAAAACTAGTAGACAATCACCCATGTACAAATGACGATCTAAAGAACGTGTCGCGGCAAAACTGCAGAAAGTGGCTGCATTGGATTCTTCAAGAGTTTTCGTGAATAGAGAGACTCTGCTTAGGCACGGGCTATGGAGAACCTAAGTTACTGCCACTGGTGTCAAGGAGTTGAGTTCCCCTCGTGATGCTTATTGATCTGCTGTACACTCCGCAAAACTAAATGGTCATGATGTCATCTTTCGATATGTGCATCTTTGCTTTATCTCGTCTACCATTTACTTGACCCCGCTCTGGTTGGCCTCTCTGATCAAGACACAGTGCTAGAGTTTTAGTCTTCCGCAGAATGTGCAGAGAAGTGATAGGAATGGTAGGGGAAATGGTTTACCTTTCTCAAGGCGAATGCAAGGTACAAGTATGCTACTTCCCATTCATCTGGCGATAGGGTGCCTAAACAGCAAAACCAAGGCCGTAAGTACGAGAGAAATGAAAACAGAAACCAAAAAGGCATGCAAGGACAAGAAGAAGCTTACTCTTGTCTCGATCATCCCCCAAAGCACCAAGCCGCCGCATTAGGTCGACGTATTCTGGTTTCTTTAAGTACTCATGCACGAAGTCATGTGCATTCTTCGCAAATACTAGCTCTAAATCATACTGCATAATAGAAGATGACCATGTGCAGGTTTTTCAGTACAGATAACTACCATAATAACCCATTGAGGTCATCTTCAAAACAAACAGTTTACCTCATCTGCCAACGCTTTAAAGACATCAACAGGCACAATCCATTCTGGACAATCGACAGCATCCTGCAAAAACAGAGCAAATCTCACAATTTTGGTTGACTCATTACCCGGAAGTATCCCTTGAATAATTCATTGATAAGAGTAAATACCTCTAGGTGAAACTGGTACTTGATACCAAAAGGAGAAGATGAGCTAAATCGCTGAATCACAGAAAGGGAAAGGTGTTATCCTCAAGATTGCAGTGTTCAAATCCAAGGAGGTTTGCAAAAAAAAAAAAAAAAATCACCTTTTCTGCATAATCTTCGTCAAAACGAATCCAGTAGACACTATTGCCAAAGGACAGCCCATCAGCTGTACATTGACATAAAACCATATCTTTAATCATGAGTTTTACATAGGGGGGTTCTGCAATGGCCAATTTATAACTCTCTCACAAAAACTATTGCAGAACGGAAAATTATCTAAATTAGCATCTCATAACAAGAAAAAGAAAAAAAGGGCAACTCACATGCTCTGAGTTTTCTGATGATAACATTAGCATCTGGCATTGTTCCAATGAAAGTACCCCCAGGACGTAGTAAGGCCGAGACATTGGCCAAAGCTCTCCGTGCACGTGTCTCAGTAGACCACGAATAGTGTAGGGCAAACTGCATAGATATAAGTTCATGCCTAGTTACGGAAAATGATATGGGAAAACCAGGCAATTCTAATCACATTACACAACGAACATGTTTGTCAGGTAATTAGCAAAAGCAGAATAACATTTTACTTCAAAATAAGGATAACCTATAAAACTAATCGGGCATAGCGTACATTCTGCCAAAGTAGCGAGAAACTCCGTGATTTGAACAAAACTAAAATGCATTGCGATAAAAAAAAAAATATGGAATGTTTTATGTCTATAAGTAAGCAAGTCCTTAGCAAAATCATCCACCAAATATTGAAAATTGATGCTACATAATTGACAGTAAATAGCTTTGTAATTTACCTGACAGCTGCAGACATCAAAAGGGGCATCATCAGCAAGGACCTTGTCCAAGCGAATCTGAATTAACAAGTCAGAACACAGGTATATCAGATGACAGCACAATTTTTTCATCAAGGGTTAATGAGTCATCGAATCATCATGAAATGATCTTCAAACTAACATAGAGGAATCATGACATCTAGCACAATTAAATAGTTCTGTTCAAAGCAATAATTGACTAAGTCTTTTGAACCTGCGATTACCTCATAGCAGTCTCCACATATCAAACGAGCTGGGAATGAGAACTTCTTACGATTTTGATGATGATTGGCATCACCATTATAACGGGTCCGACAATCTTCGATCTGTCGTGAATATGGTGTTGCAAATTCAATAAGACAGATTAGATAGCAACTAAGCAACCCAAACCAGAAATTAAGAAGCAATTGAAGAACATATTACCGAGCCTTCAGCGATGTCAACACCAACATAATATCCTACTTTTGCTTTATCCCACTTAATGAGATCTCCACCCTGGAAAACAAAAACAAACTCTAAATAAATAATTTTCTAAGGTTCCAGTAGGCAGATCCAAAGAGCAACTGAGCTTACCTTTCCACAAGCCAGATCAAGAACAGCATCCCCTCTACGAGTATACAGTTGGATTAAGACACTTTTTATCTGTCAAATTGATGGTCCAACAAAGTCATCCACCATTCCATCGATCTTCAGAAGTCTAAGGAAATAGAAGTAATCAAACATACCCAGTTGTTAAGTTTCTTTAAATGGATAATTGGACTCGATTCTCGCTCTGCCAGACTCTGATTTGTCCTTGCACTGTAATGGGCCGCCACTTTCTGCACAACATCCTCGGAATAGTCGGTATCACCTAGAAACACAAGAAAAGCTCAGTACTCTCATTGCTCCAAAAAACAAAGACAGATGGAATCCTCTCCAGCTTTCTCAATATGAGATTGTTGACAGAATGCACAGTTGCAAGTTTATCAATTGAAACAATTAAAATCCAAGAGGCAACTTTCACATGTAGGCTCAATCACAAGCATTACTACTCCAACCTAACCAGAATCAGAAAGTTCCATGCTTTATTACCCCAACCTAACAAAAAAACAAACCAAAGCCCTTGAGAGCTAAAACTCAATGTCCAAAAGACCAACAACCTGCTATCTACACAAGGAAACATCAACTTAGCACGACCAATTCCTTCTTCAAAAGTTCACCAACCCCGCATTCAAAAAAAAGCACCAGAATTCATAACAAAAGAGGCAAACCAAACTACAGCAACCATGTTCAACAATCCAATAGCTTAAAGAAAAAGCAACGGTCTTTACCTTCAGTGGTGTGCTTCAATCTGGATTTAGGAGGACCCCCAGAGTTGGACGGAGAACCTGTGTACCCACGTTTCATGGCGCCAAGGAATCGAAACCAAACAATCACAAAAGCGAAACCAGCCCTGAACCCCCCACAGAGGAAGAAGCAAACAAGCAGGGGTTCGGGCGTCGGGCGCTACGCAAGCTTCTAGGGTTCTGAGAAGGGGCGGAATAATATCGAATTCGAAAGCGATAATGGAGGGATTCTATATGTTAGACAGGCAAATGGGCGGCTGCCGTAGAAGCTCTTTCCCAATTCGAAGGGGTTGGTTGGTTCTTTCGTTCGTTAACGGTTATCGATGGCGGTTGGTATTGGAACAATGGAGAAAGCAAAGAAGCTCGTAGAGAAAGAAGAATGTGGAGAAGGAGAAAGAAGAGTGAATGAGACAGTGAGTGTGACGGTGGTCGTACGAACGCACTGCCACCGGGATTTTACCAGTTTACGGCTGTTTTTCTTTCTCCATTTTTATCCCTTTTACTTCCTTCTTCATTTTCCTTTTTTAACTTCGGAAACTTCGAAATATATACTTCCTTAATTCATTCAATATTTAAAAAACAGTCTACAAAACAATTCTTTCATGGTGCTTCTAAAATAAATGATTTTTCACATAATATGATTTATAATATTTGAGATGCAAGTTACATAATACGGGATTACAAATGAGTTTATTTACATCTAAAATTTTAAGTTCAATTTAAGTTCAATCTCGTCTATGATGTAGAATCAAGTCATTCGAGATTTCGAAACGAAAATTTGATGTCTTCGTCCAGTTGAAGTATTTGTCCAATTTTGTGTCGATGCAGGCTCTTTGGCTTAGATGTATAATGCAATGCAATTAAGAATGATAACCATATCCATATGATAGAAAGACCAAAATCAAGCAAGGTAGAAGAGTGATCACCAATGGTTAAACCAAGCCTTATATAAACAAATGATTTGTTTTGGCGTCTATCTAACAGCAATGTTGCCCTAATTATCATACCAAATTGAAAGAATGATCACAAGATATTTACATTTTATTTTCAGATCATACAACAAATGAATCCAGTTGATGTCATGCTGTTGTCAAGCTTGAAACTCAGCTTCCAATTGGCAGCTTCAGAGGCTTGAGCTCATTTACAAGTCAACTGCCAGTCTCCCCTACTTCATCACCACAGCAGCTGGCAATCCAACTTAGCAATCAGACGCATGCAAAAAAGCCTCTCAACATATTCAATCAACTGCACGAAGAACGGATCAAATAAACTTCCAGCTGTTCGGCAGACTGTGCCTCAGCTCGTATTAATGGAAGGGGTAGTCGATGACAAAGATCTTGATCACCACCAAAAAACCTACGTCTGTATGCTCTGGTAGTAATCTGCAATCGTACTTCAGCAGCAACTACTTCTCATTATTCGCATTGGTATGGGATAAACCCATTGTATCTAGCCTTTCCCCCCCAGCCTCCTTGGGTTCTTCCATCCTAGCAATTTTTGCCATGCCACAGCGACCTAGTGCCTGTGAAAGAGAAAAACAAGAAAGACCATCAGACTAGGTTTGCAACAAAATAAAGCCTTCTGAAGTATGTTAAAGTTCAGAGCAAGTACCCAACGCTGAGTGATAGTCTCTAATTGGAATATTTCGATTTAAGAAGTTTAAGTCATATTGCTCCATTAAGGGAACCAGATTCCCAATAGCAAATTGAAATCAGACTCAGCCAGCTGCCACAATCAGACTTAGGCATGGATGTGGAGTATCACCTGGTCACTGCAGCAGGTATCTTGTGAATCATGACATTAAAGCAGGATCCTCGCCAGATTTGCACGATGGTGGCATCCGACTTCCATAAACACAAATAATTTCCTCCAGAAGGAACACAACTTAGTAGCTCCTGCAAATTGTATAAGCAGTCACTTTGTTCAGAAAGGAATTGACTAATTAAAATTTTACTCCAAGGTAGTATCGTGAAAAACGCAAGGGAGTTTACTTATATACAAAGACCATACCCGAAGACAGGCACAAGGAAAGCTAAAGCATAAAGCTTGTGCTACATCCAGCCAGGATCTCCCATTGACGGCATGGTTGACATGCAAACAATGGTTTCCTTCTCAGCTTCAGTCTGCAAATAAGTCAATAAGCTTCTAAGAAGTTGTAAAAGAAAACTGGACCGAAATAGATAAAATAAAAACCTTGCAACAGTAAGCAAAATCTTCCACCCACAGAAGATACCAAACGGTATAAGATAACGGTTTAACCAAACACAGGCTATCATAAGAAATTGACACAAGAAATTCATCAAAATAATACCTGTTGAAAATCAAAGAATTTCATAAGATAACCACAATAGAGTTCGTATCAAGATAGATGCATGAACAAGAAACAAGCAGTGATGTTTATCTTAATTTCAGTAATAAAGCACACCGTCTCTTATAATTAACATGCACAAGCTGCTAGAAAGCACATGAGGAGTCTTTAGGCTGTGAAGGTTACCAATGCACCTAACAAGAACTTAGCCATCATGAGTCTTCTGAAAGATCAGAAAGGAATCATTATTTTATCATCTGAAAATAACGAATTGCCTTCCTAAGCTTCCTTGCATCTGCTTGAAAGCCAGCACGCTGGAGGCCATTGAGAACAGCTTGTTTAGCTGCCGGGAGTATTCTAATCCCTTCTCTGGCACAAGAGAGCATTAGCTCTTTTGCGCAGCCCAACCTTCCAGCTTTGGAAAGATTGTAAACCAATGACGAGTACGTAAATGAGTCTCTCCCCTCCATCGACTCGGTCATCCTCCAGGCAAGATCAAACTTGCCAGCTTTACCTAAGCCATCAATAACAGAGTTTGTGGCAGCAGAGGTGGAATCAAGACCGCTCATACTCATAGTCATCAAGTGTTGTCGAGCCGCCTCAATATTGCCAGCCTTACGCAATCCATCCACAATTATGGTATTTGTGTACTTATCAAATTCCAAACCTTTTCTCCCCATTTCATCAATCCAATTATCAGCTTCATCCAACTTACCTTCTTTACATGAGAGATTCATTAGCGTATTGTATGACACTAAATCAAGCTCGATACCATTCGTTATCATCTCTTCTCTGAACGAAGCTGCTTGTTCAATTCTACCAACCTTGAGCAGAGCTCCAAGTGCTGTACAATACCCAAACCCATCATAAGTGTACCCTTTACTCTTCATCTCTTCCAACACCCTAAGTCCTTGATTCAATTTTTTAGACTTAAACCAGCATTTCATCATCGTAGTATAAGTCACAGCATTGGCAACTTTCCCAGAAGCCTCGCATTCCCGGAGGGCCCTTCTAGCAGCGCCCAATTTCCCAGCTTTACACAACCCATCAATAAGAACATTATAAGTAACCACATCGGGATCAAACCCCTGTTCCTTCAAATACCGGAACAAGCCAAGTGCCTTACTAGCATACCCATTCTTGCAGAGACCATTAATCAAAATGTTATAAGTAGCAGGAACGGGTGTCATACCTAGTGACTTGATACTGTCCAGCATCCTATAAGCTTCAACTGGCTGCCTCAGCTCAAAGAAACAGTGCATCAAAGTGTTGAAGCTCCAAACATCCGGGGATACGTTTCTCTCCAGCATCTCGTCGAACAGTTGGAATGCATTCTCGAACAAGCGCCGCCTGGCAGCACAAGCAATCAAAGAATTGTAAGATACCACATCGGGTTCCATCCCGGCTTCCGCCATTCTACCCAGAACAGCATAGGCAGCCTCGATGCTAACCAGACGACCGTAGCCATTGATTAAGGTATTGAAAGTGACCACATCGGGGAGAACTCCCAGTCTAATCCCGTCGATAATCACCGTCTCCGCTCGCTTCAAATTCCCAGCCTTGCAGAAAGATCTCACGCACTCATTCAGTAGTATGTTCTCCAAATTCACCCACATATCTCGCTCCTTCCCCCTTCCCTGCTTTCTACTACCCGCGACCAAAGAGCAAAGAAATGGACGAAATTTCGCATACCCAGAGGGCGATTTCGTCACCTCGAAACAAAAATGACGCGAACGCAAGGAAGCCGAAACTCGGCTTGCACTTTGCAGGCGGTTTTTCGAGCAGAACTGAATCTACCCGAAGATTACAGGAGGAGACAAATAAACAATGGAGGTGGAGGAGAAGAAGCTGTAAGCGTAATTGACTGGGCCTGGCCGTCAAGAAGTTGAGCAGGCCCAAGTGGGTAGTTGGTTGCTAGCCAACCCAATGTCGGCCCTTGGGCTCATTAACTTGGCCTCGGCCCGACTGCATTTTCCCTCGTATTTTATTTATTCCCACCAAAAAGAAATGGAAATAAATGTCGGGAAAGAATAAACGGATAAAAAACTGTCACGGGACACCCGCCGAAGATTTAAATTTTTAACTGCAACGGTCACCATTTCCGATGCCATCTAAACTCTACAAAAAGCAGAGCACTGGAAACGAAAAGGAAAACAGAGCAAAACAACGGTCACAAAACAAAGAATCCGAATCCAGGACGGAGAGAAAAGGAAAAAGGGAGATCAGATGTCGAATAATAAGAAGAGGAAACAAAGGGGAAACGAAGATGGAGGAGGAGAAGAAAGAGAGGGATTTCTGAGCTCAAATTGCAGAGTGGTGGAGTATCTTCAGCCTTTGATGTCGAAGGAGCTACTGGTAAAGTTCCCGGACAACTCCGCTTTCGATTTTAACTACTTGGAGAGCTCTATATGGTCGCCTCTGGTCCCTCGAATCCACAATTTTGGAGGTGGGTTCCAGTCTGATTTGGAGAACAGAGGCGAGAGGCCAAGGAAGAAGATGAAGGTGAAGAAAATGGTGGTGGCAGGGGAAGAAGAGGAGAAAAGCAGTGCTTTGTGTAACTTTAATTTCGGATTGACGAAGATGAAGAAGAAGAAGATGACGGAAGGGATAATGGTGGACTCTGTTTTCTCTTCAAATTATGTTGAGGGCTCTGTTTCCTGTGTCCCGCTGGCTACTAAGGTAAGGAGATTTTATGTAGATTTTTTCACAAATTCATGAGCTTTCGTTCCCTCGACCCGATGATTCATATATAGTTATTGGGGGGTATTTGTGTAGGGGTGGAGTAAGGTGCTGAAAGCTGCCACAAAGCATTTCAAGAATAGCAAGAAGAGGAGAGATTCTCATGTCAGGCTGTGCAACTACTTGGGCAAATTCCCTGAAGAATTGTGAATTCTTCCCCTCTGAATTTGCATAGGGGAATTGCTAGACTAGCTAAGATTAATTGATCCATCTGTATAACAATTACTACTGTCAGCGAAATCTATCTCTTCCACTCTTTTTTTACTTTGCCAATTCTATTTATGATTCAATGTTCTATGTTGTTAGCCAGTGTCCTTTCTGGAGAAGACAAGCAATTAGCAAGTGCTACTTTGACCAATCTCCGATAACAGAGAAGCAAGAAGGAACTAAATAAATCGTGGCCGGAATGTGATTGACTATTGAATATTGATATGTTCCAAAAGGCTCAACCTATAGTTTGAATTGAATTTCTTGTTTATATGTGTTTTTCTATTAATAGATAGGAGGATATGAACAAATACGACTAGAAGGAATAGGAAGGGCATGTATCGAATTCGTGATGTTATAAACGCGCTGCTACGAATCGGGAAATCAACATTGAGCCCACGATGTATGGGCTCAATGTTATTTGGGTTCGGGTTCTGGGCCTGGTCTGTAACCGTTTCCTTTGCCAGATTGGATTAGGTTTAGACCCACATGGAGAAGTACTATAAATACTTCTCATACTCCTCTGTAATCTGTAATCTCCTCGATATAGTGAAACTGGCTCTCTCTCGCCCGTGGACGTAGCTAACACACATCGTGTTAGTGAACCACGTAAATCGTGTGTCTGTGTTTTTCGATTCTCGCTTTCGTATTCTTGCTTTGTCGATTCCGACGATTTCCAGATCCGTAGCAGCGCGTTTATAACACGTGAAGACTCGAATTAGGTAGTTTTAGGGCTACATACATGATACATCACTGCCTTTAAGCATTTTCATACCATATTGCTTTACGATACATGTCGCGACACACTGTTTTTTGCTTGATCCGTGTTATGGACCTCATTTGATTGATTGATTCAAGCAGATATCTGGATAGCACTAGATGGTTAGACATGTCAAATACTTAGGTGTCGATTTCTTTCGACCCACAAGAATTAGCGCCACGTTACGCGGGTCAATCATATTTCAATCCAATCAGGAAGCTAATGCACCACACATTCTAGGTCGATCGAAGCATGGTTTGAACGAATTACAATGCATCATCGACTCTACGTTTTGGATCGGGTCTAGTTAGATATAGACAACAATAAACGAAAATCTAACTTATAATAAGCACCATTGAGACGGTCCATGCTTACAATATTTGATCAATCAACCCTAGCATTATTGAAACGACTGATTTTCGGAGGACTTTTTGACTAGAACAGCATCTTCATCATTCGGCTTGAATTACAAAACCAGATCTCTTATTATATCATTGCCGTCAATCTGCTCTGCATTCCCCCACCATAAAACCACGGACGGACCCGTCTGGAATCAGGACAAACCGCCGACTGTGGGAATCATACAAACGAAGCTACGTTGAAACAGAATCTTTTCTGCCGAATCCGGCTTTCTCAAGTGGAGAGAATTTAGACTCTTTAACGGAAGAAGGCCAAAGTCCTAATTGAAAAAGGGACGACCTTGTGATTAGACTTCATTGTGATTTCTTGAAGAACAACAACGTTTGTACTTAGGTAAACTCCTTGACTGAAATGTCAACAAATGCCATTTACTAGTAGTGTTGTGTTGCTACTAGCTAGAGATGAATTTGAGGTGTTTAGGAGTTGTTTGGTTGCCATCTACTAGGTGGTTAATTATAGTTATTCGAGAGATGGTTGTGTTACACTATCATTTCGTGATATTATGAGATATATTTAAGGAAAGTAGTATAGGATTTCATACATGGGCTTTTCTCTATAATCCGAGTTATGAGGATACGTTGTTTGGTTGTCATTTACTGGATGTTAATACGTTATACGTAATTGAGAGATAGTTATGTAATGCATCAGGTCTGGTGAATCTGTCCAGGACAACTGGTTGAAATATTATTACGATATATGTTGATTCATAGATAATATATTGAATCATGTCAATAATGAGTTAGTCCGAATAGTACAAATTGCACTTGTCATTTGAACATCGTGTCAAATACCTCCAATCAACCTCGGATTCCGCCGTCCATGCAAACAATTTCTCCCCTATAAAACCACTATATGAAAATCACAACCCAAACCACCACACTCAGCTTTCATAGCAAGAAAAAGGCACTTCCACTTCCACTCCTCCTTCGCCATAACCATGACAATTACCGCAGAGCTCATCATGATCCCAATCCCAGCAATCGGCCACCTCCCGCCGGTCATCGAGTTCTCCAAGCGCCTCATCTCCCAAACCAATCGGCTCTCTGTCACCATCGTCCTCATAAGAACCCCTTACGCCCCTGAAATCGAATCTTTCTCAGACTCATTAGCCGCTTCCTGCGACCCAGATCGAATCAAATTCATCAGAGTCTCCGGCCCCAACATCCCTCCATTGGAATCAATCAAATCTGCCCACACGTTCTTCCCTCAGTTCCTCGATTCCCAGAAGAACGCCGTCAGAGAAGCTCTGCTGGCAGATCGCGCGAAACAGAGTGGCTCCTCTGTTTCGACGGTGGTGGTCGGCGTGGTGGCGGACATTCTGACGACCGCCGTGGTCGAAGAGGTCGGGAGAGAGCTAGAAGCTCCGACGTACCTTTTTTTCCCTTCCTGCGGAGCTGTTCTCAGCATGTTGCTCAGTTTCCCGGCGGAATTCCAGCCGGCGGTGGCAGCAGGGGATCCCGACGGCGAGATTTTTTTCCCTGGCTTTGCCAGCCATGTCCCCCACAGGATGCTCCCGGCGACGATCCTCGAAGAGGAAGGTTACGCGGCGCTGAATGAGCATGTGGGTAGGTTCAGAGAAGTGAAGGGCATCTTGTTGAATTCGTACGAGGAGCTGGAAGCTCACGCCGTTGAGTCATTGGTGGGGAATTCGTTGCTGCCGCCGGTCTTCTGCGTCGGCCCGGTTCTCGACTTGAAAGGGCAGGGCAAATTAGGGAGAACCAGCTCCTCGATTGAGAAAATCATGACGTGGCTGGACGACCAGCCTCGAGATTCGGTGGTTTTCATGTGCTTCGGGAGCGTGGGGAGTTTCAGCGACGCTCAGTTGAAGGAGATCGCGATCGGGCTCGAGCTGGCAGAGGACCGGCGGTTCTTGTGGGTGATGCGCGAGTCGCCGCCGAAAGAAGGTTTTGGGATGCCCAAGGATTACATCGCCTACTCCGAGTCTGCTCTGGCGGGGCGCCTGGGAGAAGGGTTTCTGGAGCGGACGGAGGGGAGAGGGATGGTGTGCGGGTGGGTCCCCCAGGCGGCGGTGCTGGCCCACGAAGCGGTCGGAGGGTTCGTGTCTCACTGCGGGTGGAACTCGACGCTGGAGAGCCTGTGGCACGGGGTGCCCGTGCTGGCCTGGCCGATGTACGGAGAGCAGCAGATGAACGCGTTTTACCTGGTGACGGAGCTGGGGCTGGCGGTGGAGATGAGGGCGGACTACAGGATGGAGGAAGGCAAGGTGGTGAAAGGCGAGGAGGTCGCGAGGAAGATGGAGCTGCTGATGGATGGGGAGGGCGAGGTGAGAAGGAAAGTTAAGGAGATGAGTAAAGCTGCCAGACGAGCAGTGGTCGAGGGTGGTTCTTCCTTTGATGCTTATGGTGGATTTGTTGATTTGGTCATGAAGAACAAGCCTATAGATTGATTTGGTTTGTCTTTGTCATGTTGGGTAGGAAAGATTTTATGTGGAGCTTATAGCCTTTTGGATTCATGAGCAAGGTTTAGGGGAAGAGTTCATGGCATTAGGGGCAATTGTGTCATTTTAGTGTTCTCTTGGTTTTAAGGGATTGTTTGGTAGTTCAAAATAAAATAGAGTAACATTTCGATCATAATTCGACTACTTCTTACAGTTCCACACACATACTGATAGGGATGTCAATCCAACTCGTAACCATGGGTACCCTACCCGATCGTAATCGGTCAACGAGGGTAATTACCCGCTTTGACGGGTTAAGGAGCGGGTACGGGTAATACCTGGTTTCAAAATAAAGGGTAGGGTACGGGTATGGTAATCGATAATACCCGCTCCGTTATACCCGCCCCGCTAACCAAAGGGTCAATTTCCCTTGAGAAATTTAGATTAGCTTGAGAAATTGAGTTTAGCTACCATTATTGATGATGAAGATGTAGACAATTATTATGTTTGTGTGGATTGTAGAAGCAAGAACAATTATTACGTGTTTGCTATTTTTATTTGTGTGGATTGTTGAAGCTCGAACAGTTACAAGTATTGAGATTTTTTTTTATAAAGAAGTATTGAGAATTTTTAATGGACAACAGTATGTATGTGCATATATGTGTATAAGTTCATAGTTTAGGATTCGTACCCATGGTTACCCGAATACCCGTGGTTACCCAGTGGGTAGGGTATGATTATATAATTTTCATACCCGGTGGTTATTTGGTCGGGTATTTTAGAAAGCTCTACCCAGCGAGTTAGGAGTTGGTATAAGGTAAACCCGCACCTGACCCTACCCATTGTCATCCCTACATACTGATGATTCAGTCTCAATCTTGATAACTACCAACTCTTTATCAAAGACCTCGATCAATCTTTCGATGACGACAAACCTTCCATGACAGCTGCTCTGCTCCTTTCGTGCTCTTCCTCGTCGGGCTTCCTCGATCAACCTCAGCGTTTATTAGTGGAAATTCTAGTGTACATAGAATATAGACGGTATCACTTAAATCATATTGTATCAGGTTATTATATGGATTAAATTCGTAGGAAGAATCCCACAATGGAGTTCAATTTAGTCGTTTTAGTGGAAAACAGGGGGGTGCTTAAACCAGAGACACCATAATTTAGTGGTTTTAATTACTTTTTAGACTTTTAGTGGAAACCCCAAGTGGACGGCAAACTCCAAGATTCAAACTTTGACCAGCCGGCGGCCACAGATCCTTACTTAAAAACAGCGCCAAAAGAGGAAACTTACAACCCCCACTAATCCGAATACCCAAATCCCTGCCCAGAGAACGAAAGACAATAATGAGCAACAAGGAGCTCTTGTTCGTCCCGGCGCCGACCGTCAGCCACGTCTCGCCGGCGGTGGAAGCGGCCAAGCTCCTCCTAACCCACGACCGCCGCCTCTCCGTCACCTTCTGCCTCTTCAACATGCCCTTCGACCCAAAACTCGCCCAATACAACTCCTCCCTCGCCCTCTCCTCGCCCCGCGACCCGCGCCTCGCGTTCGTCATGCTGCCGGACGTCCGACCCGACCCGAATTCGACCCGGATCGAGCTCTTCGCCTCCGTCGTCGCCGCCCAGGAGGGCCGCGTCAGTGAGGTCGCCAGGGGAATCGTCGCCCGGAGTACCGGGTCGGGTCGGCCCGGTGGCCCGGTGCTGGCAGGGTTCGTGTTTGATATGTTCTGCTCGGCGATGATGGGGACGGCGGCGGAGTTCGGGGTTCCGGCGTACGTTTTCTCCCCGCCGAACGCCACTTTCCTGGGATTCGTCTTCCACGTGCAGAAGCTTCACGACGAGGAGCGGGTCGACACGACCGAGTTGCCGGACTCGGTCGGCGAGCTGGCGGTTCCTTGTTTGACCCGACCTGTGCCCAGGTGGGCCCTGCCTGACGTGGTGGCCGACAAGATATGGCTGCCGATTATGTTGGGACATACTAGGAGGATAAGGGAGGCCAAGGGTATTTTGGTCAATACGTTTCGCGAGCTGGAATCGTATGCGCTCGACTCCTTGGGTGGTGATAATTCCATCCCTCCGATCTACCCAGTGGGGCCTGTCGTGAACCTGGAGATCGACGATGTCGTTTATGACGATCGGACGAACGAGATCTTTCGCTGGCTGGATGATCAGTCGGAGTTGTCGGTTGTGTTCCTGTGCTTTGGGACCATGGGGAGATTCGGTGGGGACCAGGTGGGGGAGATTGCACGTGGGCTGGAGCGGAGTGGACATCGCTTCTTGTGGGCCCTGCGTCGGCCTCCGTCGGATCACGAGCCTACGGGCAGCGTTCCTGTGGATTACGACGATTTGACGGATATCCTTCCGGAAGGATTCTCCGATCGAACGGTCGTGACAGGGCGAGTGGTCGGGTGGGTCCCGCAGAAGGCGGTGTTGGCTCACAAAGCGGTAGGAGGGTTCGTGTCGCACTGCGGGTGGAACTCGATCCTGGAGAGCCTGTGGTTTGGTGTGCAGGTCGCGGTGTGGCCAATGTACGCTGAGCAGCAACTGAATGCTTTCCAACTGGTGGTCGAGTTAGGGTTGGCGACGGAGATAAAAATCAGCAACAGGATGACGGGCGATGACAAAGATATCGTGAGCGCAACGGAGGTCGAGAAAGGGATCAGACGTCTGATGGAGGAAGGTGTGGAGGAGAGGCGAGGAAAGTTGAAGAAGATAAGTGAGATTGCCAGAAAAACGTTGATGGACGGTGGTTCTTCATTCACTTCGGCAGATCATTTCGTTCGAGATGTACTTGATTAATATCCCATCGGCCATCATTATCAAAATATCAGTTCCTCATTGTTCTTAAGCATGCCATGTACATGTGATGGAAAAACAGGGGAGTTACGTTGCTGAACTACTTATTAAACACATGGCTTTCCGTTGGGAAAACAGAAGACTTGACTTCATAAGTAAATTTAGGTTCCCCAATCAATAAGAAAGCACTTTTTCAGTTTATTAAGGAAACTTGACATGCTTAATCCGTTGTTGCCAAGAGATGCCTACCACTATGAGTGTTGGTGGACATAACATGTGAGCTCTATAGTGGAAAAGATGGTGGAAACAAGTTCTTAGGCAACTGGTATTAGCAACAATTGGTTTAATCATCCCTGTGATATCAAGTATTAATCCAATATTTATTTTCTATAGACGTGGCAATTAGCATTCAAATTCATGAATCCAATCCAATTAATCCACTAAATTATTCACCTTTTCCAATTCATTTGATCCAAAACTTGAATGTCATTTGGATTTATGAATCAATCCATGAATCCACCAATCCATTAATTCAGCAATCCATGAATCCAATTCATTTGCCACCTCTAATTTCCAATTACAAAATTACGGTCTGATTAGTATCTTGCAATTGTTGTGATTAACGTTCAAGATGATCCTCCAACGATCAAGTATGAAGAATTTGTAGATGTCGCATGGAAAAATGTCCAACAGCATTTACCATTTTGAGGGAAAATTATGAAGGGGACAAAAATGTCAATAGGGTTCATTGTATTTGTCGCAAGTGGTCATCACCTCCAAATTCCAATGAGTAAAGGTCGAATAGATTATCCAAGATTCAAGCTTTGATCTAAACCAAGAGCCGCCGGCGCGAGATCTTTCCTTAAAAAGAGTGTTCAGAAATGGAGATGGCCGCAAAACCAATTATTCCATCCAAAGAAATGGAGTCGATGACTACCAATAAGGAGCTCTTGTTCATCCCGGCGCCGACCGTCAGCCACGTCTGGCCGGCGGTGGAAGCAGCAAAACTCCTCCTCACCCACGACCTCCGCCTCTCCATCACCGTCTGCCTAATCAACATGCCCCTCGACCCAAAACTCGCCCAATACAACTCCTCCCTGACCCGATCGGCCGACGGCCCGCGCCTCCAATTCGTCCAGCTGCCGGAAGTCCGACTCGACCCTACCCCGACCGGAGTCGGGCACTTCTTTTCCGTCGTCGCCGCCCAGGAGATCCACGTCAGGGAAGTCGCTAAAGGTATCGTCGCTCGGAGCGGGTCGGGTTTGGATGGCCCGAAGCTTGCCGGGTTCCTCGTCGATTTGTCCATCTCGACGATGATGGGTGTGGCGGAGGAGGTCGGAGTTCCGGCGTACGTGTTCTCTCCGGCGAATGCCACTTTCCTGGGATTCATATTCCACGTCCAGAGGCTTTACGACGAGGAGCGGGTCGACACCACCGCCGGGTTGCCCGACCCGGTGGGCGGCGAGCTGGCGGTTCCTTGTTTGACCCGGGCTGTCCCATGGTGGGCCCTGCCGGACGTTGCCGTCGATAAGACGTGGCAGGCCATTATGCTGGAACACACGAGAAGGATAAGAGGGGCCAGGGGTGTTTTGGTAAACACATTTCGGGAGCTGGAATCGCATGCGCTCGACTCCATGTGTGGTGCCGAAGATGATGACATCCCTCCTGTCTACCCAGTGGGACCCATCGTGAACTTGGAGGTCGACGATGTTGCTTATGATGATGATCGGACGAATGAGATCTTTCGTTGGTTGGATGATCAGCCTGATTCGTCGGTTGTGTTCCTGTGCTTTGGGACCATGGGAACCTTTGGAGAGGACCAAGTGAGGGAGATTGCGTATGGGTTGGATGAGAGTGGGCATCGATTCTTGTGGGTCCAACGTCGACCTTCGTCTGATCACGAGCCAAAAAGCAACATACGGATTATGATGACCTAACCGATATCCTTCCTGAACGATTCTCTGATAGGACGGTCGAGGTGGGACGAGTGGTCGGGTGGGCTCCACAGAAGGCGATACTGGCCCACAAAGCAGTAGGAGGGTTCGTGTCACACTGCGGGTGGAACTCGATCTTGGAGAGCATATGGTTTGCGGTGCCGATCGCAGCGTGGCCAATGTACGCCGAGCAACAGCTGAATGCTTTTCAGCTGGTGGTCGAGCTGGAGCTGGCGACGGAGATGAAGCTGAGCTACAGGATGAAAGGGGACCACGACATGATCGTGAGTGCAACAGAGGTCGAGAGAGGGGTAAGACATCTGATGGAGGAAGGGATGGAGAAGCGAGTGAAGTTGAAAGAGATGAGTGAGATGGCAAGAAAGACGTTGTTGGTCAGTGAATCTTCGTTTTCTTCGACAAGCCGTTTCGTTCGAGATGTTCTTGGTTAATATCTTCTTATCCACCCAACTAGGGTTACTCACTCTTCCTAAACATGTATTGTGAATTTGTGATGGAAAATAAAACTAGTTGTACTTCTCTTTGGGAAAGGAAAAGGCGTGACTCACAAGTCACAAGTAGGTGGTTTAGGACCACGATGTAACAAGACAAACACTTCTCTAGTCGAGTTAATCAAGGCAACATGACTTGTTTAATCCGTCGTTGCCTAGTGATTAAGAAAATCAAAGTAGTTGAAATGGACCTACGACTTTGAGTGATGAGTCATGGGCGCCACGTATTAGCTATATCATGGAAAAGAACGTGGAAACAAGTTTTAAGTAATGATCGTTAGGAGCAAATTTAAAAAGCACTAGTAATGAATTGGTTTCATCATTAATGTGATCAAATATTGATCCGACGTTTACACTTTGCTACAAGATTATGGTTCGATTATCTTTATGATGCAACGGATTTGATCAAGTCTGTGTCTCTAAGTGTTAGTACTCAAACAAACTCTTCACGATCAATTCCGGACAAGGTTATATGATCCAACTAGCTTCTTTTGATGTAGTTGTTGTGGTCAAGTGAACTCCTCTTAATGTTCAAAAGGACCCTCTGATCGACGATCACGTCCAATGTAACAAATTAAGTAGAGATAATGTGGAGAAATCTACCATTATAAGAAAAATACGAAAAAAATTAATGAAACATTTTATCATCTGGAGAGATAAAAGAGTTGTTTATAGAGAAAACACGAGTGTTATAAGGTTATTAAGTAAGCGATCATAATTAAGTCCAACTAAACATTTTTGCTGCCTACAAGGCTTTAAAGTTTTATACAATTTTTTTTAATGTATAAAAAATATACCTTTTTGTCAATATTTGATATTATATAAGCATTATGATAACCCGCCTACAAAACAACTTATTACACAACACTCACAATAAGCTATAACTAATCATGTTTAATTATTTAAAACCAAGATCATGATTATGCCAGCTCATGGATGATACTAGATTCTCTTAGCAACTCATTGCCAACCAAACATCAACTACTCTTTAAGAAATCTTTGTTCCATGTGAAATAGAATCCAAACACAAAATGTCTAGCTCCATAAACCCCACATATATCACTTTCTAACTTATAAATTTATATTTCCATATAGAAAACCAAAATAAATTTTCTAGAATTATATTATTTTTTTAAAAAAAATATTTCAATAAAGTTTCCCTTAGCTATCTACTACACTATTCTAGAGGATAACATTCCTGTCTTTTTCTTTTTTTCATTACAGATAACCTCAAAAATAATTTCATAGAACACAACTTGCACACTCAATACCGACGTGGCAAAAGGCCATTCGTCCAAATCATTAAAATTTAATTGAAAATAGAGGAAAATAAAATATTTTAGATGTAATGGAAGAGTAAAGACAACTAGAACAAGTGGAACATATATATATTAGATAGGGACTGTAGGGTTTTTGGAGGAACCAAATGGGAATCGCCATGTGCATTGTAGACAATCACAGCTACAAACTTCTCTTCTTTCACATGTTCTTCTCCATCAATATATGGTATGGAAGTAAGGCAAAATCGATATAGAATCGAATCGAAAATGAACGAGACGTGGAGTTGAAATATCAACAATTTATTTGGCTCATTATAGAATGTCCCTCTGATTTTGTATTGAAGCTCAAATAAATGCATGGTTTTAATTCGATTTGAACAAATTCAAGATTTTTGTTAAGATGTGAACCTAATCGTTCTGAGTTCTAAAATGGTAAAAAGTTGGAAATGAATACATTTCAACCAAAAATAAAATGACCCAAATTTCCCACTCATTAACTCAAATACAACAACAATGTTCTCCCCTATCTATCTCCTCCAACTAACAAATCAAAACCATCTCCAACCAACCAACCACCACAAGCCAGAAGCTTTGCTTCAAACCCCAAATCCTTACCCGATCAGGACTACTACCATCTCCTAACAAATCTGTCAAGGTTACTACTTCCTTTTCCAACACACATTGACAAAAGGGAGGGAAAGAAAAGAAGTAGTATTGCCAACAAAAGAAGAATGAACAACAATACAAACACATCCATAATCAAACTCACTCCACAACCCATCATGTACAAATTCATGGCCCTAGTAAAACTATCACCACCATTGATCATCATCACCTCCCATCGGCGGAGGTAAATGAATCAGCGAACCCATATGGTCTGGTGGGAATGCTGGTCTGAGTGTTATCCAGGCTCGGCAGGAGCGAAGAAGACGATGACTCCATGTTGCCTCGACCCTCGTAGGCTTGCCATTTCTTCAGTGCCTGTGGCAACGACATGTCTAGATCGATCCCATAGATGTCGTCCGAGTTCTGATCTGTTGGTTTCCACAGCTCGACAAGGGAGGACAGGACGTTAACTGCATGGCCCATGTCCGGCCTCTGGTAAGGCTCTCTGGCGCAGCAGTGCCCTGCCAGCTCAGCTACGGTGCTGATGCTGGCAAGGGTTTCTTCATTGAGGTCGAGCGTTGGGTCGATGGCCTTTCGGAATGTGTCCTTGTTGAGGGACATTCTCTTGAACCATGTCACTAGATGCATGCTCTCCTCTGGCTGGGTTTCGTCTAGAGCCCTTCTCCCAGTGATTAGCTCCATTAGTATCACGCCAAAGCTAAAGACATCGACTTTGGTAGTCACCCTTCCTGTGACTGCATTAGCGAGTGGAAAATGTCAGCTTGATGATTCTCTACCAATCATATTGTTACAAACACCATAATTCAGTGCCCATTCAAGCATCTAGCTATTCAATCTCACAACTAAAGAATCTAAAATCCAGTCAAACAAGTAAAGCAAACTAAAATGAGCTTTACCTGCATATTCTGGTGCCAAGTACCCAAAAGTTCCAGCAATCCTAGTTTCAATGGACCCTTTTCCCTCTGGCGCAAGACGAACAAGGCCGAAATCAGCCACCTTTGCCCTCATATCATCCCCAAGAAGAATGTTGGAAGGTTTCAAGTCCCTATGTATGAAACTCTGATGCGCCAGGCCATGAAGGTACTCGACACCCCTCGCCACATCCAAAGCAATCGTCAGTCTCCTCGTCCAATCTAACGGACTGAACCCCTCCTCTGCCCAGTTGAAGATATGCTGACTAAGCGTCCCCTGTGGCATGTACTCATAGACAAGTAGCTTCTCATTTCCATCAAGGCAGTACCCTAGCAATGCCACAAGGTGGCGATGCCTAACTTTGGTCAAGACAGCAATCTCCGATGTGAACTCAGTCAACCCTTTCCCACTAATCACCCCTGACTCCATCCTCTTCACAGCAATTTTCGTGCCATCGTGGAGCTCACCTTTGTAGACCACTCCAAACCCTCCTTGCCCTAGTATGTTCTTCTCACTGAAGTTGTCGGTCACGTTCCTCAGGACTTGAATGGAAATGACCATATTCCCTGATTCCACCATCTGAATACCCCCATGCTCGCTTGTTGGAATGGTGTGTGCCTCGCTGACTGCTCCCACGCTAACACTCGAGCCAGCAACCGTGATCTTGACACTCTCGTTGTCTGAACCTGAGTGGCGAGGATGAACAACCATTGCATTGGGGCTCTGAACCCTGCTGAACCTCTTCTGTTTCTTTTGATACAGACAGAAGACCAGCAATCCAATAAGAAACAGTATGAACACACCACCAATGACGGAGAGCACAATTACCCCGACATTAGAGGACGATTTCTTCACCCCGTTTCGGGAGCTTCCATCTGAGTTCGAACCAGTTGCTTGACCTCCTGATGAAGAACCATCTGGCGGCTGACTACTGATATCCTTTCCAATATCTTTGTTCCCATCGGTATTCAAATCAATCTTGTTCTTAAAGACTGGAACTTTACCAGAAATCTGATTGTTTGCAACATCAAGCTCTTTCAGCATAGGCAGTGAAGCAAGCTCCTGAGGGATTGTACCAGTCAAGTTGTTATCAGCAAGAACCAACCTCTGCAGCGAGGTAAGCAATGCGAAATCAGGCGAAATAGTGCCCGAGAGGCCCATCTTCTGGAAGTTGACAACAGTAATGTTGCCACCACTGCAAGAAATCCCAATCCAATCAGCACAAGGATCATTCCCCTTCCAATTCTCAGCAAGCCTCTGAGGGTAACCAAGAGGCCTCACGATGGAGAGCAACGCATCGACCCTCGAATCACATGGTCCAGGCGTAGGCAAGCAGAAACTATTGGAATCCTTCGTCATATCCACAGCAACCGAGCTCTTGAACTCGGGCACCGGCCCTTGGAACAAGTTGTTGGTCAAGTTCACCACTTTGAGTGAATCCAACTTGGTCAAGGACTCGGGGACCGGACCAGAGAACGAATTGTCCCTCAAGCTCAGGCTCTCCAAACTTGTCAACCCAGAAAAGTCAGGCAAAGGACCATCGAACCCATTATCATGAAGCCAAACTTCCTTCAAAGAAGTCATGTTCCCCAACACATCAATTCCCCCAGTGAGCTTACCTACACTCTTCTGCCCATTCACCCAAAATGACTGGATTTGCGAACCAGCAAGCGCCACAGGCAAAGCACCCTCCAGATTGTTAAAAGCCAAATGCAGGGTTTCCAAACCAGGGAAAGCATCAGAACCGAAATAATCAGGAATCGGCCCAGAAATATTGGCAGAATTAGCAGAGAAATTCTGCAGGGCAGAAGCATTCTTCACACTCTCCGGAATCTCCCAGCTGGAAAACGGGTTGTTGTCAATTTCAACGGACTGAAGAAAGGAGCAACCTTGGAAGAAATCGCTGGGAATCGAAGTGAACTGGTTGTTGCTCAGCATCACCACGCGGAGCGAACCCAACCCGCTCAAACTGGGCAAATCACCCGAAATGCTGTTCCACTGCAGCTCCAGCCGCTCCAACATAGTCAAGTTGTGGAGATCTGGTGGGAGCTTACCTTTGAGACCCAACCGGCCGATTTGAATCCGAACGACCCGGTTTTCTTCGGAGCAGCCCACATGGTCCCATCGGCATGGATCCGGGTCGGACCACCCGATATCCGGGGAGTTGAGGCTGTCCTTGAGAGCAAGCATTACTGGCGCGTCTTCAGTTAAGGAGCTCACGAGCGAGAAAATCGAACAGAACCCAGAAATGAAAACCAGGTAAAGACTGAAGCTGGAGCTGAAATGGGACTTCTTCTTCCTCGCCATGACTATCACTTTTTCCCCCAAAAATCAAAAGGAGGAAGAAAACAGGGGAAAATTTTCAACTTTCAAGTTGAGTTTCTTTTTTTTAAGTGAGAAAGCTGCTAAGCTCGGTTCAAGCTGGAAGTACTCTAGGCCATGGAAGGACGAGGGGGGGAAATGGAGAGAAAGGAGAGGAAAGATTGGAGCTTTTTCTCTGGGTGGGTTTTTAGGGGTTGGAAAGATGGAAAGGAGGAGCAGGTGGTGGGAAAGGAAAGGTGCTGCAATTGAGAAGAAAGCACATGGGGTTGTGGGGGAGAAGGCAAGGTAAGGTAAGGAAAGGAAAGGGAGGATTGGGGAAGAAAGAAGGCAAAGGTGAAGAAGGGTGGTGGTGGTGGGCCGACAGAGTCCCAGAATATAAAAGCTGTCATAACATGGTTTTACGTGGAAAATCTGAAATTTTTATCGTTTTTTCTTTCCTCGTTTGATTTTGAAGGATGAAGGTGTAAAAGCTTATATATTTATAAAAAAATTGGATGGATATCTCCTTTTGGATTTCAACTGGAAAGTGGAAAGCACCGGAATTAGCCTATTATTTGTGGCTTTTTATTCCGGTTGTCATTTCTTCGAGTTCATACCAATTTTATAATATGGTTTCTATCGCTATCAGTTTGTTTTTGTTATCAGCAGCAGCAGCATCATCAAACTACAGTTGTATGGTTGATGGATTTGAAGACTCCAAAGTTGGAACCTATATGGCTATATCCCAGTTGCAGATTCTTGACCCGAGCCAGTCATAGCCACAGACTGAACCAACATTGGCACCATCGTCCCGATCATCCTAGCCCACATGTTGGTCCTTGTTCGTTACACGATTGAGAGAGTTATAGTTTGGTCGTCAGTTATTGTATGGTTGTTGCTTGTTACTGTTTCGACTTGTAATTAATAATGCCTAGCCCTCGCTCACACAATAAATGATAGTACATATATGTGATGAAGACTCTAGAAATATGAACGACTGGATTAGTTCGATAATGTATTCACTCATACTTAGAGATATGACACAAAATGGACCAGTAAAGTTTTGAACTTTGGGTGTCCATCTCTCAAAAATTAAGAGCAGAGCTACACTCTCTCAAAACTCATATCCCACAACTGTTAACAAACTATCTACTTTACAACCTGAAAGTGAATTCCGAATCAAACCCTATTACATACCCAATAAAAAATACCAAGAAGGAAAAAAGTGTTAATAGATTAAAGGAGGGAGAGATCATCATCGTTTTCCTTCAAAAGTTGTTTTCTTCTCGTCGTTTTCATCAGTACTTTCATCGGTACTGCACTGTTGTTCATCGTCGTAATACTCTTCCTCACCATCTTCATACTCATACTCGTCTTCGTCATCATCATCATAATAATATTCCTCGTCATCGTCGTCCTTGCCATTTAGGAGCATCTCCTCGGATTCCAGTCCCATTAATCGTTCTTGAATTCGATCTCTAATGGCTGTGCCCTGAAATCAAGAGAAAGGTTGGGTTGTTGTGATTGTAGAATACCTCCCCAGAGTCCGGATAGAGACTTCCCTTTCGATTTCGGTTTGCATAGGGGCTTAAGGAAGAAGAGAAGAGAGGAGAACTACTAACCATTTTATGGCAACCTTCCTCAAACATCTCAAGGAAACCAACAACCCATCGATTAGCATTGTCCACCCATTCATTACGATGCATTGCCACTGTTTGAATCTGAAGGATGGAAAACGAATACATACGAAGCACATTGAACTTACCATTAGAGCATAGCAAGAAAAGATAACAAATTCTCCAATGTCAGAGGAACCATAGATTGTTTAAAGATGCAAGCATTCAAAGAAGGAAAGATTATGCGTTTGAAGCTTCAAAGGACAGATAATGGAACATGTTTGCAATTTCGACCATTCTGAAAAATTTAGCCATCTTGGATGCTCATTGATCATTGCAGAAATCAAGCAAACATAGCCAAGCAAAAACCTCCCTTTCTGATGATCAGGGAAGGGACAACAGTATCCAACACAATAAAAACACACCTTTTCTCCAACTTTCTCTTGTTGTTCTTTCACTTTCTCCTGTAGTTTCTTCAATCTCATATTGACCCTCAGTCGTTTTTCCTGATTACAAAAACTGGGAAAGTCAGGATTTGATATTTCTCTTTCGCAAGAAATAAAAACAAAAATGGCTAGACAACACAATAATGCAGCACATTGTCCAGACAGGAGACATCCCAACCATACCTTTACATAGCTAACACCAAGTTCCTTTCGCGTATATCCTCTGTCCAAATTGCGTATAACATACTGATTGTAGTCTTTCAGAATCCTCATTATAATATCTGATGTAGAAATCCCATCAGTTCTTTTAGTTTCTTTAAATCTCCCAACTTTTTTAACCTAAAGTAGAGTCACACAGAAACCATAAATCATCTGCTGAGAGACAAGCAAACACCAATAAGAAAACCAAAACTCCACCACTGGACTTACAAACTCATAAACATCATTCCCAGCTCCACTTGCATCTGCATATCTACACACACAAGAGATAGTGTTAATCGTCCTCTAAATTTCACATAATCCAACAAAAGATAGTGTAATATTCATTTTTGGCCCCCAGTATCCCTCAACATGGTTATTAATCAAGAGAGCTCGGATTGTATCCTGGTATTCCGGATACTAATATAGGATTCATTATTGGACCCTTCCACAACAGCTCGGATTTTTAAGATGAACGAGTTCTTGACACAGATTGATCTAACACTAAGAAATGAGAACCATTCATATCATCCTAGATTCAAACTCTAGCGACATTCGCCTATATAAAAAGAAGACATTGCTCCACGCCTCCATGACAACCCGAAGTGGTTGATCTAGGGGTAATGGAATGAAAGGGTGAACAATGAACATTCATCGCACCTAGGTTCAAATCTCAGGCAACCACCAATTAATATAACACTAACGAATATGAATCCACTACTGATTTCCAATGATCAATGGGAAATTCTAATCAAACAAAATGCACAAGGGAGCTAACTGCTGAACCCAAAATTGAAGGTGAACAGAGCGAGGAGCAAACATACGGCAGGGCGTCATGAGCCACATAATCAATTTTGTGCTTGTCAAGAAACTCCTGGTTGATTACCCAAGGCGCATCCGTAATGACTTCATCCACCCACCTACAAATACAAAGACAACAAAGATCCACCCACACTCTCAGATCGTTCACAAATCCAATCCCCCGAAACAGAGAATTCAGTCTTTATTGTTTTCTGGTTTCAGCAGCCAATTTACTTGCAATGGCGAAGCGATTCGTAGCGCTCGGCTGCCGTCATCACCGTTTTCCCCTTGTACTTGTACGTGATCTCGTCGTTGCAGCACCCGACGAGAAGGTACGCGTTCGGAAACCTTGCGAATCAAATCATTAACTCAAGTCACAAACAAATCCAGCTGAGATGAGGCTGAGAGAGAAGGCAGGAAGAGGAAGGAACGAAGGACGAACGATTTCTTGGCCTGCTCGAGGGAGCGGGCGTGGCCGAAGTGGAAGAGATCGTAGATCCCGTCGGCGTAGACGCGAAGGGGCCTGTCGGAGGGGACCGGTTGATCGGAATTGCCGCCGGCGCCATTGGAAGAGGCGGGATGATAACCGTTGGATTTCTTCGCGTTGTCGTCGTCCATTGGATAAAAAAGGATGCCGTCGCCGGAGAATGGAGAATTGATGCTACGGCTACTTCGCCGGCTGTCTCCGATCTCCCTCTTCTTCTTCTTCTGTATGAGAAAAAAAGGAATCTCCAATTTTTTTTCTTCCTTCTGCCTCTTCTAGAGAGAGACAGCGCGTTCTTTCCGGTTTCCGCCCTCTATATATATCGCCCGGATTAAATTTGGGAATATTTGCTTAAATGGTACTTCAATTGTGGGAATTATACAAAATGACCACTGAACTAAATAGTTTAACAAAATGGTTGACAAACTATGGATGTTTGTATATGACGGTCTAATTCATTTATTTTCATAACACACAGTCTAATTCTCGTTTTTCATTCAAAAAATTATAATGATCCGCAGCTGCACGCTAGTATTTTTTTTCTTCAACCCATGACATTGAGGTTCGAATCTAACGTGTGATGCATATTATATCTCTCCATATTACAATCAGGTTAACCCCTCAGAACGCACAATAGTATTTTTTTCCCCATTCAACCCATTAGATTCTTTTAAATGATCGTCGACTTTGAGGGTTCGAATCTAACGTGTGATGCGTGTTGTATCTCCACGTTATAGTCAAGTTAACCCATCATAATCCAATTCCGTAGAAAATGTAACATGAGCAAGTATTCGTATGATTAAGCGAGAGCACAAACCGACTTTGAAGTTAGAATTCGATGTACAACCATCCCAAACACGAGACCATGTGATTTTAACCGGCTAAGTCAACCATTGATCTGCATCGATGAAGGACATGTCGATGAAAGGAGCAGCCAATGTATCATTCAGCTTCTGCACATAAGGTGCCCTCAGGCTCAGATTAGCACCTGCGCCACTGCAATTGTACTCCCCGTAGAAGATTGTCCTGCAATTAATCCATTGTTAATCGTATTTAACATGTAATTAACTAATGACAAACGTGGTTAATGGATCATTATCAGTTTGTGTTTAGTCTGGGCTTACTGGTCTCTGGCGGGGTCGTTGAAGTCATTCCAGCCTTCAGGGGCGACGATATCGGTCATGGCCGTATTGGCGAAAACTACTCGAGAGAAGGGCCTCCAGGCCCGGCCCAGCCAGATCCTGCCCGTGCCTCCCAGGCTGCAGTTCACGAACGCAAAGCCCGTGTTCTCGTCCTTGGACGCCCTCCCGTGGGCCGTCACCGCCCCGTTTATGGACCTCACCCCTGGGCCCACTGGGTTCGCCATGGATATCAGCTGGCAGTTCTGTCAGCAAATGGTGAAAATCATAAGACAATTTGATCTTAGTGTGGTGGATGATCGCCTCATCCTTCAATCATAGGGTTAGAAACTCGATTTAGGTGAAATTAGAGTTCAATTTATCGTCTGTTATGTACTAATACTTCGTACGATCACTCATGACAGGAGTTAGTCACTGCTATACTACGAGGTTAAATTAAATTACGTATACTAACCTGATAGAGAGATCTCGCGTTACCGAAGATGAAATCAATCGACCCTTGGATGTAACAATCCCTATACAAATGCCGCCCCCTGTCGTCGTGCAGTGTGTCCTGCGCTCCGAAGAAGCCACAGCTCGAGAAAACTGCCTGATCTCCCGAAACCCTAACGGCCACCGCCTGAGCTCCGACGTCTCCAGGCCCGGGAATCGGCGCAACGTTCTAGTTTACATGCATGCATGAAGATCCAACGTTACTTAATTAGTATCAATAGAGTAATGTTTACCACATATGTACTATATCGTTGTTACTTTTTGGTCGCTAAATATATATATACCATGAAGCTTATGCCGTTGGCGACGAACCTATCGGAGAAGACCTGGACGGAAGCGCTGTAGAACGTGCCGTGGGCTGAAAACGCGGTGTCGTTCCATGCGATGGCCGTGGAAGTGTAGCCTTGCCCTTGAAACGTGACGTTCGGTTTGGTTCTCGGCACGACCACTTTCTCGCTGTGGCCACGGGCAGTTTTCTTATTAGCCACCAACTAGTTACCGCAATAGAAAAGAGCTCAGCGTTGCGAAAAAAGTTATTTGGTGATTAATTAGTAAGCTTACTAGTAAATTCCGGAGTTTATCCAGATAATGCTCCTCTTCGAGCTCATGTTGGGGACGGCGTCAATGGCGGCTTGCACCGTCGTGAAATTGCAGCACCCGTTCCTGTCAACGCAGATCGTCGTCGTGGTGTTGGTATCCGGTGGCGGAATGTCCGGCGGGAAGTCGTCGCAAATGCTCGCCGGCTTCGGCTTGGCACCTCCGCCGCCGCCGTCCGTCGGGCGCTTTTTCTTGTGGCTCCGGCGAACGAGAGAAGAAATAGATAGATAGTGAAACTCGGATGCAAGTCTTTCCAGGCGATCCGTGACCAGCTCTTTGAAATCAGTAATTAGTGACGGCAGGGTGAATAGCCCGTCGCTATTGGTGTTATTAGCGACGAGTACGGAGGATGCGAGGAAAGCGAAAATGGCGACTAAGACGGCAAGGGAAAGGTTTTGGAATTTGAAGTTGCCCATGAATGAAGGTTGAGACTTGAGAGCAATTGAACTAAATGAATAGTTCGATTCTACCTAAGAGTCACTTTTGCTTTATCCTTTATATATGAAAAGGGAGATCAAGTGGTGGTTGGAAGTCTTTTTTTCTATGAATTGGATGATGCAAATGGATGTCTTAGAAAATCAATGAAGGATGTCCCAATCGAGAAAATTGAATCTTTAAGCTATAAGAAGGGTATGTACCCAACTTTGATGTTTGGGTTAGATTTGCTTGGATTGAGAATACAAGTTAACGTAGGGTAGTTTTAGACTCTAGGTAAGGGCATGTTTATGTATAAGTCCTCTTGCTTATTGGTTTTCTTCTTTCAAAAGAAATACTTCTTTTGTTTTCCATGTCTTACAACACAAGACGAAAGGGTTCCTAGTCTGATCGCTGTCAAAACAATGTCGTAATCACAACAACGTTGGTTTTCAATTTCGTAGGTGTTTTTATCTTTTTTTTTTCTCTTACTCCTTACGATACAGTGATAGGTTGTAACATCACAGTTTTGAATCTTTGTCTTGTCAAAATCAAGTGGATAGTTTTGCTGTTGTTGAACTAGAATTTTGTATCAGCTAATCCAAAATGCTAGCTTGGACCGTTCTGAATTATTTTGTTCACATGTCTTATAACACAGAACTAAAGAGTCCCAGTTTGATCAAAATTGAAACATTGTCGGCAATCACGAATTGTTGGGTTTGTAATCCACTAATCCCACACACTTTTCTCTCTTTTTCTCCCTCCTTACAATGTAGCGTTAAGTTGTAGCATCGTAGTTTCGAATCGTTGTCCATCCAAAATATAGAGGTTAGATATGTTCCTTTTGACTTTCCGGTTAGATATGTTCCTATTGAAGACCAATGTTGTATCGTCTCATCTATTGGAATGGTGCTAATTACTAACCATAAACAACAATTGTCACAAACAAATCTAGGAGACAACACATGGATCGGGCCAAGATGGGAAGCTCAATTTGATTTGGGCCTCATGGAATCCTGTTTTACTGGGCTTGTACCAATTGGTAATCAAATACGCAGAATAAGTACCCCTCCCCGGCGGTCTTCCCTTATAATTTTGACTATTACAAGCATAGGAGTGGAAAATTAGTTTCTTCATCCAAGTGATTGCCGAATGAAAGTTAGCACATTCTGATTTTCTAAGTATATCTTGAATCAAAAAGAGTTATCGTGCGATTACAAAATCAACGAATCATATATCATCGTCTCATAAATAAAATATATTTTGTTGAAATTTCACGACATTGTGATTATCTTTTTGGAGTATTCCATTATATTAATTAAGTGGCTAGAAACTAATATTTGTGAGGACTTGGAAAAGTAGTGAATGCTTAGGAAACAAGGCAAAGGATCAGGAAACAGTGGGTTGGATTGGATACCCTTTTGCCATCCACCACAGAAGCCAAGTTTAACAAGTCAAGATCAACCCCATCTTCTTCACAAAACTACATCCACATACATATAGCAAGAAAGAAACATTTTTCATTTATTTCCCGTTTTATAATTCTCATATCTTAATATTGGTTTACACAAAATCGGAACAATATGATTTGACTTACAACTTGACCTGATCTTTACGAGTCATTCACACTGTTATTTTCTGTGTAATTCATCTGTGTAATTTTTTTGTCCAAGTTTGTTTTCTCCAAAAGACTATAGATGACCTACACTAACAGCTGGCGATCTTCCTAATTTAGAATAACAATAACCATTATGAAAATAGATAAATACTCAATTTTACTCTTCTTATCTTTGCAATATATGACATATTTCTCATATTTGTCAGAAATCAACCACGTGTTTGACATTATTGTCTATATATATATAGCATACCAAACATTATCATAAATTTGAATTTTGTTGTGGAGGTAAATTTTTTGTGATGTCGATCACCCAATTAGGGATTTAATTACATATAATATATAATAAATTGAAAGTAGCAAAGATTGTGGCAATGTGTGATTGACTTTTATGTGAAGATGATGATAATTACTTTTTTTTGTTGTTGTTAATCCCTTTTTTAGGCCGACTAGGACCGCATATATGATTCACGCCTACATAATACATTCACCCCCCTCTTCCCAATCCATTTCTCACTCAATTATGTTGTTTCCTCGTAGTTTCGATGGGGTTTTTTGTGAGTGTTTTTGCTTAGCTGGCATTGCCAAGCGGTAGAGAGTGAGAATGGTGCTATGTTTGTGCGGCGACGAATTCAAGATTGAGGTGATCACGAACGACTAGATCGAATTAAGCAAATTATAATAGTTCATATATCTTTTGTTTTGGAGAGAAACTCGACAAACTAGCTACTAATTAATCGGTGTTTGTGAATAGTTCATATGTATTGAGAAGAGAATAGAGTCGCGGACTGGCTCTCTCGAAGCACAATCTCGTCTATCCCTTTGGTACGCAAGAACTTGAAAACCCTCCACTGAATTTAGATAGGCGATGCTGCGATGAATGTTATAGAGGTCAGCTTCCCCAGATAGATCAGATCCAATTCAAATCCTTGACACCGCCCGCGCTCGGCTTTTCTTTCTGATTGGTTGCTTGTGTTGCGAGCCTCGCCTGTAGGCTGATGTATTTTGGTTGTTCATACCTCCAATCAATAATAAAAAAATCGTTGCTCGATCAAAAAGATTTATTGAAGTCTAAATTGATGGGCGAATTTTACCAATATAAAACGATTGAACCATAACTTTAATATTGCTTACTTTTCTACTACAACCTCTAACAATTCTAATTCATAATATCCATATATATGGTTCGTAGCTAGCTAGTAAAGCTTAGGGTTTTAGTTATGCCATATATATGATCCATACATATACTTCCAAACTCCAATCATAAACATAAATCCATTTGCTGTCAGGTTTACACACGAGAAGGAACCACTTTCTTTGCGCCAAGTAATGAAGTGCTAGCGGCCGCACCGGCCTATGTACATATACGGCGCTCTAGCTAGCTAGCTAATACCTTAAAAGAGCACACAAGATTAGTTTTGAAATCCTGCAAAAAAACAATTCTTTGTTAGTTCCGAGTTCCCACTTGCTGTTGGAAGAGATTCCAACCAAAACTAATACCATCGATGATAAACCATGCACTACTGCTATTCTACTAGCTAGTAATAAAAAGAAACTGTTGAGGCATACTAAGGTTAAAGGGTTTCGTTCAAATTCGAAGTGGTATTGAATCTGAGGTTGACCATCGCTTAATTATCGAGGTTTCCGAAGATAAAGAATGACTGGCTTGAGTTGATTACACCCGAGTGACCATATAGAACTACTTCTATATATGATTAGTGATCCGAATCCGAATGACCATGTATTTAACTCTATCTATTATTGAAGGAACACAAATTAAAGCAGACAATGTTGAAGAGAATGCTATCAATATATATAGAAGCATATGCATTCTCTATCCAATTCATTCTTTGTGGCATCACCATATTTGGGATATACAATGGAGCAATTAATGAGGTGTAACTTATAATTTTATTAAAAAATTAATAAGTGAATGTAGCCAACTTCTGCTTACTCTTACAGATTCTCAATCAATTCCCATCTGCATGATGAATGCTGACCTAAAAATTATTATTCTCTGTTGTGCATATAACATAAAATAAAGCAAAAAATAAGCCAAAATCATAATTAAAATATTTAAAAACCACGTAGAGCCGCCTACCTTCTAGAAGCTGAAACTAATAATTTAAAAAAAAAATTGGGCAAAAATCAGCCCTTTAATTAATTTCTTGATGGGAAAATGAGAAAGTGTAAGTAACACGGCATTTACATTGGTCAATGAAAGATGCTAAAGGACAAAAAAAAAAAGGTGTCAGCTTGCCTAACTTCTCCCTTCCGTCAGTACATGAATCCGCTATTCCTGTTCTCATTAGACCCCGCCGACGGTGGCGCAGCCTCCGTCGGCGCCGCACCGCCCTCCGTCCCGATCCCTCGCTGAAGCAACAGATCGCTGTTGACACCGTCGATGTTAGCATTCTCGTCGCTGTTGCTCCCATTTGCCAACGAGAACAGAAATGGCGACGACTGGTGGAACTGTGACGACTCTTGGTACTGTAACTGGTGGAACAACCCTTCTCCTCCTCCTCCTCCTCCACCGCCGCCTCCCGTGGCGACGGGAGGAGGCTGCGCTGCGTTGTTCGACATTCGATCGAACGGATGGCGGTGCTGCTCGAGCCCGAAGCTAAAACCATTCAGTGACGGAACATTTAGCGACGACCCAAGGCCTCCGGTGACGAAAGGTCCCGCGGGACCGCCGGTGAACTGCTGGACCATGGCGCGGAAATTGCTCGTGTCCGTGCTTAGCAACGTCGTCGGCGTCCTCCTCGACGCCCTCGACCGCTTCCTCGCCGGCTTCGACACCCGGCCGCCTTCCAGCCGGCTCAGAGTGCTGCTACTATTAGCGACGGAATTATGGCCTCCCCAGCGGTTCGAGCCCGCTAGCTGGATCGGGGTGGGCTCGGCCGCGGCCGAGGAGGTGATGGTAGAGGCGGTGGTGACAGCGGTGATATTACCGTCAGAAGAGAAGTTGAGCTGGTTGTGGTGGTGGTAGAAGTGATTAGCCCAATCGTTAGGGTTGGACATGGTCTTGCTCATGGCCGGCGGCAGAGGAGATAGGGTTCTTTTGGCTTCTGGTTTTTGAAGGAAGTGGGAAATGAGAGATGCGGTAAGGAGAAGGTTATATAAAGGTTAGGTGGTGGTGGTGGTTTTTGGTGTACCAAAAATCGGGTCAAAGTAAGCGGAGGGACGAGAAGGGTTGTTCATCTCTCCTTTCTCTTCTTATGTCTCTATCTCGTAGACCCATCAATGACTCCAAAATGGGTTGTCACGCCGGTCAGCGTGCCACCGATTGTACCTGGTTCAACGGTCATAAAACTGGTGTGACAACATCGGTATGGCCGGCATGATCGATATACGAATCTCTAAGTAAAATAACCTTATTTTAGTGACTTTAATTGTTAAAAATAATTTATTACTTATTTTATGAGTATAAATGTTAAATATTGATATTATTTGTTGGATTCAAGTATAAATGTTTAGGTATTGACGTTAAATGTCATGTTTAAAATGAGTATTTATAATTTTATTTGTAATATTGACCGGCATGAACCGACACAAACCGGTATGTGCCACCGGTCGAACCATTCCACTTGCTAAACCGACACACTGGCATAAACCGGTTTGACAACCTTACCAAATACATGAAAGTTAAGTTGGCATGTGGTGAGTGCCCACCAATTCTTGATGGCGGAGGCACAACTTTTTTGGAATTGAATATCTCTGAGGTTGATTTACATAAATGTTACTGATGAATTGGTGATTCAATTTCGATAACTAGTGAAGTTCTAACTTTCGTCCTGTTAATAAGATTTTACGCTCTACTATTACTCATTTGAATTATGTGCAAATCGATGTAAGAGATCTGATCATATAAGTTACGCGTGGTCCTTTTTTAAAATTAATACAAATCAACTGTCACGTTAAAAGTCCTTGACGTACAATTTTAATGGAAAAAATAATGATAAACTGGATGTAATTACTATATATTATATTTCAACCTAGTTGTCTACTATCAAAGACTTTTAGGCAAAATAAGGGATCAAAAAGTGGATAGGGTACTCCTATTGGGCATTAAAGGAGTATGTGTGGTTCAATTAATGAGGCTCATACACCCTACAAGAAAAATGATATGGAACCCTCCAACCTTTTAAATTATCAAATTAGATAAAATAGTTATTAGAAAGATTAACCGAGCATTTGACATGATAGAACATGTTTTAACTGATTGAGTATCGATCTTTCCGTTAGTCGAAATATTAAATACTATCATTTATCCACATAATATAACTTGTGCTATGTATGTCTACCTTACAAATCTTTCGTCAAACTTGTATATCTTTAGTCAAGCTAAATGACTCTAAGTTGCCAGTCTAATCTCACTTAATTTCATCATTAATTTTCATGGTGGTGGTGGCTGTATATTGCCGACGCCAGCTCTTTGACTTTTGGGTGGGGTTGGTGGCTGTATATTGACAAGATAATCTTAATTAGGGAGGCGCTTGTTTATCATTATTTTATTTGTTTAGCTTATTATATATCATTTTTCCATGTATGGTAACAGTAATGTTTTTGATATGCTCGATATATATTTGTGGTAAGAGGAAACAGCCTAGTACTTTCTCATTCATATATGTGCAGTGGAGAGTAATTAAGTGGATGTTTTTGGTGACCATTATATAGACGATAATTCTCGTCCATCATATATAGATAACAAAGCTTATGCTATATAATGTTCATGAGATGACAACAAAAGTGAAACATCATATATTGTGATTTATGTTTACAGTTTTTTCCCTCAGAAATTAATCTCATAAAAAATCTTCGAAATTAATCATGATACATTAGTGATGCCACGAACTCATCGACATTCCTCTCAGAACTCCCACCATCGGCGACAGCCTCTCGTGCCGATTTCTTCCACTTCTCTGAATTCCTCACGATCTCCTCCCGACTATCCCCTTCCATCACTTCCTTGATCCGTCGCCCTATCTCCTCCTTCGTCACCACCCCACTCTCCTTGTCAACCCTTCCACGCGCTCCAACCCGCCACACGTCAGCCACGAACTTGGCGTTTGTCGGCTGGTCTCCCCAAACCGGCAACGCCACCATCGGCACCCCGAGGCAGAGTGCCTCCATCGTCGAGTTCCACCCGCAATGTGTCAAGAAGCACCCAACGGAGCGGTGGGCCAGGACCTCAACCTGTCTGCACCAAGTCACCACGAGTTGGCTTGGTGAGACCACTTCGGAGAGGAAGTCAGGCGGGAGTTTATCCTGTTCGGATTCGCGAACCACCCAAACGAAAGGGTGGGAGCTGAGTTGAAGCGCCCGGGCGAGTTCAGCAGTTTGGGTTTTGGAAATGTCGGATGTGCTCCCCATAGATGTGTAGATGACCGAACCAGGAGGTTTCGAATCGAGCCACTGAGTGATAGATGTTTGTGATGTACCATCTGGATGGAAGAGGTTGAGCCCGTATTCCGATCCTGTCCCAGACAGGTCGAACGATTCTTCGGTGCCTAGATAAGCGGATGGGATCGTCGGGCCAATCGGCTTAAGTGGAATCGATTGATTTGCCATCCACTCAAGTAGCTAGTATAGTATGGTAGAAAAAGCGACAATGAAATCATTAAAGCATGTCATTCTAATTTCTAATTAACATCAACCCAAAAAAAACTTACCTTATCTTCCAATCTATAGAACGTGTTGCAAAACGCCCAATCGGCTTCCCTGACGGTGGAGAACTGTCCCACCAGCATCTCGAGCGCCACCGGATAGCTCTCCGGATTGGAAACTAACGACGGGAGTTCATCCGTCGCTAATAATACCGTCGGCAATAATCCCTCCACCGCAATCAAACCACTCTCGTCCACCGGCGCCGGCGGAGCCTCGAGCCTCCCTTCCATGATGTTCAAGTACACGGTATTAACAGCCATGGGCTGCGTGAAAAAGGCCGCCCCCACCATCCCCAGCTCTTTCGCCACGTGGAGGGCCCACGGCAGGATCGAGTCGTAGACCAGGCAACACGGACCTGGAGTATTGCCTGCAGGTCCGCGCAGCCTGGTCACAAATTCACGCAGTCCTTTCTGGACGAGGCTGCGGAAATTTTCGAGGAAATGGTCGCCCCACTTGAGCCCGTCGTCGGAGAAGAGCTCCACGGCGACGGAGCCCACCGCGGAGCCCTGCATGATCAGCTTTTTGTCGGTGAAGGTGACGAGGGTGACGGCGAGACCCTTAGCGACGAGCTTTTTCGAGAACTGGAGGGCCGGGTTGATGTGGCCCTGTGCTGGCCACGGCATCACGATGACGTGTGGCCGCCGGTCGGTCGTCGTGGAAGGCTTTTGTGTCGTTTCGTCGCCTTTATTGTGCTTTAGCGACGGATCGGTCATTTTTTTGGCGACGGATAGAGGGTGGCTAATTGTATGATTGAGCTCTGTGTGAAGTCACATTCACGAGGAAGGGATATATTATATATATATACCACCGTAACAGGGTAATCAAAGATCTATGATGGTGAAGATGATCACTGAGTTTCGGCTAGGTTTGTCTTCTTTTGGTCAAAGGTGACGACTGAAAGGGAACTTGCTTGTGGTGACCAAGTCTCGTTGAAGGTGATACAAATGGAAGACGTGCGGTGGATTCTTTTCCTTGAGGCATAATTAAACTCGATGGAAATGGACACCTTGTGGCTTACTCGAGATGTTGTATTGTTGGCTGGCTAATTGGTCTGGCTTTTTGGTTTTATCCGAAATCGGACGGTCGAATTCGGATCGAGATTGGATTAGGATTGGCTAGCAAACAATACAACCCTATTTTCGGGCTTAGATTTGAGGTAAAAAATCGTTTGGGACCGGATCTAAAACCGGATAAGAGAACCCAACACCAAAACTTAACCAACTCCTCACCCTTTGAGACCACAGACCACTCAAATTCTCACAAGACCAACTATCGAACTAAACTAACCCATAGTGATCATCAAAATGTGAGTGCCGTTAAAGATTCATTGTGCATTTGCAGTCGAACACCAGCAAACAATGCTCTTAGTTAGTGGTGGCTAATATAATATTTATCCGTCGCTAAAAGTGAAATTGTAGTGTTGAGCACCATCCAGATGGAGCATGGCCTCTGCACCGCTCTAATATGATATAGAAGCCATCTCTTTCCCAAGAAAACAACGATGGAAACTGTAAATAGAAGGAGCCAAAATCGCTCTTCGTCTGTTTTCAAATCACTATGTAATTGTTTTTGTCTTTTGATTGATTGTGACGATTCTGAAAACGAGTTTGTTCATGTAGATTACGACGTTGATGGTAAAGTAAATTGCAAATTCAATTACGATAAGATAAAGCAGGAATAACTTATATATGGTGCTTGAATCAATAGGAGTCCCGTCATTATATAACAGAAAAAGTGATCAACAAGTAAATAGTTTCAATTCTACAAATCGTATTGATTTAAGCAATGTGACAACACTTAATTTTTTTGGTTGATGAATAACACTTCTATAAATGGTAAATGAAGTGAAAAGAACATAAGTTGATTACATTATACAGTAAGACCAAATTATTTAAGGGATATAGAATCACACTTAGTAGATCGATAAGCACTCATATTATAAAGGAGAAGGATGTGTCTAACGACTACGGTCACGATTAAATCTTGGCGTGTCGTGTTCAGAGAAGGATGTGTCTCACGGCTTAGGTGGTGCAATCTTGGAGGAGATCCGATTGGCGGTGTCTTCTTCTCAGCTTTTCTCGCGCACTTTTACTCCTTACAAGTCTGACCAAGCTGGCTATTAAATGGCGAACAATACTCTTTCATCGACACAGTTCAACTATTTGTCGACTATCGCGTTTGGTTGCTTACTATTCTTTCACTTTTTATCTACAATTATCTATAAAAAAAAGAATAAAGTTGAATGAGTTGTTTGTTAAAAAGGTCCAAAACAAGGGCCAAATAGAAAAGGATCACTAACGCGAGAAATAAAGTTTAGGGGGCAAAGTGAAGTTTCTCAAAATTTTCAGGTCATAGCAAAATCCCAATCTCCATTCTCTCCATTTTGCAGTTCTCTTTCCATCTTGCTTCAAAAACCAGTTCGTCGCTTTCCCGCGGATTCTCCCCTTCTTCGGCTTCCAATTGGGTCGCCCTAATTCCGCAAATCGCTTCTGGGTACTCGCGACATCAAATCAGAGATCCATTTCCGTCTGAATTCGCCTATTCGTCGGTCGCAGAAACTCGAATTCAGTTGCTTCTTAAGCTCCCATGGCTGCGGACAGCAACTGACCAACGTCGCGGCTACCTTCAGAAAAGGGAGTCAATCCCTTAACGTATACCCGAGTTCCATTTACACTCGGTAACTCTTCTTCTTCAATTATTGCTTTCCTTTTGGGATTCTGTTTTCACGTTCTCCGTGCGGAGAGTGATTTGGTCGCCATGCGGCCTGTTCTAGGGTTTAGCTGATTCATTCCCACCTTGGCCTGGTTAGTTGACAATGGTAGGATATCTGAGGGATTGATACAAAAGGGTATGATATGTTAACTCTACGAGAAGATGAGGAAATGGCACCTACTGTGGATCAGGTACCAATTGAAGATGGTGACTGTACTGGTTCTCCCAAAAGGGCCGTTCTTCCATTGTTTGACGCTGCTGGTCCAGACTTTGAGCCAAGCAATGGGATCGAGTTCGACTCACATGAAGCAGCCTATACATTTTATCAAGAGTATGCGAAATCTATGGGGTTCACCACGTCAATTAAGAATAGTAGAAGGTCCAAGAAATCGAAGGAGTTCATTGATGCTAAGTTCGCCTGTTCAAGGTATGGAGTTACTCCGGAATCAGAAAGTGGGAACAGTAGGCGGTCAAGTATGAAGAAGACGGATTGCAAAGCCAGCATGCATGTTAAGAGAAGGGCAGGAGATGGTAAATGGATTATTCATGAATTTGTTAAGGAGCATAATCATGAGCTTTTGCCAGCTCTAGCTTATCATTTCAGAATTCATCGGAATGTTAAGTTAGCGGAAAAGAACAACATTGACATCTTGCATGCAGTGAGTGAAAGAACAAGGAAGATGTATGTTGAGATGACTAGGCAATCTGGTGGGTATCGAAATTTCAGCGATTTCCAGATTGAAATGAATGGAGAGTCTGAGCAAGGAGGTCGTCACTTGGCTTTGGATGAGGGAGATGCCCAGGTACTACTTGAATATTTCAAGCGTGTCAAAAGGGAGAACACAAACTTCTTCTACGCGATAGATTTGAACGAGGAGCAGCGTCTGAGAAACTTGTTCTGGGTTGATGGGAAAGTTCGGAATGATTACACCAGTTTTAATGATGCTGTTTCTTTTGAGACGTTCTATGTAAAATATCATGAGAAGTTGCCATTTGCCCCCTTTGTTGGGGTGAACCATCATTCTCAGCCAATATTACTTGGGTGTGCATTAATCGCAGATGAATCAAGATCAACATTTGGATGGTTGTTGAGAACATGGCTTAGGGCAATGGGTGGAAAATCACCGAAAGTTATAGTCACTGACCTCGGCAAAAACTTAAAGGCAGCTATTGAGGAAGTCTTACCCAGTACCCGTCATTGCTTTTCTCTATGCCATATACTGGAAAAGGTCCCTGAAGCTCTGTCTCTTGTGATAAAGAAGAATGAGAAGTTCTTATCAAAATTCAAGAAGTGCATATTTAAATCATGGACAGAGGAACAGTTTGATATGAGGTGGTGGAAGATGGTCAGCAGATTTGAGCTACAAGAAGATGAGTGGATCCGAAATTTGTATGATGATCGTAAGCGTTGGGTGCCTACGTATGTTGGTGATACTTTTCTAGCTGGGCTATCTGCAACTCAACGTAGCGAAACTATTAATTATTTCCTTGATAAGTATATTTCCAGGAAAATGACCCTGAAAGAGTTCATGAAGCAATATGGAACAATTCTTCAAAATAGATATGAAGAAGAATCTATTGCGGACTTCGATACCTTGCATAAACTACCTGCCTTGAAATCTCCATCTCCTTGGGAACGACAAATGTCGACAGTTTACACACATACGATATTCAAGAAGTTTCAAGTAGAGGTTTTGGGTGTGGTTGGTTGCCATCCTAAAAGGGAAGGTGAAGATGGAAGCACGGTGACATACAGAGTTCAGGACTGCGAGAAGGATGAAAGTTTCTTGGTCTTGTGGAATCAAACAAACTTGGAAGTTTCTTGTATGTGCCACTTGTTCGAGTACAAGGGTTTCCTTTGTAGACATGCATTGATTGTTCTCCAAATATGTGGTCTCTCAAGCATTCCTCCTCGATACATTTTGAAACGGTGGACCAAAGATGCGAAGACCAGGGAACAAACGGAAGGAGGAGAGCATCTGATAACTAGGGCGCATCGCTATAATGAACTATGCAAGTTAGCCATTGAGATGAGTGAGGAAGGGTCGCTATCAGAGGAGAGTTTTACCATTGCTTACAGAACTCTAGTAGAGACTTTGAAGAATTGTGTGAATACAAATAATTGTAATAATAGTGCATTTGAATTTAGTGGCAATGCTCAAGCCCCTCATGAAGTAGAGGTAAACCATGTAAATGTTTCTACCAAGCCAAGTAAGAAGAAGAATCCTATCAGAAAAAGGAAGGTGAGTTCTCTCTACTATTTACTCCAAATCTGTTGATGATCAAATGTGTTATGCCCTTCAGGTTTTATTATTCACAGTGTCAAAATCTGAACTGAAAAGTTATTTAGGAATTTCTTCTCTCATTTCAGGTACAATCGGATTCAGAAGCTATGGTCATGGAGGCACAAGATGAGATGCAGCAAACTGTACGTCCTGTGCCATTGATGTCATTTCTGCGTCACTATACTATACCTGTGGTCGTCAATATGGGTATTTATGTACAGTTGATTTATAATGTACTGGTGTCTTCAATATGGATAGGAAACTCTAAGTTCGGATGGGGTTCCACTTAATGGTTATTTTGTTGCTCAACAGGTAACATTGCTTGGCATTCTGGTATCTTTCCAATTACTATTATTTTCCCGTATCATAATGACCAACATTTTAAGCAAATATTTTTTTGTAGGTACAACTAAACTTGATGGATCCGCCTCCAGATGCTTATTTTGTCAGTCAGCCAAGCATGCAGACACTGGTATGTCATACTTGATAGTCTATTTCTGAAATGTTGAAGGGTACCTCGATGATATTGATGGTTCTGAGATCTGGGAGCTGGGTTTTGCTTTCTACTTTTCAGGGACCACTAAATTCAATACCCTTGAGCAGTGATGGATATTTTACCGGACACGGTCTGGTATGTCACAACTCGTATGTTAGATACACAAATCTAAACAAAACTTCCAGTCTTAACAAGCTGTCTCTGATTCTTCTCCATTCATCTAGGGCTCATTTGATTTCCGGAATCCAAGTGCTTTCAGCTACAGCTTGCAGGTGAGCTGCTGGATCTTGTATCAACATGTCACATTCACAATTTCTACGAAATGGGATCCTTAATTCCTGTTTTTTGTTATGCCATCCCTTTTCCTGATTTGCAGGATGATTCTCATTTGAGATCTTCTTCACAGTTGCATGGAAGCTCTTCAAGACATGCATAATGGATCAGAGATATGTCCAGATGCTAACTGGTTCCCTAGTTTATTGACTTGTTACCTGAATTTCAACTGTTAATTGTTTAATTAACTGGTGGAAATAGGTCCTTTGTAAGGTAATTTAATCATTTAGTACCTCTGATCGTAGATATTGAACACTTAACACCCTTAGGACATCAATCAACTGAGTTATCCTGTGCATAAGGTTGTCATTGTTGTCAGCGATCACGTCTCTGTAAAAACTCCGACCCTTGTGATGTTTTCATGAATTCGTTTTCTCTGTAGTAAGAAAGAAATCTGGGAAGAGAAATTTGTAGCATCGCTTGCAAGTAGCAGGTGAAGCTGGAAGAGAAATCCGACATCCTGGAGAAGCAGATATCGTTGATTTACAGCTCCATCTGATTCATGTGTTCTGTAGAATGTAGATTAATCTTTTGTGATGTATACATGTGGTCATCCAGTTCATTAAATGTATCTTACATGTGATTAACATGTGAATCTGCCTCACCATGTTCTAACTCGTAATTAACTGTGCAAGTGCTACTTTCATATCTCAACTAATTTGACTTCATTTGTAGATTTCATATTTGTTTCCTTTGAGAAGAGAACACAGATTTCAAGAAAGGAAAAAGGACTCGCAACAAACATTAGGTAGTGGAATTTAGTTTTTTTGTTTTTGTCTATTCCTATAATGGTCAATTACATACAAGTTCAACGAAGTTTCAAAATCAATAAATCATCCAATTTTGAGTTTTGGACAAAGTTGTCTCCCAAGTTTGAGATTGATAAACATAATACTTGCTTCATCCATTTTCCTCTTGATTATGGTCAAGATTAGAGTGTCAAATCATCCAATTTAATTGCAAAAAGGGTTGCATGAACTCTTTGAGAAGTTACTCCTATAGTGAACTATGATGATTACCAATAATGTGAACTCAAATAGGGCAGTGAATTGGGTTTTATTTGATCAGACTAAACTTCAAATTAGTCGTTTATACTAGTTAGTCATAGCTATTATTGATTTCATTTAGTGAACACACAATTAATTACAACTTGGACAACAAAATTCCGCGTAAATAGACGGTTAGTTGTTATGTTAGATATTCTTCGAACTTTATCCACAAACTTATCGAAAATGAAAGTTCAGTGATCCATTTTGTTATGGCTTTAAAGTTTGAAGACCATTTGTGTATTTATGTATGGTTGACCCAATTTCTGTATAATGCCAGTCTCTCTCAACTTACTTTCTCTGTTTCTTTCTGGCTGTCAAAAACCTTCTCTTTTGTCAGTTTTTGGGAAAATATTCTCTGGCTTCAACTTCAACAGTTTCTTCTCCACCATTTTCCTTTCTTAAGGATTTCTTCTGGTCTCTCTCTATCTGTTGTTGGTCTGCCCCCCCGGCTGGAGCTTTTCTCCATTTCTGTAGGGGGACATGTAGAGCTTTCGTTTCAGCTTCACACCGTCTCTGCATTTTGCCTTGCGAAAAATTTCCGTTTCTTTTCTCTCATTTTCTCATTAATGCTGACAAAACGAGAGACTAAGTAAAACCCACTTCCCCATTCTCCATCCGTTTTGGGGTTTATTGGTTTCAGACTGCACAGAATAGAAAGTTCAGTTCTTTCTGTTCTTTGCTTCCATTTTTGTCTCCTAGGACAGTTCCTTTGGTTTTTAGGGTTTTGGAGCTTTTCTAAGCTCTGGTATTGAGCAATTATGGTGAGGAAGCATGGATGGCAATTGCCAGCACACACGTTTCAGGTACTGAAATTTTCTTTGCTTCTCTCATTTCTTCACAAGTTAAGAATTTTCTCGTTCATTTTCAGTTTCCATTGGATTCCTTTTCCTTCTTTCCAGTGTTGGGTTTGCCTTTGACGAGCTTTGTTAAAATTGTATTCATTTGCTTTCGATCATGGTTAGGCAGGTCAATTCAGTTGTCCTGTCTTCTCTCCGCCCTCTGGAATGAGGCTGATTGCTAGGAATGCCATTTAAGAGGAAACATGGATGATATCAAGTAGCAGCAGAGCAGGATTCCTGGGTTTCTAGTTGTCTTATTTTCTTGCCGCGCCTTCTGTTTAGGAAAGAAGTAGATTTTGGGGGTTTTTTTCCCCCTTATGGAGGTGTTGATTGCAGATGGGCTTTTGTTTTTGGGGCTCGTTCCCAATATTAACCTTGGCCCAAGATTAGCAGAAAAGTATTGTATTTGCGTATACAATAATCTAATCTACAACCCAATCATCAAAATATTGGCTCTTTTTCCTTTATTTATTTGTTGGGTTTTTTTTTTGTCAAAAATATTCTTATCAGGGAATAGTTAGATACGAATTGAAAACACATCAGTAATAATACATATAAGAGAAAGAAACGGCTATCAACGATTAGTTGAATTATCAAAAAGAAAACTTTTTTTCGTCATGCAACGGACATTTTTTTTATACATATACGGAATGAACAATATCCATGACTTTTACCATACAATAGTGAAAATTTTGGAACTAACCATACTGAAGCATAGAAGCAAATCATTGCTACTAAGGGAAGTCCTTGAAAATATAATCTCTGCTCCTTTTCGGCATAGGACTAATCACATTAATGTTGATGAAACTAATTGCATTTTCAGTCTCATCATTTTTAACAAACAAGAGAATAATTTATTTATTGGTTGAATTATGTTATCCTTTATTAATTACTAGCTTGTAACCCGACCCGTTGGTCGGAGGAGCTGAGCGGAATATTGAATTATTGGGATAACCCGTAGATTCAACCATTAAGCTAAATTGGTCTAATGGTGAGTACCGCCTAGCATATCCCTAATAATCATACCAAAGTGAATATATTGGAACATAAACAGTACATCAAAAGTTGGTACAACCATGAAGTTAGACCATTAAAAACATACCAATGAAATTGAATAGCATCGAAAAACTTCAACTTCATTATATAATTACATGAGATCAGAAAGAGAACACCATTAATTTGATTTATAAAACTTTCATCTTGTCGTCATTGTGCTTTCTGGTTTTTGTCAGGCCATGATAAAATCTAAGGAAATCAAGAACGAACAACACGATTTGGGATAGGAACCGCCGTTGTCGTATTCCTAGAGAATGGTGGTAAACACGGACTCACCTGCCAAACTGGTTTGGATTGAGATTTTTATCAGGTATCAGGGAACCATGTGATTATAAATTAGACTTGATCAAAACGGGCCAAAACTTAAAATTCAGCCTGTTTGACCGACCCATGCAAAATTCTAATTATTCGTTACTTTTAAACTTTCTATTTGAAAATAAAAAATAGTGAAAGAAAATAGATGACTGCAATTCGCCATTTGCACATCACTTATTCGGGAATAAAACCATAGAAATTCAAAAGAAACTGAAAATGTTTAGGATCGTTTTAATGTTTAAAATAACCAAATAGATCTTTCTGTTTAGTTTTTTACTAACAAATACCAAACGATTCCCTATAAAATACACTATAATTTTATCATTATGATATCAAATAATTATATAATATATATTTGAAATGATAAAAATTGGACTAATTGGGTTGGTCGAGATTGAACCATTGAATAACTTTAAACTACATTATATTTTAGCCACTAAAATATAAAATAATATAATAATATATATTATGCTAGAGAAAATAGCTTGTTTTAGAATGTCAAACCAATGATGTTCATTTGTTTTACTTGATGGCCAAATCCGGTGTAGGTCAGGCCCATTCAACTCTTTTATTTTATGGTTAGCGGTTAGCCCTTTAGATACCATGCATTAGTTTATTGTTAATTTTTTTTTATTTTTAGCATAAAAAGAAGTATTGTTTTTGCCTTTTCATATATATTTGATCACCACGGAGAAATACAAGGGCTTAAAGAAAAAAATTGACACTCCTGAACCCGTTTAAATCCGCATGTGTACGGTAAGTTGGCCCGTTCCACAGAGGAAAGAGAAAAAAATTAACACTACCTATTCTACCCTTCCTACAAACGCTCATGGAGCAGGGAATTTGAAATTGGGGGAAGAGGTTTTTCCTCCCTGCTATTATATGTTTTTGATTTAAAAGGATATTACAAATGTACTTAGTGTGATTGGTTATGTTCCTTGCTTTTCTTTAAAATGGACATGGTTCGAGTCCCAGTACGTGTCTTTTTAATGAATAAAAAAAAGTAATTGTGAAGACCAAAATGTCCTTCCTACTTTCACTCTCGTTGCAGGAAATTTGAAATGGGGCTCCCGTTTTTCCCTTCGGTGTATTATATTATGTGTAGATGTAGAAAATATTTTCCCCCTGTTAATCACTAAATAATATATCTAAACAACACTGTGAGATGAAGGTCTACCTAAACAAACCACCCAATCAATAACCTGTAAATAAGAATATTAAACCAACCCCAAAAAATATATATAATTAATTTCCTCCCTTCACTAACAACATAGTTGACAAAATTTAAAGGCCCCAAAACAGAACAAGTTGCAGGCGCCAGCACTTGGTGACAAATGCATCGCAATTAACGCTGAAATATGATTAATTATTGACTTAATTATAATAATGAGACCGACGAGACCATACTAAAACTGATGAAAACGGTTCTTTTACATTCCTCTCCCAGCTTCCCGTCCTAATTCGAGCAACGATGAATCGATACTGTCATTAGCTTCCACCATCATGGCTGCAGCCCTTATTTCCCAGGTCCAGAAAGAGCTGGTTGACTTCGCCATTAAAGAGATTAAGCAACACGGGAAGCTTGTGATAGACACAGAAAGAGACATCGAGAAGCTCATATCCACTTTCACAGCCATCGGAGCTCTGCTGCTGGATGCAGAGGAGAAGGAATTGAAGAATGAAAGCATCCGAGACTGGCTGAAGAAGCTCAAGGACGTGTCCTATGAGATCGATGATGTGCTGGACGAGTGGAAAACCGACATCCTCAAGCGTCAGCTCGACGGAGACGATAATGATGCTGACGGCGGTGGCTGTTTGGAGGTGAAGCTGCTTCAGATCTCTGATTTTCTGAAACGAGTATGCCCTTTCCTCCCTACTTATTGTTTCTCTCCTAACGAAATTGGTCTTCGTTATGATATTGGCTTGAGGATGAAAACATTAAATCAACGTCTAGACGATATAGACAAGGAGAAAAAATTTCACAATTTAACTCCCAAGCAGGGGGCTTCATATTCAAGTTTGCCAACTAGTTCCGTTATCGATTCCTCTGACTTGAAAGTCAGACAAGGAGAGTTCGAAATATTGCAGAGCAAGTTATTGGATGATAGCCATGATCAATTGGGTGTGAGAAGTATCTCTATCCAAGGCCTCGGTGGGTTTGGGAAGACCACATTGGCCAAAATGTTATACAATGATAAGAAAGTGGAAGATCATTTCGGCAAAAGGGTATGGGTCTGTGTTTCTACTGATTTTGTTCAAGAAACAGTCGCGAAAGCCATACTTGAATCTTTCAATCAATCTGCTTCAAAAGACAGTTCATTATCATACATGTTGGAATGTATCAAGTCTCTTATGGAGGTCAAGAAGTTTCTTCTAGTTCTTGATGATGTGTGGGAAGATAGTGAAAGCAAGTGGAAAGAACTCATAAGTTCTGTTTCTCACGGATTACCAGGAAGCAAAATCTTGGTGACTACACGAAAAGAGGGTGTTTCTCAAGTGTTTCGTTGCATCAAGAAAGATATCTTTCCTTTACAAAAGATATCTGATGGTGAATGTCGGACTATTTTCACACAAATTGCATTTTATGGATGGAGCGATGAGGAGAGAGAACGTGTAGAAGAACTATGTGAAAAAGCAATAAAAAAGTGTTCTGGTTCACCGCTTGCGGCAAAAGTTTTGGGAGGGGTACTACATGTGAAAAAATCTAAAAGGGATTGGAAGCAGCTTCTGGGAAGTGAAATGTGGCGGATAGAGAAAGGAAGAGACGAAGTTATTGCTCCTCTAGCGTTGAGTTACTATGATTTGCCTCCGGCGCTTAGACAGTGCTTTCAGTTTTGTTCTGTATTTCCGCAGGATTACATAATGGAGAAGGACGAATTGATTAAGTTGTGGATGTCACAGGGTTTTCTAAAAGCAACAACGAACCAAGATATGGAGGAAGTCGGTGAAGAGTACTTTCAAATGTTAGTTATGCGATCATTCTTCCAAGATTTGGAAAAGGAGCTGTGTTGGGATAAGGAATATTTATTTTGCAAAATGCATGATTTGGTTCATGATTTTGCGCGGCTTACAACCAAGAACGAGTGCATCAGCATCGAAAAGCAAGATGCAAATAGCTCATTACCCTTGATCGACAATGAAGTTCGTCATTTTATGGTAAAAGACCTGAGTAGCGAGGAAGTTACAAAACTGATAGGATCCATCGGATGTTCGCACCTCTCTTTAACAAGGCGTAATAATTATCTACGGAGCTTCATAGCAAGAAGGTGTGGAGGTGACATCGAACCTGATGCATATGCTCATCTGCGAGGCATAAGGTCGTTGGTACTCTATGAGCAATGTGGTCTGGAAGAAATACCATCAACAATCATGCAGCTAATTCATTTGAGACATTTGGATTTATCTTTTAACAGATACTTGAAGGAGTTGCCGGAGGAAATATGCGAGTTGTATAATCTAGAGACTCTGCTCCTCAATGAAAATGTGAGCTTGAAGATGCTCCCTAGTGGAATGGGGAATAAGCTGGTGAACTTAAAGCATCTCGAAAATTGCAGCGTCCCAGCGGTGCTCCCCAGATCAATGGTCAGGTTGGCTAATTCCCTAAAGACATTAACCCAATTTAATGTAGTGAAGCTGCAGGATAAGGAGGTAGCTACCAATATTGGTGATCTAGAGTGCATGAACCATATCCAGGGATCCCTTATAATAAGCGGGTTAGGTAAGGTAGCGAATTGCGAGGAGGTGAAGCGTGCACAGCTCGCCAAAAAACAATCTTTGACTTGGTTAATGCTGGATTTCGACGGGGGAGAGGAAGAACAAGTGTTGGAAGCCATAAGGCCATCATCAAGCTTGGAAAGCCTATACATAGGAGAGTACAGGGGAGTGAGCATATTCCCTAGCTGGTTACTGTCACTCTCCAACTTAACATCCCTAGAATTCAATGGGTGCTATCAAGTGGAGCATCTTCCCCCTTTGGGCGTCCTGCCCTCCCTCGAAGAGCTTAAATTGGAAGCCATGTTTAGAGTGAAGAAGGTTGGGGTTGAGTTCTTGTGGGAGACTAGTACTGTGATACAGCAGCAGCTGCAGAAGAAGAAGAAGATGGGTAACAACAACAAAGGCCGTGATATTATTACTGCATTCCCCAAGCTCACGCTGCTTTGTTTTGGGGAGATGAGTGATTGGAAAGTGTGGGATTTAGAGTGCGATGATCAGGAAGCCGGAATGTTGATCAGCTCGACCACAGTCATGCCCCGCCTGCGTCATTTGGAGCTGTCATGGTGCGAGAAGCTTGAGAAGGTGCCGGATGTGCTTCTCCGGAAAACCACTCTGGAGCGGCTGGTAATGTACTACAGTGGCGGGCTGGGGAATTACAGGTTCGAACCCAAGAATCCCAAAATGGTGCCGGATGAGGTGTGGGACAAAATCTCTCACATCCCCACCATTAGCCTCGAAGGAGTGGACATCCGAACAAGATTCAAGAGCCAGATAGGTACTTATTAAATTCCATGCCAGTACCTACCTAACCTAGCTGCTAAGTAGTAGATTATATACTATCATTACTATACTTTTTTTATTTATACATTTAAAAAAAAGATCAAGTTAAAATCATTATCTTCTTATTCCCAAGGTGTTTTTTTCCCCCTACTCCTATACTCTTATGTCACCATACGTTCAATTTTGCTCTTACAGTGAAGTGTTTAGGCATATTTTCCATGTTCTACACATAAAAGTTATCATAAGCTCCTTTTCTCCAACTATCTAGGAGACGTTTCATATTTTAGTTCATATATGATTAAATACAATTTATATATTATTACCTGCAATATTTACAATCTCATCAAGCATTACGCAAAGGTTCCGCAAGATATATGTTAATATTACGTAGTAATTTAATAAAATGCGAGACTTATCCGTAACTTGATTTTATTATCAGACCACATTGTATTACAGAAATTATCATTTAAATTACTTTGTAAATTAAATGATTTTGACTAAATTATTAAATGAGTGGAGGAAGTTTTAATACAGAATTAGAACTTTCTTCCCATCCGAAGCACGGTACCTTGTTAGTTTGGATATATGAATGAGTTTCTTGTTCCGCATAATTGCTATTGCATCGTGAAATCGCAGATGCCATGTCGGGAATCGGCTGCTCTAACAGCAAACCGAAGGAGGAAGAAACAGGACATGATGATGATGACGACGACGACCATCACGATGAAGAAATACGGTAATTAAAGTTTGATTAAGTAGTGCTCTCTGCTTCTTCTTGTCTCTCAATCCCCGCCCCATCCTCTCCTCCCTCTTTCAGTGGCGACAATGTCAGCTTCATTCATTATTATGTTTGTTCGACTGTTTGCAGTTCGGAGTGAGCAGAGCAAGAGCAACGCACTCATTCGTTCTTCCGCCCAATCACCTCCGCCCATCTCCGCTAGCAGCTGCCACCCGCACCCGGCTACAGTTTCATTTATCATTTTACAACACAGCTTTCATTTCAGATTGACGCTTGAAGTACTGTGATAACAATTTGCGTGAATCGTTTAAGACAACAATAAGAGTTTGCAAACAGAACCTCAGAGGAAGTCTGTCTGTTGTATGACTATGCGTGTTTGTATGTTTGTTTTGTGCCGTACTTTACCAGAGCTGCTCATCTAGTGGTATATCAAACTCTCTCCTTCTTCATCTGTAGCATGCTGCTCTCTAGTCTCTATGTCTCGTTGTTAAGCGTCTTGTTAATTTCTCTTTTCTGTTTGGATTTTCCCTTCTTGACTTATGTTGGGGAAACCAGAAGGGAAAAGCAGAGCTTTTGTGCCTGTAACTGTAAGTATTGCCAATAAATTGATCAATGTAAGCCCGCGTGCATGTTTTCAGAACAGGGACCATCATCGCATGGTTGAATTCGGTAGCAAATATCTCATCCAACACATTTGCAGGTCTACACCTAACCAAGAATATTAAACCGACTAATCAACGACTACAAACAACCTTTTGACCAAAGGCCCGAAAGAGAACACCTGGTTGGCAGTACTTAGTGACAAATGCGTCAAGATTATGGTCAAGATTAGAGTGTCAAATCATCCAATTTAATTGCAAAAAGGGTTGCATGAACTCTTTGAGAAGTTACTCCTATAGTGAACTATGATGATTACCAATAATGTGAACTCAAATAGGGTAGTGAATTGGGTTTTATTTGATCAGACTAAACTTCAAATTAGTCGTTTATACTAGTTAGTCATAGCTATTATTGATTTGATTTAGTGAACACACAATTAATTACAACTTGGACAACAAAATTCCACCTAAACATACGGTCAGTTGTTATGTTAGATATTCTTCGAACTTTATCCACAAGCTTATCGAAAATGAAAGTTCAGTGATCCATTTTGTTATGGCTTTAAAGTTTGAAGACCATTTGTGTATTTATGTATGGTTGACCCAATTTCTGTATAATGCCAGTCTCTCTCAACTTACTTTCTCTGTTTCTTTCTGGCTGTCAAAACCTTCTCTTTTGTCAGTTTTTGGGAAAATATTCTTTGGCTTCAACTTCAACAGTTTCTTCTCCACCATTTTCCTTTCTTAAGGATTTCTTCTGGTCTCTCTCTATCTGTTGTTGGTCTGCCCCCCCGGCTGGAGCTTTTCTCCAATTTCTGTAGGGGGACATGTAGAGCTTTCGTTTCAGCTTCACACCGCCTCTGCATTTTGCCTTGCGAAAAATTTCCGTTTCTTTTCTCTCATTTTCTCATTAATGCTGACAAAACGAGAGACTAAGTAAAACCCACTTCCCCATTCTCCATCCGTTTTGGGGTTTATTGGTTTCAGACTGCACAGAATAGAAAGTTCAGTTCTTTCTGTTCTTTGCTTCCATTTTTGTCTCCTAGGACAGTTCCTTTGGTTTTTAGGGTTTTGGAGCTTTTCTAAGCTCTGGTATTGAGCAATTATGGTGAGGAAGCATGGATGGCAATTGCCAGCACACACGTTTCAGGTACTGAAATTTTCTTTGCTTCTCTCATTTCTTCACAAGTTAAGAATTTTCTCGTTCATTTTCAGTTTCCATTGGATTCCTTTTCCTTCTTTCCAGTGTTGGGTTTGCCTTTGACGAGCTTTGTTAAAATTGTATTCATTTGCTTTCGATCATGGTTAGGCAGGTCAATTCAGTTGTCCTGTCTTCTCTCCGCCCTCTGGAAATAGATTGACTTGGGCTGACTTCTGGATTTAGCAGTTGGTCTTCTGGGTATTTCATATTTGTCGGTTTGTTTGATGGGGCAGACTAGGAAATGTGCAGACAGCATTTCGGAGTCTTGAATTGTTGTTGATTACTAAGGAGAGACTAGGAAATGTGCAGACAGCATTTCGGAGTCTTGAATTGTTGAGTTGAAGAGCTTTTTTTATTATTATTGTTTAAGTACTAGTAGATTTTGCAAGATTAAGTCTTTGATATGCTAATGGTCCTGGAAAGTGAGTGAGATTAGTCTTTAGTCATGGTGGTCTTGCTTAAGAATGAACCAACACTTGTTATCTAGTAGGGGCAGTTTGAGTCACTTTGTAAAGTTTATCCTCCTCGTGACATATTATGGCAGAGGTTTTGAACAATTCCTGAGCTATGGACGTAATGCCATTGCTTTTTTTTGACTCAGCAGACTTCAATTCCAATTCTAAGTGCTGGCATATTTTGTACTGAAGTGTAATCCAGTTCTGATTTCTGAACACAATGTGAGGAAGTAACATAGATGAGTTTCGTTGGTTATGTGAAACTTGACTAGTGACGACCATCGTAGATTGCCAAATCTAATAATGCATATATCCTGACACTGGCAGTAGGTGATGCTTCTATATGAGCTGGCTTTCCGACTTTCCTTTCTAACTGTTGGCATTATCTTTCATAGGTTGTTGCAATCACGGTGTTTTGCCTGTTGGTAATAGCATTCTATGCTTTCTTTGCTCCTTTCCTCGGAGGCAACTTTTGGGAGTACACTCTGGTTGGCATATACTCTCCTGTGGTAAGTGACCTTCAAACACTTCCACCATTATTTCATTATTGCTAGGTCTGGATCATACAGCTTAGCCATGTTTGCATTTGTGCTAGTAACCATCCATTTGGTACACCCTTTTTTTTTTATGACATTGCTTATATATATATTTTTCATTTCCAGGTGCTCCTGGTTTTTATCCTTTATGTTCGGTGTACTGCAATCAACCCAGCAGATCCCGGCATCATGTCTAAATTCAACCCTCATCATATAGCAGATAACAGGAATGCTAAGGATATACCCAGACGATTTAATGAATCTGGGAGTGGAATTCATTCTTCCCCATCTTCTATGTCCAAAAGTTCTATAGGTCCTGCCAACTCTAGCAGGCAAGGGTCAGTTGGAGATGCCGGGAGAGTTGAAGAGGAACCCCAAACCCAACTAAAATCATGTTCTATTTTCGGAGGAATCTTATGTGCTGTGTTTGTTCATGAAGATTGTCGCAAGCAGGAAAGGCTTGCCGAGCAACAAGGCTCTGTTGAAGATGCGTTGTTCTGTACATTGTGCAATGCTGAGGTATTCTTCTGCATGCAAGCAGTTCCTGATTTTTCCTAGGGCAAAAGCAAAACTCTGTAGTTGATCAATATCTTCTGTTAGAGGATGAGCCATAAAAAGCTTGTTGCAATATCTCCTCATCAAACTGAATAAATTTGAAACTTTGCAGGTACGCAAATTCAGTAAGCACTGCCGCAGTTGTGATAAATGTGTTGATGGCTTTGACCACCATTGCAGGGTAAAAACTTCCCGCCTTTGAATCCTCTCTCATGATACTGTTTCCTGGCTTCTAACTTTCTCTATGTAATGCAGTGGCTTAACAATTGTGTGGGCCATAAAAACTATGTGACTTTCATTTCCCTTATGGCTACAAGTGTTGTATGGGTATGTATATTTTGGCTCTTATTAATAGTTCTCTCTCTGTAATTGTAGTCCTAGTGCTGACTTTTCTGCTTTGTGGTTTAGCTTGTACTTGAAGTTGGAGTCGGGATTGCTGTCATGGTTCGTTGCTTTGCCCACAAGAAAAGCATGGATGCTGAAATAGTCGATACCCTTGGAAACGGATTCTCTCGTGCCCCTTTCGCCACTGTGGTGGTATGCACATCTTAAGCATGAGCTTTAGTAAAAAAAAAAAAAAAATAGTGGCCTTATCGTGTCGTTTTGCATTCGTTGGATTGGATTTCATTCTTCATTGTCTACCTGCATTTTCTGCAGGCTGTATGTACTGCAATTTCTATTCTGGCCTGCATACCCTTGGCTGAACTCTTCTTCTTCCACATGATATTGATTCGAAAGGTTAATTACCAAACTAAGATCTTCAGCATTCTGTCAACTCATTACTATAAACGATGTGTTTGTTCTGTTATTTATTTACTTATGTAACTTTTGCTACTCTTATCAGGGCATTACAACGTATGAGTATGTTGTGGCAATGAGAGAGGGACCTGCTGCGCATTTTGAAGAGCAATGGGCCAATCTAGGCAACTCTCCAGCAGGATCTGCTACAACAGGATTCAGTGGTGGAAGTTCTCTTGGCCTGCAGTACAAGGGAGCATGGTGTACCCCTCCCCGAGTATTCGTTGACTATCAGGTACGTTCCACTTAGGACATTGATCCCTACTGCTTTGTGTACCCCTCCCCAAGTATTCTTTGACAATAGGAATATGGTATCTAACATCTTCCAATATTAATATCAATCATTCAACGATCTATCTATTTAGAAGTTAGAACAATCTACCTGTTCAACAAATCATCAATGCGAGCAACCCCTTAGTTTCAGGCTACCAAGCATGGCCATAAAAAGATATAGTTTGACAAGTAATTGATCAAGGGTTGGATGACTATTTTTAGCTACGGATAATGGGGCTGGATTTTAGTTTTTCCCATTGAAATACCCAATTGCCCTTATACATCATCGACTTTGTAAAGCTATACAATACCTCGAATTTTCAAACAAATAAAGGGTCATAATGTCAAAGTCAAAACGCATGGGGGGTTCTGGAAGTCACACCCTTACCTATGGCTTCTACGACCTCCTCTTGTCTGTATTCTGGAATCCATGCATGGTGCCAAGAATGCACCTCAATTTTCATGTTTTGCTTGCCAAACAGTAGAGTCCAGGAAATCTCCTCCTGGATGTAACGTGTCCTACAATCCATCGCCATAATTGTCAATCCAAACGACCTGTAAGGTGTTTCATTTTGCAAATAGGACTATATAACTGCCATTTTTTATTAATTGAAGCAAAAACAAGGACTCTTACATACCTTTCCTCCGGCTATTTCTTTTCTGTTGCAGGAGGAAGTCATACCTCACTTGGATCCAGGAATGGTCCCTTCGACAATCGACCCTGATGTGGCAGGAAATGTAGACCAAGGAGGAAACAGGCAACCCAAAAGGCCCGTCCGAATCAGTGCTTGGAAACTTGCGAAGTTGGACTCAAACGAGGCAATGAAAGCAGCAGCAAAGGCAAGGGCATCTTCTTCCGTTTTAAAGCCAGTCAAGAACCCTCCATATATTGAAGGAGGTAGCTCTAGTGGCAACATGAGCATCAGAAGTAGCCTCAGTGCTGAAACGGATCCAAACAAAGAGGCGACGAGGACCGAGCTGCGGTTACCCTCACATGGTCATTCTATACCTCCTAGTCAAGGCAGTCAAGATGATTGTGAAACTGGGACTCACAGTGTCAGTAGCTTCAGCAGCCCAAGCCACATCCATGAGTCCGTCACCCTTAGCCCTATGCCACAAGCTCATGTTCCTAGCTTTCTTCCTAGTCGGCCCATGACTTCCAAGATGATGATTTCTACATCTGGATTTGATGAGAAGATCGCGCAGAGGGGAAGTAGTAGTACTGCTGATCCTTTGCTTCTCGGAGCACCGATATCATCATCAACATCTCTTCTTAGAGATGTGAAGAGGACATCTGTGGTATGGGACCAAGAAGCCGGGAGGTATGTATCTGTTTCCGTGTCTTCGACTGATGCACGAAGCAGACCAGCCCCTCAAATTGGGGTGCCAACATCATTATCCGAGGCAAAACCCGCAGCAGTTCAGCAAGGAGAGAAGCAGATGTACACAGGAGGTGACTCCATTTTCTTTGGCGGTCCACTATTGACTGGTCCAACCATTGGAGGAGAAGGCTTGAGAAATGAAGGTTTGAGAGACAACCACCACCAGCAGAGGCTAGCATTGAACTTCCCACGTGAGTCGAGGTTCAGAAGAGATGCAGTGTCGAATCAGCTTCCTGTTTTCAACCCGGCAGGATCATCTGACCACCACCACAAACCTTCATCGTAAGGTGACGCCATTTTCATCTGTATAGTCCATAGAACAAACAGCAGAATGCAGGCTAAACCCTGCGGCACCCTTTCCTTCTAGTGATAGATCCTGCCGCTCATTAGCAGCAGGAAGCTCATTTCATTCGAGGTTTAACCAGTTTTTTGATTGGAGGATGGAGGAAGAGGACATGATTGGTTGCCTAGTATTGTCGACGAATGAGAAAGGTGTCTGGAGATCGAATAACGAGCGAGAAAATCGGTCTTCGTCTCGGGGTCTCATCCAATCCTGGCCTGACCAAAAGGGTGTGTTCTTGTTTTGTCGATGAGACTGTACATTTGATTCTCTCACTACCATGATATTATTCTTACTGATTCTCCCCTTCATGTTGTGTCTTGTGTGTGTATCTTCTCTCCAAGATCACCTTTTTCTATTGGATGTGGCTTAACATATTTTATATGAACTTAATACTGACTTTTGTCATTTTTATCAATTGGTTTTGTGGTGTAGTTGGTTATCACGTCAGTCTAACACACTGAAGGTCTCCGGTTCGAACCTGGGCGAAGCCATTTTTGTTGTCCCCATTTGGTGTAGTGGACCAATGGTCCTATCAAAATCATTATTTTTCTTGCTTCTTTTAACCTTCTTTTCCCAGTTAACTGTATGAGTTTCATCTATAGCTACAATCATTTGTTAAGTTGCCAAAACTAGGGGATAAGGCTGAGTCATTGGTCAACTGTGGTTACTGGTCAATTGCCAATTCATCATGAGGAAATAGTGTATGGTACAGATTCATTCCTTCTTCCCTTTCAATATTTTAGCAGAATAAAACTTGTAGTTTTCCCCTAGAATGTGTCGACCTAATGTCCTCTTACATAAATCAGATTGATTTTACTATAACTAATCTCTTAACATATAATCATTTCGATATTAACTCAATAAACAATCTTAAATCTCGAGAGTAGTTAATTTGTAGTATACGTAATCCCTGCAAATTTTCTTGATTGTAAACACTAAACATGATAAATATATATGATATTCAAAATTCAAACTTGTGATCCTCCAAAGAAATAAAAATATGGTAACTAATGATCTAACATGATTCACTAAGAAAAATAATTAAATGTGGGAATTTGAAGGAATCCCAAAAAAAGCCTCTCTAAGAAACAGCCTGACTGACGTCTCTCTCCAAAAAGCTCCATTATACTTGGTTGTCCGTATCTCCCTCGGGCCAGTCAGACTCAGTGGCCTTCCCCAAGTTCGCCTCCTCAACTCGCAACATTTTTAGTCATCTTCTCGAACTCTATCTCCTCTCTTTTCTTTTTCCCCTTCGTCCAGTTTGAACGCTCTGCTGCTTTGATTTGCTAGTTTTGTGCTAAACTAAAAAAGCTATGGTGGTCTTCAACACACTCATGCGATCCACTTTCAATGCTCGGGTAATCATCACCATTATCGTTTTCCTTGAAATCCCACCACCTGATTGTTTTTCCTCGTACCATGTATGAGAAAGTTCCGTACTTTGTGGATCATAGCTTGTTTTTTTTTTTTTGCTTGCTTGATCGATGTTCGTGATAGTTGGTTTTGCTTCCCTGATGTGTCCCTTCCGGTGTTTTTTCTTCTTCTTTCGCTCTATGGGATTTGATTCCCCCCTTTTGTCTTGGTTTCTGGGTTCCCGTTTGTTGCTCGCTCGTCTTGTGGCGGGGGGAAAATGGAATTCAATTTTCCCGCTTTTGTTTCAGGAAAGTTTTCAAATCTTTAGAGACGCTTGTGATTTATTGTTTATGGATCAGAAGCATCATCGATGCGTTTTTTATCTTATTATGTTGCTTCAAATTCCAAAATTTCGTGCGACTCAAAAGAATGCTGATCAAAGTAGCCTAGTTGAAATATGGAAACATGAAGGTTATGAATCCCCCCATCGAAGAAAGAACTGCAGTGGGGCTGGTTTAAGAATCCGCCTGAGAATAGTGAAATACTAACTCGATGCTTAGAATAGGCAGTAGTAGAAGTTGTATATGTTTTTTCTACTGAATTCGAACCTTATCCCGTTGTTCTTATTTTGATCAGCTTGGCTCATATGTGAAGCATGTTGCTGGCAAGGGACCATCCCAGATATACATTCCATCAGTGTCTAGATTGTACAGTAAAGAAGCACATTTGATCAAGGATGATGTTTCAGATGGTAGCAAAAGGTAATGTCGTATTAACAATTTTGTTACCTGGAAGCACATAGGGGCCAGAAAATTCTACGGGTCTTAAAAATTTCGTTTCTTGCAGTTTCAAGGGGCATGATATGCTGGCTCCTTTCACTGCTGGGTGGCAGACAACTGATGCAAACCCTTTGGTCATTGACAAGTCCGAGGCATGTTCTAGTTCATTCTAGTTTCCCCATACTATCTCTACTCGGCTGCATTGTTCCACAATTAACTGGTAATCGGTTGTTGATACAGGGTTGCTACGTATATGATGCTGATGGGAAGAAGTATATCGATTCTCTTGCCGGTCTCTGGTGTACTGCTTTAGGTAATCTTAGTATATCCAATATTCATTTATAATGCTGTATTGCTTAGGAATCCAATAATTGCATTGACCACAAATGCTTGCTTGAAGTATGATACATTTCATAGTTCTCAAGGTATTTGTTGGAAGAAAATCTTGAATCCAATAATGCTTACTTCTTATGCAGGTGGAAACGAGCCACGCCTTGTTGAAGCTGCAATGAAGCAACTGAATAGCTTGCCATTTTACCATTCATTTTGGAATCGTACAACAAAGCCTTCTCTGGTACTCACATCTCTTCCATTATCAAATAACGGTTGAGTTTGGGATGTTTCTTTTCTACGTCGAAAGCCCTCTGCTCCATCTATGGATCAAAGGAAATTTGCAGCTGGGAATTTATATGCTGTATAATTTGATGCAACAGGATCTTGCGAAAGATCTTCTGGAAATGTTCACTGCGAATAAGATGGAAAAAGCTTTCTTCACGAATGGTGGATCAGACGCCAATGATACTCAGGTTAGCTTGTTTCTTAAAGATGATTGCTTAGCTGTTTCGTTCTGGTTAGAATTCTAAGTCATTCTAAGTGGTTAATCAGTTCATGAATAATCTGTCATCTTCTTTTCTGAGCTAGGTATTTTAAATATATCTTTCAATAACTTCACGCGTTATTGATACATAGTTCGGTACTGCGGTTTTTTCCTGTAGGTGAAGCTGGTGTGGTATTATTATAATGCTCTTGGGAAACCAGAAAAGAAGAAGTTTATTGCTCGAAATAAATCGTTAGTTTTTTTACCACTTCATCTGTTTTGTACTATATCCTTCAATCATTTGTAAATCATGCTCGAAATTCTGATGTTTCTCTTTGTGTTTGTAAGGTATCATGGCTCGACCTTGATTTCAGCCAGTCTTTCTGGGTAAGAATGTAGTTTACATTAATTATGAATGCAAAGTTCTAATCATGTAAACTTTATGTGACGTATGAAACTGCATTGCAGGCTACCACCCATGCATAACAATTTTGATCTTCCAGCACCATTTGTGCTGCACACTGACTGTCCACACTACTGGCGTTTCCATCTTGAAGGTCCCTCCCTCCCCACCTCTTCTACTTTCAAGCTCCATAACTAAAAACCAGCAGCTCTTTAAGTACAACCTCTTGGTATGCATCTTTCAGGTGAGTCAGAGGAGGATTTCGCAACCAGATTAGCCAAGAATTTAGAGGAGCTTATCCTGAAAGAGGGCCCTGAAACGGTAATCAATGCTAGTAACAAAATTTCATAACAATGCTTTTGGTTGCTGACCTGCTAGGTTCCACTTTCAGATTGCTGCATTTATCGCTGAACCAGTCATGGGTGCCGGGGGCGTGATACCCCCTCCTGCAACTTACTTTGACAAGGTGAGACATCCATCCCGATAACACAGAAGCCAACATCTGTAAAGTCTACGACATAATAGTTTAATGTTTTTTTGGTCATTTATTCCCTTTCTTGCTTCTATTGTGGCTATGATTAATTGGAGATTCTGACAACTCTACAGTTTCCTTGCGGTTGGAGATGGTTGTTTGCTTTTAAGTCTTATGGGTTCATGAAGTACAGTGGGGAAAATCACACGACCTTCCATTCTTATATCTGCACTTCAGACTTCAGAGACCTAATGCTGATGTTTAATCCTGTACAGATTCAAGCAGTCGTGAAGAAATACGACATTCTATTCATTGCAGATGAGGTAATCTGTGCCTTTGGGAGGCTTGGAACAATGTTCGGGTGTGACAAGTACAATATCAAACCAGACCTCGTAACTTTGGCTAAGGTGAGTTCTATAATTGATTCAGGGGTCAACTATAAAAGCTCTCTAAGCATACTCTGGGTTCCGTAACAAATCAGTCACCCGACCTTCTTTCAGGCTCTTTCCTCAGCATATATGCCAATCGGAGCAGTTCTCGTGAGCCCTGAAATAAATGAAGTTATTTACTCTCAAAGCAACAAACTTGGTACGCGGTAACAAAGCATCCTTTCCTTGTAGCTGTTATTGAACTACTTGAACCGAACTTTTCTTACCACCTTTTGTACAGGTACATTTTCTCATGGATTTACTTACTCCGGCCATCCTGTTGCATGTGCTGTGGCGATTGAAGCCCTCAAGATATACAAGTCGGTGTTTTGCTCTGCCATTTCGAAACTACATTTCCACTAGATCGAGTTCTCGATAGCGGGTTTTCATGACTGATACTTTGCATTGCCACTTGCATTTGCATAGGGAAAGAGATATTCCTGGACATGTTAGCAGTATGGCGCCAAGGTTCCAAGATGGCCTAAAAGCCTTCTCTGACAGTCCCATCATAGGAGAGGTAACAACACTGGTCACATGCACACACTCATACTACGAGACCACGAGAACTTAGCACAACTTCTTCGTTTTGCAGATCCGCGGAACTGGCTTCATTCTTGGCACTGAATTCGCGGACAACAAGTCACCTAACAGCCCGTTTCCTGCTGAATGGGGCAAGTTCTTCTTCTAGCTCGTATATTTCTCAAAGTCGGAATCATAATCATTTGCTGCAGTTGCAATGCATGATAAACAACAAGGATTGCTCTCTTTTTTCATGTGGACTGCGAATTTCATTGCAGGCGTAGGAGCATACTTCGGAGCAGAATGCCAGAAGCTCGGGATGTTGGTACGTATAGCAGGAGACATCATCATGATGTCTCCGCCTCTCATCATGGGCACTGAACACATCGACGAGGTATAATAGTACCCTCCACACCACAATTTGCTCTACTGCAGACCATGTCCTTCTCTGATGCAAATCTGTTATCTCCTCGTGTGCAGATCATTAGCAAGTACGAGAAGGCGCTTCGGGCTACCGAGGAGAGGGTGAAGGAGCTGAAATCTAAGCACAACAAGTGATAGATGATGTCGAAAAAAATCGTTTTCAGTTCTTTGCCTATTGAGGTTGTAAAGAGAAGAGCTTTTTCTTTCAGCATGCTGCATTGTTAATAGATCACATTGGCAAAACTGAATAAAGCACATCAGCAATTATTGCTGTATTGGGATTAATCATGCTTCATTCGGAATCCTTAATCACGTTTAAGTGTTCATCATTGCTTCATCTGTCAGAATTGATGGTCATTAATGAAGACAAATTGCAATTAGATTTCTGCAGAACTTTACAACAGTTTCCAACGTAATTGAAACAAACAACAGTCTTCTCTGACGAACATGGCGATGATCCGTCTAGTTCTTGTTTCGTTTCTCGGCGTTCCTTCTGGCGCGGCGCTGCCTGGAGCTGAAAGAAGGCTTGTAGCCACCCTCGTCATAATCGTCCAAGTCTTTGAACGATTTCTACGGAAGACATTCAGAGGTTACGAATTCCGGTGAACTCGAATTAGAGAGACAACGAAATAGGAAGAGGACATAAAAAGTACCAACCAACCTCTCGAATCTCGGCGAAGCTCACTGCATAGAAGGTCACGGCAGCGGCGGCGACGATTCCCAGCACCGGAAGCGCCATCTGCGATACTACTCCTCCGTCCATTTCTAGCCTTTTCTTTCAGTCGATCAGAGTGGCGCCTAAAGGATGAAGAATGAGATAACGTTTTTCTTTGGCGCTCTATTGTTGTTTTAGTTGGGTGAATGACCTATTTGGTCCCTCAACTTCCGATTAGTTGATAAACAGGTCCCTGAACTTCTTTTCTTTCGTTGAATAGGTCCCTTAACGTTACTTTGGGATAGTGAGTTTTTCTTTCTTGGTCAAAGAATCATTGCAATTTGCACGAGGCACTTGCATGGCTAATCAAATCATACAAAATTTCTCAACCCAAACCAAGACACAACTTGGACATCACTACCTCCTAGACATTTGGAGAAGAAAAGCATAAGGATTAATTCCTTTTGTCATTTAACAAGTTGGTTAACATAATCCGGTTGGAACTTGGAAGTCGAGCCCTGATCAAAGGTTAAAGAAACACAATGATAGCGGTCCTTCGTCTAACCTATGATGACGGCATGATGACTCCCATAGTTCTTAGTGAGAAACGTCGATGGTTGTTGTCCGCCTTGGAACCTTGGCGCAATGCTGCTCATATGCCCAGGAATATCTCTTTCCCTGAGTGGCAGTGCGAAGTATCAGTCAAGAAAAAACCGGGATTCAGACCTCGATCGAGTGGAAATGTAGTATATAGCGGCGGAGCAAAGACCTACCTGTATGTCTTGAGGGCTTCAGTGGCCACAGCACACAAAACAGAATGGTCGGAGTAGGTAAATCCCTGAGAAGATGTATCTGCATATCAGGTGGTAATAAAAGTTCAGTTCGAATCAGTCAATAACAGCAACAAGAAAGGGAAGCTTTTTCTCTTTTCCACCCCTTTTATTGTCAGTTGCTGCAGCATACCAAGTTTGTTGCTTTGAGAGTAAATCACTTTCATTTATTTCAGGGCTCACAAGAACAGCTCCAATTGGCATGAATACTGACGAAAGAGTATGAAAGACTGGGAAAGCATTAAACTTTTATGTCATAGACTCTACGATGTTACCTTATGCGGTATTGGGCATAGATGTTTACCTTATCGAAGTAAGTTGCAGGAGGGGGTATCACGCCTCTGGTAGCCATGACTGGCTCAGCGATAAATGCAGCAATCTGAAAGAACCTTGCAGATGAGCCACAAAAAGCATTGTCATGAAATTTTGTTATCTAAAGTTGCAGCAAGTCATAACATTAATTACCATTTCAGGTACCTCTTACAGGATAAGCCTGCTCCTCTATATTCTTGGCCAATCTGGTTGTGAAATCCTCCCCTGACTCACCTGAAAGATACAAACCAAGAAGCAGTGATTAAAGAGCTGCTGGATTTTAGTTATTGAACTCGAAGTAGAAGTGGGGAGGGAGGGACCTTAACGATGCAAGTAGTCCATAAAGATATCTGTGTTTCTAGGGAGTTAGGAATCTCATTTCACTCGCCAACCCATGCAGTGTATGATATATGTTCGCCATTTGAGGATGTGCTGCGGAACCCACCACGAATTCATGGACAATACCATTGATATTGACCCAACTAGACCCTGACTGCTTCTTCACTCCTTTCTCCCTCATAAACCACCTTAGGACAGACACATCATCCCATCGCCTATCACCAGCCAAAGCATTTGCTAACATCACATAGCACCCAGAACTATCTGGGTCGACTTCAACAAGCCTGTCATAAACATCTTGAGCCAAATCCAATCTGGAATGAAGCAGGCACCCTCCAAGTAATGCCCCCCACACAAAATTGTTAGGCTTAAAAGGCATGGATGCAGCAACACTAGCAGCTTCTTCTAATTGACCGTCACGGGAAAGAATATCGATATAACAAGCATAATGTTCCATCCTGGGATGGATTCCAAAGGCTGAGGTCATATCATTGAATATCTGCCGTCCTTTATTGGACAATCCCGCGTGGCTGCAAGCCCATAGAAGACCAAGGAACGTTCCAGCATTTGGGTAAAGAGCAAAGTCTTGCATCTTCTCAAAAAGATTAATTGCATCCTCTCCTTTACCGTTCACAGCTAGCCCCATTATCATGGCATTGAAAGAGATGACATCTTTGGTTGTCAACTTCGCAAAAACTTTCATTGCCTTGTCCAAACTCCCACATTTGCAATACATGTCTATCAATGCAGTGGCCAGAAATTTGTTGGATTCCATAACACCTCTGCATCCTCTAGTTTTCAAGAATTCATGGACCCATTGCCCAAGCTCGAGGTCACCTATTTGAGCACAAGCTGTGAGCACACTGACCATTGTGACATGGTTGGGTTTACAAGGATGATCATCATCCACCATTAAGCGGAAAAGATTCAAAGCCAGCAAAGGTTGTCCATTTTGCACATAAGCATTTATCATAGAGTTCCAAGGAAGCACACTTGTTTTCCTATCACTGATGATACAGTCAAACCTTTCCTTGCTCTTGTCTGTCTTTCCGCATTTCCCATACAAGTAGACAAGGATACAGTTCATGGAATCATCATCCCTACCAGTCCTTTCAACCAATTCAGAGAAAAGGGAACCCCATTTCTCAATCTGGTCTATTTCAAGTTCAGAACATGCTGACATAACACTGACTAGCGTATCACTTTCGGGCTTCACATTCTCCTCAACCATGGAATAGAACAGCCTCATAACTTCCTCCGAACGACCCACCTGGCCATAACTCGAAATCAAAGAAGTCCAACAACACACCACACTCTTACCAGGCATATCATCAAACACCTTGCGCGCAGATCCCACATCGTCGACTCCCTTCCCATACGCAGCAATTAGAGCATTGCAAACAAAAGGGTCTGACGAGAATACACTTTTCACGACATGGGTCTGAATCTGCTTCACGGAAAGTGAGTTCTTTGAAACAAAGCACGCCTTCAAAATGAAAGAAAAAGTGAGGTCGTTGGGGAAAAGCCCGTGAGCTGATTTCAATCTTCGGAACACAAGGAAAGAATCCAAGAAACGAGCTTCCTGTGCTAGGACTCTGATTATGGCATTGAAGGGAAACAAGTTTGGATTTTTAAGCTGATCAAAGACGCGAAGAGCCGCGCTAGATGGGTAATGGCCAATGAGGCGAGTGGCGATCAAGTTGTCCTGATGGGCGTGCTGGCGTAGGACTCTGGCGTGGATTTGGAGGACATGCGAGGGCGGAGTGCGGCCTTGTAGAAGTGCAGCGAGGTTGAGATGATTAGAGGACGAAGAGAAGTGGAGACAATGGATTGAGCTTGAGCAACGGGTTCTGAAGGCGGCGGGAAAGTGTTTGATAAAAACTGGGAACATGGCTCGCAAGCGGCGGGAAAGTTTTAGAATTCTGTTTGATAGAATGAGGAGAAATGCAGACGCAGTGCCACACACGATGGAATTCTGTTTCGCGAGTTTGTACGTCTAACTCGATTACTGGGCTTTTCTACTAAAAAGAATAAGTGGGCTTTAGTTTGATTAAACGGGCCTAACCAGTTTGTTTTAGAAGCAACTTAACTTGATTAGCCCAAACGAGTTTTTGGACGCTATGCAAGCCCACTCCTTGATCTTCTCAAACCGAAATTATAATAAGAAATTGGTAGAAGAAGACACAAATTGGTGATTTGTATAACGTATAATTTTGATTAAGGAAATTATTTAGTAATAAAAATAATATAATTTCTCACAATATCCTCTTTACCTTCTTCTTTTTCAATCACCACTTCCTTTTCTTCAAATCGTGAACGTACGATTAGTTATTGGTATCATAAAGCGACATCATAAAAAAATTACACATAGTTTGAGATGAAAGTTTTAAATATTGACATATTTTTCTCCATAAATTTTCATACTCGTACTTTAAAAAGAATCAAATCATTTTCATGGCGGTCAAAAGAAGTTTAATCTACAATCAGAAGCTTCTTGATTATTTGGTGAAGAAAAGTCCATACCTCCTTCTACCATATTAAACAAAGGAATTTCTTTTAAGCATTGACTGCATTTCATTTTATATTCAACAACTTGACATTCGAAGGAGTAAAAAAGGATTGTCAATTGACCATCGTAGGGATGGATTCATTTTGTTATTTCACAAGTTCTAATCACTTTCGGTTGGAAGTCATCGATTGGTCGTCTTATGTTAAAAAATAATAATGTTCGGTTCTTCATCTAACATTGTCCATATATAGTACTAGATGGAAGATCAATATCATCATGAATTTTTAACCTAGAATTAGAGCATAACTTCCATGATTCTCATATTTCACAAGTTGGTTAGTATACTAGCTAGCACGATCCAATCTCTTCCAATTGGAATATCTTGCCAATGATCATCATAGGTTAAAAGTATGATGATATTGGTCTTTTGTCTAGACGTGGGGTTGATTAAGTGCGATATCATCATCTAGATAGTAGTACTAGAGAAAAATGCATCGTGTTTTTAAATCTACGGTCGTATGACCTAATTTGTATGATCATTAATTTGACAGAACTGATAATTGTTGACCATCGTTCCAATGCCAATGATATCAAAGAAGAATATCATCGTCCCGTCCCGTCCCATCCCATCCCATACTTTATATGTCTTCACGAACAAGACACGCTGATAACTTGAATCTTGGATACATCATGTCCACCGCGCTCATGATTAATGATATTGGCTTCAACTTGCTGCTTGCATATTAGGGCTGGCTATTTGGTCCCGGACTGTTTGGTTTTACCCGAAATCGGACCGTATAACCCGGACCGGAACCGGACTGGGACCGGATAGCAAATAATGCAATATCATATTCGGGCTTAGATTTGATGTATTAAAATCGGATAAAGACCGGATAAGAGACCCCCAACACCTAAAATCAAGATAAAATTGGGGCCGGACCGGGTCAAGACCGGACTGTATCCAATCCAATCTTTGGTCCTTATATTCCCGAAAAGACCAGACTGGAACCGGATCAATTTGGTTCAATTTAACCGGACCGGACCGTATAGTAACCCCTATTGGATATACATAGTCCTTGTAACATTTAAACATGGTGGAAAAAACAGAATAGGTAGCTAGAGGGCGTGTGGATCCCATTTCCATGGATTCCAATTTCATTCAAACGAAAGAACGTACAAGCCACAAAAGGTTGAAGAAAGGAAGGAAAAGGAGATGGGAGGCTGGGGAATTTGGCTGGTAGTCGCCAAAGAGGAAAAGTAAAGGAGGAACGTCGCAGTCGGCCAAAGCGAAGACACAGTCATCATCATCGTCGTCGTCGACTCCACTGTGTGTACGAAGGGGCGGTTTGGTCGGTCCATGGTGGCCGCCACTTTCTACCACCCTGGAGGAAAAAAATAGTCTTTGCCTCTCTTTCAGAACCTTTGCGAAAATTCCAATTACGCCCTCCGTTCGTCCCAAGTATTGCCACTGAGCCATTTTCTCTCTGTTGGATGATGAGTTCATCTGTTCATGATCTAGCTTTCTAAGAATGTTCGAGTGAATGGTGAGTTAAGAAGTTGGTGATTCTAAAGACAAAAAAAGGTTGAGTATTTGTACTATGGAGATAGAATTCATAGCATGGAGAGGTTGTGTAGCTTAGCTATTAATGGCTATCCAAACCGCAAAAGTGAAAAAGAAACGAGAAGATATCGTCGATCTACCATCTATTTGACGGCTGTATAATGTAATGTAGGATTTTGAATGGGCACAAAGTCATGATTTTCGAATATTGAGAAGGGGTTTGAAACTAAAAGAATGAATTGGAGCAGTTTTTTATCGAAATTTATTTGCGTGTGTCGTCAAGAAGGGGTCGTCTAGCAGTCCACCGTCCCAACACTTTACAATATTTGCTCAACACGTGTATACATAAGTTAATATCCAGATAAAATCTCGAATCGGACAGGATAAGGGTATATTCAATTTTTATTCCATGGTATCTGTATAAAATAAAATGCAAGTCCAATGAAAATGAAACTGAACAACAAATCATACAAAATACATTCTTGATTCTGTTCTTATAACTAGACTTCTCCCATTATATTTTGTTTTGATTCATGACATAAACCAACTGGTTTCAATAACTCGAGTCATTGTAAGAGGTTAATGTATAGATTTTAACTACTCTTAATTGTCTCTTCAAACGAAAGTCAACTCCTGGACTGAAGTTTGCACAGGCTTGCCACCCCATATCATTTAAGACAATGGTTTAATATTGTAGGTCATGAGGACTTGAACCCGTGATCTCAAGAACAAACTAACCCTCATACAAATATCTTAAACTAATTGGTTCCAATGACTCAAGTTGTTGGGAGAGATCTATCTAATGATGTTAACCGCTCCCTTACAATTTCGAGACAGATGAACCGTGCACCCACGAATCATTGAATGGTTAAGGCAGAACCAATATTTGTAAAATCGTATAATATCGATTGTCCGATCGAGAAAACCTCCTACCAGAAACTAAATTATTATACGGTTTTAGTAGTATGAAAACATTAAACCACTATTTCAATACAAAATACCATATACATTTTAGCCTTTTTAGGACTCGTGTACAAACTACAAATGAGAGATCCAGCAAATTATTACGATATCAAGGGGCCATCACGTAATTTCCGCAGCAGGCAAATGGGCCCAAAGGCCCAATTGAACCAGTCTCCCATTGGATCATTTCATTACCCATGGGCTGGCTGGCTGGCTTATAGGGTCGGTCAGAGGGACCCCACTCCTTCTCTGTCTTCCTCCCCATTCCTTTTAAAAAGATTCTCTCTCCCTCCCTCCCTCTCTCAACAGAACACGAGAAATTGAAACCAAGCGACAAACAGAACACACTCTTCTTCCCAATTTCCGCCCCCGCTTCCACCTCCGCCTCGTCGCCACCGCAGCCGCCGTTTTCTCACCAAAAGAAACAACTCCTCAAAGTCCGCCGGAAAGATCTGCTCCCTAATTCCCTCCCTTTCCTCCTCGCTCACCGCAAAGTCAAGTAAGCGCCGCCCCAACTCTGTTTTCATTATTTAGACGCTTTCTGTTTCTCCTAAGGTTGTGGAGGTGATCGATCCTCTGCTGAAATGAAGTCTTTCGGTTTCCTGCTTTGATTTCAGCTGGTTTTGAGTTATCGGCCTCGGCTTTGTTTGCTCTTCGTTTAGTTTTACTTAGTGCTTTTCGTTTTTTCAAAAACTGGATTAGCTGCCGTGATTAAGCTTCCGGCGGGAGGATTGGACTAGGATGATTTGCGGATCCGTTTCCTTGTTGCTTAGCTCGTTTGACTGGGGTTCATTTCTAGATTTGGTGGAGCTCAATTGAGCTGATCGGGGCTCCAGAAACCCGATTCCGATTAGCTTAATCCGTGCTTAATGGTGTTTCAATTAATTTTATTTATTACATTTTGAATTAATTAAACGTTCTGCTGATTTTCAATCAATAATTCTACCCAACTAAATTATGTGGGAGATCTCCTTTTGGATTAAATGATTATAAATTATTACGGTAATTACCACCAAATATGACGTTATCTAATTAAAAAATTTTCCCTTCTGGAACTTTTTTTTTTTTTTGACAACACCTTCTGGAACTTAATAACAATTAAGTAGAGTACTTAACTTTCGATCTGTCTAGTAGGTAAGCGTATAAGCAAAAACTAGTGCTTGCCTCCACTTCTAGTCTATTAGTCCTCCTCCCTCTGCCTCTTCTGGTTTGCCAGTTGGAGGAAAAGGAAAGGCACTAATGAGCAGAAAACGACGTCGATCACTGCCAAGGAGAGGCAGCCAAGGAGGAATAGAAGGATGTGTCTTGATATTACTAATCTACCCTCTAAGCCTTTTTCTTTCATTTCCTGCACGCGCTTCAAAGTTAATCTTGATGATGATGAGATTGGTGGAGAAAAGGAAAGGCAATTTGATGGTTAGAATTGGGGACGGTGGGAGGATTAGATGTGGGATCAGGGATGGGTAGTGGGCTGGCTGCCCCGCTTTGATGGCGACCCGCCCACCTCCACCTCTGCCCTAATTGGGATTTTGCCGTTTTCTCACTAAAAAATGGAAATTCATCATCTCATACGTTGTGGTTGGAGTAGGCATGGTGTATGATATATACACAGTCGTCCGATTTGTGATAAGAAAGATAAATCAAATGAGCAGTCAAATTTTGTTTTGTTTATTGTACATCCTCTTCTTTAGCTATAATTTATCCATATTTGTGTCAATAAAGAATCTGGCTTTTTCCTGTGTAACGTGCTGGGCAGTTGTGACTTGTGCGTGCTAACTTTGCTGTAACTGGAAAGATGATCGATCAGGAAAAGGAGGGGAAACGATTTTTGTCCTGAAATTATTTCTGAATCTATTTAATGGCAGCATGTGCGTTCCAGTAATTTGGTTGTTTTCTTCTAGCAATGGACGGTGGTGATGCTAGATCAGAAATCAGTGTTCTTTCTAGGAATTTCATTTGCAGGACCTGGAAATGTTAAAAAGAAACGAAAAATATTCCTCTTCTCCACCTGCCAAAGTTTGTAACTTTTGGTTTTTCTTTGACTGTCTATCTTTAATACTTACTTTGATTGGATGAAATGTTGTCATATGAAAGGTTTTTGTTTATTAGCTGAATAGCTTCAGCTGTAAACAGAAGAAAGGTAGAGTTTTAACTTAATTCCTTTACGATTTAGAGTTGAAAATTGAAATACTGAAATAGTTAAAAAGATTACATAATTGGCTGCCAAGATAGTGGTAAGAATCATGGCCTTTTGTTTCTTTGACCCAACATTGCTGTTGCTTTCTGACTTTGTGGATATGTGTAATGCATCCATTGAACCCAATAAAAATAATCATACCAAATTGTAGTCATACCTTTGTTGCAACATTAGGAATAATTTAATTGAATACTAGAATCAGAGGGCGATTATGTTATGCATTTAATGGATTGAGCTTCCCCTGGCCATGGCCCATGGGTGAGGACCCTTGATTTTGAACTATATGGTCCACTATTTTCCTCCTATCAATTGTACCTCTTTGGCCCTTATGAGGTATCAACGTTGAGTGCAGATTGATCTTCACGACCTCCTTTAAGACCATTTAGGAGGAGAAATATTAATAGGGCCACCTCAGCTTGATCCTTGGTTTATGCTTGGTTGAGTCTTGGTCTTGTGCGTTTTAGTTGCCTATGTACAAAGGACTGACGAAACCACAAAACTTCAATTGCAATTTGCAGATAAGTTATCTGGTTAGTTGAGAATGGAAGACGAGACGCAAGTCAATTCAGAAGTCCCGGTGGTGAAGGCGCCGCCGGCTGACAGTAAAGCTGATCTTATTGAGGTAAAATGGTCTGCTACGAAGATCAACAAAAAGTTATGCATATGCTTAATTACCATTTAACTATACCTGACGTTGGAAATGTAAACTTTGTTCTGGTTGGTCTTGATACAGGTCGCAAATGGAGACTTGCCGCAAGCAGAAAAGAAAGAGGAGGACGAAACAGATGGAGAGTTCATCAAAGTTGAGAAAGAACCATTGGACGTGAAAGACGGAGTTGAGGCCCACGTGGCAGCTTCCTCCGAGGATGATAAGCCATCTATTACCGAGACAAGCGCAAGCAACTTGACCCGGGAATCGCTAGAAGCCGAGGAGAAGATCAAGGAGCTCGAATCAGAACTTGAGAGAGTTGCCAAGGCACTGAAGAAGTCCGAGTCCGAAAATTCAACGGTCAAGGTCGAAGTTTTGTTAGCAAGAGAGAAGCTCGAGGGGTCTGAAAGCAAGTACACGGAGCTTGAGCTCGTCCACAAGAAGCTGCAGGAACAGGTCAGTGAAGCTGAGGAGCGATATGCTTCACAGCTGAAAAGTCTGCAGGAGGCGCTCGAAGCTCAAGAATTGAAACACAAGGAATTGGTCGAGGTTAAAGAATCATTTGATGCTCTTACCTTGGACATTGACAGCTCGAGGAAGAGAATCGAGGAGTTGGAGAGCGGGCTCCAGCAATCTATTGATGATGCAAAGAAGTTTGAAGAGCTGCATAAGCAGAGTGGCTCTGATGCTGAGTCTCATGCAGAGAGAGCTTCCGAATTCGAGAAGCTTCTCAACGCGGCGAAGTTCAGTGCTAAAGAAATGGAAGATCAGATGGGTTTGCTTAAGGAGGAGGTGACGGGTTTGTATGCAAAGATTGCGGAGAACCAGAAAGTAGAAGAAGCTCTTCAGAATACTACAAGTGAGCTCTCCAAAGTTCAAGAAGAGTTTGCTCTTTCAAAGTCGCAAGTGGCTGACCTGGAGCAGTGCCTTGCCTCGAAGGAAGCCGTTCTTAGCAAACTGACTGAGGATTTGGAGTCAACCAAAGTTTCAGAATCGAAACTGAAGGAAGATTTCTTGGCTCTTGAGAATGTACTCACTGTTGCTAAAGAAGATCTTCAAGCAAAGGCTTCCGAGATAGAAGAACTTGCTAAAATTGTGAAGGAAAAGGAGGCACTTGAAGCAACTGTGGCAGATCTCACCAACGATGCAGCACATGCAAAGCAGCTTTGCAATGATCTTGAGGAAAAGTTGAAGCTTTCAGACGATAATTTCTCCAAAACTGATTCTCTTCTATCTCAAGCATTGTCAAATAATGCAGAGCTCGAAGAGAAGCTGAAATCACTGGAAGAGCATCACACTAAAGCTGGAGTTGCTGCAGAGACTGCTACTCTGAAAAATGTGGAGCTCGAGGACTTGATTAAAGCTTCGAATGAAGCAGCATCTGAGGCTCAGGCCCAACTCAGAGAACTCGAGACGCGGTTTATTGCAGCTGAGCAGAAGAATGTGGAGCTCGATCAACAGCTGAATTTGATCGAACTCAAGAACAGCGATTCTGAGAGGGAAATTGGAGAGCTTTCAGGGAAAGTGACTGAACTCAGTGGATGTCTCAAAGAGGCAGAAGATCAAAAGAAAAGCTTGGTTAGTCAGATTGAGGAATGCCAAGGAAAGATAACCAGCCTCGAGACGAGCTTAAGCGAGTCATCATCTCGAAACCTAGGGCTGGAAGATGAGCTGAAGAAATCCATGGAGAAAGCTGAGGATGCTGGAAAGAAGGTCGGTGAGCTGGAGTTATTGCTCGAAGCAGAGAAGTATAGGATTCAGGAACTCGAAGAGCAGATCAGCACCGTAGAGAAGAAATGCGTTGAGGCAGAAGGTGATTCAGACAAGCTAAAGCTGAAGCTGTCTGAACTCGCATCTGAACTCGAGGCATTCCAAGCAAAATCATCCAGTCTTGAAATTGCACTTCAGATGGCCTCTGATAAAGAGAAGGAATTGACGGAAAGCTTGAATCTGGCAGCGGAGGAAAAGAAAATGCTGGAAGATGCATCGATCAGTGTGAACGAGAAGCTTAGTGAAGCTGAGAATCTTGTCGAGGTCTTACGTAACGAGGTAAATGTTACGCAAGAGAAGTTGCAAAGCATTGAGAATGATCTAAATGCAGCTGGGTTGAAGGAAAGCGACATAATGACGAAGCTCAAAGATGCCGAGGAGCAACTTGCAGAACAAGCAAAGCTGTTGGATGAAACTTCAGCGAGAAAATCGGAGCTTGAATCATTGACTGAAACATTGACTAGGGATTCAGAATTGAAGCTTCAAGAAGCCATTGAAAACTTCAGCAGCAAGGATTCTGAGGCCAAATCCATGTTTGAGAAGCTGCAGAAGCTTGAGGAGCAAGTTAAGACCTACGAGAGCCAGTTGGCTGTAGCAACTGAAAGATCTGCTGCTTTGAAAGAAGAATTCGATTCATGTTTCCTGAAGGTGGCCTCAACAGAAACTGTGAATGAAGAACTCAAGAGTAAGATCATGGAAGCAGAAGCACAAGCTTCTAATGCTATGTCAGAGAACAACGAGCTGCAGGTCAAGGTTGAGGAACTGAAGAAATTGCTGGATGCCACTCTATCAGAGAAGGATACCACAACACAACAACTTGCTTCTCACATGACTGCAGTTACTGAGATAACCGACAAGCATTCGAGAGCAATAGAGCTCCATTCTGCAACTGAGACTCGGATGCTGCTAGCAGAGACAAATTTGCAGGAGGCCACTCAGAAGCTGGCTGAGAAGGACTTAGAAATGAAAGACTTGAATGAGAAGCTCATTGCTCTTGAAGCTCAGGCAAAGTTCCACGAAGAACAGGCTGCTGAAACGCATGGTAGCTCACAAGCTACAAAGATTGAGCTAGAGGAAACTCGAGAGAAGCTGAAGCATCTAGAAGCTGTCGTTGAGGAGCTGCAAGTCAAGTCTGGTCATTTTGAGAAGGAGAGTGGTGGGCTAGCTGAGGCAAATTTGAAGCTAACAGAGGAGTTGGCTTCATACGAGTCCAAACTAAGTGATTTGCAGTCCAAACTCTCTGCAGCATTGTCTGAGAAGGATGGAACAGTGGGAGAGCTTCAGTCTTGTAGGAAAACCATTGATGATCTGACGCAGCAGCTCTCTGCAGAAGGAGAGAAGTTGCAATCTCAGGTTCGTGTAATCTCTTATCATGTTTCTTCGAAGATAATTCTCTTATCATTTTCTTAGTCGAAACTGTCTTCCTTGCTGCAGATATCAAAGGTTATGGAAGAGCATAGCCAGCTCAACGAAATCCACCATAGCACAAAGAGCGAGCTCCAATCGATCATTGACCAGCTCACGGAGCAGCTGAAAGAGCAGAAGCAGAAGGAAGATGCCACAAAGTCAGAGATGGTAGCTCTCCACGCAGGCAGTAACGAGAAGTCGACATTACAGGCCCGCCTTAAGGAGGTTGAGGAACAACTGGTTGCAGCTGAAGCTCGACTGAAAGAACAGGTATATAATCTACCTCTTGAAAGAAAGGAACTAACCCAAATTCTTCTCATTTTCCTTCTGTGAGCATATATAACTAAAAAACCTCTTTTCCCCTTCACCTCCGATCTTTCAGAGAGGCGCCCTTGAAGGTCTGGACGCCAAGAACAAACAAGTCTCGGTTCTGGAGCAGCAAGTGAAAGATCTTGAACAGAAACTGCAGCTCGCCACAGCTAAATCAGTTGAGAAGGTCTGTTTCTCTATATTAATCTCCCTTCAGCCAGGCAATGATTCAATACCTGTACAATTCCGAAATCAAACTTGTTTCTTACTGGACTTTTGTGGAATGTGATGAAGCAGGGCGAAAACAAGGACGGAGTGGAGATCAAATCGAGAGACATCGGAGGAGCCAGCCCTTCAACTCCATCAAAAAGGAAGAGCAAGAAGAAGCTAGAGGCTCAATCCTCAGCATCTGCAGAGACCCTTACCACGGCAACGGCGACTGCACAAGGTTCAGGAGCCATGAATGTCAAGTTGATCCTTGGAGTTGCCCTCGTATCCATCATCGTTGGTATAGTTCTTGGCAAGAAATACTAGACACAACTACTATTCTTTTTTGTTAGGTGTGCCACCATTACAAGGTTTCCATTTGCATAATTTATTTTCCCTTTGGGAGGGTTTCTATTTCTTTTTTATTTTTCAAAATTTATGCTGGGTTGATAGCTTCATTTTAGTTGCAAGCCAGGAAGAAGAATAAGAAGGTTGGGTGAAAGAAGGTTTCTTTTGTATGTATTGGTGTTCTTTTTCTTTTTACCAAGTTTGGGCAGGGATTTGTGTTGTTTTTTCCTCTGAAAAGCCCAAATTAAAAAAAAAGTATGAGATTTGGTTTGTTTTGGATTGGATTGTGTATTAAACTATAATTGAATTTTTTCGGAAGATATAAAAGAAGTGAGGTTGCTATTTTGTTATATGTTCAAATTTGTATCTACTTAAAATCGTCACAAATCTTTGTTGGTCACAAAAACGTGAAGGGCGTTTTATCATATCCTCTCAAAGCAAGGACAGCAGCCAAGACTTCTCTTTCACATATGGAAAGAGACTTGATAACTCAATTGCTTGCAATCTGACAAGCTTTATTAATGATAAATGACGAAAATGTAATTGCTTGCACTCCAACCACTAACACGACTTGCACAACTCAACCACTAACCCATGGTTTCTACAAATCAGCAACCATGATTCGACTCTGAGTTATAACAAGAGTGACTAACTGAAATAAACCACTCGACTCCCCCAGCCGCCATCGACGACGACAAGGCTGGAGCTCTGGCAGTGGCTAGGGTTTCCGCTTTGCCGAAGCTATGAGAAGAAAGATAAAAATAGTTGCTTTTGACTGACCTTCCAAAGACGGTACCGACGAGGAAAGGTAAAGGGTAGGAGCTATATAAAGAGTGCAGGTCGTGGAAACTTGTGACGCAAGGTCCCCAAAAACCAATTAGGACATAAGGGAGACGAATACTACTGCTAGAGTTTCTGCTTCACGGTTTGCTTGGAGAGGTATGTTCCTTGGGGGACAATTTAAAGAGATGTACTTTACAGTGGGAGAAGGAGAAGGAGAAAGATCACGGTATGAAGGGATAAAAACTAAAAGGCGAACAGCTTTCCCTAGGAGAGAACTTGTATATGACAGGTGAAGTTCCACCACCATGAAAACAGCAATTCTAGCCCATATCTTTTACCAGAAGATCCTACATTTTCTATGTACCACCCAAAAAAAACATGGGAAACTGATACTACACAGATTCTGACTTTGGAAACAGTTACTCCTACTCAGTAGAAGCTCGTAACTCAAAGCAACACAAAAGAAGGGGCTGAAATGTTCAAATAAGCCTTTGATTTCTGCATTAAGATCACTCCAGAATGAGAAAGGAACAAGTCCTCGAAGCTTTTTCACACATAGCCACCATGAAAGCAAAGGAAACAAGAAAAACAAGGTCTAGATCTCTGTCCACCCATCAACGCCTCTTCTTATTCTTCATCTTCTCAACGATTTAGATCAGACCATTAAGGATCTCCAGATCACCAAAGGCTGCAGGTTTCACAGAAACACAATCTCTCAGTACTCGCCAAAGAAATTGAAGAGATTAAATGGATGCAATGCTTGTAACTTTACCTGTACCCAAGTCTTCAGTTTCGTCAACTGAAGATGCCAGCTGCATCGAGTTGGTGTTAGACGGGACAAGCGCCATCCAATCCATCTCCCCGTAGTCCTCTAAGTTCATCTCATTTTCGGCGATCCAATCCTCAATCAGACTGTTGTTTTCGAATGTTATGACATCTCCTGAATTATGTTTTCGACTTTCATTCGACCTATTTTCAAACAAGGACAACCTAAGTTAGCATAGCAGGCAGCAAGCCAAGGGTTAGTTTTTTTCCCCCTTAATGACAAAGTCTGTCACTTACATTTGCTTAAGACGAAAGTTACATTGGACAAGGATGGTATCTGCCAGTCGTTGGCGCTCGAGGCAGTTCCTTGAGCTGTGCAACTTCTCAAAGGGGATATGGTTCCAGTTGCAAACTGGAATGCCACAAGGCTGGTTGAGTATCCGAACCGCTAATCGTGCCAAATTCGGGCAGCCTCCGCCATATGTTGACCACCATTCAGCTAATAAAAACCAATTTTTTTTGTTTCAATACTTATCAGCAAACAATAAAAAACTGAAGCAGTAACAAAGAATGATCAGAATTGATATGATGCAACGGACATAGAAAGAAGTTCAATATCTGGTGCAAACTAAGAAAGTAACGAGGAAATATGCTTTATGCAACCCACAAATTCAGCTAGGGGGATTGGTTCCAGTTAAGGTTAAGCAAAACCAGAACTAAAACATGAGTATTTGTGAACCGAACCAAAACTGAATAGAAATTTGGCTAACCAAAATCCGTCGGTTTTAGTAGTCGCTCACCAGAATTTCAACTATACTTAATACATAATACTCGTTATAGTTATAGACACTAAGATTGAAATACGCTGCTTGAGTTACAGTCACTAAGAAAACAATTTCTTAAACTACATTACATTCTAGCACCTGGGCAAGTAATCTAATAACCTTCCACCGAATTTCGTCAATTTACAAAGCAAACTTCGTACTTCAAAAGCATTTGGTTACTCCGGTTTTGGTTGTGGTTGTAGTTAACCAAAAGTTTCTACCGATACAATAAGAAACGGAAAGTGAGATAACTAGCTAACGAGAGAGATAAGAAGCTGATTACTTACCGGGAAGCATGGTTTCTCTAGTTCTAACGGCCATCTTCCTCCCAAGATCCCCAGCAGCACTCTTGTACAGGTTTAGTTCCCCAGCAGTCTTATCTTGGACCTCTGGATCAGGAAGTTCAGGAACCAACCTTTCGATGCAGTCCAACATCTTAGATGTGGGGATCTGCAACTCTCCCCCGCTTCCATAGAAGAATTTAGGGTTGAGGAAGAAGCCTGCAGCTTGAATAGGAAGGTGCTTCTGTAGTTGCCACCTTTCATCAATGATGTTCCAGTATACCATGTACTCCTCGCTCTTAGTTAGTTCCCTCCTAATTGCCTCCTTCGCTCGATAGATAGCTGCCAGTACATAACCCATTGCACCCCTCTTTTGACTGCTCATTACATTTAAAGCACGAAGGAGCGGACTTGTTAAGCGAATAATCACAATGCAATCCGACCAAAATGATCGGTCGTTAATAACTTCCATAGCTGCCATCCCCCCAAGTAGCTTAGAGTAAGGAGATTCCATCCACTCTGGTGAAGTAACCATAGTTTGCAGATTGAGTTTGAAATCAGCTAGTCGTTTCAAGGAAGTGAAGTTGGTTGCAGCTCGAGTAGCTCCTTGCTGTAAGATGTCATTACCATAAGTAAAAGTCCTCATCAGCTTCAAAACAGCGCTCTGGTTGTAGAAAAATTTGGTGATGGATCTAGCTCTCTCGATGACTCCACTAATTATTTCGAATTTTCCAAAATCCTCCAGCATCAAATCAATGCAATTAGCAGCACAAGGGGCCCAATACAGAGAAGGAAAATTATCCATTAGGTTCTTCCCAGCAACAGCATAATGTTCTCCAACATGTGTAATCACTTGAAGAACATGTTCGGGTCCTACAATTTCAACCACTTCTTTGAGGACACCATACAGATCATCTGCAGAGTAGTCGATGTTTGATGCATCAACAGATTTCAGAAACACAGTTCCTCTTGCACACTGGACCAGGAAGTTCAGTACTATTCGACCACTCTCTGTGGTCCTTTGCTCCACCAAAATAGAGCAACCAGTTCTCTCCCATGTTGACTTATGCCTATTGATCTCCTCGTTCACTTCCTTGACCAAATTCTTCAGTATCCAGCCTCGAAGATCACGGCTCGAGAGGCCCAAAACCTCTGCAGCTCCTCCTCTATGGGAAAACATACCACTAAATGATGAGAAGAAAGCTGAATCAAGAGCATCAAAACTCGCACCTACATCATACAAGAACCGGCCTAATTTCACATGAACAGAGTTTTCCACATTAGCTCCCCCCGCACCAGCAACTAGAGACCTATTATCTCTCGTCCCGTCTTCCTTCCCATTACCTGTTCCTCCCTGATGAAGTAAGGAATTCAGGTTTATTTCTAACCCATCTACACCTTCAGACTCAGAATTACCACCTCCATCGTTGACATCATCATCATCATGGTGATTACCAAATATACCCATTGGACCAGCAGCAGAAATTGGGGAAACAATACCAGCTTTCATATCTTCCAGAGTCAAATTGTGTCCCCTGCTAGGCCTGACTGGAAGCTCATCCAATAACAGCTGCATTGCCTTCCGGATATCTTCTGAAACTTTAAGACAAACAGGTGCAGAGCCCTTTCGACCAGCAAGATGCTCCTTGAATCGATAAATCCCACCACCCTTAAATATTTTGCCACAGTATTTGCACTTAATCTGCACTCTGTTGTTGACTTTCAGTGCCTCACAGTGCAACCATGCAACATCCTTTTTTCTACGCTTATTAGGACCAGAATCTGAATACTCCAGAGGGTTTACTAGCAACTGCACGTGATTGTCAACTAAGCCGGCACTACTCAAGTCTTCCTGATAATCCATCTGGCTGCGGCTCATCCTCCCTGAACCACCGCCATCTAGATAGTTTTGGATCGTGGCCTTGACGTCGCCAGGAACCTTATCACAGATGGGCCCGCCGCCCTTTCGACCTGAGAGGTGCTCCTTGAATCTATAAATCCCGCCTCCCTTAAAGACTTTGCCACAATATACACACTTCAAGTGTTTTCTTAGACCGTCCTGGTATGTCTGGCAATGATTCCACGCTGGGTCCTTCTTGGGTGTAGAGGACGCCGGTGTGAATTCAAGACCATCGGCCATTTGCCTAAAACCACTGCAAATGTAAACTGGGCCAAAATCACAGCTCTAACTTCAAAACCTGTGAGCAGTAAGATAAACAGATTGCAAGTGAGAGAGGGAGGAAATCCAGATGTGAGAAGGAAAGTGCAAGAGGCCATCCAATGTGAAGAAAATCCCCACATTTTAGTCAATGATAAGAAGCAAAAACAATGAAACTTGACACACAATCTGTTCCAATCAATTTTCCAGTAAATTTTGGGAAACCAAATTCCCAATTCTTTTCAATGTGGGGAAAGATTAAACCTTTTTGTTTTTCTTCATATCACCACAACTAAAACATAAAATCTGAACCCCTAACAACAGATTAGCAGCAGCCAGTTCCCTCATTATGTTCCAACAACTTTCCTCGGGGCAATTCACCTACACCCCTAATTAAAAACAACCCTCAATTATGAAGGCCTGAAACAAATTGGAGCTCCAAAACCCTAGATTTGATCCAAAACGATGAAGGAAATCTCAATCTCAGCAAATCGGAAACAGCCATAGGATGATTAAACATACAATCACGAATTCCGCATTGAGTAATCCAAAGCCCATAATTAAAGCAGATAATCAGAAAATCCATTGAAAACCAAACAAAACAAAACCAAAATCAGGAACTCCATAACCCAGAAACCAAAATCCGAATTGAAAGAACTGGGGCGGCACAAAAATGAAAATGGAACAGAAAAGGAGGAATCTTTCGTCGCTTGTTTGAGAGCTGAAGGTTAGAGAGACGACGTACCCCGAGTTTCAGAGCAGGAGAGGGAGGGGAGGGGCGAAAAGTGCATCCGGGCGGACCGGTTTGAGTTAGCATGTCAAGCCAGATTAGGGCAAACGGCTGTATGTATACCCGCTCGCTCCAACCCGGGAACCCGGATCCGGTTGTTGCTTTTAGGTTTCGGCTAGCCTTTATTAATTTTACGTTTTCTTTCTTGGTTTCTTACTAAGATGGAGAGGAGGATAGAGAAAGAGAGAGATTAGGAAGATTTTGATAAGGATTACATAGTAATTACATTTACATATTCACCTAAATAATGATGGTTATAAATCACAATTTTTTCTTGGCAATAGATAGTTTGATTTAACAAAAAAAATCACAACAAACAGGTAAAGCAAAATAGTAATAGAAATTTAAGAGTCACGGAATTTAAAAGACTTTAATATGGATTCTCGAACATCATCATAAATATTATTTTGGTATAATACAACACTATTTACTAATTTAAGGAATGCACTATCATTTTCTTTCACCTCCTCTCGTAACATGTTGTTTTCCACTTTCCTCTAATGAAAATTATCGTTGGTTATAGACGAATTAGACTATCAAATTCGGATAATTATCAGCAAGTTAATATTTAATTAAAAGTCCTTTTTAATGTTTTGGGCTTATATTGAGATGATTCTCTCTTTAGAACTTACATACTCATCTCTCTAGAAAAACATTCATAACTTGATCATAGAAGAGCTACCGATTTCTCAAATTTTTCTATATTTATGTGGTGTCTACAGACATTAAACGATAGTTGAAAATATATACGCAAAAAATAGCTCCGAAGCACGAGGTTGTTACCAGACTTAAAACAAAATCATATCAACAATAAACTTGGTTGTTGAGGTAATTTGGACTCCACTAATTCAACCTTTTATTGTATAAATGCGTTAGGTAAACCATTACTTTCCAAATCTTAAACGTTATTATTGGTCAAATAACCGACAAAATGCATATCCGGAATGGTCCAACTCTACTCCACCAAAATTGCATTGCCTAACCGAACTGGCAAAAGGCTCCGTTCTATTGTGGAACGCGCCAACCAACCAACCAACTCTTATAGTGGTTCGGTAAATAGGGTCGAAACAAAAATTGTATGGGCCTTAGTATATCGCTTTACTGGGCCTGAACTTTGGACCTCCAAGCAATCACGTCAGCCCAAGACCAGTAAATAAAAACAAACCACCACCTGAAAGTCTGAAACGGAATTCAACTGAAGAGTGAAGAGCCCGCCGTCGCCGGCGAATCAGTACGACCGTCCTCCCGCCGACGAAAAATGGCAATCAGAATACATCGCGCGCTCTCCTTCACTACCTTCCTCCTCCGCCGCCGCAACTTCACCGCATCCGCAGTCGCCTCCGAGCTCCCCACGCTCGAACCCTCCGCCGACGCCGAACTGCTCTCCCAGATGCTCCTCCACCACCACAACCCTTTCCACGCCATGGAATCCTGCCTCCAGCTGAGCGGAATCTCGCTCACGCCTTCCCTCCTCCACCAGACCCTCCTCCGTCTCCGCCACAGCTCCAAGATCGCCCTATCCCTCTTCCACTACTCTCTCTCCCTCCCTTCTTCTCCGGCCACCTCCGCCGCTTACAACATCATGATCGATATCCTCGCGAAGGTCCACCAATTCGACGTTTGTTGGCAGCTAATCATCCAGATGGGGCAAAAAACCGACGTGGGTTCCGATTCCCAGCCCAATTTCACCACTTTCTCCGTCCTCATTCGGCGGCTGATCGCTGCGGGATTCACCCGCCAAGCGATTCGTGCGTTCGATGATATGCAAGGGTTCGTCGGGCCGGTGGATTCGACTCATTTCTGCTTCCTGCTCGACACTCTGTGCAAGTACGGGCATGTGAAAGTGGCTGTCGAGGTTTTCAACAAGAGGAAATTCAGCTTCGTTCCCAATGTCAGGATGTACACTGTTCTAATCTGCGGATGGTGCAAGCTGGGTAGACTGGATATGGCGGAGAGATTTTTGAGAGAGATGGATGAGAAGGGAATCGAGCCCAATGTCGTTACTTACAACGTTTTGTTAGATGGGATCTGCAGGAGAGCTAGATTGCAGCCGGAGCATAAGTTTGAGAAGACGATTGTTTTGGCGGAGCAGGTGTTCGACGAAATGCGCCAGAGAGGGATCGAACCAGATGTGACCAGTTTCTCCATCGTGCTCCACGTCTACAGCAGGGCGCATAAACCCGAACTTACTCTGGACAAGCTAAAGTCAATGAAGGAGAAAGGTATTTCCCCATCCCTGGCAACCTATACTTCAGCAGTGAAGTGCCTCTGCTCGTCAGGGAGACTCGATGACGCGGAGAAGCTGCTCGATGAGATGGTAGTCAGTGGGGTGAGTCCATCCGCCTCAACGTACAATTGCTTTCTTAAAGAGTACCGAGGGAGGAAGGATGTCGATGGTGCTCTGAAGCTATACAGAAGGATGAGGGATGATGATCAGTGTGCACCAAGTTCACAAACCTACAACATATTGTTGGTGATGTTCGTGAAGTTGAATCGAATGGATGTTGTCAATGAGATATGGGGTGATCTGAAAGGGAGCTGCTTGGGGCCGGATTTGGATTCGTACACACTGTTAATACACGAGCTGTGTGAGAAGGAGAAGTGGCGGGAAGCTTGTGGTTTCTTCGTGGAGATGATAGAGAAAGGGTTGCTTCCCCAGAAGGTTACATTTGAAACGCTCTACAGAGGTTTGATACAGTCTGACATGTTGAGGACTTGGAGAAGGTTGAAGAAGAAGCTTGATCAGGAGTCAATAACATTTGGTTCTGAGTTTCAGAATTATCACTTGAAGCCATACAGGAGATAGAAGAATCGCCATGATAAAGTTGTGCCAAGGTTGGGATGATTCCATTCAGGTATATATATACTATGACTCTTTTTGCTGAGTTTTTTTGAACTTAGGGTGATTGCTGATTAGGTTAGTGGGAGCATTCTACAGGGCCTTCTTTGCATGCTAGGCTAAGGGTTGTGTCTGTTGAACCTGAATTTTAGGTGGAACTATTTGCTCCATTAGACCATAACCGAGTTTGGTACAGTACTCCATATACATCTTTGAAGTCAACATTCATTGCAATACCCGAAAGTCAGAGTTTTAGTGTCTTCAGTTTTCCTCTTGATCCTTTTTAGTATCCATAATTGGCGTGGACCAGAACAAGTTTTCTTCTCAGAAAGTGCCACAATTTCGTCCACTTAATTGTGACCTTTCCTTTGACTTGTTAAACCTTACATTATTCATTTGTAGGCACACCTTATCTCCAACTAGTTTTTCTCCAACATGTCAACACCCTAGATGGGTCAGTTTGCTCCACAGCTACTTCACAGCATTAATACCTGAATGTCCTCCAATGTCCAATCTTGAAGCACTCCTTCGTTGGCAGTTGTAGGGTATGTCCCTGCTCGTTCCTTTCCCTACATATGTTGTATAGTTGAATGGCAGGACCATGTGAACATCTCGTGGACTATGTCTTAAGCTTGGTTTTTGGCCAACTAAGTCAAATTTGTGAAGTTAGGTGTTAGAGAGTGGTATAAGATCCACGATTGAACCTCTCCCAACAACTCGAGTTATTGGGATCAACTGGTTCTTGACATGGTATCAGAGCCTAGAACCGAAAGGTCATGTGTTCGAATCTCCACGACCCCCAACATTAACCGTTGTCTTTCAAGCACATGGTATGGTGGGCCTGTGCAAACTTCAAGCCCATGGGTTGACTTTCGTTTGAGGGGGCGTGTTAGATCGTGGTATAAGATCCACGATTGAACCTCTCCCAACAACTCGAGTTATTGGGATCAACTGGTTCTTGACATTAGGAACCCACATATTTATATATAGCTCTCTTGATAAACTTGGCTCAACACCAACTCGAAACAACTGAAAGCAAGACACCAAAAAATCTCCTGCTAATACCTTTCTCCATATTTTCTTCTTCTCAGATTCATCATCAGAGAAAAGCCATGGCTATCGGCTTGCCCGGAAATCTCGCCAAGCAAATTCTCCGACGATCTGGGTCCAGCTCAAGCAAGTCAGCCTCGAAAAGGTTCCCGGATATGCCGAAAGGTTTCTTGGCAGTCTACATAGGAGAGACGCAGCGGAAGAGATTCGTTGTGCCGCTATCCTACTTGAGCCAGCCTTCATTTCAGGACTTGCTAGCCATGGCAGAAGAGGAGTTTGGGTTCGATCATCCGATGGGGGGGTTAACGATTCCCTGCAGTGAAGAGACTTTCATTCATGTAACTTCAACCTTGACCAGATCTTGAACAGCAGGAGCTGCTATACGATGATGCAGTGGCGATTGACTTCATTCTTTGATACACCAAGGACACCAGTCTTTTTCTAGTGTAGATGAAATGACATTTTCCCCCCTTCTTTTCCCTTCTCTGTTTTTGAGCTGGAAAGCTTTGTGAGAAGGATACCAACAATAGTCTCTCCATGTATGAATGAGAAATTCTGTACATTAATTGAGAAGTTAAATCTGTTTTGCCCCATTCTCATTTGCTGAGTTCCTCCGGCGGCTATGAAGCTCTATCAAACACAAGTACACAACCACAGTGCAAACACAGATAGGACTATCAATGATTTATATGTCCAGATCAAAGAAGCGACTTGATGGTTCGTATAATCAGCAACAAAGTTAGCCTCAAGATAAACGTCTTAATGGAGATGTGTGTTCCATAGGACATACAGAAGCTGCCATATGGTAAGTTGTATCTATCAAGTAATGAGTGTAACCGAGGAATCCATCTATCAAGTAATTTTTCTGAAACAAATCTAAGAAGATAGCCTGAAACCATGCAAAACTATCACCAATTCAGCTCCCAATTCGCGACGAGGACCCTAATGAAACGGCCTATTCCTCCCTAAACAATGCCACCACAATGCTTCACCGAGGAAGAGTGAAGGTAATGTGTAAAAAGTGGATGTAGCCAACCTAATGCATTGAAATATCATTCTGAATGTTTCCAATACATAACTGAGTACATGCCGTAACGGGATACTCAAAGAAACAGGTACAAAATACCAAGTACTCCAAAGTCATTTTCATTGTCATACCAGAATACCAGAATGCGAAGTTTCCTTGCCTTCGTCCTTCCACTTGTTCTTTAGCCTCCTTAATTGGCTTGGACCACCAAGCCAAGTGTTCTTCTTTCTTCGAAGCATCTGCCGGCTAATGTTGGATGCCAATAGTTTCTTCCTCTTAAATGCCTCTTTGATTAGTTGAACTCTTCCGTCTTCATTAGCAGACACGACTTATCGCCCAACTAGTTGTCTAAGCCATGTCCAGACCAGAAAATGGGACGGTTAGCTGCACAGCTAATCCACAGCATTAATGCCTGAATGTCCCCACAACTAGGGCCCAATCTTTAAGCCCTTCACCATTGGCTTACCCTCCAGTTGTAGGGTACGTCTCCCCTACGCTCTCTTCCCTACATATGTTGTAGGGTGGTATGGCAGGACCATGTGATATGCCATGGACCATGTCTCAAGCCAACCCAGTCAAATTTGTGAAGCAGCCATCTATATAAACATCTGCATATTCTTAGCTCAGAACCATCTCCAACCAAGAAGCAGATAACAAAGAGTCTCAAATTCCCTGCTTACACCTTTCTCATCATCTTTTCTTGTGCTCAGATTCATCAACAGAAAGAGAAATGGCTATCAGTTTGCCAGGAAATCTCGCCAAGCAAATTCTCCGACGATCTGGGTCTGGCTCAAGCAAATCAGCCTCAACAAGGTTTCCAGATGTGCCGAAAGGTTTCTTGGCAGTCTATGTTGGAGAGACTCAGAGGAAGAGATTCATTGTGCCAGTATCTTACTTAAGCCATGAATCGTTTCTGGACTTGCTGACCATGGCAGAAGAAGAGTTCGGGTTTGATCATCCTATGGGCGGGTTAACAATTCCCTGCAGTGAAGAAATTTTCGTTCATGTCACTTCAGCCTTGACCAGATCTTAAACAGCAAGAGTTAAATCATAACGATGCAATGGAGATCAATGACTAAACTGTGTAAATGAAATGACTATTTGTTTTTTTGTTAGTTTTTTTTATCCTTCTCTAGTTTTTTAGCTGGAAAAAGCTTTTATGAGAAGGATATGAATAGAAAGATGTGTATGAATGTGTAATTTTGTTATACTAATTGGGAATTACACCTTTTCCATATTTTTTCACGATGAATATGGAGATAGAAGATTACCTCCCATTCTAATCTCTTATACATGCTTTTGAATGGAACAACACTGCTGGAAGTGAAGCTGGATCAAGCTCCCAACAGTCGTTCAGAAGCTCGGGGATCTCATCATTAGAGACCTTCCTCGCAGGAAGTTGATGAGAAAACATCTGGAGATCATTTTTATGGACACATTTAACACCACCAAACCCGAACTATCTTCTCTTGAACATAGTTTTGAACCCATAAACCTTATCGAGGTAAGTAAAACTCAGACCATGAATCTCACTGTAATTACTCAAAACCACAACAAAGTCGGACCACAGTTCATCCCTCTGTGGAACATGTCTTTGTCTTTCTTTGTAAACTCCACACACAGAACCCTTCTTAGGGTAAATTCTATAAACTTGTCTGGCAGCCCTCTTGCACTGCATAACATGCGAGAAGATAATCACGGAAGCGTCCCCAAGATTCTGTTATGAAACAGCTAATCAACCTCTTCTCTCCATTATTGACAACATCCGGCCAACTCAACTTCACCTGGAAAGGATTCCCCGAGACCACCTCATCGATCAAGCCATATCCCCGAGACCTCCCTATATAATGGCACCACAATGATTAATCGAGGAAGAATGATAGGTATAGTCATTAGTGTTAACGTTGACTCAACTCCAAGTAGGACCTCCAGTATTGTTTGTGTAAAAAGTGGATGTAACCAACCTAATGCATTGAAATGTCATTCCGATTGTTTCCAACAAATCGTACATAGCTCAGTATATGTCGTGACGGGGTACTCAAAGAAACAGGTACAAAGTACCAACCAAGTACTCCAAAGTCATTTTCATTGTCATACCAGAATACCAGAATGTATGGTTTAATTGCATTCATTCTTCCACTTGTTTCTTAGCCTCCTTAATTGGCTTGGACCACCAAACCAAGTTTTCTTAGCCTCCTTAATAGGTCATTTGTTCCTCGTAAATGCCTCTTTGATATGTTAAACTCTTCCGTCTTCATTAGCAGACACAACTTATCGCCCAACTAGTTGTCCCGACCATGTCCAGACCAGTAAATGGGAAGGTTAGCTGCACAGCTAATTCACAGCATTAATGCCTGAATGTCCACTACTGGTGTCCAATCTTTAAGCTCTTCTCCATTGGCTTACCCTCCAGTTGTAGGGTACGTCTACCCTACTCTCCCTTCCCTACATATGTTGTACGGTGGGATGGCAGGACCATGTGATATGTCATGGACCATGTCTCGAGCCAACCCAGTCAAATTTGTGAAGCAGCCCTCTATATAAACATCTCCATATTCTGAGCTCAGAACCATCTCCAATTACACAAAAAGATAACAAGAGTCCCAAATCCCCTGCTTAAACCTTCCTCTTCATCTTTTCTCGTGCTCAGATTCATCAACAGAAAGAGAAATGGCTATCGGTTTGCCCGGTAATCTCGCCAAGCAAATTCTCCGACGATCTGGGTCTGGCTCGAGCAAATCAGCCTCCACAAGGTTTCCAGATGTGCCGAAAGGTTTCTTGGCAGTCTATGTTGGAGAGACTCAGAGGAAGAGATTTGTTGTCCCAGTATCTTACTTAAGCCAGCAATCTTTTCATGACTTGCTGACCATGGCAGAAGAAGAGTTTGGGTTTGATCATCCAATGGGTGGGTTAACAATTCCCTGCAGTGAAGAGACTTTCATTCATGTTACTTCAGCCTTGACCAGATCTTAAACAGCAAGAGTGAAACCATAACGATGCAATGGAGATCAATGACTGAATTGTGTAGATGAAATGACTTTTTTTTTTTATCCTTCTCTAGTTTTTGAGCTGGAAAAGGCTTTTATGAGAAGGATATGAACAGATGTGTATGAATGTGAAATTTTGTTATACTAATTGGGAATTAGAATTACACCTTTTTCATCTTTTTCACTTGAAAAGCTCAGCATGAATGCAGAGATAGGAGATTACCTCTTACTCTAATCTATTATACATGCTTTGAATGGAACAACCCTGCGGGAAGAGAAACTGGATCAAGCTGCCAATAGTCTTTCGGAAGCTCGGGGATCTCATCACAAGTGACCTTCCTCGCAGGAATTTAATGAGAAAACATCTGGAGCACATTTTTATCGACACATTTAACAACGTGAAACCCGAACTCCCTTCTCTGGAAAGGATTCACAGAGACCACCTCATTGATCAAACCATACTGCCTGCATTCCATTAGTATCGTTGTGTACAGCCCACACTTGCCCCTTCTTGAAACTCTTCTCTGCTTTGTCAGTATCGAAGTCATAGAAGTCTTGAGTCGTCAACCTCCATCATCTCCAGACCACCATTCTCCAAATACCCGACATTCTTAGCACTACTAGGCTTCCTGATATAGCTTGCTTCTCTGTCTCATGAATCGCAATCTTCTTTGATGTCTGAGCTCTTTCATTTACTCCAACTAAAATCCCACTTTTCCAACAACTTGATTCTTAGCTCTTCTTTGCTATGTCTACTCTCTCCGGTTCCTCCTTCTGTTATCTTTCAATTTTACCTTCCCTTTGCTAGCCTTTCGCCATGCTTCCAATTGCATTTGAGCCAATGTCATCATTTCTTCATCTAATCTCACCTTCTTAGACTTCAAGTTCCTGCAAAACCTCGTCTTCATCAGTGGCATTCCTCCTCAAAACCACATTTCCACTTTCCTGATTCCCTGAATCAAAGTTGCCCAATCCATCTCCACCAAAAAGTTTACTTCTCAACCTCAAACTCCTAACTCAACCTTCTCAAAATTACCAACCTCTTCTTTATCCTCACTATCCTCAACCTCCACAGCTTCAAAGCTCCTCTTACAATTACAGATGCAGAACGCTACACCTCGAACCAGATGTCCAGAAAGTCTCCACTACAGAATCATGACCATTACCCCTCTCTTCGAGCAACCTGATTCTGAAAGCTACATCATACTCTTTCCTACTAGCTCTATCACATAAAACCCTGTACCCTTCATATGCACGAAAACGACCTCTTCCTTCCTGAATAGCAAATAGTGCCTCCACTATCCTTCAATGAGGGAGATAGAAAAGTGGAGTCATTAGTGTTAGGCTGACTCGACCCTGGGTAAGGCCTCCCGATAGATCTAGTATGTTTGTGTAAAAGTGGATATAACCAACTTAATGCATTGAAATATCATTCGAATTGTTTCCAACAAATCGTACATAACTCAGTATATGCCGTGACGGGATACTCAAAGAAACAGGTACAAAGTACCAAATACTCCAAAGTCATTCTCATTGTTGTACCAGAATACCAGAATGTGAAGTTTCATTGCCTTCGTTCCTACACTTGGTCCTTGGCCTCCTTAATTGGCTTGGACCACCAAACCAATTTTTTTCTTTCTTCGAAGCATCTGCCGGCCAATATTGGATGGCCACAACTTCTTCCTCTTAATTGCCTCTTTGATTTGTTGAACTCTTCCGTCTTCATTATCAGACACGACACACTGCCAACTAGTTGCTTCGGACATGTCCAGAACAGAAAATGGGACAGTTATCTGAATTCACAGCATTAATACGTGAATATCCGCTACTAATGTCCAATCTTTAAGCCCTTCTCCATTGGCTTACCCTCCAGTTGTAGGGTATGTCTCCCCTACTCTCCCTTCCCTACATATGCTGTACGGTGGGATGGCAGGACCATGTGATATGTCATGGGCCATGTCTCATGCCAACCCAGTCAAATTTGTGAAGCAGCCCTCTATATAAACATGTCCATATTCTTAACTCAGAACTATCAACAACAAATAAGAAGTTAACAAGAGTCTCAAATTCCTTGCTTACACCTTTCTCCTCATCTTTTCTTCTGCTTAGATTTATCAACAGATAGAGAAATGGCCATCGGTTTGCCAGGAAATCTTGCCAAGCAAATTCTCCGACGATCTGGGTCAGGCTCAAGCAAATCAGCTTCCACAAGGTTCCCAGATGTGCCAAAGGGTTTCATGGCAGTCTATGTGGGAGAGACTCAGAGGAAGAGATTCGTTGTGCCGGTATCTTACTTAAGCCAGCAATCTTTTCAGGACTTGCTGACCATGGCAGAAGAAGAGTTTGGGTTTGATCATCCGATGGGCGGGTTAACAATTCCCTGCAGTGAAGAGACTTTCATTCATGTCACTTCAGCCTTGACCAGATCTTAAACAGCAAGAGCTAAATCATAACGATGCAATGAAGATCAATGACTGGACTGTGTAAATGAAATGACTATTTGTTTTTTTGTTTGGTTTTTTTTTTATCCTTCTCTAGTTTTTGAGCTGGAAAAAGCTTTTATCAGAAGGATATGAACAGATAGATGTGTATGAATGTGAAATTTTGTTATACTAATTGGGAATTACGCATTTCCCCCTTTGGCACTTGAAAAGTTCAGCATGAATTGAATGGAACAAAGCTTACCTCTTACTCTAATTCTTATACATGCTTTGAATGGAACAACACTGCTGGAAGAGAAGCTGGATCAAGCTCCCAACAGTCTTTCAGAAGCTCGGGGATCTCATCATTAGAGACCTTCCTCGCAGGAATTTGATGAGAAAATATCTGGAGATCATTTTTATCGACACATTTAACACCGTGAAATCCAAACTCCTTTCTATTGAACACAGTTTTGAACCCATCAACCTTATCGAGGTAAGCAAAACTCAGCCCGTGAATCTCACTGTAATTACTCAGAACCACAACAAAGTTGTAGCACTCATCCCTCTGTGGAACATGTCTTTGTCTTTCTCTGTAAACTCCCCATACAGAATCCTTCTTAGGGTAAATCCTGTAAACTTGTATCGCAGCCCTATAACACAGCATAACATGTGAGAAAATATTCATCGAATCAACAGTCATGTTTCTCTCGACCTTAAAGCTCCCACAAGATCCTGTTTTTAACCCGCTAATCAACCTCTCATCTCCATTATTGACGAGATCCAGCCAACTCAACTTCACCTGGAAAGGATTCACCGAGACCACCTCATCAATCAAACCATATTGCCTTGGCATTCCATCAGTATCGTCGTATATAGCCCACACTTGCCCCTTCTTGAAACTCTGCTCTGTCACTATCAAAGTCATAGAAATCTGAGTCCTCAACCTCCATCATCTCCGGACCACCATTCTCCAAATACCCGACATTATTAGCACTCATAGACTTCCTCGATACAACATGCTTCTCCGCCTCATAAATCACAATCTTCTTGGATGTCTGAGCTCTTTCATTTACACCAACTGAAATCCTACTTTTTCCACACCGAGATTCTCTGCTCTTTGCTACGTCTTCTTTCTCCGGTCCCTCCACCTTCTGCTTATCCTTCAATTTTTCCTTTCCTGCACTAGCCTTGCACCTGGCTTCCAATTGCATTTCAGCCAATGTCACCATTTCTTCATCTAATCTCACCTTCTTAGACTTAAAATTCTGTAAAACCTGGTCTTCATCACTCGATTTCCTCCTCAAAACCTCATTTCCACTTCCCTTAATCCCTGAATCAAAGTTCCCCAACTGATCTCCACCAAAAACTTTCCTTCTCAACCTCAAACTCCTAACTCCAACCTTCACACAACCATTACCAACCTCGTCTTTATCCTCATCATCATCAACCGCCACAGCTTCAAAGCTCTCCTTACAATTAGGGCAAACCAAATTATGCCCCAAATACTTCCTCTCAAACTGATGCAGAAGGCTACACCTCGAACAAGCTGTCCAGAAAGTCTCCACTACAGAGTCATCATCACCCCTCTCCTCCAGCAACCTTATTCTCAAAGCTACATCATACTCTTTTCTACTAGCTCTATCCGATAAAACCCTAAACCCTTCCCCTAGCAGCTTGAACGCCTCCTCGCAACCGTCGAATACGTTCTTGTCAGGTTGCAAAACTAGTGCCAGCTTCTTGTACTGCGTTTTTATAGTGTTGATGTGAGAGAAAGGCTCTACCTGGAGAATTCCGTACTAGTCGACGACCTCGGAATTGGATTTAGCGGCAAACCGGAGGGTTTTCAGGGCGGTGAGCATGGCGGAAAGGCCGTCGAGGTCTGGGCAGGGCCGATGGGCTTTTATAGCATGTTTGAGTGCTGATTTCAGGTTGGAGGCTGAGAATTCCGCCTCAGCCATGGATTTCAGGCGGATGGCTTCTTCCTCCGGATGCTGCTCCGGCGGCGCCATGGATTTTGGGGCGGGAAAAGATTGGAACTTGGAGGCTGGGGGAATGGGAAGTGAGAAAAGAATCCACCCACCAAAGATGGAAGCTTTGGCTCGATCTTAGGCTAATTACATAAATGGTCCTTATACTTTGGGATGACGAACAAATTCATCGCGCAGCTTTGATTTGTTGACAAATTTATCATCGAAAAACGAAAATGGTATAATTAGCATAATAGTCACAAAGTTTGTCAACTTTTCAGCCACATTACTCAGATTAGCATGTCAATCATCTGAATCAACATCAGCCTTCTTTTCCGTACATCTAAACCTTTTCTGAAACCCAATCCATTCATTCAAAGCAAACTATCCTATAAGCTGCCATTGTCTAAACCCACTCCTGCAACTACAACTTAAAGAACAAAATGGAACAATGCCTTCTGGTTTGCTTTACATGGGTGACTGTTGTGAAAGATGAATGAATAAAAAAGCCCTAAAATTCCCAATCACACTGCTTTGTATTGGCATCAAAACTAAAGTATGCTGCTTTAATTTTATTATTATCCATGAAAGTTACCAAGACAAATAAATGTTTCACAGAGAAAAGGAAGATGGTGACTTGATCCATTAATAACTAAGGCATTCCATTCCTTCCTTCACATTATGCTACAGTTTTGTTGGGAATCCATCATCTCGGGTGTTCTGCAATGGCCAAAGAAAAACAGAAAACCAGAAAGCCATTAGCTATCTCATCATCATAAAGGGCAATGAAATAACTAACAATCAGCGCACCCATATACCATATGAAGCACTCACATTTGACCGAGAGTAGCCAAATCGAGATCAGGTGCAAGTTCCCGGATGATTTCATCAGGTGGCTGTCCGCATTCTTGCATCTTTTGCATGAGCTCGGTGATCCTGGTGTAGTTACTGGGATCATTCTCATAGACCTCGTTGAGAACCTTTATAAGTTCATATTGATTGGAATAACGTTCAAAATCCTCTTTACTCAAACTTGATTCGTGGTCTTTCAACCATGCCGGATACCTCCCTTCGATTTCCTTCATGGGTTCATGAAGAATCTCCTTAGACAGCAGCTGTTGCATCATGGTGTCTACAAGAGACGCCATGTCCTGATAGGCACAAAAAGAAAATATGAAGCTCATGAACTAGAAAGATAGAAACAAACAGCGGGAATGTTCTAAATGGCCTTAAAACACAGATGGGAGAAATAAATACTTAGATAACTAAATTGATCCTTATGCAAGAGATAAACTCACATTATCGAATGTCGGGGCAAAAGAGTGAGCACAGATACAGAAAACACTCTTGAGAGACTACATTCAAATCTCACAGGGATTCAAGATTACAACTATTTCACAATTTTGGAAATGTAACTCCTAGTATCCTTGCAGCAGCATAAGCAAAGCACCTAACTCCAAAGTGACTGATAAAGTTTCCTTCCTAACCATAAGAGACCAGTCAATCAAGTCTCAAGGAAATCACTTCTCTCTACTCAATTGGGGCCTAATAACTTCACCAGCTAAAGAAAAGAGTTCTATATATGGAGAAAGAGAGAGAGCAAGAACTTCACTTTACCTGGCCAGAGGCAAGCTCCTCGAACTGCTTAACCCAATCCTCCACCATAGCATCCTTATTATCACCACCACCCTTCGAGCCAGTGACGGACTCCAATCCCAGCACAGCCTCTTTAGTCTGCTCCATAAGCTTATCAAGCGCCTCAGCCACATGAGTATCCTTCGAAGAAGCCGCTGCCATTTGTTTCCCTTTCTTCTTGCTCTTCAGTTGCGGCAGTCCCATACCTAAACCCTGAACCCCAGTCGGCAAACCATGAACTGAATCCCCCACCTTGCTCTTCTCCTTATCGCCACCATCCCCTCCCCCGCCGCCAGCAGTTCTGCATTCCCAATTTACGCCTTTGTTTCAACTCGCCATGTCGACAGAAACAAAGAGAAGCCGAAATTGGAATTAAGAAATAATACCTTTGTGAAGACGGTGGCGCGAGGTTGAGACTTTGGAAATCATCGAGAGCACCTACAGTGAGCAAAAACAAAAAACAGAAAGGTTTGAAATTGAGGTGCGAAATCGCAGTGAGAAGAGGAAACAAGAATAGGGTTCTGTTGAAAAGTTGGATTCTGATTATGGGGAATTACTTACTGTCAAGAAGCTGTTCTAAGTCATCGACATGAGACGCCGCCATTTTTCCACTGCTCTGGTGGTGCTACTTCCTATCGCCGTGGAAGCTTTTACTATTTTTGGAAGGAAATCGACTGATCCCGGAAGGAAGGAATTTTGATATATGTAAGGGATAGGAGAATTTACGGTGAGAGGAAGAGAAGTAAATTCGTTTCCTTGCGTCCAAGGATTACGCGAGAGAGATGGAGAAATCGTACTGCAAGTTTATCAGTTTTGTTTTACCGATCACTCGATCGGCCATTGTTTCATCTTCGTCGTTTGATACCATGACTTTGGGCTGGATCGGGCTAATGATTATCTCAAGCCCATGCCAAGTAACTCCTCACTTGCATCTCATGGGCCTTTGACGAATTCGGCCCATCTGTGATTATTGATTACACCGGCCTAACTAACCTTGGCGTCGAGAATTACATTTGGAACAGCAAACCTTTGAAAATTCGGTAAAATGCCACCAAACATACTACTATGCTACTCTTCACAACTCGAGATATTGTGACCGGTTGGTTTATAATATGGTATCAAAGTGGATTTTTCTTTGAGGTTACATGTTCAACTCCTCTCGACCCGAATATTAATAGTTGTCTTTAAAAGCACGTGATATGGTAGACATGTGTAAACTTCAAGCTTATGAATTGGCTTTCGTTTGAGGGGGCGTGTAAGGAAGTGGTTAAATATCATACATGGACCTCTCTCGGCAACTCGAATTATTGGGGATCAGTTGGTTCATGACATAGTGGCCCGCACGAAGGATCATTTTTTCTTCCCGATTGAGTTGGAGCCCCGGAGATCTCTTAGCAAAACTCGAATTATTAGAATTAAAGGTTTCATATTTAAAAAAAAAAATACATGTGTCATGTTATGAATTGAGATGCATATAGAACAAATCCGACTATCCTGTGCTCACGACTCAATCTAGGAATAATACATACTCATAAATATTCTAAGTTGTCGGATCAGACGCTAGGCGCCTCCTGATCATTGGATGGACGTGATGACAATTTTATAAATAAAGTGTCAACGCATCCAACCCACTATGGGCGCGCCCAAAACTTAATCCGACAGCGCCCAGCTTGTGAGAACCATAGTCGGATTGATATTAAACTCTTGAATCAATTCAGGGCCATACACACATACACTCACTTTTATACTATCCATCTATGTCCACAGACCATAGATATAGATATCAGACTGGTTTTACTGTTGAGCATGCACCATTTCTGACAATGACGATTCAGAGAGAGGCCCCAGAAGAAGAAGAAGAAGAAGAAGAGAAAATTGGTAACGAGCCAAGCCGATATGTCAAGTCACAGTCAAGCTTTGGGACTCCTTTTTTCACTGTGAAAGAAAGAAAGAAAGAACTCAATGATCAGTACGTAGTTGGTTCCTTCTTTGTCCCATCTCTTGTTCTCTTCTTCTCATCCTTTTCTGTCTCTCCATAATTTTCCCCCCTCCCATTTCCTCTGCACTTACCAAGAAACAGATAGGACCGAAAGCAACTTTTCTTCCCACGAATATCTCAATATGAACCCTAAATATAGCTACGACGAGAATGGATCAAAGTTGGAACGAAACAATTCCAAGATACAATGTGAAATAGGTTGTTAATGTTTTTTTTTTTAATCTTGGTGTCATCGTCGGATTCAGGACATAATAGATCACTGAATCACATTTGAAAAGAGGCACAAAGAGGGTAGAGCTGTAACCCGATTAGTACTGGACCGAATACCAAAAATTAAAAAAGTTACGATTGTTATACTAACTCTAGAACCAGAGAAGGGCTGGGTTCAATGGGTTGTAGCCGGGACAGGCCTCCCCCTTGATTTGCCACTATTTAATGGTATAAGAGATTATCTATGAGAAAGTTGACACTGTTGATATATATGCTGAGACCTACTCGACTTTTTAGTTCTTCATATGGTATGTTGCTTGTTCGATCTTTTCCTTTATTTTCAAATCAATTTCTTACCCACCCTAAGCTTGTATAGTTTTGTGGTGATATTGTCCAAATGTAATACGATATCATTTGGTCTAATGACAAGTTTGGTTATCATCGTTTGACTTCCAACAAGCATTTGAAGATGGAAAGCTTAATTAGTGAGACCCATTACCTCTTTCCCCAATCAATTATTAAATAATCACAAGATTAAGTTGTGTTAAATTGCGTCTCAATTGTTAATTAGTTGATATCATCTTTTTATAAATATTTGTGTTTGCCGCCTTTCTTCTTGTCTAGATGACAGAGCAATTCCGGCCTTAACAATTATTCTATTTTTCCAGTCTTTTTCAAAGGCATGATTTCTATTTTTCGTATATAATATAGCGCATGGAAGTGTTTTAGAGTTTTAGGAATCTATTGAATTTAATTATTAGCATTTTTTCAATAAGTCATAATACGATGGAGTGGTTCTCTTACGTGCTCTCCGCCGGGCCAAGGCGACTAGCTAGCTGTATTTTCTTGTAGCAAAAATTCAATAAGAGAAGAGGAATTTTACTATGTGGACTCTTTCTAAGCAAATTGACTATTCCTTCCCAATAAATATACACGAAATATGTTATTAAATAATAAGGGAATGCTAATAGTGATGTTTTGAAGACTCGAATACAACACTATGGTTGTATAAGTTAGTAGATCTTGTGTAGCGTTTAGGGTGGTTTTTCGGGTTGTTGATTGAATTGCTCATATAGTAACAACTAACAAGTAAAGCTTTTTCAATATTTTTGTTAGAGTTAACATCGTTTGATTTTGTAGTCTAGTTGTTTCAGGCTTTGGGGCTAATGGGTGTCGATTATGTTATACCTAACAATCAATGGTCTATGGAATTGATGGACTCGCTTGTATCTTCCTTGTCAATGGGATAGAACCTACTCTAAAGGTTCATCATTTACTGCTTCACTTGTATATAAATCAAGACGATCACGTATATTCTCTCTCTTAACCTACTCATGTTTTACAGACATTAGCAGGATAGAATGTCAAGCTACTCGAACAATGATCAATGGTTCGTTAGAATTGCGATTCACAAATTTAATAACTATTATTCTTTCAATTTCACGATTTTTTCTTGGGAAAACTGATATAACAACGAATTCGCTTCTGATCCAGTTCTTATGCTCATAATTGCTTGCAATCGGAAGCAACTTTGAACTAGACTCTACAACTGTGAGACTAAGACCGATCAGGGTATGACCCAATTTCTATATGCTCACTAAACTAGTGAAGTTTAATCAATCTGTCATTAAACAAAATTTTGTACAACAAATAACTATGTTATTTGATTGCTTGTGAAGAGGATGCCAAAACAAGAGGTAGAAGCTTTCGCTTTCTTTGGAGAATAAGCCAAAACTAAAAGGCAAATTAGATGCGAAGGAAGAAAAGAAAATGTAAGAAGGAGACATACGGGGGAATCAAAACCTTGATGTTTAACATTAGTGACTAATAAGATAACTAAGTTCTAACAATTAGTTATGATTTGTTTGCCAAGAATCACTAGCTAACGCCCTAAGTTTGTGTGTGTACGACAATGGTAGAGCTACGTATAGTTTAAGGTAGATTGTAGGCTATATCCACCCCCTAATATTTACTTTTAGATTATCAAATGCTGATCAAATGCTAATCATACATCGAAAATATGGCCTGAGATGCCTCATGTGCGATTCCCCTTCTTTCCACATCTTGTCAACCTCGTATCTTGTCAGTTAGGGCGTTACTTAATAGTTGAATGTCATTGCTTCTTTTTGCAAAATCTAGTTTTGATTCTCAAATCTAGTATACTATACTAAACATGCCTCTCTTAATTTCTTGATCATTTCACATTGTTTTTTTTAAACATATTTTTAATCACTCAATTAGGGTTTAGGATGCACCCATAAGCAAGCCGTTTGTATAAATATTGGCCTACTTGTCCCTGGCCAGCTATACATGAGCCAATAAACACACAAGGAAACCCGTTTTTAATTTAGAACAAGAAAACAAAGTAGAGCCTTGTTAAGCTTCTACATATGGCTAACCTCTATGTTGACCAAAAACCAACTTAGCTTTCACTCATTACTTGGTTTTGGGGACATCTAATGATGGTATCATTTCATTAGTAAACAATACTATTAATAATAATGCCAATAACCAATGATTAGCTCATTTTGAGATATGCAAATGGGATATGTATAGATTTAGGGAGGGATAAGGAGGGTTACACTCTCCAATCATCTTCTAGACTTCTCCATCTTATGTCATCATTAGGTCGATCGAGTATGAATATGAGTTTAACATATAAGATATTTCTAAACATGCTGGGTTATGCATCATCTGTAGACACGATACAACGATAATTAAATTCGTTTTGAATGAAAATCTCGAATTCAAAGCCCAACACTCTCACTGGGTAGAATACCATCTACAATAGGCACGGACTGGCCAAAACTTTATGCCTTAGAACACTTGCCCTGTGGTTGAGCTGACAACCATGACGATTTGAAATTACCTTGATTTCGGCCAACATCACCATGTTAATAAATCATATATTATCCATACTTAAAATTCCTCAACAACCCGACTTATCAGGACATATTGGTTATTAACATATTATTAGAACATTCATTGATAGAAAGACCTTGTATTCAAATCCCGACAATCCCGTATGGTATTCAAACCTACGCAAATCTCAAGTCTATAAATTGACCTTTGTGCCATCATAACTTCAAAGATATGAACATCTATCATGGAAACAAAAAGAAATGTGGATCATGTAGGCCTGTTGTGAGACCTTTTCTTAGTGGTGGAGATTATATCTAAACACATCAAACAAGAAATCCAAATCATTTTGCTGGCAGAAAGAAAAAAAAACTGCTTAAAGTTTCGCTGGCAAACAAGGAAGCAGGGAATCTACAGGGAAAAGGCAGTGCTGCAGAGCCGCACACAATCAAAGAAAAAAGTTGATGTTCATCAAAAGGTCATTACCTTAAAGCTAATTGCCTTTTTGGTCCTCTACTAATAAAGAACCAAGATTTTGCATACACCCAGTAACTTTTCATCCCCTCCCTTTTTGCACTCTCTTCTCCATTATTTTATCATCAAAAAGGCCAAATCAACCCAGATGTCAAAGCTCAAAACTAAAGTAACAAGATTTACCAAGAACAGAGTTTTCCCCTCCCTCCATTGTCAGACATAGACTGAGAAGTGAGAACCAGCAAGACGAAGCACTTGAATGTGAATGGTAGCAGCAATCAATATCTGAGAGCTTACATTACATGGACTCATTCATCATCAGGGTGAGTAAACTACAAGCAGAGCATTTCGCCTGAGAGGCATTACTGTAAACAGCTACTCAATTATCTGGATATGTTTCACAAAGAAGCTTTACAAGAATGATAGTGGAAGAGAAGAAGTACCTACAACCAGAAAAAGTGTTCTTCGAGCATGAACTTGCGCTACTATGGAGAATCAATCTTGCACAATGAAAGCTATAACCATAGCAGAAATGCCATTTATGGCACCTGCACAAAATCAACAGATGCTACTTGTTTCTGGCAGTAAGCTGCAACACATTTGCAGCTAGATAGCAACTCTGCACTCTGTTAGATATGAGCCATTTTGAGAACCTGGATTTTCAATTAGCAGCCTGCAGCAAGTAGTGCCAGTGACAAAAATTCAATCTTTAACCAGCTCACTACCAGAAACAGTTTAATCTTACACTAACAAAGAGAGAAAACCTAGATGCTAAAACAAAGAGAGACCATGTTCTTCCCTTCCATTTCCATGCCGACCACCAACTCCAGAATGTAAAAATCAGAAAACAAACGGGCTCCGATCCAACCGAAGGTCCCATCTCATCGATTTCATCCCCACCCAACGTCAGCAATCCGACGATGGTTCCCAGGCCGACGCCGTCAGCAGCGACAAATCCTTCCACCCCAACTTCAACGACCCGTTCTCCTCCTCCACCAGAGTATAACCCTTCCATGGAAACATCCCAAGCAACAAACTGGCCTGTGCGGCCGGGTTTCCGCCCAGCGAAACGGGTCGGAACCCGACTTTCCTCAACTCCTCCCCCCACCGCTCCACCTTCACTTCTCCGGTCCTCTTCGGCCCGCCGACGGCGACAATATTCCGGATCTCGCATCCGAACAGCTGCTGCTCCACCGTGTGCCGCTCCAAATTGTCCACATCCAGCCCATCCCCCAGCGCGTCGAACAACGCGCTGTAGTAATGCAGCGCCTCCACGAACCTCCCCAAGAAATTCCCGCCGTGGCTGAGATCCTGCTCCACAATCGTCACCAATTTCGGCCGGAGCAGGCTGAGGACGCGGAGCGTCCCCAGGTCGCTCCCCGTGATGTCGTAGAGGCAGTGGTGCATCCAGTGGACCACCACCGCCTCGCGCGGCCGAATCCCGAGGTGACTCAGATCCGTCACGCTCCCGATCTTCCCCTCCAACGGCTGGAACTCGAACGGCAATCCCAGGGAGCTCGCGAAATCGGCGAGTCTCCGGCCGGTCGACTCGAGGAGCTCGGCCGAGGACCCGAACCCGGTGATCCGCATCGACCGGATTTTTTTGGTCCGGGAGGCGAGGATGTGGAACAATCCTGGCCACTGGAGGCCCTGCATGATGTCGAGGTCGATGATGTGGACGCGATCCTCGCCGTCCAGAGCCTGGAAGATGGCCTGATTGGCGGTGAAGTGGGAGAATTTGATGAGCGGCGAGATGGAATTGTAGGACTGGAAGGCGGTGAAGAACTTCTGCGACTGGGTCATCGTCAGGCTCTTGGAGGTTAGAGGGTTGTAGGTGCCTAAGCAGGAGCTGACCACGCGCGCCTGGAGCGCGTGTGCGAAGTACGCGCCGACGCGTTGAGGGGAAGAGCCGAAGGGGGAGGAGAGCTCGGAGATTTCGGGGAGGAGATCTGTGGCGTCGTCGAGGTTGTCCATGGCGACGCACTCCGCGCATTGGAGGAGGAGACCCAGAAGGCGGAGGCCGGTGGACTCGCCGCCTTCGACGACGGAGACGGCGGCGGCGGCGGAGGAAGAGGAGGGGTCTTCTTCTGCCGGCTCGCTCTGCTCGCCGGCGGAGAAGTTGGGGCGTTTGGCTGAAGGGTCGTCGTCGCCGGCTAGGTCGCGGTCGACGCGCTTGGTTTTCATGGAGGATGGGGCGGAATTGGGTGAGATTGGGGATTGGAGGAGCAAGCTGTGAAGCATGTCGGAGGATTGGTGGGGGAAAAGGAGTGGGAACAGGGAGGAGAAGAAGGTGGGAACAGGGAGGAGGATAGAGAGATTCGAAAGGCGGAGAGGTTTCGAGGGGAAGGGGACAAAAGCTCGGGAGTGAGTACGATGGAAGAGTGTGCAGAAGATTTGTCAGAGGGCCATGAAAGGCAGTGGAGAAAAGGGAGGGAAGGAAGAAAGGAAGGTGAAACGACGGGATTAAAAAGGAGAGGAAGAAGAAAGGGGGCGGAGGATGAGGATTGATTGAAGAACTGTTTTGGAAGAGAGGAAAATTGGGGTTAATTACTAGAAAAGTCACTCAAGTTTGGAGTTACTGACATCTTGGTAACTTGAATTTTATTTGTAACAAATTTGTCATGGAAAGTTGAGAATAGGCAAATTTGTTCAATTACCTCCAAATGAAGTTCAAATAATCTTGTTTAATAATTCAAAATGAGAATGCAACAATTGAGACTAGTCAATTTTAACTGTTTAGTTTTGCATACTTTTAAGTTTGTATGGGAGGGGACATGTCTTTGTGAAATTATGCGTTTTTTATGAAGAAAGTGTGAGATGAGGCAATCATAAGGTAATTTGATCAAATTGTCTCGTTTCAGAAATTTGTCATCCAAACATATCTCTAGATTATTTTATTTGCGTTATCAATTCAATCGATTTAAGGATAAAAAAAAGTATTTACACAATCTCTGTATAGCTCACTTGTGGATTTACACGATCCATAAATCCGACTCATAATCCTTGGCGAACATCTATACGTGATGAAATTCGAGAACAAATATTTTCCATTCTATCAAGTGTCGTCTTGTCCCATTTTTTATAAGTTCGTTTATTCATTTATTCATGTGCGAACGATATTCTATATAGAAAAGCCTTCAAATTTGAAAAATCGAAATCGTGCATAATTGTGTATTGATTCTGATCCAAATATTAATTTATTAATTTTATCTGAAAAAAATAGACTATAGTGTTGTCCATAGCGTTGATATATACTATCAATTCCAGTGAATAATTTTCCCATAGAAGCAAAAAACACTTTATAATTTGGCTTGAATATCTTACCAATTTCGATACGAATTAGATGAACAAAGTGACTGTTATGGCTAGTTAACGAACGAGTTGTTAATTGAGCTCAAAGATTATAATGGCTTTTTTTCTCTTTGTGTAATTTGGATTAGTTGGGGGTAGGTTTCTCCGTTAGTCGGGAGTGTCGCCTAATGGGAGCTCATTTGTCTTGACTCCGGCGGACGGACTAGTTTGGGAACTGCGATGGTTTTTTATTCCTTTGTTTTTATATAATTTATTTATAATCCTTTATTTCTTCAAATTTAAATAGCGAGATTATTTGTCTTGCTGTTAGGTCTTCTCCAATTCACTTGATCACTTCATGTCTAGATCATGGTTTTTTGTTCCTGATCATTCTTAATTAACAAAAGCAGACGTTTATCTAAAAAAAAAAATACATTTGATTTTAATTTGATAAAAAGAGTTTTCATACACATCGATGAATACCTAACACATGACAGATTGTGTGTTCGATCCGTATCATCAACAAGTTGCTTAATTAAAACCCTTGAGTAGCATTCTCGTTCTCATACGGGTTGAAGGCCGACAACTTTGAGGGTTTTCTTGATGACGACTTCACTAAATGGGCGCGTCCGCCGAAGGGGCTACTTCGTATATAGTACTCCAAACACTAGATTATCGTATTATTTGTAACATTGGATCCTTGAGGCGATGTGTAATTAGTTGGGCACAAGAGTGAGGTACTCAAGAATTGTTGTTGTTGTTTTGTGGGCAGGGCTTGGACGTTATTAGTACGTCTCATTTGCCGGATTGGAATCATAATTCACAATCAACAATCTATACCCCTTTTTCTTTCATTTCCTTTCATATAACTCATTTTTTTTTTTACAAAGATGAGTTATTTCACCTCCTTTTTTTCCTAAGAAAATTAGGGTTACTCATAGAGAAAGGAATTTGAATATATGCCAAAAACAAAATGTGGAGGGGATACAACAAGGAACTTTTTTGAGACATGGACTCCACAATAAGTCAATTACTACATAAATGTTGAAAGTGAAAAAAGTAAATCATTATTATATGCTGAAAAAAAAAAACACAAAACTATGGCCCTTGTTTTATTTTGGTGTCAATAATGGCAACGAAAAACAGAATTATTAACGGAGACTAGTAGTAGTAGCAATAAGTTGGTCTCCAAACTTGTCATATTAGTCAATTATTTTACTATTAAAATTTGGACTTTTACCTCAAATCCCCAATTAACAAATTTGTCTAAGAGGTTACCAAACAACATATATCACATTGACTTTTGAACTTCCTTTCCATCTATATATTAATTACTCATTTGGAGCCAATATAAATGGAGGGATATATACAAGGAAATTCTCATTTTTTTATAGTATTAAAGTAAATTGGATTATATGGATTTATTATAAGAAATAATCATTACAAATAAAAACACATTAATTAACCGAATTAAGTAGTGATTAGCTAGCTGGTTACTGGCCAAAGGGAATAGAATACCGCCATAGAAATGACCGATCGACCATAATCAGCAACACGATGGGGAAGGTTTTGCTTTTGCATGGCTGTCCACAGAGTTCCCAGCATTGAACTAACCTACAGCTAACAACAAATTACAAGGATTAGTATAATTAATATGATATAGTACAAGTTGACCAGGAAAAATTAGGGTTTAATTAGAATAATGGGAGGCTTTATGTCTAATGAATTGCATAATGAGTACAAGATTAAAGGGAGAGGGCTTCGAGAGTAATCCCTTGTTCATGTATGAAATGAAACGCTAGTGACGGAATTAGAATTTTTTTTTTTTTGAACAAGAGAGCAGAGAGTGGGCATAAAAGATTAAGTTTCAGAAATTTGAACAATGATAGTTGTAGAGAGAAAATTAGAGAGTTATTATACTATTCATTAACAAGTACTTGATACACCAAATTCGTTACAGGCTTTACATGTATTCTGAGTACATCAAAACGTGGCCAAACCAAAAACCATTTTGGCCAGCTTCCAATAATCGACCGAAATTCGGTTACTTCGGTTATCGGTTAGTGGATAACCGATCAGTTATTAGTTTAACCGGTCGGGTAACCGGTAACCGAACGACCACCCCTAGTATAGAGTATAGATTATAGATTTTATAGTTGATTCTCTCCCATGCTTGTAAACTTATAATGAACTCCTTATTACCTTCTTACGATTTTTTCTTTTTATGTACTAGTTATTTTCTTTCATAGAGAAACCATGCATGTAAACCACGTTCACGTACAAATACAAACTTTACTAGTTCAGTATTGGACTGGGCTGAGTTTAATTAACTAGCCAAAGCCCACTGATAAGTGAAGTCCTACTGTAACAGGCCAATAACAATCCTAATCGGCCCAGAAAAGCCCGTTTTTTGGCCCATCGCAATCCGCAAGACCAAAGCGGTCCAGAGCGAGTTAGGGTTTCGTCCCGGACTCGCAACGTCTGAGCATATATATATAATCACATTTTCTCCTCCCTAGGCTTTAGAGCGAGGATTGGGAGCAGAATCAGCGGAGCTTCTTTGAGAGCGGCGATAGGGAGCGAACCGGCGGCGATTCCAAAATGGTGAAGTTTCTCAAGCCGAACAAGGCCGTGATCGTCCTCCAGGGCCGATACGCCGGCAAGAAGGCGGTGATCGTGAAGTCGTTCGACGATGGCACCCGTGACCGCGCCTACGGCCACTGCCTGGTCGCAGGGATCAAGAAGTACCCGGCGAAGGTGGTGAGGAAGGATTCGGCCAAGAAGACGGCGAAGAAGTCCCGCGTCAAGTGCTTCGTCAAGCTCGTCAACTACAGGCACCTGATGCCGACTCGCTACACGCTGGACGTCGATTTGAAGGACATCGTCACACCCGATGTGTTGCAGACCAGGGACAAGAAGATCGCCGCAGCCAAGGAGACCAAGGCGAGGTTCGAGGAGAGGTTCAAGTCCGGCAAGAACAGGTGGTTCTTCACCAAGCTCAGGTTCTAGGGGGTTTTCTCATTTCAGCTGGAAATGGATCTCGATGGATATTTACTCTTTTTCCTTATTACTTAATTGGAAAATTTTGAACGAACAGATTGTCGTGTGCTGGGTTTCTGCCAAGACCGAGTCTTTTGTTGAGTAGTGAATTTAAGTGTTATGAATGGATGAACTTGTTATATAACATCTGGGTTGTGGCTGTCATGGATTGGTTTGAATTTGGTATTGACAGCAAATGTCTTCCATGGATTTGATTGAATCTGGTTGTGACTCCTGTCTTTCCTTACCTGGCAATGCTTTCTCTTGCTTTGCAAGATGGGATAGCAATTGCTGGTGGATGTGATAGCTTTAGATATGATTTGGGTGCTTGGACATCTGTTTGTTTTAGATGGTACCGTAAATTTACTAAATTCACTGTCCATTAGTTTCAATCCCATGTTTCTTGTTTCAGAATTCATGAATCACAACTGACTGAGTGTACTACTATATAGGCATTGGAATCACTGTGGTTGATGAGGGTTAGCTTTTGAGTCTATCTAGTGCTTCCTTTTAAGAATCTTTGAGGGTTAGGCAGTCGATGTAGGGCTCAAAGTAGGTTATTCATATCTCTGGTAGAAGATCATTGGGCATTACCTTTTCCCCAGCCACTGGAGAGGTACACAAGTTCTCTGACAGAACTCAGCAGTTTTTCTGCTGTCTTTGTAATGTCGTATTTCTTCCATTCTTGGTGAATAGCAACTAGCAAGGGCTGGTTATTCTGGATTGCAATTTGTAATCTTGGCCTGTTCTAGTTCATTTCGCCAAGATATGTAGAGTCATTAAGCATGGTAATGTGTTGGTCGTTACTGTTCTGTTAGCTGAGATCCTGGTATCTATAGTCTGTTAAGATTCCTACTCCTTATCGTCTATGGATTCACTAGGTACCCCTAATTTTGGATGCACTAGATTCGTACTCCTGTTAGTGGGACTGGGAAGGGGCTGTAAACTGTGTCACTATCCAGCTGCTGTATCTAACACCAACTAGGCTCGATTTGGTTTCTGCTTGATGGTCTGTTTGATGCTTGTTCATCCGCTCATCTGGATGGTTGTGTTATAAAAACCTTGCTCGTATTAGATCGTTTTACAAGGAGGATAGATTGACTTGTATAGTTCTCATGGTGACTGATCACTCGCGATGACCGTAAAAAATCTACTTTTTTTGAGGGTTTCTCTGTTGGATGCTGTTATCAGAGTTGATTTTGGTGACAATTCCAATGAAGTAAACAACACTTATGAGCATTCGCTCAAAATGAAAAGACCACTCGAGTTGTAGAATGGTAATACTATTTGCACTACGACCAGCTTCAGAAGTCTATATTCCTTGTGTGGTGCGGTTTGAACGAGTAAACAACGAAATAACTCTTTGTAGTTTGTTTTGTAGTGTGAAAGTGAGGAGTTCGGTCCACGATTACATATATCAATCAATCATTCACTCACTATAATTTGAGTTATTTCCGTGATGACTTCAAATCACGGATTAACAACCTAGATGTCCGCCCGTAATTGTTGTTGGGTTCTGTACAACACTGTTGGTACTCTTTGTGTAAGGTGAGGAGATAGTGAGGTTTTTTCCTCATTGAAAATGGAGAATTTCAGCTTTGGGCTTAGAGATCGTTCATAGAAATGACAGTCGATTCACCGGTAAAGGGGGGAAAAAAAAAGGAAAGAAATCAAGAATGAAACGACAGAAAAGAGTTTTAGTGGATGTAGTAGGTGGTCAGTTCAGAATATGACGCAAATTTGAACCAGGCCTGCTTTCTGACCAATATTCATCTTCTTCCCTTCGGTCTCCTCTTCGCGCCATAGATAGCTCGCTTCTCGCCGGGCCAACCGTTCTCCGTTGCCGTTGAGCAATTGGCTGCTGTCTCCGATTAGCTTGAACAGGTTGCTCACCGCCCTTCCGTTCCTCCTTTGCTCCACTGATTTCTCATCGACGGCGGCGGCGGCGCGGGCCTCAAGTTCGCGGTACTTCTCATCCCCGTAATTTCCGTTTTCTTCTCTCAACTCCTCTGCCGTGTGGCAAGGGGAAGCCACATTCTCCTTTGCTGCTGCTGAAGATTCGAAGTGGTGAAGTTTTTTAGTGCTCATTCGAGCTGTTCTGTCTTTTTGTTAATGGAGCTTTGTATATGGACTGATTGCCTTGCGCAGGTCGTTTGCTGTGCTGGGAGTGAGGTGATAGGATGATAAGCAATTCTCAAGCCATTTTTCTGCAGAAGGGCTCTTTTGTTTTTTCTTCAATTCTCAGACCTCAAGTAAGCCATTTCACATTCTTGAGCTTGGTAGAACGTCATCTGGCTTTGATTCTGGTCTTGCAATCGTTTTCTAGTCTGGCAAAGTTTCATTCTTTCTCATTATACATTTCGATCACTTGATCCGTGTCTTCTGATGTTATTGCTGAAGCTTCGAATTGAAGTTCTGACCTTTTCCCTTTGGTTCCGTTGAAGGTTGGTCTTTGCAGAAACAATTATCCGCAGCTCTTGGTCAGAAAGGAGCATAATTTACAACCTAGGAGTTCTAAGCCACTGGGAAGACTTCAAGTGCACTGTGTGATGGAGAAAGAGACTAATTTGAGCTCGTCAAGATTGGTTGACACAGTGACAGAGTCATTGCAGGGTATTGTTGGGTTCTTCAAGTTCATTCCATTTGGTAGTTTGAATCAAATGTCCAATTAGGGACCTCAGTCATCAATGTTAATCATATTTTGCAGAAGCTGATGTGAGGGAGCCCAGTGTGTCCACCATCTTGATGAACTTTGAGAACAAGTTTGATCCTTATGATGCAATGAGTGTGCCACTATACCAGACAGCTACATTTAAGCAGGTAATAATCCTCACATCGGATCCAAGCCATGCTACTTTGTTTTCTGTTCTCAATTCTCCAAACCACCAGTTAGTTTCTTACTCGGTTTTTCTCTTCTCATGTGTTGCTTCACAGCCATCAGCAACAGAAAACGGCCCTTACGACTATACTAGAAGTGGGAATCCTACTCGGGACGTCTTAGAAAGGTGTATTTCCTCTCTCTTATACTGGTCAAGCTTCAAAGTTCCAAGGCATCTAATATATGTAATTGCTTTTGTCTTTGTTTGATGGTGTAAGATTAACTGTGTATGCATCCTGGTTTATTAGCTTGTTGGCAAAGCTAGATAAAGGGGATCGAGCACTTTGCTTTACGAGTGGAATGGCTGCCTTGGCTGCCGTCAGTCATCTTTTTGGAACTGGTTTGTCTTTAGTGTTAGTAGCCCTTAAGTAATATTTGAAATTATACTTACCAGAAATAGTTAGAAGTTCTGCTGGAACTACTATGAGTAAATGGTTTTGCATGCTTTGTCAGGGGATGAAATTGTAGCTGGGGATGACATATATGGTGGATCTGATCGATTGTTGTCACAAGTGATCCCACGAAGCGGAATTGTGGTGAAGTAAGTATGGTGCCTCTTTCCCTCTTTGTTGTCGAGATAATAAATTTCAATCTGAATTAGTCTATACCTGTTGGAATGCAGACGAGTGAACACGAGTAGCCTGGAAGAGGTTGCCTCTGCAGTGGGGCCTCAGACAAAGCTCGTGTGGCTGGAAAGCCCAACAAATCCGCGCCAGCAAATTTCAGATATCCGCGTAAGGCTTTTCCGACATTTGTTAGTCATAATTTGGGAGTGCATATACTGTATTCTGTAGTCTGTTCATGCATAGCTAACCATTTTGGCCTATCACCTGTATAGCTGACTTTATGTCGGCTTTATCTGCATTTCATGTGTACTTTGGTAGAATGAGTTAAGAAAAAGTAATCATTTTGTAACTATTTGACTTCTTCTTTGGTTGCTTTGGGAACCTATAGTTGTGATGTTTGGTTTTCCTTTGGGGATAATCATTGTATAACTTTGTTCTCTTCAGAAAATTGCAGAGATAGCCCATGCAAATGGTGCTCTTCTTTTGGTGGATAATAGTATAATGTCTCCTGTTTTGTCACGACCATTAGAGCTTGGGGCAGACATTGTAATGCACTCAGCAACTAAGTTCATTGCTGGGCATAGCGATCTTATGGCTGGAGTACTTGTTGTCAAAGGAGAAAGGTCAGACAATCCTAATTCCTCGACTTGTTATGTGCCTGCACTTGGTCAATTATTCATTCAATTTAAAAGGAAACATTTACCGGGGTTGATCAAGCTTAAGACCCCTAAACTTACTGTGTAGATTACTGAAGCACTTCAAGGATCTGGTCTTGTCCATTAGTCTGGATGAAAATTATTGCCCAATATTGCTAATGTTCACGTAAATACAAGTAGAGCTATGGAAAGATCTGATGTCTCTTATTCTGCTATTAATTGATCAGACTGACATTTTGCCCAAACAAGAGTTTTCTCTTCGGTAGAGATTGGCAACATGCATCATACATACAGGCACATTCATGTTCTATGTTAATGTTATTTTACTTGCAGTACAATACATTGTATAGCTTACAAATTTTCCTCCTATGAGTTTCTTTCCTGAGATATCTGATTCATCTATCTCGCGGTTTCTCGTACTTCCAGCTTGGGGAGGAATTTGTATTTCTTGCAAAATGCGGAGGGCTCAGGTCTTTGCCCGAATGATTGCTGGCTTTGTTTGCGAGGTATTAAGACGATGGTTTTGCGTGTTGAGAAACAACAGGTGCTAATTTTTAGTCCCAAAGTAGCATATACTTTTCTTAAGCTTGTTTATAGTTTTGTTTGTTCAAATTGACTATAAGTCACCCTTGTTTGAGTAGAACAAACAACCCAAGCCAACTTGTTTCGGTTTGTTCCAATCTTCGCTCTGAAAACCGCCTGTGGTGGAAATTATAATCTCCCTGTGACTATTATGTTTGATGTGTTCCAGGAGAATGCACAGAAGATAGCTGAGTTTCTTGCTTCCCATCCACGAGTTATAAGGGTCAACTATGCCGGACTTCCTGATCATCCTGGTCGTGAACTGCACTATTCCCAGGTAGATGCAATTTCATGTGGAGCTTCTACACTAAACTCCAACGACCTCTCAAAACTCTTCATCCAATACCATCATCCATTATGATCGTTCCAACAATCTCTTGCAGGCACAGGGTGCAGGATCAGTGCTCAGCTTCCTGACGGGATCACTCGCTCTCTCAAAGCATATCGTCGAGACCACCAAGTATTTCAGCGTGACAGTTAGTTTCGGTAAGAACATGTTACTCTTGCCCTAACACCTTCCAACATCATTGCTGTCTCTCGATGGCGAGAAGCTTCTCCTTGTGATCTTACATTGTGATGGCGAGAAGCTTCTCCTTGTGATCTTACATTGTGTTTTTATGCGCTTTGTAGGGAGCGTGAAGTCGCTCATAAGCATGCCATGCTTCATGTCACATGCAAGCATCCCTGCTGCAGTCAGAGAAGCCAGAGGCCTGACCGAGGATCTCATACGAATCTCTGTCGGGATCGAGGACGTGGATGATCTCATTGCTGATCTGGACTTCGCCCTGAAAACTGGACCTGCTGCATAGAGCTCCCTGAAGAAGTAACCACGAACTCTTCCTTGCCTCTTTAACATCTAGTAGTAGTACATCCACGAATTCTTCACACAATCAAAGCTGGTCCTCCTTTCAATTGGGATCACTAGTGTATGTTATTGACATTAAAAATTGGAATACTTGGTCAATCAAGAAGAAGATTTTGCATTTCTTCATTTTGCATTGATGGCGATGAAGAATGGGGAGCTTTTCGCCTGGGCAACGATTCGGTCCACAGTCAAATAAATTAAGACCGAATCGATATTGGACCATATCTAACCAAATCGAGTTGATATCCAATCTAACACAATCAACTATTGATCGTGGCAATGCTTTATTATATGACTGACCTATCGACTAATCATTTGATGGCCACAAATGTACGTTCTATATTCTTGTTTAAATTATATGTTCTTCTGAATAGAAATGAATCTTGTTTTTTATTGGTCTTTTATATGCTATTCTTGAGTCGGTATGGATTGTATATCGAACTAAATTGGATTGATATTCAGTCTAAAATAATCAACTTCGCTTGTTTGATAATTTGATCGTCCTATCAACTAATCAATTTATTTTACGATTTGAAGCTGATTTCATGTCATTGTATGTGGCTATATGCTATCTCTTACGAATTATGTAATGATTGTAATTTACCTTACTCGAACTTTAATATGAACATTGAACACTTCATAAATCGCCAAATGAATCTGATTTCTATCAAATGAATATACACAAAAGCAAAGCTCCACAAACAAGATGGTGGCAAACTAAATTACAACATTTATTTTACATAATGATCATAAACAAACAAAAACTCATCACACAACAAAGTATATAAAGAAGTTAACACCAAAACAACAAAATATTGACGATCAGGTCCACGATGATGACGAGGAAGAAGAAGACCAATCATCAGCAACTGGGGATGACTTCTTCTGTCACGGCTCCTCAAAATCAGAAACACGCGTCCAACACACAACAGCAGCACAATGCAGCGCAACTGCAAATCCCCACAACAGAAAGAAAGAAAGAAGCCAAATTCATCAGGTACTGAATTAGTCAAACGGGGGAAATGAAGGGATGAAATATGTAATAAAGGGAGAAATATGGAAGATTGATTGCTTAATTACCAGCCCTTCCAGAAGCCATCGCCCCTTGACTTGGTCTCCACCGGAACTGCGCCGTTGAACTGAGCGGTGGAGTCACGGGTCGGGTAGCCGATCGGCGGTGGGGCTCCGACGACGTACGAGCCGCTTGATTGTGGCAGTTGAGGGTAGAAAGATGGCGCTCCTATTTTAATTGAATAAGCAAGTTGGTTAATTAGTAACGCCAACTACTCCACAATTATTCCAATCCGTGAGCAACATGGATTTGACATTATTGTAATGGTGTACAAAAAGTCAAACGATGTATCAATCAAACCTAACCTAACACATGTGGGTCGTAGACTTACATTCACAATTGGAATTGATAACTACATCCATTTTTAGCCCTATTTTCAATTTTGTTTGTACCATACATGAATGATTTGTACAAGGTCAAGACTTTCTTATCCGCAGGTTAAATAGAATTATAGAAAAAACGTATAAACTTAGCTTTTATTTTCATTTTATTTGACAATCAAATCGAATTTCAGACTCTACACGAGTCTCTATCAATTCCACTAAAAAATAAAGTTCATGTGAAGCGCGATCCAACTCAAACTGATACGAGGAGCTAGTAAAGTTGGATCACGCTCCAACATGATCCAACGGTGTGGGATGCAGAGCGATACAACAAGAGAGATGTAAACGGAAGAGACTCAGGAGAGAGAAGAGAAAACTCACCGGAGGTGGCTGCGGCAGCTGAGCGGTGATCGTTTTGAGTCATCTTGGCGCCGGAGAATAGTATCTAAAGTATACCTGAACGGATCACGAAGAAGGAACGGCCGGCGAAGGTTTCAACTAGGAGAGACAGGCAAGGAAGAAGAAGAAGAAGAAGAAGCAAGTGGTGGTTTAAACTTTAAAGGAGGTTTGAAGGCAAAGTAATGGAGTAGTTGGAGAGAAGAAGATCGAAGATGGTGTCTGACGTATATATAGATAATAAAAAGAAATGGGATTCTAGTTTGCGTTCTGCTTGGACAGGTATATATGCTCCGACCGACTCCCTTTGACCACGACTCTTTGATCCAATCGGGGCGGCTTCGACGCGTGAGATTTTTTCCTTCTCCCGGACGAAGTCCTGTTCCCTAAGGAAAGGAAGTAGATGTGGCAATGAGGATCTAAATCCATCCATCAAATTATCTAGCTAATCCAATCCATTTAATTTAGATCCAATTAGATTGGTGGATTCATGGATCAATCCATGGAATTACGATTTGATACCTATATTTTTTATATTTTACATTTTGGTACCTAAAATTTATATTTTTATACGAAAAATATCATTGGAAATTTACATTTTGATACCTAAAATTTTTCATTATGACATTTTAGTACCAAAACTTTCAAATTTTACATTTTGGTCCAACCCTTTGATGTCATTTGGATTCATGAATCAATCCACCAATCCATTTGATCCAATCCATGAATCCACCAATCCATTGGATCCAATCCTTTTGATCCATGGATTTACCAATCCAATCCACGAATCTAATCCAATTGCCACCTCTAAAAGGAAGCCATCCATGAAGCTAGTAAACTAAAACTATTTTTTTTTGTAAAAAAATTATATAAGATTTATGGTGATTTCCAAATAATAATAATACATTTTTAATAGAAAAGTATTTTATATTAGGAGTTGTAAGGGGATAATATAAGATTTCTGCATAAGTGTGTTCTCACAATGTAATATATCTGATAAGGACAATAAACTCATTCAGCTGATGATAATCTCAATCAGAATTCTACTTGGCGATAGTTAATCAAACGTGATAATATGTATCAAAGATATTTTAAGTCTTCAGCTTAGGACAGACAAGGAAGTGCCTAGGATGGAAAATTGACCCAATTGCCTAACAATTGTTTAATCTTACAAAAAAATACATAATTTCACGGTACTGTGACTATCCCTAATCAATCCCAATCGACACAAAACGAGAAAATTTAAATTGTTCTGTCTCCATTGTATTGCAAATGTCAAACAAGACAATATAATCCAATTACTTCATTTAAAACAATTATGCCAAATTATCTCATCCAAACCATCCAACGAATTCCCTCCATCTCCTTCCTCTCTTTTTCCTTGTATGGCATCTTCTCACCCTTCTAAATTACCTAATCTCAAACTCGTTATCGCCAAACCCACCTTAGAAGAATTCGAGGATCTTCGTTTTCCAACGCACTCAGATTGATTAATCCTTTACTTAAAATCCAAACCAATAAAACGTAACGAATTTGGATAGCTAATCTCTCTTCTTAATCTAATCCTCGTGGAACTTTGTATCCATTAACGACAAGAAACAGGGAGGGGCCCATATAATTCTCCAGACAAAACCATTTCACCGTGGGCCTAACACTATATGGGCCGAGAGCTCAATTCTACAACCACAATCCCAAAAGGACGCCCAGATTAATATAAAGCCTCATAAGGTCCGGCCCAAATCTACGGAGAGTCCAAACAAACAGCCCACCCAGCCCAAACAAACAGTCGTTCATTTCGCCTTTCGGCTATTATGGACGACTAGCAGTTGATCCTTCGAAGGGTGTTGACGTAAGTGTAGCTGGAGAACGACACGAAGAGCTTTCGAAACCTGTATCACAATTTACAGAGAGACAGGGCAGAATATAAGAGAGAAGTGGTTTTGGAAGAAAGTGGATGCATATGAACTGAAAGTAACGAATAACTGACAATCGATCAGTCACTCAAGAGAGAAAGCACACATACCAGACCCATTGGCTTGAATGTGCCGCCATTGCACTGAAGCTCTTCAATGGTTGCTCATTCAACAAACAGTAAGCCACCCCGCTGCTGGCTTTCGAAGCGAGCAACATGGACAGCCAAATATCAACTGGTCCGATATACTTGCGTAACATGTTGTTACTGACCTGAACATTTAGCATTGTGAACCGATTAATCGCAGAAGCAAATGAACTGACACAGACAGATGACTTGCAGTTCAGCCTAGGGAGCATTACAATGCTGTGGTAATGATATGTGCTAAAAATATGTGCTGCTAAAGATATCAGTCTACACGTTATGCTGGAAGGATTTGAGGCGGGATGGGAGTTATTACCATAGCATATGAACTGAAGCACGAATGATAAGAGGTTATTACATGGTATGAGAACTTAGAATGAAATATGATCAGAAGAAAAAGGTATGCCGAAGGGTAAGAAAATCATACGAGTTCCCAGGCCTCTATACGTCTTTCTGAGGCATCTTCCAACAGCTTGCTGCTTATACAGGAAAAGATCAGGATGCAACTATTAGTCTATTACTATATAACAACTATATTTGAGGCACACATTACACAAATTTAGCTGATGAATGAACTTACCGTACGCCATAATGCACGTCGCGGTGATTACAGTGGCCTGATACCCCATAATTGTCAAAGGTAATGACCTACACACAACCCCGTAAGAGAAAAGGACTAAGAAGACAATAAAAATATGTAGCTTCAAACACCAAACACCAAGGAGATAGACACTGGCTATTCAGTACGTAGGACCTTACTGTGTCGATATGGTGAGTAGACACCTCCTCTTTGATGGTTTTCGACAACAAGCCACGGTCCCAAACCAGTCCAAATCCATCCTAGATTGTGTGAGGGCGGTGATGCATTAGATTAGATTCACAAGAGAGAAAATATTGACCATGAGTAAGTGACCAGATTTTACAGGACAAAGGAGGGGAAACCTGCAAATCTGGATGGTCCAATATCTTCACTTGCTGAGGTTGTACCTGAAGGCTCAAAGTCACAGGCAGTTTAACCATTACAACGGGCTTGTTTGTTTAGACTAGCTTGAAAGTTTCTTCCAAGAAAGAAGAACTTAAAGTTCAAACAAACACACTTGCTGAACCACACGTATTCTCGTGTGTCATAGCATATTGTGAAGGATTTTTATTTGATTAATAAATGTTGAATCCCATGTAAGACAGACATTGGGTATAACTTACAATGCATCATAGGAAATTACCTTCAGAACTAAACAAGCTTGGTAAAGCTCATCCTTCCTAGTGTTTCCCATCCCATCTGCATTGCCTGTAGGTGTGTACAACCAAAAGAATCATAAAAGTGTACATGGAAGATAAAGATATGATGGGAATTTCATCATAGAAGCAAATAACAGAAGAGGCGTAGAAAAAGTTCCCATCCCCCTAGATACGAGCATAATTTGAGCTCTAGGGCATACATCAAGATAATAGCATCATATGTTTTTTAGCACGCAGCTATTATCAGAAAAATAACGGATTGAAGGTAACAAAATCACCTATCGACAAGCACAGCAAGTATACATTGTGTCCCCTCGAAATCAGATAGTTTATTGTCGGAGAGAAGAACCTGAGAAATTGAGACAAAAAGTCAAGTACAACATGGGAAAGCAAGCTAAGTATAGGTAAAATGTTCTTTGAGCGCAAGAACTCGCATCAACATTTACCAATGACATTAAAGCAGCCATGAATGACCATTAAGAGCAAATTGATGCCAGTTAATTAATGTTGGACAAAAAAAATATGGCCAAAGGATGTCCAGTATATGTCACCAGCTTTCTTAAGAAAAAACAAAGACCTTATATCCTCTCAGGTATTACAAACAAAGCACTTCTGGTCCATGTCAGACATAGACCGACAGCTAAAAACAAGAAGCACTTTAATGTGAATCATAGCAGCAACCAATATCTGAGAGCTTACATGGACTCATCATCAGGGTGAGCAATAACAAGCAGAACATTTCGCCTGTTTGGTGCACCGCCTGATACTGTAAACAGCTAAAGGAAGAGTGCATCAACAAACTGCATATGTTTCACAAAGAAACTTTACAAGAATGCTAGAGGAAGCACCTTCGCTCAGAAAAGTGTTCTTCGAGTATGAACTTCCACTATGGAGAATCTTGCACAATGAAGCTATCCATACTACAATTAGTGAAACAACAATCACCAGAAACGCCATTTATGGCTCCTGCACAAAATAAAAACAGATTTTCCTTTTCTGCTTTAACACCCTGGATTCTAAAATGAGGGCCCAAACAAGAGGAGAAGCGAGCAGGAACAATAAGAATCTCGAGCATTCTACAAGCATAACAAATCCTGTTTATCCGAATACACCAAACACGTGGCAACATTGAAGGATAAATGTCAAAATAGTATCAATTTCATTTTCACTGATCAGCAATTCTCCTGCTCAAATAATATATAGCAAGAGGCAGATCATCCATTGTAGAACCATCACATTTAGATAAATTCAATCAATTAGAAGAAATCAAAGTTGATAAAAGCCTGTTAACCGAGAGAGTGCTATGGCGAATGACTTGCATCACCAAATCAGAATCTACTAACACTAGCCAAGATACTCAGGATTCCTAAATTTCCATATCATGTCAAATGAGAGCAGCGACACATTTGCAGCTAGAAAGCAACTTTGCACTGTGTTAAGGAAAGTTAAATTCTTTGCAGAAGCACCAATCAAAATGCACAAGATACGAGCCATTTCGAACCCAAACTTTAAATTAGCAGCCTCATAATCTTCACTTTCGAATTCAAGAAGCCAACAAATCTTTAACCTCATCCTACTGCAAGTAGTGCTTCACATTCGAGAAGTTACAAAATTCAATCTGCAAATGTGGGACACGAGGCAAACCGAAATCTTTAAGCTGTTATTATTCAGAACTGCATGAAACTCAACATTAGACTCTCATAACCAGCTTACTGCCAGAAACAGTTAATCTTACAGTCTCACTAACAAATAAGAAACCTGGATACTAAAACAAGAAACGACCCACTATGCATGATCCTAAGTTATTACACAGCAAACCAAGTTTGCCATGACTCCTTCAAGCATCTTGCTTTTTCTTCAGGTCTTCGAACTTGTCTATAGCCACCTGAAGTTCATCCGTCCCTCCAACAGCTCTCATGGTGTAGAAATACACCCCAAACACAAACGCTGACAACCCGCCAGCAACTACCAGATTCTTGGTCTTGGGAGCAAGGCTTCCGAATGCTAAGAGTCCGGCCATCTTTGCAACGGGATGTCACTGTCGATATATATTTCGTGTTATACGCGATCGAAAATTCGTAAACCAGCCAACAAAACCAACCAAGTAATGCCCACTGCTGATGCTCATGTCAACTAAAGGCGCAAAATTTGCAAAAAAAACATCCAACCCCAACAACCATTTACAGAAGGTACTTTCAAGTTTCAACCCGTTCAAGCAGTTAGAAGAATAAGCCGTCGAGGCAATTCAACCGGTGAAGAACTCAGCCAACAGTGTTTAGATTCAGTATTCTATTCATTACAGAGGCAAAAAGGCGAGTAGAGATCAAGGGAGAGAAGAAGCACCTTTTCCAACAGGAAAATCGCACGAAATGGCCGATGAACAAGAGGCAGCGAGGAATGGAGAAGCACGGCCGACGGCGAGCGAGAACAACTGAAGCGTACTGAGAGGAATTGAATGGGTACTGGGAAACAAATTTTACCCGCCCCGTCCAAAGAGAGAATTTATACCCGCCCCGTACCCGCCAATTAATACGACACCGTTTAATTGCTAGGCGCTGGCCCTAATTCTGTGATTGTCCGGCCCGGAATGGATCAATTCCGACAGAAAGAAAAAAAGAAATCGAGGCAGAAGGAAGGATTGGAGAGGAAGAAGATTGGGGAAGAGGATGAGAAAGAGAAGAACGAGAGAGTAGGAAGTTTATGGTGAAGACGTATACAAGCAAGTTGTCTAGCCTCATCGTCAAGTTGTATACTTTGAAGTTAACGGCTTAGTTCTTTCCCCAGGAGAACATGGTAGGATTTACGCCAATGGGGAAAAGAGTCGGTCTTTACAAAGTAATTACAGTTCGATTCTACTCCAGAATCGCTCCTCCACCACCTGCATACGCCCAACCAGTCATTAGAGTCACCAACAATGTAGCTCATCTGGGTTCCGCAAAAGAGGGTCCGAAAGCCCGGCAACTTCTTTCATTGCCCCCTTTCCCCGGTCTGCCTCTTCCTGGAAAGGACGTGCTCGGCGATCCTGGGCGTCTCACTGCCATCAGCTGGGTCAAGTATTACTTCAATGACATGTCTGTTGAAAATATCGAATCCCATTTCAAGAAGGGACTAGTAAGTTGAAAACTTTCTCTATCTTCGTATCTCAGTTTTGCTGGAGCTCTAATGGGGATAATCTAGTTTGTGTTCCCTTCAATTTCACTGCAAATGTTTGTTTGTGGTTGCTTTTGCATAGCTGCTTGTTTAAACTCTCTCTTATAGTAATGGGTTATGGATGAATTGTGTCAGGTTTATGTGGAATGCCAAAGTTCCAGTGACTCTTTTGAAATTAAAGGATTGGGGAAGTTGGTGAGAAAGGTATGGTTGCACAAAGATCTAACTATTGAATTGTTTGGGGAAATAACTAGCTGATCCCTTGCCTGCACCAGGATCAGGCGACGAAGCTCTGATCTTTTCTAGCTTCACTAACACCCTCCCTGTTTGTTTTGAGGTGTTTACTTTGTGGCGGTTTAATATTCTACAAGACAGTGTTTCTGCAGATTAAGCCTCATGATGCAATGGAAGCGGGAGCTAGAATTCATGTTCCGGTATCGATTGCTGAGTCTAGGATCTCGAAGAGATTTGACACTATACCAAGTGGTACTCTATATCCAAATGCAGATGAGATCGACTACTTGCAACGGCTTGTGAAGTACAAGGTTCATGATTTTTCTACCCTTGTCGTTTACGGGTTTCATTGTGATAAATCATTTTCTACAAGATATGATATTTTGCATGCTTTTAGTTCTGATAGTTGTCTGTTCCAATTATAGGATGCATCTCTGATTGTTCTAAATAAGCCTCCGAAGTTGCCAGTCCAGGTAATATTTTCTCTCCTGTTCAGCGTTGTCTTACTGTTAAATCAGCACTTGTCAATTTCTTTTGCCTTGTTGCTTTCAGGGTAATATGCCTGTTCATAACAGTATGGATGCATTGGCTGCTGCTGCTTTGTCTTACGATTATGATGAGGGACCCAAGTTGGTGAGCTCCATTATGTTATTTTCCATAGGTGCTTCTTTATGTCACTAGTAAGAGTCTGAATTCATACCAGTGTAATGAGTTGACAATGTCCAGTCTTTTCCGGTTCGCTTTTTAGCTTATTTGCCCTGCCATTTCAGATATTGATGCTTGAATACAACTCTTGTCAGGTTCACCGGCTAGATAGGGAAAGCAGTGGGCTCATCTTACTGGGACGGACAGAAGAAAGTGTATCTCATCTTCAGTGGCTATTCAGCAACCTTAACAAAGCAAAATCCAGATGTAAGGTACTTTCATCATTGATCATCTCATATGAGTCAAGACAGCACAGTTGAGGTAAATAAAAATGATAGGATGGGAACCAATGTCCAATGCTTTGTTTTCAACTTTGTGGAATCATTCTGATCTTCTAGGCCTGGAATGATGCCTGTGAAGCTACATACCAACGATACTGGGCCTTAGTTATAGGCTCCCCGAAGGAAAAGGAAGGCTTGATTCGTGCTCCTCTTTCAAAGGTTTCCTTGCTTGCTTTCGATCTTGGAAATGATGAATTGTACAATATGAAACTCTTAAACTGTCTTTTGTTCACCTCTAGCTGTGATTATTTCCAGGTCCTTCTTGATGATGGGAAGACAGAGCGAATCATCTTGGCTGGGGGGTCTGCTTTTGAACCTTCGCAAGAGGCTCTAACAGAATATCGAGTCCTAGGTCCTATGATCAACGGATGTTCGTGGCTCGAACTTCGCCCATTAACCAGCTGGAAGCATCAGGTACATATGTACTAGCTGGGGTGCCAATTGTGTTCGCCTTGCTATCAACTGATTCCATTTGATTCAACTAATTCGCACCAGTTTGTGCCTCTAGTTGATCATAGAAACCTATTTCTCAACCAAATACATTTGTTTGTTGGGTTGACATTGTTTGCTTCTGGTCTTGCTACAGCTTCGCGTCCACTGTGCTGAAGCGCTGGGTACTCCAATCGTGGGGGACTACAAATACGGCTGGTTTGTGCACAAGAGATGGAGGCAAATGCCTCGAGTTGACATCGAGCCGACTTCAGGGAAGCCATACAAGTTGCGCAGGCCAGACGGTATAGATGTTCAGAAAGGAAGCGTGATGTCGAAGGTTCCATTGCTGCATCTGCATTGCCGGGAGCTCGTCCTTCCCAACATCGCCAAGTTTATGAATATCTTAGATCGGAGATCAGAAAATCGCCACCAGCCTACGACGAGCGAGCCTTCTGATCTTCTGCGGTTTGTAGGCGCAATGCCAAACCACATGAAAATTAGCTGGAACCTCATGTCGTCATATTTGGTGTGAGAGAAAATTCACCATAGTATTTTGATATCCTTGCTAGTTAATCACTTCCCCAATCTCCTTCTGCGAACAATCCAACTCGAATCGATTGTTGAATCACTCTTCCCCGACATAGCCATATTTCGCTGACCAAGCTAAGATTGTTTGTTTGGCAGAGAAAATTATCATTGGAAGATTCATTAGTAACGAAAATTTGAGGTTTAGTTGCAATAAATATATATTTAGATGAAGTGGCGTATTCAGTGCACCCACTTATTTGAGTACACTCAGCGCACCCACCTCATAATCATCATTCTGAGCATGCGATTCATGTAAAAATGGTATCAATTGTTGCTTATGATATTATGAACAATAAGCCCATGAATTAAAAAAAAAAATCATTTAAGATTTACTTTAATTTGAAGGATTTAGTATTTAGGGGTTTAGGGTTAAGGTTTAGGTTTACAGTTTGAGATTTTGCATTAGGATTCAAAATTGAAGGTTAAGGGGTTAGGGTAATAGATTGATTTGTTATGATTCTATGTCATATCATCATGTTAGATTGAGAGTACTAATTAAAGTTCAAAATTTGATGTATTATGAACACTTTTAGAAATGGGTGCACTGAGTGCACCCAAAAAAGTGAGTGCACCGAAGTAGCCACCATTTAGATGATCAAATGTAGAACTTAAATAAGTGGTATGAAGTGCAATTGAACCGTGGGATTACGTAGTAGTACTTTTATGCCTTAATATCATGGACCATGAAACCGTACCGGAGACCGTATTGGGAAAGTCAGCGGTAGGGTATTTTATGGTAAAATCGTGGTTTAATCGTAGTTCAACCGTTATACCGATAAACACCGCCTATCTGTTTAGCCTCTAATACTGGTATTTCGTGGTTTAACCGCCGGTACGGTACAGTTTCATGGACCCTGCTTAATATTGAAGTCAAAATTACATTCAACCTGCCTCCAAAACACCACCGTTGAACACTGAAATTTGTCTTCCCTGTCACAATCCTTTTCCTTTTCTTCTCCAACGCAACACCTACCTCACCTTACCCGGACGGTTTATCTACCTACATATCTGGTCCGGTGCCGCTGTTATTCCCCTCCATTTCTATATTTTATCATTTCCCGTAAAAAGCTTCGTATTTCCTTCTTCTAGATATCTTGACTTTTCATATCTCCAATCGCATCTCCTTCCCTTCGCTTCGCTGAATCTCTTCTCTCTTGATTCCCTCTCAGTCTAGTTCTGTTCCGAATCGACAAGCTCTTGAGCTCCGTCGGCGGCTCTCTTCCGCTTTCCCGGAATTCTCCTCTGGTCATTCATTCGATTCATTTCGTTTACGGTAATGTAGTGTTTTTGTGGAGGATTTCAATTTGGACGGATGTTGTCCTTTGTTTCGAGCTGTCCTTTTTCTGAATTTCGTTGCTTGTTCTATCAAGTAATCTGCTCCGACTTAGTCATGGCTGTTTCATTTTACCTTTGAAGAATTCAAGGTTGATTGTTGACTGTTACGTTGCAGGTTGTAGTTGAGCAGTATCGTTGGAGCTTTTCTGTTCTCTCTGCTTTTCCTTTGGTTTGTTGTTAGATCAATTCTCTTGGTATCATGGTTCATAGCTGCTGAATTTCCTTAACGTGGAGAGCTTTCGTTCGGTTAATCTGTTCGTCTCAGAGGAGTCGAATTTTGCCATTATCTTTGTTCATTATGCTGGGAATTGATCACGTTTACTCGATTGAAGGCATAAATTGGATCAGAATCTGTTCAAGTGTTTGGTTAGCAGTAGTTGCTCGGTGATATATGTTCTTGAATTCTTGTAGGTTGCTTTTATGGTAGTTGTATGCTGGTGGTAGTAGAGTATGACTGAAAGCTATAGCAATGCAAGTGCGAGCTCGACGTCAAGTTATAATAGCAGTGTTCCGGATACAGAGGATGATCAGGTTATTGCGAGCATCCTAGCTGAAGAAGAGAAGGCTAATGCTGGCAGACAGCTTGGAAAGAGACTCTCTCATTTGGATTCTATACCTGTATGTTCTGTCCTTCTCTTATTCTTTGTTTTCTTTTTCTTTGAATACATGATTCAAGATTGCATATGAGACTGCAAATTCAGGTGTTAGTGTCCCTTTTGATTCTTAGTTGATTGCAAAACAAGGTGTTAGTAACTCTTTTATTTGAGCTTTCCGAAGCTATTGCTACCTGTTTGTTGTACACCATGGCCTGATTGGTGGTCTAGGATTAATGTCGCAGTGGTTATTAGTTGACATTTTCTGCATTGCTGAAAAGATGTTTGCTGATAAGCGCTTTAATCTTTTGTGTTTATTAAATTCCTATTCTTATTACTTCCTTTCGGACTTATATGTAACTTGCAATGGCCAATTGCAGCACACTCCCCGGGTTAATGGTCAGATTCCAGACGTGAATGATGCAACCTTAGATCATGTTCGGCTGTCCGGAAGGTGTTTGATTTATCATTCATCCTATAAAATTTTTGCTCTTTGCTCCTGAAAATTTCCTAAGTACATTACTTGGTTTCATTTATATAAAGTTATCTACTTGACCAATTTTCTTGGATACTGTACTCTCTGCATTTACCTACAGTTGATCGTAATCATTGAACGTATGTGTCCTTTCTTGTTCATTTCACCATGATTTATCTGTGACAGGAAACTCATGAACTAATACAGGGAATGGTTATGCATTAATTTCTTTGGAATTGTACATTAGTTGCAATGATATGATGAGAGGCCCATGTTGAATCATATGATTATTGGAGTCTCAGTTTATAAATTTTTCATAGACGTAGATGCTATTGCTTATTTGTCTTTTCACCATCTGACCCAGGTTGAATACATATGGTTTGGCAGAACTACAGATGGAGGGTGATGGGAATTGTCAGGTGTGCTATGGTTTGTAATTCTTATGTCCAGCGAATACTTGTTATGTTGATACCTCCACCAGTGGACTACCGAACAAACCATTTATTCAAGTATGGATTGGAAAGGTCTGATTAACTACTGGATACACTTGTCATACAGTTTCGGGCATTAGCAGACCAGCTATTTCGGAGTCCAGATTATCATAAGCATGTTAGGAAGCAAGTTGTTAAGCAGGTAAGACAGTTTTTTCTTATTCATGCATGTGAATTCTCATATTCATGCTACAGTTTTTATTTTTATTTTTTTTTATGTCGGATAACCTTCCAATTCTTGATACTTATGGACTTTTTTTACTTCGTTTGTTTTATTTTCCAGCTAAAGCAGTTCAGAAAGATGTATGAAAGCTATGTCCCAATGAAGTACAGAAGCTACGTAAACAAGATGAAAAAGTAAGACCTTTGTTTGTTTGTCTTTTTGTGCCTGAAGACAGTTATTACAACTGTGTAAATGTTGATTCGTTTCACACCTTAATGTTATTGCTAGATCAGGGGAGTGGGGTGATCACGTTACTCTACAAGCTGCTGCAGATAGAGTAAGTTGAACTCTTATGTATTCTGAAAATCATTTCATATCTTTGCTCCATAGTTAGCTCAGCTGGAAGCAACCTTGTACCTGGATTAAGTTTTATCAACAGAGAGCACATTCCATGTTTTCACTTTGAACAATGTGACCGAGAAAGCACAAAGTATGCCTTGTTGTTGAGAAATTGCCAAGTGAATTACTTGAAGAGGAGAAAAGATCTTTACTCCTCAGAGACCAGAGTAATTTGGATGGTCAAACTGCCTTTTCTTATTTGAAGTCAAAGATCCATAATGTAAATAGTCAGAACTTGTGGAAAACAGTAAGATGATAGTCACTGTCTCAGAATGCGTAGAAGTTCGAACGCAGGCCACTTTGTCTTAATTTTATGAGCATGGTGCTTGATAATTTCGTGCTGCTTCTATTGTTCCTATTAACACTCTGTTCTTCCACGACATGTTTCTGACCTCTTTTGCTACATTTTTCAGTTTGAAGCCAAAATTTGCCTAGTTACATCTTTCCGTGACACTTGCTATATCGAGATCAGGCCCAAAGACAAGCCTCCTGGAAGAGGTTTGTGCCGTTTGATTTTCATTCCAATAGCTGTTATCTCTCATTCAATCATTACAGTGTGGCATATCAGTTGTCATTGTTAAAGAACAGTCATGCATCAATCACAGTCAAAATAAAGTTCACTTTCCATTTAGAAGTGCAGCTTTTGAGTTGTGTGATACTTGGACCCTTTTTGTGCTTCCAGAGATCTGGCTAAGCTTTTGGAGTGAAGTCCATTACAACTCACTGTACGCAATTGGAGGTAATCAACGAATCCAAATAACGAATCAATCCATTGAGCATTAGAGTCCAGTTAGCTTGTCAACGGTCTTCATTTTTCGAACCATGTCTTGATGCAGATGTCCCCACCAGAGTACCAAGGAAACGGCATTGGCTCTTCTGATATGTTTTTCCTTCCTGCACCTATACTATTCTATCATACATGCCTCATTTCATTGTCCACCCACTGCACATTTGCAATCTCTGCAATCACATTGTAAGTTCACTGCCCAAAACACGCGACATTCAGCTGTGCCTCTTTTGGTTCCTCCATATCTATAGAAACAGATTCCAGAATACTTTTCACGGCTGGAGAAATAGACTGTACAAACTTTGTTACACTGTAATAACTTATTTGAATATCTGTATACAGAAACAGATTCGATCAATTTGTTTCATTCAAAATCATAAGCTCACTCTATCTTCAAATATGCAGCACTAGATTTCTCTATCCTGCCTCGAGGAACTAGCTTTTACATTTCGATACTAGAATTAGCTTTGTCTAATGCAATTCTACTGGCAGCATTATCCAATATCCATAGCAATAGATTAAGCTGTTCCAGTGTCTTGACATGGTCTGCTGCCATATCCCAGCGATCAAACTGTTCCTTTCTTGTGCCGAGTCGAAATGTGATTGCCTCATTTACGCCCCATGCTCCTTAAAAAACCTATACACAAAAGAACACATAACAATTGTTACGAGGCGACTACCAAACTGAACTTTCGCGGCCTCGAAAACTTCTGCATTCGTGCTAATGGTGCTTCATTTATCAATGCAAACGAGTAGTACCTTACCTAGTGTTGCAGTGTTGGCTGAAGATCGGTCTTCCTAGAGAGCTAGGGTGGGAGAGTGACTCCAATGCCTAATCAAGATGCAGTAGATTACGAAAAGTTCCTTACATGAACAACTTAATGCAAGATCAAGAAGCTTGGCTATAGGCTAGAGTACCTTCTTGCATCTCCAAGCTTCGATAGATAAAACACTGTGAACCTCAGTCATCAACCACCGAAGTTGCTTTGCAAGGTTTTGTTTGACCTCATTCCGAAATTCGATTTAGAAATTCAGCACTAACCTCCAATTCACCGAATCCAACTGGTGAGAGACAACTAGAGTTTCCAGTGTCCTGTAAATCTCCTCTGTTCTAGGATGTGTCTTATCGATTGAGTAGAACTGATACAACTCATTCTCAACCTCGATCCAGCTGCAACCTGGTGTCTTATACGCCTTGCTCTGCTTCAGCATCTTCCTCACCCTACGGGCATCTTCCCACCTCCCTAACTCGCCATATAGATTTGCCAGCATGATCCTATAGCTTCCATTTCTGGGATCAATCTCCATTAGCTTTTTAATGGCCAATTCAGCCAAATCAGTATGGCCGTGGACTCTGCAGCCATTAAGCAAAGACCCCCAAACAACCTCATCGGGCTCGATCTTCATTCCCTGTACCACTTCCATTGCTTCTTCGAGCCTCCCAGCACGACCAAGGATATCGATCAGACACCCATAGTGCTCAATCTGAGGCTCGAGCATGTAATGATCGGTCATCATATTGAAATAGAACCGGCCCTTCTCTATAAGCCCTGCATGAGTACAAGCATTCAATAGGCCGACGAAAGTCACCTCATCAGGCGTTACATGCTCCCAGTATTGCAACATCTCATCGAAGATACTGATCGCTCCATCCGTCCTCCCATGGAGGGCAAAAGAATTGATCATCGAGTTCCATGCCGACAAGCTTCTCTTTGACGTCATATCAAACACCATTCTCGCATCATCTAAGCTCCCACACTTCCCGTACATATCAATCAGAGCATTCGCCGCAAATTTATCAGCAAAAAAACCCTGCCTGTAAACAAAGCCATGCATCGACTTACCCGGCTGGAGCATTCCTGTGTGTCCACAAGCAGAGAGCGCACATACTACAGTAACCTGATTTGGCCTGAGTCGATGGTCAATCATCCTTCGAAAGTACGAAATCGCCTCGGGAAACAGCCCGTTCTGCGTGCAACCAGCAATGACAGCATTCCAAGACGGAACATCTCTCTCAGGCATCTCCTCGAACAGCGAAAACGCACCACCCATCTCGCCAAGCCTCACCAGCCCAGAGATCATAGCAGTCCAGGATACAACATTCTTCTCGGAGATTTCGTCGAACACCTTCCGTGCAATCCCAATATCCGACCCCCCAGACCTCGAATACGAGTCCACAAGCGCCGTCTGGACAACTGGGTAGTTCCCAAACCCGGACTTCTCTATCTGGGTATGCACCATTTTCGTTGTTTGGCACGATTTCAAGACGTGCGGGAAGATGAACTGGTTGGGTTTAGGCGGGCGCTGGCGACGAACCATGTCGCGGAAGAGCGTGAAGGACGAGCTGTGGTCGGAAGCCGAGGAGTAGGCGGTGACCATGGCGGTGTATAGGAAGATGTTGGGCGACCATAGGTTGTCGAAGATGGAGCGCGCGTAGGCGAGGTCGGAGAGCTTCAGGACGCAGAAACGGACGAGTTTGAAGGAGTAGAAGTGGGTTTGAGAGTGGCCGAGAATCGTGAGGAAGGATTGTAGTTGCTTTAGGTGGTTAAGGTGATCGCATTTGGAGAGAATCCCCAATACGTGTTGATTCAGATTTTGCATCCTGAGATTTCCCAGGACCCTGTCTCCGGCTGTTTCCCGCTTCTACTGGCCGCCGGCGGCTGTAATTTGCAATTCCACTCTTATCGCGCGAAAGAAAAAGAACCGGGGAAACAGTTAATTCGCTGAAAAGGCCGAAGCCTGATTCTCTGGTCCGGCCCGGAACGACCAAAGACTTAGTTGGGCTAGCCTACTTGTAGTTTGGGCCCAGCTAGATCGGGTGACTCCCGATCTCAGTTGACTACGGAACTGAACGCACTCCGATGACCTATGAACAACACAACTCGACTTCTCAAATGCAGCCACGTGTACAATCGCCCACCTGTCCGATCCCCATTGGCTCTCTTTTCCCAGCCCAACAATGAAAAAGCGCGCCACGTTGGCTGTATATATTAAATTAAAACTAAATAAATAAACGAAGACGTTCCTTCGAAGAGAAAATAACGGCTTTCAACTTTCTCTCTTGCTTTCCTCTCCATTTGCGCCTTTCGTGCTCAGTTTCTCAGCAGCCAAGCAGAGAAATTTCATCTCCCATCTCCTTCTCCATCGGGCAGAATGCGCGATTCGCGAACCTGATTCTGGTTATTCTCCATTCTTCTCTTTCTACTTACAATTAGCTGATTAGTTGTTTTTTTGAGTTGGAGTTTGGTATTTGAAGTTAAATTACTGATCTGTTAATGGCGAACTTGCAGGGAAGGAGAGAAGAGGACTGAAGAGAGACTGCGGTGTTTATTTATCTGACTGAGGATTACGATCCGAGCTAACAATGAGGTCGATGATGATAATCAAATTAGGGCTGCTGCTTTGTTTTATTTCCGCGAATTTGATAACCCCTTCCCAATCGGCCGTGTCGAGTGTAGATCTAGGCTCAGAATGGATGAAAGTAGCGGTAGTGAACTTGAAACCGGGTCAGAGTCCGATCGCCGTCGCCATCAACGAGATGTCCAAACGGAAGTCGCCGGCCTTAGTGTCGTTCCACTCGGGGACTCGTCTGCTCGCCGAGGAAGCTGCCGGAATCACCGCTCGTTACCCTAACAAAGTGTTTTCGCAGCTGCGGGACATGATCGGGAAATCGTATAAGGATGTGAAGGGTGTTTTGGATTCAATGTACCTGCCGTTCGATGCAGTGGAGGATTCCAGGGGCGCCGTTGGGTTCAAGGTGGACGACGGTCAAGTTTACTCCGTTGAGGAATTATTGGCCATGGTTTTGGGCTACGCGTCGAATTTGGCTGAGGTCCATGCTAAGTTGCCTGTGAAAGATGCTGTCATTAGTGTGCCGCCGTATTTTGGGCAGGCGGAGAGGAGAGGGTTGATTCAAGCAGCTCAGTTGGCTGGGATGAACGTTCTCACTCTGATAAATGAACACTCAGGTGCGGCATTGCAGTATGGGATTGATAAGGATTTCTCAAATGGGTCGAGATATGTGATATTCTATGATATGGGTTCAAGTAGTACTTATGCTGCACTTGTGTATTATTCGGCGTACAATGCCAAGGAGTTTGGGAAGACTGTGTCAGTTAACCAGTTTCAGGTGAATTTCACTTTGTCACATATATTCGCATTTTTTAGTCCACGGTTTGATGGGGCACTGCTAATGCTTTAAACGTGTTGTACAGGTTAAGGATGTTAGATGGGATTCAGCGCTTGGAGGTCAGAACATGGAAATGCGGTTGGTGGAGTATTTTGCAGATGAATTCAATAAGCAGGTTGGAAATGGAGTTGATGTGCGGAAGTCTCCCAAGGCAATGGCCAAACTGAAGAAGCAAGTTAAGCGGACCAAGGAAATATTGAGTGCAAATACAGCGGCTCCGATTTCGGTTGAGTCTCTCTACGACGATCGTGATTTCAGGTAGGGTCAAGAAACAATCTTTAGTTGGTCTAATTCACTTTCAGTGGCATAGCCGCATAGTTAGTTCCCAATCCAGTTCTGTAGCGTTAAAGTAGATCCCTATTAGCCTAGCGTTGGAATCGGATGTGTTCATATTCCACTTGCAATTCTTTATGATGCCATTATCTATGTTCACTTATATCAATTTCCCATATTTATAGGAGCTCAATAACACGGGAGAAGTTCGAAGAGTTATGTGGTGATTTATGGGATAGATCCCTTGTCCCCATCAAAGAAGTAATAAAGCATTCTGGTCTCAAGCTGGATGAGATATACGCTGTAGAGCTTATTGGAGGTGCTACAAGAGTGCCAAAGTTACAGGTTAGTACGAGGTAGCAACTTTTGTTGTATGGACCCAAAAAGATGATGAGGCTTCATGTATCATCTGGTGGAAATAATTTTGAAGTGAATTTGAAGTCTGACTATGAATTAGATCTTGAGACTAGATATGATTATGATAGTTCTATAATGTTTTTAACTGTGGATAAGCTCAGCCTTCGATCTTTGTTGGCCACTTGAAACCTTGTAACTTTATTGTTACAATCCCGAGAAAACACCAGTTTCTTCCCCAATGTTGTGTGTGTCTAAGTCTAGGTATGATGGTATTTTTGCCATAATTTTTGTCCACCATAACCAGCTTGTTCTTTGACTCTTATGCCTTCAACTTTTAGTTTTCTGCACGCTAAAAGTATGCCATTTCTCTTTGTACCTGAAACCCCTTCCTTTTTTGTCATATAGAAGAGAAACCACTGTGCAATCTATTTTATAAGATCTTTCTACAGTTCCAGGATTAACTTGTCTGAGATCTGAGTATCAAGCTTGTTGACATTGAATGTGACAGTTATTCTTTTTCTTGTCCTTAACAGGCTAAGATTCAGGAACTTCTTGGAAGAAGTGAGTTGGACAAGCATTTGGATGCGGATGAAGCTATAGTTCTTGGTGCAGCATTGCATGCTGCAAATTTAAGTGATGGTATCAAATTGAACCGTAAGCTAGGAATGATCGATGGTTCTTCATACGGATTGGCTGTTCTACTGGATGGCCCAGATTTCAAAGATAGGCAGTCACTGGTACCTAGAATGAAAAAGGTCCCCAGTAAGGTAAAAGTTGTTTTGCACACGAATTTTATGAAGCAGTAGCATACCATCAATCTAGTTTCTTGAACTTACTACTTTGCTCTGTACTGGTTTCTTTACAGATGTTTAGATCCATTGTCCTTAACAAAGATTTTGAAGTTTCACTTGAATACGAGACTGATGAACCCTTACCGCCCAGCATCAGTTCACCAGTGTTTGCACAGTATGCCGTGTCTGGTCTGACGGAGGCGAGTGAGAAGTAAGGAATCTGGCTTGGTTTAATGATTCTGAGCTGTCACAACAACTTTCCTGCTTTGGAGCATGAACTAAATGATGTGTCTTGTTGTGTGTCTAGGTATTCGTCACGAAATCTCTCCTCCCCCATGAAGGCAAATCTGCATTTTTCACTCAGCAGGAGTGGGGTTCTCTCTTTGGACCGAGTAGATGCTCTTGTGGAGATATCAGAGTGGGTGGAAGTCCCAATAAAAAAGAATCTCACCACTGAAACTATCACGAACTCTTCAAGCAGTACCCCAGAGACAGGTACCAATAACGGAGCTGCCGAGAATACCACAACGAGCTCTGCGACTGAGAATTCTTCAGAGGGAAGTAACGAAACGACGGGCAGTGACTCTAACTCAGATGTCAAAGAACCAAGCACCACCGAGGTGGCTACGGAGAAGAAGCTTAAAAAACGAACATTCAGGGTTCCACTGAAGGTGCAAGCAAGCTTCTTGGCTTTCATCTCTTTGTTATTTCAGTGAAATATGCCCTTGTTAGCCTTTTGTTTGCACACTTTACTCTTTTGCTGATCATTTTGTCCGTTACCATGTGTAGATCACTGAGAAGACAGCAGGTCCAGGAAAGCCCCTTTCAGAAGAATCTCTGGCTGAAGCTAAAAGAAAGCTGGAAGAATTGAACAAGAAAGATGCAGAGCGACGAAGAACTGCTGAGTCGAAAAATAACTTGGAAGGATATATATACTCAACAAAAGAAAAGGTATGATTCTGTGTTCTTTCCCATGACTATTGACTAATATAGTAACTAAATATAATTGGTTTTATTGGTTACTACAGCTTGAAACAGACGAGGAGTTTGAGAAGATATCGACAAGTGAAGAACGCCAGTCGTTCATTGAAAAGCTTGACGAGGTAAAGCTCTCCTCTGTGTGTCTGTCAGCCTCTGTCCCTCACCTTTTTGCTTCTTCGTCTATAGATTCCCCTTGTTTTATATGAAAATCATCTGCTTACGAATATGATCATTTGTTTCAGGTTCAAGACTGGCTATATACTGATGGTGAAGATGCAACTGCCAGTGAGTTTGAGAAACGTATGGAGTCCTTGAAAACCATTGGTGACCCAATATTTTTCCGGTGAGAACTATTCCTACTTCCGCCGGGGCATATTTCCCTGAGAAATATATGATCATATTAAGCAGCCAGCTAACGGATTTGTCTACATGCAGATATAAGGAGCTGTCAGAACGGCCAGATGCAACCAAATTTGCTAGGAAGTACCTCACTGAGCTGAAGCAGGTGACTCCACTTAAATCATGATCTGGCTATATTACCAGAAGTTACCTTTGCAGAATAACCTTTGATGTTGATTCTATGCTGGTTATTGCAAGTCCTAGCCGACTGAATCTTCTGTTATTACTGACAATATCTGTCTTTCAGATGTTTTTATTCTCTGGTTTTCATTCCTTCAATTAGTGTCTCCTTATCAAAATTGTCAAATTACGCAGAAGTTGCTTACCTACAGCAGATTTTTAGTATAGTTCTGCATATCTATAGAATGCATCTTCATCCTGATCTTTTGTTTACTAAGGGAACTCTTTTTTCTTTTCTGCAGATTGTAGAAGGTTGGGAGGCAAACAAACCTTGGCTCCCGAAGGATAGAATAACTGAGGTATGATTATAAAACCTGTTCACCGATTATCCAAGTCGCTTCACAACTCTTTCCAACATTGGAGCTGTATGATAATGTTCATTTTTCCAACATTTGGTTCTAGGTTCTGAATGATAGTGAAAAGTTGAAGAGTTGGCTTGATGAGAAGGAGGCAGAGCAGAAGCAGTAAGTGACCTATCCATTGATTGCTACTCATTTCCTTACCTTGAAATGGAACAGCACTTCATTTTCTCCCTTATCTCCCATTCAGGACTTCTGCTTCTAGCAAACCGGCCTTCACATCTGAAGAAGTGTACACCAAAGTATTTAAGTTGCAGGACAAGGTATCTCCCTCTGACATCCTCGCATTCTGTCTCTCACACGGCCTAACGAAAGACCTTATCATTGACTTCCCATTTTTTGTTCCTGACTGCTGCTTGCACAGGTTACCAGCATCAACAAAATCCCCAAGCCGAAACCCAAAGTCGAGAAGCCCAAGAAGAACGAGACAGAGGAGCCTAAGAAAGCCGAAACACAAGAAGATCCCAAGAAGACCGAGACAACTGAAGAGCCTAAGACCACTTCAGAGGAAGCCACTGCCTCTGGTAGCTCAGCTAGTGAGAAGGATACTGCAGATTCTCAGGCACACGACGAGTTGTGATTGAACCGAAAACCCGTTACCACCGCAAGTGAGGAACAATGCCATTCGTTAGCTGGTCTCCTGAGCCAAACTCAAATCAACAGGAAGAACTATCATAGAGAAGGTAATGCATTTGCTGGATGATATGAATTGGAGAGCCTCAAAAGTTTCTTCATCTTTAAGGTTCATTGGTTCAGCGGTTTCGCGGTTTTCTGCTAGTTTCCACAGTATAGCTGCCGGGTTTAGATGCCCAGAAGGAACAGTAGGTCTGTGTCTGGGATCTGGAAATTTTGTTAAGGCCAGTTCTGGTTTAACAGTCTCATTTTTGCTCTTCATTGTAGGAAGAGACTAATATATGTAAACAACGCAAAAAGATAAGACAACTTTTTCCTGGGTAGTCTAGTATTGAAGTTATATATACTGCCAACTCTCCTTGGGCCCTTGTGTTGAGCCCATTTTGAGCCCACTCTATCGACTTTTTTTTTTAACATAGTCCAAACTAGATGAAAATCTTGAAACAAAGTGAGAGTACAGAAATTAACACGCGGCGGAAGTCGACTAATCGTTGAACTTTCGATGAAAAAGTGTTTTTGGTCACAAAATGGACTGCTTTATTAACTCGACGAGTAACATGGTAGCAAGAACAAAATTCAAGAAGCTTGGCCACCCTGCGAATGTCGTCTATGATTGCTCCTCTGTGACAACAAAGACTCATAGAGGCATACTCGACGAGTAACATGGTATTAAGAACAAAACTCAAGAAGCCCGATCAACCTGCAGAGTCTGTCTATGATTGCTCCTCCAGTGACAACAAAGACTCATAGAGAGTAGAGACATCCTAACCTGCTTATACACCTTGGAGGTTGGGAATGTGGAGGTAAAACTACTCATTGATTGAGCTCATTCTCTGCACAGCAGAACAAGGCCGCCAATAAGCCGACCTTTTTTAAAATCTCTTTTAGGGTTTCATCGTCCAAATTTCGTTCTTATTCATCCACGTCGCCTCCCGCCTGCCTTCTTCTCGAGAAGGGTTGCTGCCTCCGTCGCCGCCCAAGTGTTGAGCCCATTTTTAGGCCCACTCTATCGATTTCTTTCTTAGGCCCGTTTCAACTACTACTGCGAGCAGTGGCGGACCCAGAAATTTTTCATAGGGGTGTCCTCTTTTAAAAAATAAATTAAATAAAAATAAAAATAATTAATAAAAATAAAATTGTAAATATGAAAATACCTTACTCGTACAGGTTAAAAAAGTCCATGAAGTGTTTTCATATTCGAAAATAATTGTAGAATACACTTGGTGTCTATAGTGTTAAAAAAATTGTCTCTATATACACTACTAGACAATCATTCACGAACTTATCATATATTCGATTTGTAAACTTGTTCTTGATGTAACCCAAAGCTGAAAGACTCTTTCAACACTTGTCGTACAATCATAAAATCAATACAAATTAAGGGTAGTTTGAAATTAGTTTAATTGTTAGGTTTTTAAAATAATTAGAGATAGGGAATGTCATTTTACTATTACACATTGTTCAAAATCGAACAACAAATGAGTTTAGCTCAACGGAAATTAAGTTTATTAATAATAATAGTGTTCTAGATTTGAATCATCCAACCTACCACTTATATTTCTATACACAAATGACAGTAGGATAATCATTTTTTTCAAATTTAAAGGGTGTCCCTCACTATCAATTATATTTTTTTTGTGCATACGTAAATTACCACCGGGGTTGGATAATCGTTTTTCCAAAATTTAGGGGTGTCCGGGGACACTCCTAAACCCCCTTGGTCCGCCCCTGACTGCGAGGACGATATTTTCGCTAACCTTCCTCGTCTGAACAGCTTGAAGCTGCTCTCGTATCACTTCAACAGGTGCATTCCCTTATTATCGTCATTCTATAAATCAGAAGTAGACGATTTTTCAGCCAATCGTCTCCGCGACTGCCACCTTCCTTCTTCTCTAGTTCTCAGCTCCTCCACAACCATGGACAGATCACTGAGCGAACTTCCCGACGACATTCTGCGTCACACCCTCTCCTTCCTCGTCGACATAGAATCGGCCGCTCGAACCAGCGTTCTGTCCAGGAGGTGGAGGCACCTGTGGAACGACGTCCCCGTCTTCCATCTCTACCTCAACACCTACCCGTCCTCCAAGTTCGAGCACAAGTTGGTGCCCCTTCGATCCCACCGCGATACGAACAAGTACGAGAGCCAGATGTCGATCCCTCGCTCCTACCGCGGAACGAGCGTCGACATCAGCTTCAGATCCCACAAGGAAGAGTACGCCATCATCGTCGGAAGATGGAAGCCTCATATCTCCACGATTTATCACCTAAACCACAGCGGCGGTGTCAAAGCCTTTGACAGGGCGTTGAGACGGGCTGCCCGCCTCGGCGCCGGTCACGAGGTCCGGGCTCTGTCCATCCGCGATTGTTTCCTGAACGAAGCCGAATTCGCTCCGGTGGCGTCCTCCATTGCTCGTCACCGTCACAACCTACATCTCCAGAAGCTAGAGCTGGTGGACTGCGACCAGGTGGATCTGAGGGCAGTCTCCGACCCGGCCTTCGCGATGCTGACCATTTTGGAACTGACTCACTGCGGCTTTAACGACAAAGATCCGTTCGCTGGCCTTCCTCGTTTGAACAGCTTGAAGCTGCTCTTCTGTCCGCTCCGTCGGGGGTTGGAAATATCGGGGCCGCAGTTGCGGAAGCTGGAAGTTGTTGACAGCAACGTCGAGATCGCCAAACTGCGGGCACCGAAGCTCGAGTTCCTGGATCTCTCGTTCGTCGACGTTGAGGAGCTCCATCTGTTTCACAAGCTGAACGTTCCTTCCCTCCACCAGGCGAGAGTGAGGATGTGTGTGAAAGACGCGACCAGGCGTTACGATCAGTGGATTGGTGGATTCACGAATTTGATGCGTAGTTTGTGTTACGCAAAGTCGCTCGACTTGTGTTTTCGCGAGCATGATCGGAATGTTGCATATAGGAGCTCCTTGCCGGGTTTGAATCGTCATGGAGAGCGTCGCCACTTACATTACGGACGACATCAGGTATGCATGTTATTTTGCTCCTTTTAATTTCATTCCTATATATATGCTTGATTTTGGAGCTTTGCATATATCACTGTTTGGTCCTATAGCTAGCTACTTCAGTAAATGCATACCTTTGGCTAGCTAGGTCATAAACTATTTGATTTAGAGTGTTTTTTTTCTTTATCACAAGCCTGATTCTAGTTTTTTTTCCTAATCAGTCACACAAGTACTTCGGTTTGATCAAACTGAAGTCATTGGTCGATGAAGAAGTCTCTCGCTTTACCCGACTGGAGAGTCTTAGTATTCAGTATCCACGTGAGTTCAACACCTTTCTCTCAACCAAAGGAGAAGACAGTGTTGCAGATCCTGAAGCATATGACTAAATCATGATTGGATAGAGTCGGTATCTTTGTTATTTTGAGTAGATTAGACACTTAAGGAATTAATAGAAATAAGAGCAATCGAGAATTACTTGAGATTGTGGAAAGTTTTTTATGTGTTACGGAGTACTATTATCCTTAAGTTTTCTCCTTTCCCTTAAGGTTTTTCTATTGTGTTTTCTTTATCAGACTCGGAAATCGTAAGAATGCTCTAATCTTATCATACTACAGTAAATTGTCATTGAGTTTACATCAATGGAAGATTTTCAAACATAAATAAATGTATAAGATTTGATGAGATGACATAAATCGTTTTCTAAACCTAAATAAATCTCTTAAGATTTTTTTTCCGGTAATTAATGTCTAAGATTTGATGAGATAAAATTCTTTTAATTTAGATGATTTTTAAATTCAAGATAATTTGTTTGGTTGATGGATTTGGTGGTGAATTTGGCCCCGTGATCTTTATAACCTGTGAACCAATCGAACCTGGGCCAAAAGTTATTGGCCCATTTTCCGCACTAGCTCCAAATAGGGCTTTTCTGTATGGAGCTAGGATTAGGGTTTCATTGTCCTGAGTAGCGTTGAGGTGTCCTTTTAGTTCCTCCGCCCCTAAACCTTACGTCACCGGTTCTTTTTTTTTTTTTTTTTGCCCCCTCTTCTTTCCGTCGGCATGGCAACGACGACGATCCGCGGTGATCGTTACGTAGAACAAGATGAAGAAACCGACAGACTTAGCAATCTTTCCGACGACATTCTGCAACACCTGCTCTCCTTTCTCGACGACACAAAATTCACGGTTCAAACCAGCCTTCTCTCCCGACGATGGAGACACTTGTGGAAAGACGTCCCTGCCCTCCACTTCCGCAGGAATTCCTTTCATACGGGGGATCAATTCCAAACGTTCCAGCGCAACGTCCTGTCCCTCCGCTCCGGTCGAACCGGCCACCGTGACCAGGTTTTACGAGTCTTGTCCTTCCGCCAATGCTATGGTGAAACTGACGAGATCTACGGCATGGTCGCGTCCGTCACTACACGTCACGAATCTCTCGCCACTCTCCAGTTTTTCTGGTGCGCTTGGATCGATCTCGGGGGGATCGCCGCATGCCGGTTCGGCGCGGCGCTGACCACTTTGGAACTGCGTGGGTGCAGTCTGGTTTTCCGCGACGGCGACGATCCTTTCGCCGACCTTCCCCTGTTGGAATGCTTGAAGATAATCAGCTGCGTATCGACCTCGCGGGCCGTGAAAGTATCGGGGCTCCGGTTACTGAGCCTGCAGATCGACAACGCCGACGGTTTCGGGATCGGCGAATTGTTGGCTCCAAGGCTCGAGTCGTTCTATTTCTCGAGCTGCGTGAATCGTTTGCTTGAACTCCGCCCGTTGAATCTTCCTTCCCTTGGTCGCGCCAGTGTCCTCCTGAGGCTCATGTGTGGGCTCTCGGACGAGCAGACTCGTGCGGTTATGAGTTTACTGCGTGGTTTGTGTAACGCAAAGTCTCTCCACTTATGTTTCGAAGATATGGTATGTCTTTTGTTATTTTTATTTTTTGATACATTGGCAATGTTAGGTTTGATCAATTGTTGGATTTCATGCACTTCAACTGTGTTTTTTCTTATCAGTTTCGGAGGTCGGAAATCTCTTCCTTAATTAACATGATAAAACCGATGATCGACGAGCAACTCTCTCAATTTACGAGGCTGGAGACTTCGAGGATTCGATGTTCTTGACTCGGCTCTCTTGGCAGAAGTTCGATAGATTTATGGCAATGGCATCAACCTTTAGTAGATTGGATAGTGGAGCATTTTTTTTGTTTGTTTGTTTGGGATAAGACATTTTGAAACAATAAAGGAATACATGAGCCTTTACATAACAGAAATACTCTAGATTGGATCATATTGAATAAAATGTGGTGCATGATTGTGTTTTGGTTATTATTTTTTCAGTCATTTGTATTACGATCGTATTTAACTCGATTTATGTCATATCATAGATCGCTCCTAACAAAAAGTTAGATTGAATTTGATGTTGAGGTGGGTTTCAAAATTTTGGCCATATGTGTTTTATCTTAAAATCATAATTTATTAATCATTTGATTCACTCATTAATCCTACTACATAAAACGATAATCGATAGGTGTAGCTTTGTACAACATGGTACTAATTAATATAATAAGTATATAAATCATACTTACTCATGCTTAAAAACTAAAATAATCCAACTCAATTATTAACCAAGAATGTAGCTAAAAACAACTTATTCACAAATAAAACATCAAACTAGTAAAAATTATTCCTCTATTTTCTTGTTCTTATTTTCTATATATAAGAATTTCGTAGCTAAAATCAACCAATGAATTCGATTTTGATTAGATATTACCTGCGGTATAGATCTACTTGCCCCAATTGTAACATTTATAACTACCATCTGCAGGAGTACGCCTGCACGGCCCAGATTGTTTGACTTCCCATTCACAAATTTTGCAGTGCAACCAATCCCTCGTCTGTACGTAGATATCAAACCAATGTACCCCGCCGCCATTCTGCCACTCGAACGAACAGTAAAACAGTGTCTTGAAAAATATGTTCGGATTGAACTCGAATTGAAAGCTCTGGCGATGTCCTAAAACTCTAACCCCAAGATCGTCGTCCTTTGACTTGCAATGAAACTTCAACATCGCACCCTCAGTGTTGGTAATTCTCACCATCGCCTTCGTCCACCATCCTCCGATGATCTCTTGCGGATGATCTGCTTTTAAGACGACATCTTCGTTTATGGCTCCGACGGTTACGACTAGGAGTATGAGTATCGCGATTTCCCTTCTCACCATCCCCGTGATTGAATTCATCCTCGCAAATTATCGTGGTGGTATGACAATATTACACTCGTTATTGTGATCATATATATAGGTGAAGATGTGGGTTTTTTAAATCAACTCATCTCCCAATGTGACATAAATTCCGGTAATTTTAGTTTGATTCCGTTACTCGTGGAGTAGTGACGAATCTATATTCTTCCTTTTCTAATCTTTCTCCTTGACTGTTGTTTCATTGTCCCGAAATTTATAATTATTTGCATTGTTTTACCGATTCTTTCTCCTATCACCTATAAAACTGAATAATCGCGAACATTTCGTTGCAGACCTAACATGTGTATACATAATTTTCATTATCTTAGAATCTTGTTTTAGCAAAGTGCAAGATTCAATGTCAGTAATACACAATTTGATAACGCCCCAGTATAAAATAAACAAGATTCTCGATAACACTCACCTCGTCTATACAGGACCGCATGGTACTGACTCGATCTTCGGATCTGATCTTACTGAACCAATTATAATGCGGTTCGGTTATTACTCTCATAAATTTTATAACAACTGAAGTAAAACGAATCTAATTTACATTTGGATCGGACTAAATAGACCAAATAAAATGATGGTCCGATCCTTGGTCCTAATCTATCTTTCACTAGTAGACCACAATTCTTTTGAGTTTGATTGGATCGGACCGTTGCACATCCCTAATGGACGCGGATGAACACTTCAAGTATTTCAAACGCCTATTTGGTGTAACTTGAAAGTTGAAGGTCCATTGTTGGGAAACATACAAATTTCGGTGGTCCATTTGCAGGAGTAAACACAAAAATATAAATGACTCCTTGCACCCCCAATTCAAAGAGGAAAAAATCCCAAAGTACACTAGTTTTTAAAAAAAATTCCCAAAATACATAAGTTATAAAAAAAATTCCAAAAGTACACATGTTTGAGCATCACCGTTTTAGACAAAAGCGGTGAAGGTCATCACCGCTTTTGACTAAAACGGTGAATACTTCACCGTTTTTGTCTAAAACGGTGATGTATTCACCGTTTCAAACTAAAACGGTGACTGCTTCACCGCGTGAGACCAAGGCGGTGAAGCACTGACCTGCGTCCAAACTTTAAAACAACGTAACCTCAGTCTTACTTCCTGATCCCTGTCTCTGCCATTGATGAAGATCACCAGGTACTTCAAATTCTCTACTTCTAATTAACGCTACGAACTTCTCACAAAATGAGTTTGCAAATTGTTTTCGCTCGAATGCCGACGGTGGTGGTAGGGCTGCTACTTCTACAGAAAAGCAAGCCGAGTTCTAATCGCTCAATTGGGTATTCGTTATCTTTGGTGAATTTCAGTGGGTTCCTTTTACTTTTAGATTTCGTACTCTGGTGGTCCAGAGATTCGTGGCCAGTAGCCTACTGATTGTTAGTGAAAAGTTTTCGTTCATTGTTTCGGTGATCAGATTTCGTAACCCTAGAATGCATTCATCGTTGTTGGTGACATTCAGATTCAAAACTTGGGATCCGTGTATGCTCTGTGCATGGAACAATGTGGGCAGGGGTTCGTCTCTATTGTTATATTATGCTTACTGCTTCACATCGGAATCTAGGCAATTTGAGTCTGTCAGCATACGTCTTGCCTTTGGTTCTGATTCACAAGATTGGTTTTGGGTTTCTCATCCTTTCGGTTGCAGCATGTTATTAGCTCTTGATTTCTACCCTATTTATTAAGTATGCTCTTCATGTATCTCAGGGTAGAAGTCACAAGAACCTTGTCTGGTTGGCTGCTGTAAGGGAAGTTGTCATAATTTGGAGTTAGATTGTTAGTTTACGGGGTAAGTAGCCAGTAGCCAACACCTCCTTCAACTAAGTCCACCTTAAATCTCTTTAATGTCATCCCTGCTTGCGATCTTATAATTTCAACAGTTTTGGAGAACTGGAGAAAGATATGGCTGGAAATTCAAGGACAGGCAAGAGACACAAGACGAGCCATGTAGTTGAAGATGTTGCTTCGCTGAGCGATTTTCCTGACGAAATTCTCCATCACGTTCTCTCCTTCGTGGATACCAAGTCTGCAGTTCGAACCGGCCTTTTGTCAAAGAGATGGACATGTTTGTGGAAAGATGTTCCGGTCCTAAATTTCGTCCCAAAATCGTTCCTTACATTAGCGAGTTTCAGGAAGCATGTATACAGGCTCTTGTCTTTCCGCTCCCACCGTACCCCTGTTCGTGACGTTAACTTTGACGTCTGTGGATATACGCGGAACGAAGCGGGGGGCCATATTAGGAAAACAATTGGACAGATCATCAAATATGCTTCATCTCATAGTGGTGGTGGTCTTGACCATCTGTCCATCACTGGTGACAGCAAGAATGTTTGCTTCAGCTACTTCGCTAATGACATCACCACTGGCAGTCATCATGCATCTCTCAAGAGTATGAAACTGGAGGAATGCTTTCTCTGGTGTGTCCAATTTGATGACCCGGTCTACAAATCCTGTACGACTCTGGGGTTCAAATTGCTTACAACTCTGGAATTGCGTAAATGCAATCTGTCATATTTTTGTCATATGGGGCCCTTTGATTTGATTGGCGATCTTCCTTATTTGAAGCACTTGAAGTTGCTCCACTGCTATGTGGAGTGGTTGATAATATCAGGACCTCAGCTGCTTGACCTTGAAATTGAGTTTCTAGAGAACAACTGCTCTTATGAAGTGATTGCTCCGAACCTCAAATCTTTACGTTTATGGGGTGAACACATGGGTGAAGGCATTGATGAACATATCAGCAAAGAGTTGAGTCTCCCTGCCCTGGATGATGCAAATATCTGCCTCAAGTGGCACAAACCACATTGTTGGGAGAGTGACACATATTTGGAGGAGCAGAATCGTGCATTCATGAATTACTTAGGTGGCCTGCATAATGTTGAATCTCTAAACCTGTGTTTCGACAAGGTATGAGTTTTCTGTTGTTTGAAAATTGAAAGCAATGCTTATGAGTACTTTTGCTAATGCACAGCTAAGGTATATTAGTCATGCCATAGAGTTCTGGTTTTCTAAAGTGTATACGACTGCCTGCTCGAGAATAGGGCTTGCTGCTTTTACTAAAGTGCTTGCTTACCTTAGGCATATTATTCAGTCCCTAGAGTTCTGGTTCTGATACATTGTTGTGTTTCCATATCAGGAAGGGGATGAGGATTGGGAAGAACACCACTTTCCTCTTAACAGAATTAAGTCGATAGTCGAGCACCAAGACCCTCCCTTCACTAGATTGAAGACCTTGAGGATACAATGTGCGCATCAACAACGCCCGCCAAACGTACCTTATCAAGTGCTTCGCTATTTTCTTGAAGGCTCTCCGAGTGCGGAAGATAAGTTTGTGAAGCTTGAGATGCTTGCTGATTAAAAAGGGCCATAGTGGTTTTATACTTTCACATGATGTAAAAAACTGTCAGTAGTCATGTTCTCTAGTAGTATATATGGTGATGGCCATAGTAGTTCTCTGATGCGTTATGTCGATATCGATATAATCAGTAGTGCCCAAAGTAGTTTCCTCCTTTTGCTAGGGCGAACACGCATTGCTTATCTTGAGCTATCTAGTCTGGTTTCTGGCTTCTACTTACCAGTCTCTTTTGCTTTTCCTTTTCTGATGCAGTATGTATGACCTACTATCTTTTGTTTGATCAATGTCAAGGGTTATTTGAAAATCGCGATTGTGAAATCGTACTATGTAGCAAATTTGTGAGGTTAGCGCTTTGAGGTATAAATAGATGTATGCTAACTAGACTGCAAAATTTGGTATAATATCCTGATAAAACATGCATCATTTTATGGTCGGTGCAATCTGGTATCACAAACAATGGATAAACACTCACAAACCATTTCAGTTGTGACCATTTTCTTAAAAGTTAAAAAGTTGGGTACCCAAAAGTTAAGTGACCATTACCGCAATATAAATACCACATTCCCATATAAAACCAGCGGGCCAGCGGCAGAAGGGGGCACTCTTTCTCAGTTCTCACACGGTCACTCTCCTAAGTGTGCTTGTAGCTTCTGCATGGTTTGGTGCCTGGAAACAATTCCTGATTGCTACTTCCCTCGCCATTGTTAAAGAGCTCCAGGGTACGTATTGTTTGTCCATCTTCTAATTGACGCCATTTAGCTCCCAGAAAATGTATCTGCTGTTGTTTCCATCCAAATCCACATGCAATAGTATATTATGTTGTGAGCCCCAAGTTCTCGATTTGTTCTTCACCTTGATTTATGATTTCCGAACTTACCATGCCCATGTCTTACTTCGATTCATGATAATAGGTGGTTTCTGAACAATACCACGTTTGTAGATTGTTGCATGCTATCTGTCATTATTTCACCACTTATATGATTGAACTGTGCTATGATTGAACTGTGCTTCATATCTGTTTCTGGAAAAGGAAGGGAGGAAGATAATGGCTGGGAGTTCACAAGAGTCCAAGAAACTCAAGAGGATCCATGCAGTTGACAGACTGAGTGTTCTTCCTGACAGCATTCTCCATCACATCCTCTCGTTCCTCGATACGAAATCTGTGGTTCGAACGAGCCTTCTGGCGAGGAGGTGGAGATGTTTGTGGAAACATGTTCCCGTCCTCAATTTTATACAGACGTCCTTTCCTAACTTGTCCAGTTTCACAAAGCATATAAACAAGGTCTTGTCTCTCCGCTTTCAAAAGATCCCTGTTGGCAGCATCACCTTCGACATCTGTGGAGATAAGTGGGGAGGTGCTATGAAAACATTTGAAAAGATCATGAAATATGCTGACTCTCATGGTGGTGGTCTTTACCACTTATCCTTTGTCGATGACAAGTTCCAATTTGAAATCGGAGGGATCGCTGATGTCATTACCGCTTCTCGTTGTAATGAATCTCTCAAGACACTCATATTGAGGAGATGCACTCTCAAGAGAGAATTTGGTTGGCGCTTCAACTTGCTTACAACTCTTGAGTTGTGTCAATGCCGCCTGGACCCTTATCCTGTTGGGGAGCTCTTTGATCCGTTTGCGAATCTGCCTTGTCTGATCTACCTGAAGCTACTCCACTGCATTTTATATTCTAGTGGCTCTAGGGTTATGATATCAGGACTTCAGCTGCTTGACCTTCAAATTGAGTGTCTTAACTTCAACGGCGTCTATGAAGTGACGGCCCCAAAGCTCAAGTCCTTATGTTTATGGAGTTATGGTTATGACTTTGAGCGACGTCTCCCCATTTTGAATCTCCCCGCTCTTGATCATGCAAACATCCGTCTTGGTTGGTTTGTACCATACCGTAATGCAGGATCGAAAGAGGGTAACCGTGCATTTATGAAGTTTTTGCAAGGCCTGCACAATGCAGAGTGTCTCCAGCTACGTTTCAACAAGGTACGAACTTGCTAATTCTCTATGCAATTTGCACTTTTGTTAATGCAAATGTGAGTTTACAAGGTAGGGTGATTGTGGGCTATATACATACCGACGCCACATCAGAATTGCCTGTTTATTTAAGTGCTTGTCTGCAGTAGTCAATCCCCATAGTTTGGTTTAGATACAGCATTGTGTTTTTCGTATCAGATGATGGATCGTCATGGAGAAGAGCACCGCCACTTTCCCCTGAACAGAATTAAGGAGTTAATAGGGCCAGAATCCCCTCCTTTTACCAGGCTGAAGTCCTTGAGGGTACGATGTGCGGGTCAACAGAAACTGCCAAGCATACATTATGAAGTGATTCGCTACTTTTTCGAAGGCTCTCTCAGCACGGAAGAAAAGACCGTTCAGCTGGAGCTGGTTAATGAAAAGCGGTGCTGATTTTACGTAGTCAAGTGCTGTCGAAACTAGTATTAGCAATGTCGTCAAGTTGCATGCAGGACGGTCATGCTGCTAGGAGGATGATGTATTTTGCTGCTACTGATCTTGTCATGAAGGCTGGTATTTTGTAGGCAGCATTGTCTAAGGGCATATTATACGGGGGCGTGCTTGTTTTTCCCCCTCTATTTTGTACAGAACATGTTGTGATCTTTAACCAAAAACACCACCATATATGCTGAAACCTGAAAGAGCAGAGCCACGTAAAGACCTTCTGCTACTTCTCTTTGTGTAGGCTTCTGTTTGAATGTATATAAATCAGCTAGTGCTGCTTCCTTTCTGATGATTGAATGTATATGAAGCCAGAGATCGTTAAAACCAAGTTCGAGAATGAAGCCAGTGATCGAGACTGAAGTCTCTCAGTTCACAAGACTGAAGAACTTGAAGATTCAATACCGGCACGAAAAAACCAAGTTCTGTCAGCATTTAGCAGGACGGACATCAAATGCAGATCATCCTCGAGATGCTTGCTGATCAGAGAGTGTGATGATGGTTTTTCTATTGTCAAATGGTGTCAAAAACTGGTAGTAGTCTTGGTCTCTAGTTGCATATATGGTGCTTGCCAAAGTAGTGCCCAAACAGGTAGTTTCCTCCTTTTGCTTAGCGCGAATATACATAAACTTAATCTTGAACCATCTAGTCTGGTTTCTGTTTGCCAGTCTCTTTTGCAGTTCCTTTCCTGATGCAGTATGTTTATGAAGTATGAACTACTACTAGCTTTTGTTTGATCAATGTGAATGGTAATCAACCAATCATGGTATGAAATATGATTAGTTATAACCATTAATGTTAGTAATTAAGTTCACAGAGAGCTCTCTGACTGGTGACATAACTGGGAGGGGAAAAAGTGATAAGGGAGAGCTATTCTCGGAAACAACCCCAACAGCTCTTTCCCACTCTGTTACTCTGTTTATTTTTTCTGTTCCTTACTTCTAGTGAGCAGTTTCTCTTATACGTACATAGGATTAGCAATCTTGTTGCTATCACTGATGTATATATATACACACATAATCAATTATAAGAACAAACAGGATTCTCTCTTCTGCTTCCGTTTTGATGATCTGACCCATTTTTGTGCTAAGCTTTTCGCTTCGATCTCGACCTAATCAGCGAAATTACCCGCTGAGAGAAAGAGTTATGGAGGCAGAGCACCCGAAAAGGGACGGGAAGAAACTCAAACAGCTGGGTCATCATGATCGAGGTGATCGGGATCATGACATCATCATCGGCAGTAGCAGGTTCGACGATCTTCCCGACGACATTCTGCATCGCGTTCTCTCCTTCCTCGACATCAGATTCGCCGTCCAGACAAGCGTGCTGTCGGGGAGATGGAGGAATCAATGGAAAGACGGCATCTCCGCCCTCCGCATCTCCAAAACCTCCGTCGGCGCCGCCACTTCGGCGGAATTCAGAGACTACGTTTCCAGGATCCTCCAATCCCTCCGCTCCCACCACGAACCCAGCACCGTAACCAGCATCAGCTTCCAGTTATCCAGCACTTCGAAAAAGGATGTGAAACTCTTCGACTCCGTCATGAAATACGCTTCCTCCACTGGCCGCCGCAGTCTCCGGGATCTGTCCATCTCTTGGGACAGACAGTACCCGGACAGCTGGGTGCGCTTCAACAACCTCGCCGGCTACCTCGCTGCTCAGTCTCTCGAGGCTCTGAGCTTGGACGGGGTGTGTTTTGGCGCGGGTTCAGTTGACATTCCTAGTTGCGGCGGATTCCGTTCGCTGACGACGCTGGAGCTGAGCAATTGCAATTTCAGCCAGTACCCTGGTTCTGAATACTACCTGCTTTCTTTCGAGAATCTGCCGGGTTTGAAATGCTTGAAGCTGCTCTCCTGCATGGAGATGAACTCCGTGGCGGTGTCCGTGCCCCATCTGTTGGAGCTGGAGATTCGGTGTCCTTGCCACTGGCATTTCGCTCCCCGTGAGGTGGTTGCTCCGAAGCTCCGGTCTCTCGAGTTCTCCGGCGATGTGAGGAACCTGGAGCGGCTTGATAGTCGTTTTCGCCTCCCTTACCTCGACCATGCCAGCATCCGCCTCGTCTGGAGGGAGTCGGTGGAAGCGCATGTGAGGAGGACGGTAGGAGAACTGAATCGTACATTTGAAAACTTCCTGGTTGGATTGCGCAACGTGAAGTCCCTACATTTGTGTTTTCGCCTCTCGGTACGTAGTTGCATATGCCTGTGCTTGATTGAACTTGGAAATTAGGGCAAATGAATGTTGTTGTGACTTTTTCAAATAGTAAGTTTTGGCAAAACCAAATTAGGTTTTACTAACCCAATGCTTGTTTGAACGCTTTGATTGTGGTTTGTCTCGTCATCAAGTCGGGAAGTTCGAGGGAGAGGGAGCTATTCAACGGTTTTCTGATCGTGACAAAGTTGTTAATCTTGTACGAAACTTTTCAGTTTACTAGATTGGAAACGTTGAGGGTCCAATGTCCTGGAGAATCACCACCGGGCGGGAATGATCGAGTGATTTGCTATCATTTTGAAGGCTCTCGAGGTGTTGAAGAAAATATATGTTAATGTTGGTTAGTCTTTTGACTCTTGAACAACAACCCATATTGGTTTTGTTCCTTGAAAAGAAAGAGATCCATTAATGTCTATTTTGGGGTGTCTGATCCTACCTTGGGAAGCTACCGGTTGTTAGAGAGGTCATCTCAATAATTGTTTTTCGAAATCTCCCTCGTGTTATCTTTGAAGGCAATTCATGATGTGGTAATTCGATAGCTTTGTCTAAGTATGGTAGCGGATTCACTATTGCGAGGATTCCTGATCCCAGAGTGCCATAAGATCATCTCCTATGCTTTTCAAATATAGCTCGTCAATATAAGATTTTATCGAAATGAAACGGTCAAATCACGAATTAATTACAAAATACCCTCCCATTAACTTATTTGGTACACCTTCGATACGATTTTACAATCTTTATTTATTTTCTTGTTACCATTGCTACAACATTCTAGCATTTGTTTGCCTAGCCATGACCTCCAAGAACCCAACTTTGCGGTTATTGGAAGTACTCAAATAACAGTCCAATCGGAAAAAAAAAAAATATTGAAGGCTAAACCGATAGATAATATTTAACAATATAAAACGATTATACCATAATTAAACCTCCAATAGAAGGCTAAACCTGTCCGGTAGAACCTCCTTGTACGAACTTGCTATACTTACTATAAAGCCAGTCTCTCTCTCTTCGTTCCTCTAACCTAAACCCTAACTGCTTCTCTCGTGATTTTGTTACGATCAAGGTATGTGCACACGTCAATTCGCTACCGAAGCCTGTTTTTTATCCCCTGACTAGCTTTGGATCGATATATAATTTATCTGTTAGGTTAGGATCGGTATATAACATTCATAGCATGAAATTGATTAATTAGGGTTCCAGCCGTTCGTTATATATAGACTGTTGTTGGAGAATTCACGAGATCACGATATGGCGACTGGGGAAAACCCTAAGCGGTGCAAGACCAAGCTGCAAACATGGCGTACCCGTAGCGATCACACGGAGCAGCAGCAACAACGAATCAACGTAGACAGAATAAGCAATCTTCCGGACAACACTCTGCACGACATTCTCTGCTTCCTCGACTCCAAATCCATAGTCCGAACCAGCGTCCTGTCGAAAGGATGGAGGCGTTTGGTGGAAGCACTTCCTTACAACCTCAACTTCAACGCCAAGTCCTTCGACGACGAATCGAGTTTCGACGTGCACGTGAAGGAGTATCTATCCCGTCGAAACCGATCTGTTGCGCCCGTCAAGAGCGTGACGTTCGAGTTCGGAGCTAAAAGTGGCATTCAGATGATATTGTTTGATAGGGCCATGCAGTACGCTGCTGCCGATGGCAAGCTCGACCATCTGTCCGTCGTCACCCACGAGAATGGTAAGTTCGGAGATGTGGCTGCCTCGATCGTTGCGCATCGTCATTGTCGATCGCTCGAGGCCCTGGTGCTGAAAGGTTTCATGCTCGACGGCCTTGATCTGCATGAACTCGATCATCTGGGGTTTTGGTCGCTGACGACGCTGGAGCTGCATTCCTGCTTCGTGTTTAATAGCGTCCCGTTCGGTTTGAAGCACTTGAAGATAGTCGACTGCACGTGGTCGTCGTCGAGATGTTTGAGAATACAAGCGTCCCGGCTGTTGGACCTGGAGATCAAAGGGTTATTGCTCTGTAAGAATGTCGGTACCATGTTTGCTCTGAACTTGAAATCGTTTCGTCTTTCGTGTAGCGTGTTCGATTTGAAGAAGCTCCCGCACTTGGACTTTCCTTCTCTGGATCGTGCGACGATACGCCTATGGTGCGACGACGACGACGACCCGTGTCGGTTGGACGAGCGTATAACGTCGTGGGAGGATGTCAGTCGCGAGTACATGAAGTTGCTGCGTGGTTTGCATAATGCAAAGTCTCTCGACCTTCGTTTTGACGAGGTATGCTCTGTTTAATTAATGTGACGAACTTGTTAACTTTATGTTGTTTCCCTGAGGTACAGAAATGTGAACGTGACGAGTAAGGGGCATAAATGTATACCTTTTATTTTGTTAAAGTTGTTAGTTGAACGTGCAATTAATTTTCTCACCTGACAGTGTGTTTGATTTCTTGTTAGTTGGCGAGTGGAGAATCTTGGAAAGATCACTTTGTCTTCGGGGAAATGAAGCTTTGTCCGTTCACCAGAATGGAGACGGTGAGGATTGAGTATCCACAACTACAAGAACCGCCGATACCAGATCATGTGATTCGTTATCTTTTCGGTGGCTCTGATGAGTTTAGTCTTGAACAAATTGAAATCGTCTTGAATACAAAGTCCACAAGAATCATCAAAATGAGAACAGTCCAGTAATTCGCTATTGCTTTGAACAGTCCAGTCATCATGAAATATGCCGCCGCCGCTGGTCCCCGCCGTCTTCGGGATTTATCCGTCACCTGGGACAGACGACACTGGGAAAGCAGGGTAAGCTTCAGCGTGCTTGCCAGCCACCTCGTGGCTCACCGTCACGGTCAGTCTCTCCATACCCTCAGGTACGGGTGGAAGTTTGGTTTGCGGTTTGAGGATAAATTGCACGCTTTGTGGATAATTTTGGGTAGTGAGTTAGGTGTTGATAACAAAATATGAATTTTTGTGGTTAGTGATTAATTACTACACCAACGATTAATCCACAATAACCACAAAAATTATATTTATTTATTGTTAATACTTTATAATATTATATAGAGTGCGTGAAAAGTAGAAGGCTAAAAGACAAAGTAGCCACCAAAATTAAATACGCACTTATTTTATAACACAAAATCAAGTCAATACGCAGTGTTTGTGTGAGATACTTTTATCAAATAAGCAGTTTCCGAGTGACATATTTTTATTCTATAAAACAAAATCAAGTCAATAAAGGTAGTAGTATATTTAACAGTTTAGTAACTTTCTTTTTTCTATACTTGAAAACTATTACTATTTCAATAATAAAAATTTTGTGGGTATCTATCCACAACCAAACCGCACCAAACTACTCTCAGGTTGGACGGGGTGTATTTTCGCTGGGGTTCTGATGACGTTGCTGGCTGCGGCTTCCGTTCGCTGACGACGCTGGAGCTGAGTCATTGCAATTTCCACCAGTACGTTGGTTTCGGGGATCGGTACTACTTGCTTTCTTTCGAGAATCTGCCCAGCTTGAAACGCTTGAAGCTGCTCTGCTGCATGCCGTGCAACTCTGTGGCGGTATCGGTGCCCCACTTGTTGGAGTTGGAGATTCAGTGTCCTTCCTACTGGCATTTCGCTCCCGATGAAGTGATTGCACCGAAGCTCCGGTCCTTCAAGTTCTCCGGCGACGTGAGGGACGTGGCGCGGCTCGATCGTCGTTTCGACCTTCCTTCCCTCGACCATGCCAGCATCCGGCTCGTTTGGAGGGAACCAGTGGAAACGCATACGAAGAGGGTAGGAGAACTGAATCGTGCATTTGAAAACTTTCTGCTTGGAATGCGCAATGTGAAGTCCCTCGATCTGTGTTTTCGCCCTATGGTACGTACGTGCATGCATGCTTGATTAAACTTGGAAATTAGGGCAAATGTGTGTTGTTGTTGTGACTTCTTTCACATTAACTTTTGGCAAAACCAAATTAGATTACTAATCCATTAATTTCCTGTTTGATGAACACTTTGATTGTAATTTAATTTGTGTCGTCATCAAGTCGGGATGTTCGAGGGAGAGGGAGCTACTCGACGGTCTTCTTGTCGTGGCAAAGTCGTTCATTTTGTACGAAACTTCTCCGTTTACCAGACTGAATACGTTGAGGATTCAATGTTCAGGAGGATCACCGGACGGGAGAGAGCGAGAGATTCGCTATTATTTTGAAAGCTCTCGTGGTGTTGAAGAAAATATATGTTAATATTGGGTAGAGATATTATCTCAGTTATTGTTTGACGAAATCTTTCTCGCTTTATCCTCGAAGGTAATTCTAAGGTGGTGATTCAACAATTTTGTGCATGTCTGTACACTTTGATGGTGATTTGTCCTTAACGCGACAAAGTTGTTAAAGTTGAATGAAGCTTGATCTTCGTTTACTAGCTAGATTGAAAACTTCCAGAATCCAAAGTCCACAAGAATCATCATATGAGAGCGATCAAATGATTCGTTGTCGTTTTAAAAATTCTTGTAGTTTTAAAAGAAAATATATGTTAGTATTCAATAGTGTTTTTTTGTTTTTTTTTTTTTTGAGAAGGTGAGTGAATTTCATTAAATATAAAGCTTGCTTACACAAATGTGGCATAAGTTAAAAGTACATCGATAGGAGATGATGATAGCTAATTACAAACTCATTGCAGAATTTCAACACGAGCGCCTCGAGCGATACACATACAAAACTCTTTAGAAAGCCTTGATCGCAACAAAATCACGAGAGAAGCAATTAGGGCTTAGGTCAGGGGAACAAAGAGAGAGAGACTGGTTTTATAGCAAGTATAGTAAATTCGTACCGGAGTTTCTACTCGAAAGGTTTAGCCTTCTATTGGAAATTCATTTGTGGTACAACTGTTTTTATATCGCTAAAAATCACTACCGGTTTAACCTTCAATATAAGTTTTTTCGTTTGGACAGCTATTTGAGTACTTCCGAGAACCGCAAAGTTGGGTTTCGTGGAGGTCATGGGTAGGAGAACAAATGCTAGAATGTTGTAGCAATGGTAACAAGAAAAAAAAAATAAAGATTGTAAAATCGTATAAGAGGTGTACCATATGAGTTTATGGGACCGTATTTTGTGATTAATTCGTGGTTTAATCATTTCATAAAGATAAAATCCTATACTGATTTGAGCTATGAAAAGCATAGGAGATGATCTTACGCTGGGAGTATGGATGGCAAAAATATCCAAAACCGTGGATATCCGCCCCAATCTTATTTAATCGGGTAGGGTAAAACCATAACTCGAGCGATTTTCAATGGGTATGTGTAAAACCCGAACCCGAATGTCGCGAATAATGGGTGGGGATGGTTTTCTCACAATCCAATATGAACCCGACCGATTATAGACATGTTCATTATTTGTCTCAACATATTTTATATTTAGCATACAAATATTTTCATGAAATTGTGTCGTTTGAAATTAATTTTCTTCATTCTAGTGATTATTGTCGTACTTTTTCACTTATAGAATGTGAGTATACGTGTGAATGTTAACATGTTGGTTGAAGTTATAAAAAGAAATTATTATCCATGGATAACCGTGGATACCCAAAACCTAAACGGGTATAAACATGATTTTGATTTTCTACCCAATTCTTACATGAACATGGATATGGGTAAAACACCAACTAATTTGGGTAGGGTAACGAATATACACTATCCGCCCGACCCGTTATCATTCCTAGCTGGGAGCAGGGATCCTAGTGAATCCGCTACCACACTTACTCACTTAGGCAGAGCTGTCAAATCACCACATCATAATTAACTTCGGAGATAACACGAGGAAGATTTCGACAAACAATGACTGAGATGATATCTCTAACGACAGCTGATGTGTTTGAAATGGATTTGCTCGCTCTTCTGTCACTATCAGTTGGGGGGTTGGAACCGCTGGGAAGAACACCTATTTCCTCTTACTTGCATAAAGCCGTTAACGGGAGCGTGAAGCCTCTCCTTTCACCAGATTGAAGATGTTGAGGGTGCAATATCCGCAAGAGCCTCCAGACACGCCTTATCAGGTGATTCGTTATTTCATGGAAGGTTCTCCTAATACGGAAGAGAAGTTTGTTAAGTTTGAGAGGAAGGTAAAATAATGGTACACATACAGTATCCATTTCAAACACCGAATGAGAGAAGTTTGTTAAATTTACTATTTATATTCAGTTTGTAATTAGGAATGTGTACTGATGATGTTCAGTTTTCCTTGTAGAAGTAGGAATACTCTCCCGTCTCTCTGTATATAGGAAGGTCGCCTACTGCTAAGCTTGTTGAACAGAGCTTTTAACGAGTCTTCTTTCAGAAAAGAAGAAATAAATCTTACAGATCGAGTTCAGTAGGGAGGTGAGTGAAAGAGAACGACATGGCAGAGGTATCGACACCGTTCAGAAAGAAACTCAAGACGAGCCACCACCAACGCCAAGAAATCGACGTGGTGAGCAATCTTCCTGACCACATTCTGCATTACATTCTCTCCTTCCTGGACATGAAGCTCACAGTTCAAACCAGCATCGTGTCGAAGAGGTGGAGATTCTTGTGGACAGGTATCAGCGTCCTCAATTTCAACCGGTACCCCTTTCGTACCATGGAGGGGTTCATGGAGCACGTAGGCAAGCTCTTGTCTCTTCGCTCAAAACATGGTTCTGCAGCAGCAGTTTCCAGCATTAGCTTCGACTTCGGAAAAAGGCCAGGGGTTCGATCTGCTTCCTTGATGCTTGATGCTCGTAGGAACAACCACGATGGTGCCAGTGGAAGTCCAGGAGTTAGCGAGAACCATTTATACATGGCAGGTCACTTCAAAACCATCGAAATGGCTGCCTCAATCATGACCAGCGGTGGCTATGGATCTCTCGAGACCCTCAAGTTGAAGGCAGCTCTACTCGAGAGCGCTGCATTTCCCTTGGGGTTCAAGTTCGTGACGAATCTCGAGCTGCACCATTGTCGGTTCTACTTCTCTAGTGATCCTTTTGCTGATCTCCCCTGGTTGAAGTATCTCAAGCTGCATGATTGCTTGCCGGTGCAAGGCCGCTTGCTGAAAGTATCGGTACCGCAACTGTTGAGACTTGACATACGATTCTACGACTCCGACATCAAGGGGATCGAAGTTTCTGCTCTCGAGCTCAAATCTTTTCGCTTCTGCGGTCCTGTAATGCAGCTCGTCGAACTGAACCTTCCTTCTCTCGACAGTGCGGATATTCGTCTCGCGTGGGATGTGCTGCTCGACAAGCGTCGTGAATGTATGAGCTTGTTGCGTGGTTTGCATAATGTCAAATCTCTCAATCTACGTTTTGACAAGTCGTTACATGGAATGAATTGGAAACCACGCGAGTTCCCTCTTACCGCCATGAAGCGTTTAATGGAGTCGGAAAACTCACATTTTACCAGTCTGGAGCGACTGAGGGTGCAGTATCCACAGAAACCGCCAAGAGTACCTCGTCATGTACTTCGTTATTTTCTTGGAAGCTCTCCAGAAGGGAAATCCACGAAGTTTAAGTGGCATAATGACATCAAAGCTGGTAAGCTGTTGAAGAGTCAACTCTTTCGTGAGCAGGAGGTACCTCTATCAAATACTCTCCGAGAATCAAATTTAGTGGTCGATCCATTCACCGAATGTGAACATATAATTGAGTCGAAGATGAGCATCTCGAAGCCTTTTCCACGATTAATGTAAAAGTGCATGTGAAGATCGAGTACGAAACAATTTATCTCATAAGTCGTTTGAAAGTTACGATTTTGTTATAGCTATTTTGAAATTATTTGAAAGTTACAATTGAGAAATAGATGTATTGTAGTGAATATACGTGTGTATGAATTTGATATAAGATTATGAATATACTAGTGTTTCCTCTTCCATGTAATTTTTGAACCCAAATCAGGTTTTTGTTATGTTTTTATATTCCAACCCGTTGGATGGACTTCTCCCCTGTTGGGCCTGCCTCATTCCACTTACTGGACCGGGCTTTGGCTAGCGGATGTGCGGCCCGGTCCGTCCAAACTCCAAACATAGAACAAAACTGGATTAACTAACCACCTCTTCCCCCTCATTTTCCCGCTCTACATTCTCACCGCTCATCGTCAACCACACAACATTTTCAGCCATTGGATTTTATCCAGATATGGGAGAAAGGGAGTCACCATAAACTTTTGTCGCCAATCCCAGAGTTCATGCCACCTGGTTCCGTCTCCAAGTTTCTAGACCTCCCCGGCGACTCTCTGTCTCAGAATGAGAACCCCATTTCCGTAGTTTAAATACAGCTCCTTCGCTTTAGCGGCGTCATCATGATAATCGCGATTTCAAAGCTTCGTGTCTTCAACAATGGCGACCTCCCTCATCCCATCTTCCCGCTCCTCATTGTCTCCGTGGCACACTTCCCGAAGATACAGCCGGCGGACTACTACGTCTTCTTCTTTTTCGGTCTATTCAAGGAGAAGACACTGGAGATTCACTGCTCTCAGTCGAGTGCCCACGTCGTGTTCGACGAATTGCCGGTTTGGAAAGAAAACCCATCTCGCAGTTGGTTCTGCGAGGAAATGGAGTTCCTTGGAGCCGGTTAGGTTTTCTGCGAAAGAGGACCAAGTGGCGGTGGCTGACGAGGAGAAAGGGCGAGAGGATGAAGAGGGTGCGGAGGTGGAGGGGAAGCAAGAGGAAGGAGTAATGCAGGAGAAGGACTGGAAGACGGATGAGGAGTTCAAGCAGTTCATGGGGAACCCCTCCATCGAGGCTGCGATCAAGCTCGAGAAGAAGAGGGCTGATAGGAAGCTGAAGGAGCTTGATAGAGAATCCAGTGGCAACCCACTTGTGGGATTGTTTAATAGAGTGGTTCGCGACAGTGTAGCTAGGGAGAAAGAGAGGTTGGAGAAAGCTGAAGAGACTTTTAAGGCCCTTGATCTTAACAAGGTAATTGAATTGACCTTCCTCGTCTAACTTATTGATGCTTTTTTTATTGGGGATGTGGAGTCTGTTTTAGTTGATCCATTTACGTTTAAGTGCTCAAACTGTGTCAGGAGGGCTTCTTAGAATTTTTTCACAAGGGTGTCTAAACTCTGTTCTGTTCTTATTATCGCAGTTAAAAAGTTGCTTCGGATTTGACACATTCTTCGCAACTGATGTTCGAAGGTTTGGTGATGGGGGTATTTTCATTGGAAACTTGAGGAAACCCATCGAGGAGGTCATTCCCAGACTGGAGAAGAAGTTGTCTGAAGCAGCAGGGAGGGAAGTGGTGGTATGGTTTATGGAAGAGAAGACGAATTATGACATTACAAAACAGGTACTTGACCGAAAGGATCATTTGGAGTGTTCATTTCCTATAGGACATTTGCATAACCAGGCTAGGTTCTCTTTACTAAATGACTTGGTACTACTTGGCTAGTCACTCAAGTAAGTTGTCTATGATGCACAAAGCTCTCATTCTGAGGCAATACCACAGCTAGCTTTTCCAAAGCTCCAACCTTTCTGTGTCCAGTTTAGCTGTCATTCCTCTTTGGCATATATTCCTTCATTTCTTCTCTGTTGGCTTTCTCCATGCTGAGAGTAAATGATACTACTGGTTTGAACTTTTGTTTTCAGGCATGTGTGGTGCAACCCAAAGCTGAAATGGATCTCCAGTTTGAATCAACCAAGCTGAGTACACCTTCTGGTTATTTCAGCGCTATTGCTCTATGTGTGGCGACTTTTGGGACAGTAGCCCTGATGAGTGGCTTCTTCCTTAAGCCGAATGCAACCCTTGATGACTACATATCTGATGTTGTTCCTCTTTTTGGTGGCTTCCTTACCATCTTGGGAATTTCCGAAGTATGCCTACCCACTGTAACTTCTCACTTATCTATTTCGTGATATGAGTTCGTAGCACGTTTTTATGAGTTACTTCTGAGAGCCATAATCGTTCCCCTGATGGTCATCTTAAGGAAGAACTAACCTTTTGTTCTGTTTTCTGCAGATATGTACTCGAGTAACTGCTGCTCGCTACGGTGTTAAACTCAGCCCTTCTTTTCTGGTTCCATCCAATTGGACAGGATGTCTGGGAGTAATGAATAACTACGAATCGCTGCTTCCTAATAAGAAGGCGCTTTTCGACATTCCAGTGGCGCGTACAGCCAGTGCGTACTTGACTTCCCTAGTGCTGGCAGTTGCTGCTTTTGTTGCTGATGGTAGCTTCAATGGGGGAGATAATGCACTGTAAGCTCTCTAAAGTCTAAACCCACAGAACAAACTACTTCATCCTCTTCTCAGAAGCTATTATTGTTGATAGATCTTCTTAGAAATACTAGTGTACTAGCTTTGCATCAGACATAAAGATACAAAACACCCCAGTAAAAGTTCTGCCAAAACACCCTTGTTCCTTTCGAATCTTGGCATGCGCCAAAGAAATAACGTTGTAGTTGTAGTTGACTTCGATTTGCTGATGCCTGTAATTTCTCTTTGCAGGTACATAAGGCCACAATTCTTCTACAACAACCCCTTACTTTCTTTCATCCAGTTCGTCATTGGACCCTACGCAGATGACCTCGGGAATGTACTCCCCAACGCGGTGGAAGGCGTGGGAGTTCCTGTAGATCCCCTCGCTTTTGCAGGATTATTAGGTGAGTTACCACAACCATTTCTATACTGCAGCAGAAAGCTTGCATGTGATGAACCTCATGATCCCGCATTACACCTCTCTCTTTCTGGACATGGCAGGAATGGTGGTGACATCACTGAACCTGTTGCCCTGCGGAAGGCTGGAGGGAGGCCGGATAGCGCAAGCTATGTTCGGTCGAAGCACGGCTACCTTGCTGTCCTTCGCAACGTCTCTTCTTCTCGGGATCGGCGGCCTGAGTGGAAGCGTTCTCTGCCTGGCTTGGGGACTGTTCGCCACCTTCTTCCGCGGCGGGGAGGAGCTGCCTGCTAAAGATGAGATCTCGCCGTTGGGAAGCGACAGGTTTGCTTGGGGCGTTGTTCTTGGCCTCATCTGTTTCCTCACTCTCTTCCCCAACGGCGGAGGGACGTTCTCCAATCCATTCTTCAGCGACCCGTTTTTCCGAGGGTGATAGATATGTGGATAGATCGAGCTGGCTCGGCATTTGTATATTTTGTTAATGGCTAGTTTAATCATCACTAATGACGTTCTAAACCATCACTACTTGGTGCTTAAAAGGTTGTTAATCAACCTCTATCGATGGTTACTAATGGATGTAGATGGCTTGCTAATTAATGTTTACTCATTATTGACTCTCTGAATCATTACAAATGAATGCTTATTAATGGATTCACAATTACTAATGATTTGTGATGGTTACTAATTGACCCTCAGCTCGCTAACAGAGTTTTTTTATGGAAATCTGAGGAGCTCGCTAACAGATTTTGGACAGTGCAAGTGTTGCTGTTGTTCCTACAAATTTCAATAGGTTAAAATTAAAAGTTAAGTGATTAAGAAGATAATAACTCTCAACTTCAGTGGCCGTTATGCATTATACAAAATATAATAATAAAAAAAACTTAATGGCCGTTATGTAATTTCGCCCTCTCCCTAAGGTGTCCAAACGGTAAGGTGTTCAAACGGTATGATTACCGTGATAACCACTTTAACACGTAGTATTTGATAATTTGGTTTGGTTAATTTGAATAAAGGTTTGGTTTGGTTAAATTTGTTAGATTTGATTTAAGTGGTTTGGTTTGGTTTCAGACACTAATTACCAATCAAACCAAATTAACCAGTTAAGTAATTAGTCGTATATCTCATAAATATTATATATGGATACTTAATACATTGCATAACCACTCAAATGTCAAACGTTCCTCCCTCTTAAGCTCATAAAAAATAAAGTTCGATATTGTTCTTATACTATATATTGTATTTATAGCGTGCAGATCACAACATATGTACTCTTATTTTATAAATTGACTTATTCTCTTATCAATTATCATAGGCTGAAATAGACCTTACTTTCAAGTTCTTATCTAATTATTGTATGAGTATTATCTAAAAAACATAACAATTTATTAACTCATACCATTGACATATATTTTTGTTAGACGGTAAGGTAATTATATTATTTACATGTATTTATGTTAAGGGTTAACTATAACTATGTGTTGATTATTATGGTTTATTCATTATATAAATTACGAATTGATGCATCAACGGAGATTTCCTCACTTGATGATAATACGATGTTATATTGGTTATTCTGGTTAACTAATTAACCAAACCGATTGAACTGTAATTTTGATTAATTTGGTTGTTGTATTATTTTGGATGAACATGAATATTCTCTTCGTTCGACTCCTAACTCCTATAATTCTCGATCCATTTTTTCTTAATTATATATAATTTTATTTGAATTAATTACAATTATAGGTAATAATCTCAATTACTTAGAGTTAAGATTATAATCTCAATTACTTAGAGTTATAGATTATAATCTCAATTTCTCAAATAATATTTCATTCATCGTGTCATAATTTTTTTCTAAATTTTTTAGTGAACAAAAATAATAATTTTTCAAAAGATATTTTCTCTAAAATATATACTCATATATATCGACCTCTCTTCACCTGCGTCCAAAAAATACTTAAACCCGAATAAAAGATACCTCCTCGACTCTGGGCCAACCAACAAAGCAGATCCCCTATATGAGTGTGCCAGCCCAACTAATAACCAGATCTCCTTCGTTACATTTGGGCCCATAATAAGAGTTTCTTTGGGCTTTCTCCGGGCCAACAGTAAATAAAAACTTTGTTCGAGATCAGCTCAGCATGAATGGATTCAAAAAACCGCGCCAACTCCCAGGGACACGTCAGCATCTGCAAATAGTGCTCCTTCATCCCTTAAACGTTCATCCCCTAGCTTGAGTGATAAGCAATATGCAGATGTCGATGACAAATAAGCAAGCAAAAATGATTTTTTTTAAATTTATCACTTAGTGTAATGAATTTTTTTTTTTAAAAAGGTAGTTGTCCTTCAGTTCGATTATTATACTCACAGTACGATTTATAACAACATGTTAATAGAGATTAGGAGTCGTCAGATTATAGGCTAAACACTTTATAATTATTATTTTTAATTAATCACACTTTATAATTGTTGAGTAGACATGGTAACATCTATGTGAATAAAATGTTACAACGCTCAACACCTGATTTAACGACGCCCAATCTCTATGTCGATTGATTGCCCTTCCCCACCCCAATCAAAGCATTTTTTCAAATTAAGAAAATGAATTCCTTAATCAAAGCACTGTTTCCACTTTCCACAATCATGCGTTTCTATAAGTATCCAGATCCATCCTCCGCCACCCAAACGAATCCTTCACCTCCTCCAGTCCTTTTCTTCTGCCCGCACTATATACGCCACCCCGCTGTTTCTCAATTTGATTTCTCGCTGTTTATTATCCTTAAACGGAATCAGCTTGAACCAGGAAGAAGAAGAAGAAATGGCGCCGGTGAATCAGGATAAGGACAGAGACCACCGGCCATCGGCGGATTTCTTCATTGAGGAAGACGACGACGGAGATTTGGGCAGAGCGGAGGCAGGCAACGACAGAAGCGGCGCAGGAACAGACACCACCTCCAGCTCGAGCTCCAGCAGCGGCGGCGACGGCGGCGGCGGCTCCGGCGCGGAAGCTGACGACGAGGAGAAGAATGCCGACGACGACAGCGGAGGCGTCGGGACTTTCACCTCTCGGCAATGGCCGCAGAGTTATCGGTAAGACTTCCATTTCGTACGATTCGATTTCCGGTTTTGCTCTTCCCCATGGATGCGATGCATGCCTCGATTTGTGATTGTGTACTGTAGCTTTATGAAATCTCGGCGATCGAGTTTCTGTTTCTCGAAATTTCAATTGCCAAACTACAGAACGGTTCTGTGATTGGGAATTTTAGGTTTCTTTTTTCCGTTGTTTGAATTTTGTTGTTTGTTTGTTCTGCGATGGCAGAGAAACGATGGATTCTTACTCGATTGCAATGTCGCCGAGCCTTGCATTCATGGGGCCGGTGCAACAGCTGGCGCCTTACTTGAGCTTCATGAGTAACGCGGACACGGAATCAAAGGCTCCATTGATTCCCGAGCGAGACAGGAGCTACATGAGGAGGGTCGAATCGGATAGGTTCTCGCTAGCGCAATCGTCTTTCTCGAAAGCTTCATTCGCAAATACGGAGTTCCAGAATCCACATGGGTGTAGCTTCACTCAAACTCTGTTCAACTGTAAGTTTCATTCACAACTATAGATTTGCTAGTTTTCCCGTGATCTTTGATGTTACTTGGGGGGTTTGATAGCTGATATTCGGATATGGAGATCGTGGAACAGCGCTGAATGTAATGGTGGGGATCGGGCTACTCTCGACGCCTTACACCGTGAGGGAAGGAGGGTGGATCAGTTTGTTTATAGTAGCATTTTTTGGGAGCGTCTGCTGTTACACTGCTTATCTGATGAAGCAATGCTTTGAGAGCCGAGATGGCATAACAACATATCCTGACATGGGAGAAGCTGCATTCGGGAAGTTTGGGCGCCTAGGAATATCTGTAAGTTGTTCTGACTCCAAATTTTGTCTGTGCTACCAGCATGTCACGTCATGTCATAGACAATTGCTTGCCTTTCTCCTTTAGTAACGTGGATGTATATGTGTACCTGTTTATGAATCCTTCTGCAGCTTTGTAGTTTACATGTTCTGATGTTGTGTCCTACTGGATTTTGGTGCAGATCCTTTTGTACACGGAGTTGTATGTAAGTGACTGTTTCACATTCTCAGATTCTGTTGTACACTACATCCTGTAAATGATTGAGATATCTTTTTCCATCTGTGTAGTCTTATTGTGTGGAATATATTACCTTGGAAGGGGATAACCTGGCCAGGCTATTTCCTGGGGTATCCTTTGATTTGGCTGGGATATATCTCGATTCCACGCATTTCTTTGGGATTCTGACTGCTATTCTTGTGCTGCCAACTGTTTTTCTAAGAGACCTCCGTTTCATCTCCTTTCTTTCAGGTTTGGTGCATAATCCCTTTATCTAGTTCTTCTATTCAAGGTATTGAACTAGGGGATGATTTAGCACCTAACTTTACTGCTTCCTCGCTCTCATATCTTTTTTGCAGCTGGTGGAGTTTTTGCTACAATTTTGATTATTCTCTCCCTGCTTTTCCTGGGTACCGCTGAAGGAGTTGGGTTCCATCAAAATGGCCCGCTTGTGAAATGGAACGGGGTTCCATTTGTCATAGGTGTATGTGTATTCAATTATTCAGGTCACTCGGTTTTCCCCAACATCTACCAGTCAATGGCCAATAAAGCAGAATTTACAAAGACTGCAATAGCATGGTAAAATTGTTGTCGGTTCTGGTTTTGTGCCAAATTTCTTGCTGTGTTATTCGGTTGCTTAGGAGTCTTTTTCTCGATGTTCCTGCAGTTTTTTCGTGTGCGCTCTCTTGTATGGGGGAGTTGCAGCCATGGGATTTCTCATGTTTGGTGGGGCTACACTGTCACAAGTGACATTGAACATGCCACAGGACAGCATTACTTCAAAAGTTGCAATCTGGACTATTGTATGTGATCATTCATCCTTGAGTTTTTCTGCAATTCTTTAGTAAACAATTATATTATGTGTTTCATTGCATTTTTTTCTCTTATCTCAGGTCGTAATCCCGCTGACTAAATATCCTTTTTGTGATGCTTTGTAAAATTCTTATAAGGTCTAGAGTTGAACTTGCTCAATACTACTTTCAAGCAATATAAGCTGTCCAAACACTTCTATCGATTTGTCACCATCGTTAGTTTTCATAAACTGATGTGGGGAAAGAAGCTGCTTTTTCATATGAGTTGGACTAGATACGCAGGTTTTCTTTTCTGTGATTCCTTAACCGAGAACACATATTCATTGTTGATGAATCCGTTGGCTCGAAGCATAGAGGAGCTTTTGCCAGTTAACGTCGTCTCCAACTATTGGTGTTTTATTCTTCTGAGAGCCGTACTTGTTTTCTCTACTGTTGCTGCTGCATTTCTTCTCCCCTTTTTTGGTAAGTCTGGAGTTTTACTTTAAGCCATGTATTTACTTTTTTCCCCCTCCGCTGAAGTAAGGATCTTTGGGAAATTGTTTAGACCTGTCTCTGATTTGTGCATTGTGTTTAGAAAATAGTTAGATGTTGACATGCATTTCAGATTGAATCAGATTAGACTACAGTACTGTTTATCATCTTTTGTTCCTATCAACCTTCACAGCTTTTCTTAATATGCATGAATACAGATGCTTCATCAGCTGACTGTGTAAAATAAATAACTTCCCGTCCAAAAATTTGAATCTTTATGAGAACTTGTGAGTCTAGACTTTAGACAAAACCCAATTTCTTTCGCTGGCTTGGAGAGTGGATTATCCTGGTAGATTGTTAGTCAGGATGAGAGAATCCATTTCATAATTATCATGACCATCTTGATCTGCTGCTTAGCAGCTTGATGAACTTATGCATAATAGATGGTGCTTCTCATTTCAGGTCTTGTGATGTCTTTGATGGGTTCAGGCCTCTGTGTACTTATGGTGAGTGCCTCAAATCCTCTTCTAATTGTTCTTTCCTAGTTTGGCTGAAAGCGACTTATGAGAACGAAGCCATTAGTTCTTCTAGCGATTCCCCCAAGAATAGCGTGCAAAAATTACATGCTTTTGTCATCTTGAACCTGTTAACAGCATGGTTTACCCCATTTTCTGTTGACAGCATGGAACCTGTCTAGTTATATTCATTTCAAGCTGTCCTAGTGGGATTCCTATGTCTGCATAGAACTCTGTTATGTGACCTTGCACATTTGTACTTGTAATATGATGCTACCATTGACAAAGTCTGGTCAATCTTAACATCGTTGCTGCATTTAGATCCTCTGATCTTTTATATGTTGCGGCTAAATTATATGTCCCTTCTGCATCTTTCTGAATCAGGCTGTCATAATGCCGTCACTGTGCTTCTTGAGAATCATGGGGAAGAAAGCCACGAGAACACATGTAAGGAGAAATAGACTCTCTCTTGAACTTCTTGAGTTTGAAATGCAGTGTAACAATCTATTCTAACTTTCTGTTTCCCTGTAAAACAGGTTGTTCTTAGCTCCGCTATTACTGTGGTGGGCTTTGTCTGCGCGATCATCGGAACTTACTCTTCAGTTGAAAAGATTGTGCAGAGCTTCTGAGATCGTTTATGTAGGTCCTCTTGCCAATGCTTTTCAAAGCGTTTCTCTGGAGGTTATGCCGCCCACCTTGAAGGTGTGGCTAATGTAGAATATCCTGTTGAAAGAGCGTTCTGTAGTGTAATCAGCTACTGAAGTCTGGGAATTTTTGGTGTAAGTTTAGTATGGGTCATCATCTTGTAGAAAATAATAAAAATTCTTCATGGCCATAATTTGATCTTGAATGGAAAACCTTTTTCAGTGTGATGGTTGTTATAATTTATTTGTTTGATTGGGAATAACTTGTATTTGGACTAGGAATGACAATGGATCAAGGTTAGGGATGGCAATAAAACCCATGGCCGCGGGTATCCGACCGCCACCGACCCAGTCAACGCGGGGAATCCCCGCTTTGACCGGGTATGGGGCGGGTATGGGTAAAACCCGCAAAAAGTTTGATGGGTATGGGGCGGGTATGGTTTTGACCTCCCCCGCCCCATACCCATACCCGCCCCACCAAGAGAATTTCTTCACATATAAAAAAATATGTGGATTAAATTGTAATCTATCAATGGTGATGAGGATAACTCAAGGAAATAAAAAGTATAAATGCAATTGAGTGACCATTTTAACAAAATCTAATTCATTTCCCTCAATTCTCCTTTCACTCTTTCACTTTTCCCCTTATCTACAAGAATATGTTAGTTAATTATTACTTAGTAGATGTATAAGAGTTAGAAGATAATAATTTGAAAAATATTATACTCTATATTATGTATTAATGGATGTTTTAGGATCATATACTTTGAACCGTATTAAGAAAATGATCGTGTTTTGTTGACTTCATGATATAATAGGTTCGTTTAGAGTAATAATTAAAACTTTTCTTGTAAATTTTAGGTATAATAATGTTGGATGTATGGGTACGGGTATTACCCATGGGTACCCGAAACCCACGGGTATGGGGATGGGTTTGCAAAACATTCCCCCGCATGGGTATGGGGCGGGTATGGGTTTGGGTATTTGAAGATGGGGATGGGGATGATTTAGACAAACCCGCCCCAAACCCGCCCCATTGCCATCCCTAATCAAGGTAGGGCATGCTGATATGATACCAGTACTGTAGGACATAGTTCAGGTTGGATATTGCGGTCTTGTCACAGAAATCTTGACAAAAGCACACTCTATTGTCGGTTGTCACGGATTGCTCAATGTTGTCAACATCTTACATAATATAGAGATATAATATCATTCCATTTGAAATTGTGAATTCAGTAATATACTCAATAATTACGGTGGTCATATTCGTGTCTCAACTAAGCAAATGTCAAAATTGAATGGGTGAATAAATAGTAAGCAAGGAGAGGTTTACCTATAAATTGAACCCAAATCCTGATATTGTTTTAACTTTTGATTGTACTGCAAGGCACACCCCACTGGTTAAGTGTATAAATTAAGTATGTACCAAAGCGACCAGGAAATATATTCTCAGGGACTAAATTGTAGTTAACCAAAAGACATCAGTACAGCACTACAGCGAGGCAGCGTGTTCAAAAGCAGTTTTATTTTCGCACAAACTCGTCATTCCCGCTTCTTTTACCTTTTCGCCGGCCGTTTGAGATTTCAGTGTCAGCAGCAGATCCATTCTTTAGCAAAAGCTCTGCTCCTTCTCCTCTCCTCTCTCTGTCTAACAATGGCGCCTCGCTTCCTCTTTCCGCAAACTCTGCGGTCTCTGGAAGATGAGAACGCAGACGACGACGGCGACCGTCTCTGTGCTCGAAACCCTATCGACGTTGCCTCTCTTTCGCGGTCCCAACTCGAAGAGCTCGTCAAAGGTAATTTCCCTCTCACTTCTCTAATTTCCAGCTCGGTCGAGTTCTGACGTGAGATTCTCGTCTCCTGTCAGAAGAAAAGGAAATTACCGGCTTTATCAGTTATCACTAGCCTTTTCCCCCTTTTCATACTTTGTTTAAAGCGCAGTATGAAAGGATTTGCTCGTCTAATTGAGTTGAAGACATCTTTAATTCTTAGGAACTGTTTTGCGATTCTGAATTACAGAAGTTGATTGTGGTTCGGTGTTCATGTGAAAAGTTGTTAGTGCCGTTCCTTCATTTCCCTTAGGTATTTAGCTAGTCAAAGGTCATTTCTCTCAGTTTCTGGCTCGGTTGCATTCTTACGAGAGATTTCATAGTCTGTTGAACAGAATGTAAATTCTCCGTTTATCACTTCCTGAACTTGTATTGCTTTTTAAAATTTGTGTTCATCTCCCTGTTCCATCACCTTACCGAGTTGATTCAATCCTAGGAGAAATGATTATACTGTGCCCCAAACACAATATAAATTGATTTTTCTAGTTGAATTCAGCCAAATATGTTTCGATTGATTATAAATTGTTTGAAATCAGAATCACGGACCTTGATTTTTGTTCGGTGCTCATGTGAACAAATCGCGGTGCCAGTTCCTTCTAGTTTTCTTAGGGGTTTAGCCTGTTTCATGTTTATTGTTATGTTCTGACAGGTGTTGCATTCGACCTGTCTGATAAGGAGGTATTTTGCATTGAAGAGCAAGATGTGTTTGACCGTTTGTACTCATTGGTCATTAATTTCTCTAGCCTGGCTCCATCTTATAAACTCAATATGGTGGAAACTCTCCGCTCGAACCTTACTGTGCTTCTCCCAAGTGTCGATTTGCTTTCACGAGCTGGGGATGATGAGCCTACTGTATTTGACAGGATTGCGTCACTACGAAATGCTTTTAAAATATATACATTTTTCCTAGTTTCTATAGTTCTACTGGAGGAGGCCAGTATCAGCAGTTCTAATAACAATTCAAAGGTAATTCATCGGATTCTGAAATTTGAGCTACCATCCCCTAATTGATCATATGCTTTTGTTCAGTTCATAATTTTATCATCAGTTTAAAAACTTGTGATTGACGTGGCTACTTATAATTGCTGTATATGGTGGTGATTTGATAATTGATTCAGGCGCCAGAAACTGGCAGGAAGAGGCAAGCATTGTATTCATGGAACTGGGATCCACAAAGGGGTCGAATACTCAATTTGATTGCTAATTCATTAGAAATAAACCTCTCGTTGCTCTTTGGATCAACAGATCCAGATGAAAATTACCTTGCTTTCATTGTCAAGTAAGATGAATCACTTCTTGTCATGTTTGATTTCCCCCTTCCATGTTATTGCATGTTCAGTAAAGCTTCTGGTTTGTTTTGTTATAGAAATGCTCTAAGCATGTTTGAAAATTCAGCACTGCTGAAGGACTCTGAGACAAGAGATCCATTGTGTCGTATGCTCGGTGCTTGTGCTACGAAATACCACTACACAGTGCAGGCATCTGCTTCCATCATGCACTTAATCCACAAGCATGATTTTGTTGTCACCTCCATGGCTGATACTGCTGCATGGGCTGAAAAGAAGTACGCAGATGGCACCCTTGCTTATTCTCTTATTAGAGAAATTGGGAGGACCAATCCAAAAAGTTATGTAAAGGACACTGCTGGTGCTGAAAATGTTGGTCGTTTTCTAGTGGAACTTGCTGAACGGTTGCCAAATTTGATGTCAACCAATGTTGGACTTGTGGTCCCACATTTTGGAGGGGAATCATACAAGATAAGGAATGCTCTGGTTAGTGTTTTGGGTAAATTAGTTTTGAAGGCATTTAAAGATCTGGAAGGTGAAGTGAGTTCAAAGTCACTACGTCTACGGACTAAGCAAGCCATGTTGGAAATCTTACTTGAGCGGTGCCGAGATGTTTCTGCTTATACAAGGGGCCGAACCCTGCATGTCTGGGGTGAGCTATGTGAAGAGCATGCTATTTCTATCGGTTTTTGGAACGAGGTTGCAACTGTTGCTGCTGGAAGGTTAGAGGATAAATCTTCCATTGTCAGAAAAGCTGCATTAAGTTTGCTTATAATGTTGTTGCAGCATAATCCATTTGGACCACAACTTCAAGTAGGTTTATTCAAAGCAACATTAGAGCAATACAAGAAAAAGTTGAATGAGCTTGAGCCAGATAGTGGTAGCAGTGGAATACCAGCTGAAGGCGATCATGGAGGTGCTGAAGGGGTATCCAGGGATCAGCAAGAAAGCTTGTCAGACAGTCAGCTGCAAGTTGAAGAAGCAGAAAGGATTGCTCAAAAGGACAGTCGGGTGCCAGATATGGGGAACCTAGAGCAGACTAGGGCACTGGTTGCATCTCTGGAAGCAGCTCTGACATTTTCTAAGAGCGTTGCTGCAACTATGCCTACCCTTGTACAATTGATGGCTTCATCTTCTGTAACTGATGTTGAGAATACGATTCTCTTGTTAATGAGGTGCAAGCAATTCCAAATAGAAGGTGCAGAAGCCTGCCTTAGGAAGATGTTGCCACTGGTAAGTTATTGTGTTTGGTTATGGGTAGAAACCACTGGCACTTTAACTTCACATCAAACTTGTGATATAGAAAAGGCTGTTAATTAGTGCTTCTATAATGTTTGGGATTTATATTATGCTTATGTTTATGATTTATAGGTCTTCTCTCAAGATAAATCTATATATGATGCTGTGGAGAATGCATTTATTACAATTTACATCAAGGCCAACCCAGTAGAAACTGCAAAGAATCTTTTGAATCTTGCTATTGATTCAAATATAGGGGATCTTGCTGCTCTGGAATTGATTGTCAGCGCCTTGGTGTCCAAAGGTGAAATATCTAACAGTACGGTGCGTCTATTTCCAGCTTTAACCTTTCCCTTAAAGTTGCAGTTCAGCTATCTTTTTCCTCCGTGTCGTTTCTTCATTGATGGCTCCTGCCTATCATTGAGATTTTCGTACCTCTGTTGGGAATTCAGGAAGGTGCAAAACAGAAAATGGTGGAATGGGTGTAATGCCAATCCTTCTGCAGGATTGAGCTTTGAGTCTTCTGGTTCAAGGACTTTGAAAGTCACCAATTTCAGTGTGTTTTACTAGGTCTTAATGTTCTGATAAGTGATAATTATAATATTTTGTAGGTTCCTGAGTCAAAATTCCTTAGATTTAGAAATGGTCTTGCCTCTTACCAAATGTTTGCTTGCAGATATCAGTCTTATGGGACTTCTTCTGTTTCAATATAAGTGGAACCACTGCAGAGCAAAGTCGAGGAGCTCTGTCAGTCCTTTGCATGGCTGCTATTTCTTGCAATGGAATTCTTGGATCTAATTTGCAAGATATTATTGATATTGGCTTTGGTCGCTGGGCCAAAATCGACCCTCTGCTTGCCAGAACGGCGTGCATTGCCATTCACAGACTTTCTGAAGAGGACAGGAAAAAGATGTTGGCCAATAGTGGTAACCGTGTATTTGGTTTTTTGAGAAGTTTGGTTGCTTGTTCCTGGCTTCCCGATAGCACATGGTATGCTGCTGCTGATAAAGCTATCAGTGCTGTATATACTATTCATCCAGCTCCAGAAGCCTTTGCTGCAGATCTGGTGAAGAAATCACTAATTACTATTTTTCATGCAAGTGGAGAAGATGACCTGCAAAATGACACTAAGGATGGTGCTAACACAGCTCTTACAGAAGTCCAAGTAGCAAAACTTAGTAGGTTCTTATTCATTGCAAGTCATGTTGCCATGAATCAGTTGCTGTATATAGAATCTTGTATTCGTAAAGTCCAGAAGCAGAAGACGTCCAAAGAGACGGCATTGGAGAGTCAGAAAGATGACACCAATGGAGCAAATAAGGTAGGTTCAATATAAAGTCACATATATTTCCTTTTGGCGACTTGTTTGAGTGGCTGGCCCTGAATTCTTCATTTCCTTGCTTATTGTAGGATGACGATATCAATGCTGAGCTTGGTGTTTCTGCCTCTGAAGATGCAATAATTGATTCTCTATCAGACAGAGCAGAGAAAGAAATTGTCTCTGGTGGTTCCAGTGACAAATATTTGATAGGAATTTGTGCTCCTTTCTTATCGAAGCTTTGTAGAAATTTCAACCTGACGCAAAAGGTAATTCGTCAGTCCTTGCAGTTTTCCTGCAACTTTTGGGCACCTATGCTTCTTTAATCATCATGAGGCACTTCTAGGTCATCGAATACAAACAAATTTCAATGCAATCAATAATTGACTACCCGGTGTAGGTCGCTCTAAACAAAACCTGATGTGCCTTACTTATTCATTCAGTATCCGGAGCTACAGGCATCAGGACTGCTTGCTCTTTCTCGATTCATGATCATTGATGCTGGTTTTTGGTGAGATTTCCTCGATGTGCATAGTTTATCTGCTTGTCTCTATTCCTAGTTTATGCAGCAAAACATACTACATGGACTGACCGAGTTAACTTACAGTGAGGCAAATCTCCAGCTTCTTTTCACAGTGGTTGAGAATGCGCCATCAGAAACAGTCCGTTCGAATTGCACTATTTGTCTTGGAGATTTGGCTGTTCGGTTTCCTAATTTGTTAGAACCATGGACTGAGAACATGTATTTCCGTTTACGAGATCCTTCGGTTTCAGTCAGAAAAAATGCAGTTCTGGTCCTCTCTCATCTCATATTAAATGACATGATGAAGGTTTGACTCTTGAACAAATTTTATTTCATGTATTACTTTGATCCTTGTTCATAACATGATTGTGAACATTACTTTACTAGGTAAAAGGTTATATAAACGAGATGGCAATATGCTTAGAAGATGAAGAGGAAAGAATTTCGAGTTTGGCTAAACTTTTTTTCCATGAATTATCCAAGAAAGGTAGTTTCTGATTTTTCTCTGAGCTTGCTGGATGTTGTAACGTCATCTGGTCATATATCACCTTGTAAAATTTTTAGAATAAGTTATCTTTACATGGATGCCTGATGTGCGTTTTAATACTCTTCAGGAGCCAACCCGATATATAATTTACTCCCAGACATACTGGGAAAGCTATGTAATCAGAATCTGAAAAAGGAGTCTTTCTGCAACATAATGCAGTTTCTAATTGGATCTATAAAGAAGGTACAACCAAGCTAGTTGAACTAGTTTCTGCTTAGGTGGCAAATGTAAAATTTTCTGTAACTTTCTGCAGGACAAACAAATGGAGGCTCTTGTTGAAAAGCTCTGCAACAGGTTCTGTGGAGTTACTGGTATTTCTTTCTTCACTTTATTTGTATTGTAATGAAGTTCTTCTGTGATTACAACTCTTTTCCTGAAGTAATCAACCACACAATATTAGGTCATGAGTAATATGAAATGTTTGTCTAGGAGGACCCGTTGCTAGTCATTTTGCCAATGGGGACAATGTTTCTTTCTACTCTGCATCGTGGAAGGTGTTTTGAAGTTGATATTTTCCTTACTGTCTTGCTCATAGATATGCATGAACAAATATCATTTGTTTTTTGATTTTTTATTAAAAAAATAAAGAAAGTAGAGTAAAAGAAGTTGAATACATCTTTGATTGTCTTACAAAACTTATGTACTGTGGCAGATGTTAAGCAGTGGGAGCACATTGCTTACTGTCTTGCACAGCTCACATTCACTGAGAAGGGGATGAAAAAGCTCATTGAGTCATTTAAGACGTACGAGCATGTGCTATCTGAAGATTCTGTAATCGAGCACTTCAAAACCATAATCACTAAGGTATTTCTTACTTCTGTTCCCGAGTTTTCCATTCGGGGAAAGCAGTAGGTATAACCTAACTCGCATAAAATCTTACACAGGCTAAGAAGTTTGCGAAACCAGAAATCAAAGCTTGCATTGAGGAGTTCGAGGAAAAGCTCAATAAGTTCCATATTGAGAAGAAGGAGCAAGATGCCACTGCAAGAAATGCCCAGGTACATCAGGAGAAAGTTGTTGAAAGGGCTGGTCTGGTTGCAGCAATTAACAAAAACGATGAAAGTGAGGAGTCTGATATTTCAGAAGGTCAGTAGACCCCTATTTTGTTAAAGCTACTTTCTTTACATTGTTACATCGAGTCAGCCCAAGACCTATTAGTTGCTTTTATGATGTTATGTCATTTTCGATGGTTATCTCATCACAGAATGATTGCATAGCCACTTTATTCTTTGATATTTACTCCATGACAGAGGAGGAAACAACCGAGCAATTCGTCAGAGCAACTTCTCCTTCTGAAGACAACTCAGCAGATCCTAAATCCAATGGAACATTTGAAGATTCAAGTAGTTCTAGTGAGCACTCACGAGTGGAAGCCACTTCTCCTTCTAAAGATGACTCAGCAGATCCTAAATACAATGAAGCATTTGATGATTCAGGCCCTTCAAGTGAGCTCTCACAAGTGGAGCCTGTATCAGATGACGGTGAAGTCCAATCTATAAAAAGTAAATTCCTTTCCCCTCCTCTTTCTCCTTCAAATAACAGCTAACCCTTTTATCTTCAGTCATTCTTTAACCTCTGCCATTATCTGAATTTAGAGCTGACCAAATCCAGTAGACCCAAAAATGGCAACATGAAAGATCAAGCAAGCAACGCCAATACATCCAGGAGGATAAGTAACAGGTCAAGGCAAAGGTAGAGTTTTGACTCAACTGCTCTTTTATGTCTGCATTCTCTGCCTGCATCTACATGGTCATCTACCCCAGAATTTCCTCATATATCTGGCCCTTGGATATTGTCTAGTCTCTCATATGCTGATGACTACGTCCAGAACAATGTCTGCATCAAACCTTGTAATTGTGTAGCATGTCAATTCCTTCTGTTGTTTAAATTAGTTCTAGGAATGCTACTCGTCACATCTTGTGTAACGGCTTAAACTACAACTAATGATTTGCAAGATTAAGTTGTTGTGTGTCAAATTGTCAATCTGTTTTGTTCTTCAACCTTTCCTTATATGAACTTGCTTCAGACATCCTCATTACAGCAAAACTTGTTGCATTACAACTCTTCATTATATAACTCGTATAACGGAAGTACAAAAATATGCTTTGGGAAAACATAGGAATCAAGTGTTCTACAATTTATATGGTAGAGGCTTGGGGAAAAATGGTACATACAACACCCCCCAAAGTCACAACAATCCTCATCTATAACCTTGTATGTTTTATGTGCATAACTATACCATATTCAAAAAAATTGGGTGATCTCTCTCTCTCAGTCTCTACTTTTACCAATTTGAGGTCAAATTTATGTAAATTTGAAGATTATAGGAACCAAAAACGATCATAAAATTTGAACTTTGAAAATGTTCCCTCCCGATGAGACCAAGCTTCTTGTTAGAGCCTGCAGGAGGGGGTGGTTGTGTTAAAAAAAGATTTTCTTCTTTTACTTAAACTAAGAATCTTCAGCAAAAATTCTGAAAATGAAGTCTCTGAATCTCCTGGAGTACTGCTTAGGATCCACGGCTGAGATCGATGTAGGGTCGTACTGGATCGACTTGTATGCATGCTCCAGCTTCTTGCTAATGTCGTAGTCTTGAAGTATGTCGATGATTCCGAACGTCATTATGACGTCGTAGAACTCCCCGGTTGGCTCTCCAACCAGTTGAAGCTCACAATCGTTTCTTCTCACTGTTCTTTCGACTCTGGCTGGCATGTTCATTCCCAGCCTGATTCGTGCCCATCTGCATTCACCATTTGCATTGCGAAACACACATATCAAAGTTTGGGCTACTGAATGTTTTCATACTTGTTATAACTAGACTGATCAATGTTTGGATCGAATCGGACTGGATCAAAGTATTTGATCTGGTTCCGACTAACTCAGGCACTTTTGTATTTTATTCCATTGGGTCCCCTTAAGGGATCGTATTGGACAAGATCGAATCGGATAAAATGTTCTGATTCTGATCTTGATCTTTCCTTCTTTTTTTTTTTATGAATTTGTTATGGTAGAGTTTCAAGGTCCTTGTTAGAATTGAAACTTGTACTGAAAGAAAAGTTAGAGAAACACTTTACTTGGTTGGGTCTAATACAAGTTGATCCATGTCTGCTCTAGAAAGTCGAGGACCTTCTTCTCTTTCAACCTCATCTGCGACTGCAAGGAAAAACGCACCCAGAAGTCAAATTTACTAACAGTAAAAGGGTGAAATTCTTAAGATTTACTTCATTTAGCTACCGAAGGTAAAAACACGAATTTTCTTTTTACCAGAAGGGGTTTCAGCCTTGGTTGGAATTATTTCTCGATTAGATGCTACGTCTCTGAAGTGGATACCAACTAGTAGACTGTAGTCCATAATCCTCTCCTGCTCAAGAAGCTCGCAATCTCTATCTACTTGCCTGCAGTAATTTTCCAACACAGTTTTGGTAAATCAGTAAAAACCCTCAATAATTAGTCTATTAGAGATAGAGCTTCTCCTTGAAAAAATCATGTACATATTTTGTCACCTGCAGAACTCTTGGAACCAAGCTTTCTGTAGCTTGAAAATGAAGTTGAGGTCCAGGTCTTTGAGAATGGTGTTGGCATCGATCTCGGACTCTGGCTTGTCCGTGATCCGACCCAACGAAGAACCCTTCAGGTCGAATCGTCTGTGGATTGCATACTCCGAAACAAATAGGTTCCCCATGATTATGAACCGCACCTAGTTGTCCAATGACCCCCAACGTATGAACAAAACGAAAAGCTTCCTAAACCATCACCTTATGCGTTGCTAGGAGACAGAGATCTCCTTTAACTACGCATGCAATGCGTGTCAGTCGCTGAACGAGTAGTCTACTCGTTCAGTGACCGATGCGCGAAATGTTCATACGTTAAAATGAAGGAAGTGGCAGGGAGGAAAAACGGATGTACCTTCCTCTGTGCCGGTCCAGTTAACTTGACGCAGTGAAGGCCATAAAACCTTATGACCAAGGTGTTATCGAAGGATCTGACATGGTTGTAATAGGCAGCAAGCATCCTGATAAGCACCTGTTTACATCAGAACCCAAAATGTGCAGTCGTTATTGAGTCTTGTTTGAGTTTTTTGGGGAAGCATATAAGTGAATCATTAAGAGAGGGGGACACTCACTTTCACTTCTGCTTTCTTCATTGTCTTGATCATGTAGCGATCATCGTGAGTCAGGTAGAAGAAGCTCCCACTCTTCCCGGGAGACGAGAGCTCGCGAAGAGCATTATCCCCACAAATCGATAACATGTAGTCAGCTGCGTCGACCTTGAACAGCTTCCTTAGTGACCTATAGTCGAAAAACAGGGCAACCATTAGGTATCCTAATCATGGGGGGATTTGCATACACATTCGTTGTCTCGACTTATGAATACCCGACAAATTCGTAGGAACTTACCTGAAAACTAAGGGGCAGTAGTCTTTCCATTTGAACTCTGAACAATTGTGTGGAGGGGTGTGCTTGCTTCCTTCTGGAGGGAACCTTGTCCATACCTTCTCTTTTGGGTCGAAAGCTGATGCCTTTAGATCCAAGGATGGTGCTGGACCTGGTCTCCCCACTGAATGCCTACAACACATTAACAATCAGTGTTAAGTGTGTTTCGAGTTTCGGCGAAAAGCTGTTTCGAAAATACGATGTTACAGCAAGGAATACCTGATTCCCAGCTGTAGATTGAGCATGAGCTCGTAATTCTTGTGCCCTTTACAAATGGGATCTCCCTGCCGCTTAGAAGCTTTGGGTACTCTCATGGGCAGCATCTTATTAAGACTGGCGGCGAAATTGCATTCCTCCATATCCATACCCATACCCAACAACTCCGCCTCCATATCCCTCCTCGCATCGCCGGCGGCCGCAGACGACGCCCCCTGGTCGTCGCCGTCCCACATGTTCATCCTCTCGAACGCCCTCTCGTTCCCGACGCTGACCCTGCCGTCGACAGACAGCCGGCGGGCCTTCTCGCTGTTCTTCGACGAGTTCCACACCGCCAGCTTCTTCTGCGACGGCAGGACGGAGACCTTCTCGCAGGGGCAGACCTGGGCGTCGGCGAGGTAGACGTTGTACACGTCCTGCGGGTCCCACTCCAGCTGGCTGCCGGAGTGGGCCGCCGCCGCCGCGGAGGGCGACGTGGAAGGGTAGTAGCTGCCGTTCTGCTCGGTGGGGTCTTTGCTCCAGTTGCCGACGTAGAAGCTGCCGTCAGGGAAGGTGAAGGTGCCGTTGCCCTTGGGGACGCCGTCGTCCCACTGGCCGTCGAAGCGGTTGCCGTTCTCCCACATGAATGTGCCTTTGCCGCAGATGTTGCCGTTCTTCCACTCGCCGACGTAGTAGTTGCTGGTGGTCTTCCATTGGTACTTGCCTTGCCCTTCTTGCAACCCTCGTCGCCAATCCCCTTCGTACCTGTTTCATAAGAAAAACCACATGATGTTCATATGATTTGAGGGTCTTGTTACTATGCAAAATGTTCCTCTTATTGACATTTTACCATCTTAATTGTTAAATTGTAGATGTTATTATGTACACAATATTATTGTCACATGAATCGATCTGAACAAGTGAGATAATCGTATTTATTTAGGTAGCACTTCAGGCTAAAGACTTGGTGTCAACCATTCTTGTCGGTCGGATAGGCCCCGACTCGCCTGCCAATAGTCCCCTGATCCTTATATTTCGACCGTTTCGAATCAGCTACTATGAAGTTTAATCTGTCTACGACGTCACTCAAATTCACGACTGTGAATAAGGATTCTCCATCATGAAAAAAATTGGTAAATTTTCACAAAGCATGACATAGATCAAGTTATAATAAGGATCAAAATCAAATTAGTTTCAATCAAACATTACCAATCTCCATTAGCAAAATGCTTGATCCCATGCCCATGCTTGAGATTCATGACCCACTGCCCACGATAAATATCCCCATTCGCCGCCGAATACGTCCCCGTCCCGTCCATATACCCGCTCTTGAACTCCCCTTCATACGTCGCCCCCGACGGCCAGCTGAACCGGCCCCGGCCCATCGTCTTCCCCTTATACCACTCGCCGACGTACATGCAACCGTCGGTCCACAGATACTTCCCCCGGCCGTTGGGGAAATTGTCGTACCACTGGCCGGAGTAGTAGTCGCCGTTCGGCAGCACCTTCTCCGCGTAGTAACATTCCGTCCCTCCTCCTCCGTTCGTGCTGCTCCCGCTGCCGGCTCCCTCGTCGCCGCCGCTGCTGCTGCTGCTGCCCTCGTCGCCGTTGCTGGCAGCGGCGGCGGCGGCGTGGTCTTCGTCGGGGAGGTGGGCCAAGGTGATGCCGAAGATGCTGTTGGCGCGCTTCTTGGCCGCCTGGGTCTTTCGGATCGTGGCTTCCCATGCCTTGAAAACACCGCTGTCTTTGCTCATTGTTTCTTTTAGCGACGCTTTTTAGTGACGGTTTGTGAGCGATGGTTTCATTTGAGTTTTTCGTCGCCTTAGGTTGATGGTGATGTTTTCGTCGTCATTTTTTGGGGGGGAGGGAGAGGAAAAGGGGAGAAAGGAAGGGAAATTGTTTGTATTAATTTGAAATGTGTTTCAAATTTTTGTTTCTTTTTTTGGTGTTTGGTTTGTGTTTTTGTTTGTGTGAAGGAGAGGGAAAAGAGCTGTTGGAGAGGGAGAATTTTTATTTTATTTTTGAAATGGATGAGAGGGAGAAACCAATGGATCCCTTGTTCTTCTCTTTAGTGCAACATTTGGTAAGTGCACAATAATTGTTTCCATTTTGACCATTTGTTTGTTTTAGTTTTCTATTTTTTTTTAGTTTTGTATGGTGAATTGTTAATGGTCAAGATTAATGAACTTAGTTTTGCAAAAAATTTGGCTTATCCCAACTGGCGGGGATTAATGACCGATTTGTTATTCGACGTGTTACTGGATCAAATATGTTTGAAATAATGTTTGATAGTGCATTTTTTTCTTAATTAGTTGTATTTTGTGATGAAGGTGGGTAATACCCATGTGGGATGTGGGTAATGAGATGAGATCTAGGGTTGTCAATCGAAGAACTTTATTTCAAACAATGACAAACAATAAATATGGGATTATAAACCTCAAACTAAAATTGTTGCTATAGTATGTCTAATTATGAACAGTGTTCTAACCGGGTAGTATTCTCTCGATATAAGCAGTGTTCGAATATAAAGATGCTTGGTGTAGATGTTTAGATGAATATGTATCTAACGTGCAAGTTCATGTTTTTGCCAATCGATAACTCAACACCAGAGATCTGACATGTTACTACTTAAGGGCACATGATGAGGGTTCGTCGCTGAAAATCTGGTATATAAATCATTAGAATATGCCAATCCTACATAATAATATCTCTTATCGATTGAATATATGATACGTGGTTGATAATATCTCCATAATCAAAAAATATTTAACATAATTTGAACCGATCATTTTAAAATTATCATCATATTCCGTATATTTCGATATATTTTAGTTGAAGGCACATGATTCCCATACCTCCCTATTTATTAATGTTTTAGTTTCTTGTTTTGCATGTTGGTGGGCACATCCAAACTGGGAAAAAGGATCTTCAATAAACAAGATAATCCATCCTCTATTTTGTTGGCTCTTACGATGTAGGAAAGGTCTCTTGTTCTTCTGCACCACATATATCTCAGCTATTCTTTCTTTGGCTGCTCTCATTTGATTTGTCCACATAAAAAACACAGATAGACCTCCAGGTTGAAGATTCGTGTCGTTAGAGATCAATTCATTGCTCACTTAAATATGATATGATACGATATGATACTTAGTCAACGTAGTAGTTTGTGGCCAACCAAATTACTTAGTCGTGAAAGTGTGATGTAAAATTCAGAATTAACATTATCTTAACAACTCAAGTTATTGAGATCAAAAGAATCATCACATTAGAATTGTAACTTAGTCTCCCTGGCGAGAACAAGATTCGTAGCTGAAAAGGTTGAGATGCTGGACTCGAAGAGGTTTCATATTTTTAGTTTTAGGTCGAAATTCAGTGATTCGTTATTATTGCAAGGTATCCCTCGAGACTGTTCATCCAGCAAGACCCAAAAAATCATATCTACTGAATTTGCCCGTTATGCCAAGTGGCCGAAAATTTCTTTCGATTACTACAGTTTTGTGTTATACTTTATTATTGATAAACAAAATCATGGATGTGAATAATAAGATATTAGTTGATCGTGAGGGTTATAACTTTTTTCAAACTCAAGATTATATTCACCTTGTAATAATTTTTTTTTGAAAACAATCAGTATGTCTTGGTGTTTATAGTTAGTTTCTAAGGGACAAAGGATCATTGCCTACCCCAACTAACTTCTGGTTTGAGTCTCCACTTCACTGACATCACGACCGACAGTGACTGGCCATGAGTCTACAAGTGGAGGGGAAACCCAATTTTTGTTCTTCTATCCCAATTGGTGAATTTCTTTAGTGTTTGGACAAATTAGGTCAACTCTCATCACACACCCACCATCTCTTTTTGTTAATTTAGAGCAATAATGTTAAATGCAATTATTAACAATGAAGCATCTTCATTTATATTTTGCTCCATGGAAATATCACTTGTTCCCAATAAAAGAATGTGTAGGCACTAAGCACCAACCATGTCCATGTGTGGATGGGATGCATAACAAGATAAATATATAGCATGTGATTTCGACTCTCGTCGTGTAAGGTTGTTGTCCCGAGACTAAAGAAAGAAATATTTGCCAGATGGGATGCATAACACGATTGGGAGAAAGAAAGAAATATTTTGGATGACTAAAAATCAACGAATTGTCAAATGTTCTTAACATAAACCAAGATGACACAGAGCGCAGTGGGCAACCATTCAAAATTTGCATACTAACATGGACGGTTGCCGGATAAAAAATGCTCTTGATGCGGCATGTGTTGAAAATCCATCTTTACTTTTACTCTTCGGTCGGCCCCCAAAATGATCTATGATAGGGTGTGAGATTCAAGATTCAATATGAAGATCAAAACATGGTTTTGCCATGTACAAATCCATGCGAGTCTCGTCCAAGATGTATGTAGTGAGCATGAGTATACTTTATCTCTAATTAATTTCGAACACAATTTTGAATCAGAAGAGTATAAATCGATATATCGGTGTTGTATTTGTGATAACTCATAGTAAGGGTACTGAACATACAATTGACAGAAAAAAGCAGTAGGTAATGGGAAAAAAATTCGGAATCCAAAAGAAAAGGAAGTTTGGAAAATTAGAGAGAGCAATCAGCAAAGAGCCAAACAAAAACCAAAAAAACAGAAAGGGTTGAAAAAAAAAAAGGGAGAAGCTGATAGAAAAGGAAGAGAGGAGAAGCGAAGAGGAAGTAGTGGACAGTGGGCAGTGAAGAAGGCGGGTGTGGTTCCAGTCTTCCCTCCGTTTTATCCCCAATCCTCTCCCGTTTTTTTCTGTGTTCCTCGTTCTCGCCACACGATCTTCATTCACCTTCTCTCCCGCTCTCTGCCTCCTCTCATGGCGTCGCTCTCTCCTTTCCCTCCGCTCATCCACCCTTCTTCCGCGGCCGCCGGTAACGCGACTAGTCGTCTTAATCAGCAAACTCAGCAGCACCTCCAGTTCGTCGATTTCGTCGGGCTTTGCGGTCAATCGAGGAGAGCCGTTTGCCGGAGGAGACTCTCCGCGGCAGCTTCTGGTTCTTCTTTTCCGTCGACGACGGCGACGACTTTGTCTCGGCTGGTGAAGAAGAATGGGAAGTCGTCGTCGTTGTCCGTTGGGGCCAGCCGCGGAGTTCAGTGTGGTGGAGTAGTCACTGAGAGTAAGGCGGTGGCGGATGGCTCCGTTTCCGCTAGCTCTGATTTGAAACCGGAGGTACTGTGTCCTCTTCTTCTCATTTTCAACTTATGTGCAGTGTCGTTCCCGCGCTTTTTGATTCGTGCTCGTTTGGCTCCTGTTGATGGTGGAGTTTGAAATTGAGTGTCGAGTTAGTGGGGGGGATTTTACTGCTGTTTGCTTTGTTCTTTTGTGGAGGTTTCTTTGTTTCGTTTTGCCTTCTTCCCCTTATGATTGACACTGATTTTCTTAGTAGTTAGGGATTATTCAATTTTCCTCATAGATTCTTGCTAGACAATGCTCTAGGAGTCTGCCTGAGTCTTCTCGTGCTTGGAGTTGCTGAAGCTCGGTAGATCAAATTTCTGCCTCTTCAACTAAACTTAGCCATGTTTTACTCGTTGTTAGTGTGGTACAGACTATTAGCAATGATCGTCCGTCATAAACAGGCAGTGTTTTAGTTTGGGAAGTCTGTTTCCGGAGGCTAAGTTTTGAGGTGTTTGTTTGTCAATGCGGTGTGTCAACCTCTGCGTCTGTTACTTGCGAATGTTGATAAAGGTTCTGTCCACTTTGCAGGTGGCAAACTTGAGCGATATATTATCTGAAAGAGGAGCCTGTGGAGTTGGGTTTATTGCTAATTTGGAAAACAAACCATCGAACAAGATAATTAAGGATGCCCTTAATGCTCTTGGATGCATGGAACATCGTGGAGGGTGTGGAGCAGATAATGACTCTGGTGATGGCTCGGGGCTCATGACTTCAATTCCATGGGATCTGTTCGGCAAATGGGCGGATGAGCAAGGGCTTGCTTCCTTCGATAAATTGCACACTGGTGTTGGCATGGTTTTTCTTCCAAGAGATGAGAACCTTATGGAAGAAGCCAAAAAAGGTATTTCCTTGGCTCCACTCTCTATATTTTAATACTTAATCACCGTTATGGTGCACATTATTAATGCCTCTCTTCACTCTACTTTCTATTGTTTGATCACTGCTGTTTTTTCTGGCTTGTAGTTGTTGTAAATATTTTTGAACAAGAGGGCCTTGAGGTGCTTGGTTGGAGAGATGTTCCTGTAAATACATCTGTAGTTGGTTACTATGCCAAAGAAACTATGCCCAACATTCAGCAGGTGTTTGTTAAAGTTGTCAAGGAAGAGAGTATTGGTGACATTGAACGAGAGCTTTACATTTGCCGGAAATTGATAGAGAGGGTGGCTAGCTCAGAGAGTTGGGGAAATGAGCTGTACTTCTGCTCTTTGTCCAACCAAACAATTGTCTATAAGGGAATGCTTCGCTCAGCAGTTCTTGGATTATTTTACTCCGATCTCCAGAGTGATATCTACACATCACCATTTGCTATTTATCATCGACGATTTAGCACAAATACGAGTCCCAGATGGCCTCTGGCCCAACCAATGCGGTTTCTTGGTCATAATGGAGAAATCAATACCATACAGGTTACAATCTTTCTTTATCTCAACTTATTTTTGTAAGACTGGATTATAGTTCAACAGAGTGCCTTGCTCTTTTATACATATCCAGGGTAACTTGAACTGGATGCAATCTCGAGAAAGCTCGCTGAAATCTCCTGTTTGGCGAGGCCGTGAAAATGAAATTCGTCCATTTGGTAACCCAAAGGCATCAGACTCAGCCAATCTTGATAGCGCAGCAGAAGTACGTTATTCACGTTTATGTTTATACTCCGTTGCTATGTGAAGCTGTTCTTACTTTCACTTCTCCTGTTTGTTTGGTCATTTTGTTTGCTCTTGTTTTTAAAACTTGTATACAACAATCACTTTGTTATCCTTACGTTTCAGATCATATATATTATATAATCATGACGTCATAACTGGTCAACGTATTTCCTTGAGATCCACACTTCAGCTATCCAAATTCACAGTTTTGGCATGATTTCTTTTTCGGGTGTCCTAGAATAGGATATCATACTAACGTAGGATATAAGTGCATGCAAACTACTGAAGATAATTAGTTATTCGGTGAACAGTCATTTGAGTTTTTTATGTCCTATCAGAGTGCGCATATAGATCCGATGAATAAGACTTTTAACTAATAAGCATACCTGAGATGGGTTGGAAACCACAACACACGGGAAAAGCGTACTTGGTAACCCTGCGTTAGTACTGTAGGCTTGGTAAGTGTTTAATGTGCTCTTTAGCAGTCAATTACATGTCTCCCCTGTGTCTGACCTATCTTGCTAATTGATTGTTTCCAGCTCTTGATAAGAAGTGGGCGTACTCCTGAGGAAACTCTAATGATTCTTGTACCTGAGGCATATAAGAATCATCCAACTCTGACAATTAAGTATCCTGAGGTATCCTCTATTCTGCTCTTGCTACATTATCTTGGACCCAAAATTTTATGTAAGACACCATTTAATGACAAAATGTTTTCCTGATTATCATCTCAATTCATTGATGCTTGATACATTCAGCAGTTCCATGTTTTCTGCTTATCA